CATTATGAATTATAATTTAATATGATTATACATTATCATATTTTCAAAAAAGAAAAAAATATATTATGTGGGACGGAAGAGAAAACATACTCCATCCGTTCGGTTATAAAGATCTTATTTAATTTTTGCGTCATTGTACTTATTTAATGTTAAATACGATAACGCAAAAATTAAATGTTAATCATATTTTCAAAAAAGAAAAAAATATATTACGTGGGACGGAAGAGAAAACATACTCCATCAGTCCTGCTATAAAAGTCCTATTTAACTTTTACGTGATTGTATTATTAATTTTCTTTATTTATAAGAAAAAAATTATAAAGTTTTGTATTTTTCTAACTATTAATAATACCTAAGTTTATTAAAATCTGTATACAAACAACTGGGTATAATTTTCAAATTCAATAATAATAATAATAATAATAATAATAATAATAATAATAATATGCTTTTCTCAAATTCAAGAGCCTTTTGGGGCAACTTTTCTCCAGTTTTTATGTGTCATGAACAGTGTATAGTTGAGTTCATATATATATATATATCTAACGTATTCAATTCACTTTGTTAAAAAGGGATTGTCTTTTCTAGGGCATCAAAATGGGATTCTTCCGAGGGTTGCTTATTGGTTAAATTTAAATGTTTTTAATTTGTAAAAAATACTTACTACAGTATATGTATATATATGTGTATGTGATCACATGAATCGAGGATTATTTAATCATGATGATTATGAGATCCTACAGTTCTTCTGAACCATCTAATCCATTATGATCCGCCACCACCATTAATCATTCACCCAAGCTACCTATCTTAGCTACCTCTTCCTTGAATTGTTCAATCCCTACCCTCCCATTCCCCATTTCTCTCTCATCTTTGTTTCTCACTCTACTGTCTTAAATAGGGCCCCAACTACCACTCGTTTTTTCCACCTCTCCATCATTCGTACTTGGACGTGGGCTGCTGCTTCTTCATTATCCTTAAATTCTGTACGTATTTTCAGTGTGGGAGAAACGGAAAAAAGAAAAGGAAAAAGAAGTAAAAATTCGATCGAGAGAGGAATTAATTAGGTTTTTATGATATAGTTAGTGGTTGGGAATTGATTAGGTTTTTTCGAGTTGATGATGATTCATGGTGGGTTTATCAAAGGGTTTCTTACAGAGATTTTTGGCATTCTGTCCACCTCCCTTTTCCCTGTCATGAAATCTTACTTTTTTTTTTTTTTTTTTAATTTACTGGAAGTTTCATGAAGCTTTGCAGCTATGGCGGAGGTGGGCATACTGCCAACAGAGCTCTGTTGGTTCCCCTTTGTAAAACCCTCGTGAAATTACATAAAACTCGATTTTTTATTTTTTTGGTTTCTTGATTGTTCCTCAGTCGTCTCTCCCTCGACAGGCTTTCTGTTGGTAATGAAATGGTTTGATTCGATGTGCATGAATCGTTTTAAGAATTAATGTCGATTCATCTCCATTTTTGTTTATACACAATTTAATTTTCTGTCTATTGATATATAATCTTTACACTACTGCCGATGATGAACAAATTTATGTCTTCTTTAATTTATTTTAAAATTATTATTTTTTATCGTCGTTTTGATCTGACAATGTTGTCCTAGAATTCCTGCAGGACAATGAACAGTGGTAGTTGCCTCAAGTACGAAGAAACAGCAAAAAATCCATATTGATTCTAAATTAACATGAGTTGGAAACCCTATTTTCGATTTTACCTTCGTTAGAACAAATCTGACCATATTGATCCCAAGGGTTTTTCTTGCACCACAGATTTTCGAGTTCTTAAACACCAAGATTAGCAAGAAGACAACAATAACAATCCATTCAAGAACCACAAAAAAGTGTCGATCTTGATGTTTGAAAATCATCAAAAAGATCAAGAAATCGACTTTAGGTTAAGGTTAGTGAAGGGTCTTAATTTCTTGGCTGTAAAATTAAAACCCTTTCGGGGTTTGAATCTTTACCACAAATCATACATATTTTTTGCTTTCCTGATTCCTGCTATTAATTGTTCCTTACACGGATTCATGAAATCTGCAAGAAAAAAGGAATTATCATCCAAAAAGGCAGATGGGAAACTGGAAATAGTTTTATATACATTTTTTCTTTATTAATTGTTCTTGGGGCAGATCGAAGAGCATCATCCATTCGTTCAATATCATACATCGATGATCCATCTGAATATCTGTCTGAAATAAATTGCTCGAGGTTCGATAATCGATAGCCTTCTCTCGTATGTATGTCTGTATTTTTACTGTACATTCATGGTAGGCTCATGATTGATCTTCTGACAATTCCAATTAAATTACAAGAGCAACGCCAGTCCACCCCAGGCCATAACTCACCCCATTTCTTTCTTTTCCTTATTTATTAACATCATTATTATTAGGGTTTTCTTTTCTTTGTTTTCTTACAAGAAATTGAAATTTGGAATTCATCGACGTCGCTAATAATACACTACACGTTATTTTAATAAAACCCCAAGATTTTCAAAACAAAATCCCATGAAGGGTTTTTTTTATTTTTAATATATATTTCTACTATGGGATTTTTATTTGTAAATATTTTTGCATAGATAGATAAATGATGATTAAAAGTGGAAAGCTGGTTTTGTTGGGGGAAGCACATTCAATATCTGAATGATGACAACCTAGAAAGATGTAAGAAGAATTGCAGGCACTGAGTCAAATCATTCAAGAACATTATTATATCTATATGGCCTTGAATTTTCTTCCTAATTCAAATTTCTCTTTATTTTCTAATGTTTAATTATTGCTTAAATCGTGTCTTTCAAATGCATAATAATAACAATAATAATAATTATTGTCAATATGTGCATGTATGTATGTCTCCATTACTAATTAGTTCTTGTAACAATCTCTGTTTTGTTTTCATTCAATATATGTATGGATTTTTAATTCTAGGTTGGTAAATGTCAATATTTTAATTTTTTTAGAAGTATTATATGATTAATGGAAATGATCATTTGGGCTTTTATTTGTAGCCCATTTTAAATTGATACTTTAATTAAATGAAAAACATTATAATTTGAAGTCTTTCTAAAATTTTTTATGTAATTCGAGCTTGAGCTTCAACTTGAAGTCGAGTTAAGTTTAAGCTACTATTAACATATTCTAATTGGTTTTGAACGACATATGTTTAATTAAGTTAGAAATCTATTTATTAAACTTATAAAATACAGCAATTATATTTTATATTTAAATAATGATACGTAATATTTTTATAAAATATTCCTAATGATTGTGTAGTAAAAAGAATTTGAAAATAGTATCCACGCCTGCGAAGCATTCACATATTATCACATAATTTTGCAGCCTAGGTTTAACTATTGGGTAAAAACTAACAAATTAAAGGAAATCAAAAGGCTTGTATTTATTTAAAAAATATTAGTTTTTCCTCCTACTCGATGTTATTTTGGATCTTTGTTGTAAATAAAAAAAAAAAATAATAGAGTACTTTTACAATAATAAAAAATAAAAAAATTTAGATGTCATATAGAGAGTATCTAAATGAAATTTTTTGTGTAAAGATTTTTGTTTCTTATTTTGTAAGTTAATGTAATAATATTGATATATATAAAAGTACATGTTTTAATATCTAGTGGGATCAAACTTGTTAAAAAAGAATATAAATTTTATGTAAACAAATGAGTATTTATTAAAAATTTTAATCCTTGTGGATATAGCAGCCTGTCAAGGACAAAGTCATGTAAGAAAAGGTAAGGTAAAGAGGATTCAAGATGGAGTACTAAATATTTTCTTAATATATTATCAGAGCTATGAGTATCCATATTCAATAAATTGATAGACATATTAGTAGCTTTCTGTTGCTTGCAAGAGTAAAAGACAATTCTTCTTTTATCACTAAGTTCTTTTGAAGTAGAGTTCTAAATCTCTCTTCTTAACTGTTATGCATAGCCAGTGGCATGATATGATAAGCTCACACTGACTCGTCAACTTGAGATCCAATTCGATATTTTCTTTGGGTTTTCGAGCAAATGACGACCTCCTTCCAAGGGAAGACATGTTTTGAATGGAAAATAAAAGTGGGGACTAATAGCGACACATACTACCGATGATTATACATATTACACCACAACAAAAATTATGCAATTAAACAACAAAATTAAAACTCACACATAATCCTTACTATTGGTTTTTTACCCTCAACCTTAAATGTGCAATGAAGTGACAGAATAAACATAGAAAAACATGTTCATGAGAAAATCTAAATAAAGGGTCATCTATGGCAACACCTACTTATCCCCCCCAATATTTACACTGCAATCGGCCCGGCATAGCGCTCATCGTAACCAACCTAGGACGATATTTAGTCACTTCCATCAATTTGTTGTCCAAGAATCACAACAATATTCTTTTCACATCCATAATTGTGTGAAAATAATCTTGTCTTTAGAAAATCCATAATAGAAGAAACAATTATTCTAACAGCAGAATAGGAAGCTACTGAACTGATCAGGAACATTTGATAAGAATCAAATTGAAGGCAGGAGAGTTTAACAGGAAAGCAACTACAAATTTGATGTATGCTGAGAATATTTTGCAATCCACTGTTAAACCTTCAGATATATTACCTGGAATTCTGTGATTCAATAAATATTTGTAACTCTTAACGCACAATGATACAATAAGTTTACCTAATGGTTCAATAGTTACATTCAATATAAAACATTAAATAGATTTGCGCTATGTTTTAGTACTTTAGCACCGTCATATTCAAGTACATAATTTAAAATTAAATTCAGTACATAAACCATTCAAGATAGATCCTAAAAAAATACAGTATATATACAAGAACATTGAATATGCATCAATGAACTGTTTGGAGATAATTTCAGTGTGTCCTTTAAATGACAATAATTGTGATAACTATCCTACATAAAAAAGTGTTAAAAACTGATTCAATAATTGCAAACAAAATTGCATGTTATGTGTTCTATATTAGTAAACATTGGATGATTTAAAACTAGTTTTGGTTCAAAAGATGACTTGGCTTTGTTCACTATGTTTACACAATTTTACCAAACAAAAAAGAAAGATACCATAAAAGAAAATATCATTTTCAACACACTCAAAGTTTGAACAGCACATATCTGTTGACGAAGAATCTTAAAATAGACTACTATTTCCAAAATAATTCAAAGAGAAAACTACGTATATTGGCTCATTGGACTTATAAAGTAAGAAATATTCTAATGCCAAGAAGAGAAAACAAATGTAGATTTATCGAACAACACCGGTAGAAGAGGACACATTATCTCCTCATAATTTAGGAAGACCGGTTTGTTTATATAACTTAAACCAGGATTGTTGGGATAGTCTTGAATATCGAATGCCTAGGAAAGGAAAAATATATACCTAAATGATCGCCTGCACCTTTATCTAATCATGGAACCAATCCATCTTCACATCTGTGACGTCGAGTTGCAGTATTTCGGCTCTGCAGTGGAGGATTGAACCAACACTGGAAAGTTACGATGGAACTATGATCAGGGAAAAAGAAAATAGTGGCATTGAGCAACAGTGTGTCCAAGGACCAGGATTATAAAAACAGCAATAGACAAAGCTATATTACAATGTGACCAAGATAAGAGAAACAAGAGAGGGGTATTGTATCAGTTCAATCGGCTGGTTTCTTCGTAAAATTATAAGACACCCTTGTAAATTTAAAAAAACAAAATCTTACTTAGGATGTGTGCGGCCAAGATCTCCGTGAACGAATTCCTTGATGTATGTTCCAGCCTGATTAAGAGACAATTGATCATTACGTCTGTGTCAGATCTAAGATCATCATTTAAAGACGAGACCAAGTATCGTTTCCTGGTAAAAATAAACGGCATTTTTTAAATTCTATGCAAGGGTAACTTTTTGACCATTCTGCAGCATTCTAGAGATCCATAACAACCTATGGTGTGATTATGATTCACAGTAGTTTTAATGGCTTGAATCAATAACATAAGGAGGTTTAACCTGTGTGCACAAATGCAAAAGGAAATATTGAGAGCTTCCAGCTAATCTCTCGATTCTCATCCTGAAATATGATATATAAGCAGCAGATTAAATTTGTGTTGCAATAGTATGAAATGTACTAGCTAGTTAACTTAACTACCATACCAATGTATAGCTTTTTCACGCTCCAACGGGCTCCGGCGGTGAAGAACTCTTATTGGTGTTTTCTGCAAAATTTGCTGCAGCACAAAATGGAGCCATTGATTACAGATAGAATAGAAGGATTAACTAAGAGGACATGGATAAATTGATATATACAAATAAATATTAATATATTGACATAAGACAAGAGCAGATAAAATAGCTGTACCACGTCCTTGAGTGAAGATAATTTCTGCACATCGCCATCCTCAAGCGGACGGGATATCCACACAAGCGCAGCATACTGTTTCTGCATTGATGTGTTACCCCACACACATGATCAAAGTCCAAGAGAGAAGTGGGCTTCATATTAGATAGAGATCAATAATTACAAAATGAAGAAACTTACCTGCTTCTCAGCTTCTCCTTCACGCATGAGGTCCCAACCTTGATTGTCTAAAACCTTAAGTTTTTTAACCTTAACCTGCTCAAACAAAAATACCGAGTTTATTCGATCATAAATTAAATCCCTAAGATAAGACGCAGAAAAAACTTACACAATGCGATTGTACTCACTAGTTTGCTTTCGAGACTATTTATTGTGTTTTCCATATTCTTTATTAAACTTTCAGATGGGAGTATCCGAGCATTTTGTATCTCAACCAGAAAGGGTCGCCCTGTGCCCAGCATCCGGACCTGTAAAGTAAACAAAAAGAGAGTAAAAGAAATGCCACAATTGTGAAATGTCTGTAGTTATGTGAATTAGAGGTTTCCATACATCAATATCTTCTCTTCCGGCAGCATGAAACTTGTAGTTGTCGCCTTGGCACAGGGGAAAGATAGTGCCCCCAACTATTTCCTGTAAGGATATTGCATGATGATTTTCTAACGATGATTGTAATCATTTTACACAGAAAAGATGACAAGCACAAAGTAAGGAAATCTCTTCACCTCAACAGATGCCTCACCCTTTCGCTCATCATCAATTATCCAGCGAGTTTGACTTACATTTCTACTGTACTGCATTAGAAAGAGTAACATCATGGATCATTCAAAATATAATCATCTCAAAGAGAGACAGAGGAGAGTCAGTCGGCTTCCTAACTGGAATGATTTAAAAACACTGAATGTCAAAAATCTCGTAATTAAGGGTTAATACAATCAAGAAATAGACAAGCAGTTCAACTCAAAAAGTTACAGCACCTTGAGATACCTCCCGCCAATGTATATAGAAGTTCTATAGCACTGAAAAGTCAAAGAGCAGCACTGATTGACCTAAACATCCAACAAAAGTTTTAGGATGATGCGAAGTAATCAAGTATTGATAAGCAAGTTTCAAAGGAAACATGGATATAGCTAGCTATAAAGATCGATAGTAGAATATGTAAATGGGGATTACATCATGAGGAGCACAATATAACGAAAATGCAATATGTTGCATTATACCTTATCTCGAGTTAACTTGGGGAAACCAATATCACATTTCTGAATAACCGAAGAATTTTTGGTGGGATCATGATTTTCGCCTGTACAACAGCCACCATTTTTCTTTGACTCATCATTTCCATCTGTTCCATTAACCACTTAACAAAGAAACAAAATGTTCGTGTGAGAAAAGTAGCATTTGTTGCTTGTGTTAGTTTCTCTAACATGCAGAGTTCACTGCCAAGAGAAACAAAACTTAAGGATACACTTAGAATACAAAGATGTAGCACAAAATGAATGCCCTCCCAGTTTACATGGTTAAGTACTGATTCCACGTCCTCAAGCATAAGTAAATTTCACTTTCCAAGAAAAACTTGTCAAACATAAGGATGGAAGCAATCAGCATAGAGACAATTTCATATAAAATTTTCATAAATCATGTCAAGCATTTCACATCTTGCAAAGTAATCAAGGTTAAAGGCAGACTAGGGTCACATGGCAAGGGAAGGTAGTTTCTCTTAGTTAGAAAACCGCAAGTTGGCAGTTTTAGACTAGTACTATAAGTTGAAGAACTAAGAAAGCCAATTGCCAAGTCTTCTTATCTTCGTGAAATACCTATGGTTTATTTCACAAATCAAACTGGCTAGAAGTTATATAAATTCAGTTAGTTCTTTCAACATGCAGTTTGGAATTTTCAAAACTATAGCATGAACAGATTGAAGTTTTTATCCATTACAATTGTCACAATAAAATAATGTGTACAAAATAATGGGGGTGTGTAGGGGTAACATTAGAAAATGAAATACCTGTTTTTCTCCTCTTATTGAACCCATTATTCGCCTTTACATGATGATTCTTTGCTGATGAATCAGAATTGCTATATGTCAAGCGAACTCGGAAAGAAGAACCCACATCGGACCTTACACCCTATAAAACATTAATTGCGAAAATGTGCATAAACATGAACTTGACCTGTTGCATCCTCAAACATAAAAACGAAATAGCTCCAAGACATTACCAGCAAGGTTTCCAAAAGAGGCGTCACCAACATTTTCAAGAATTCTTTGACATATATGCTTTCGGATGGATGCTTTTCCACGAAATAAGATTCAGAACTATACTTCTGTTTTATATACAACCTAAATGAAAGACAATTAAACAACTGAAATTACCACGTAAGAATGAAAGTGTATAGAAAAACCCGTAGCATGACTTAAGGTTATAGGTATAAACATTATATTATTATATACACATATCTGCATAAGTAAATTAACTGCAGAACTTTCCAGGCATACACCTACTCTTAATCAATCAAATTTATCAATACATGGCTTACTGACTAACCAGATTTCTTCTTCATATTCAACGACACTTTGAGGTAGCGATACTTCAAGAGAAAAGCTGTCAAATTGATGGCCCTCTTGCTTCACAATAAGCTCAATTGCAGCAGTAAAATTATTGGGGCAATCCTTGCACACCAAGTTTCCTTTTTCATCGTTATACATAAACTGCAGAATGCCTAGACACAAACTACATACTTTAATCTCCTCTTTGGAATTTTGTTCGGACCCCAAGTCCGCAAGGTCTTTCGAATCACTAAAAATATTATTAACTTCATCTCCTTCGGAGTTTACTAAGTCATAAAGAATGGAGCTCAGAACTGATGCTTCCATGGATGAAACAGAACAGATTTGCTCATGTTGTGAAAATAGTCTGAGCACGCATCTTGCACATACCTGATCAGTTATGGAAATTGATTTTCAAACAACAGTGAACTTCAACATTTACCATGATAATGCAATATGATTAAAAAAAAAAAAAAAAGTACTCTGAACTTTAAATTTTTAAAATTTAAATCAAAGATCCCAACCCTAGACATAAACATCTGAAGAAGAAAGGCACTCCTTTTTCCAAAACACAGTTGTAAATACAAATTCAATGACCAAGATTCCTTAAATCAATGACAATCTCCACGCTCCATAGACAGAACAAAAGCTACACATCAAGCAAATATTTTGTTTTTCTTTAAAGAAACATAGAGCTACAAATACTTAACAAGCAGAAAAGATTGATCTTGAGATAAAAACTTACGCCGTGTGAAAGCAAGTCTTCGACAGGACGACGCGGCAGCGTAGAGACGGATTCCCGAAGAACTTCCAAGGTATCTTTGGCTCCGGCGGTGGAAACAGCCAGTTGCGCCTCCTCATTGTGTACGCAAACCGACGGACTGCCGCTGGCCATGGCACAACTTCTCTCTATCACAGCAAGCGCAGCGCAGCAGCACTCGTTCGGAGGGAAAAGGAGAAGGCGTGCGTGCTCGCTAAAGTCGATTTGCAATTTGTTAACTTTGCCCATTCGGTCCCGAACCATCGGTTCGAACCGGCGGTTACATCTCGACCGCAAACCGTGAACCGCCGGTTCGGCCATTTATTTATTTGTTTGTTTTTTTAAATCTGCGTAGGCGCATAGGTGTAGAAGAAGAACGACCGAGGATGGAGAAGAACAGAAGAAAACCTGTGCGCTGCGGCGGCTGTGGATGTCTTTAGGGCAAAATTATTTTATAATAATATTAATATATAAAAATTAAATTTTTTATATATTAATAAAGATAATAAGATTATAATATTATTTTTTGTTTATATTTTAAAATTTATACTATTTTTTATTATAAAATCATATTTAATTTAAATTATTTTATTATCTAATATATTAATATTTTTATAATTTATTTTTACAGTACCAAAATTTTGATATTTTCAATATTGTGTCAATACAATACATTTTCAAGGCAGTATCTTTTCCCATTCTTAATAGAGCCTAAAAAACAAACAAAAGTGAAAATCCTTTGCAACATCTAACAATCTATTATGGACCAAAACTGAGAAAATCCTTGGACACATTCAAGAAGGATAAATTATAACAGTGTTAAATCTACCTCAAGACAGCCATTGAATTACATCAAGAATTTTGTCACAATCCAACGGGCTTCATAATTCACACACACAAAAATAAGGTTAACAGAAATCGAACTAGGCAGGGCCGACGAGGACCCCCTGAGCATTCCCTTCCTTCTTACCGCTCTCGTCTTTCATTTCGCTGTCGCCCTTTCTAATTCTGATTTTGTATTTGGCCTCGAATTCAGCTACCTCCTTCTTCTTCTTCTCCAAGGCTTCAGTGAGCCGAGCGATTACCTCGTCAAGCCCCTCCTTATTTCGTTGGACAGCTGGTAGAACTTCTTTAATGGTTCGCTCGACAAGAACGCCTCCAATCATACGGTAGCATTTCCTTGACGGATCAAGGGGTTGTATGGCATTGATGACAAGAGAATGCTCACTAACCTCCATTTCGAGTTCGGTTATCTTGGAATAAATTTGATTGATGTCAGTCCTCATGGATGCATAAATGTTGGCAACAGCTTGTTCGTTCATTGGCTCCTTATTATTTCCTTCGGATGTGGCCATAACGTCAGTCTGACATAACAATGCATATTCAGAATTAGAATCAAATTCAAAATCAAAATATGAGATGGACGTTGTATAATAACGAAAAATACTTCAAAATACAGATGACGTTAATCCTGAGTTTGGCCATAAATTCGGTGTCTCTATTGATAGCCTAATCAATGAGATCGGAAAAAATAAACAGTACCAACCAAAGTCACTGAATCCTGATGCACATGTTAAGAATTTCATGAAAATGTAAATCTAACTTTCTTCAAACCTAAAATTTAGGACAACACCAAATAAAGCTCTGAGGGTTTTAGTCTTAAACTGTAGTAGAATATAGGCTACAAAAATATGTGAGGCAATTACCAGCACCTAAAATAGCAACCAGTTAGCAATCACTATGGGAATTCAATGAAACTATTGAGCATGCCAAACATTTGAATTACAAAATAAGTGAACAAAGATAAACTTCCAAGATCGCTTGTGCAGTTGCTGATGTATGGAACCTGATTAGATAAAGCTCAGCATGCTGCACAGTCGTCTATAGGCCATCTTAAATAATTGGAATTCGGCTTCACCAAAGCATACTTGTGATTTAAACTATAATTGCACTGTCCCTAGACATACAGCATGTCGTTTACCTACGACACTTTTTTCCCTCTTGAATTGGTTTTAAAAGAAACTGTTAGCAGCAGTCTTGCTCCTCAATCTCACCTCTCCATCTTTTTTTTTTTCCTTTTTACCCTATTTGGTATTTGCATTTTCTTAAGTTAAAAACTCTTTGCATATTTTATGAAGAAAATTCTCTTATAGTTTATTGAAAACTCCAAAGAAAGTAAGACTATCCCACTTAGTATCTTACTTGTTGTTATAGCCAGTAATGGATGTGTGAAGTCGCCAAACTTAGAAAACGATTCTCAAAGCATTTCAAGGATCCAAGTCGTTTACTAAGTAGGAGGGCCAAAGTTTCACATTAAGCAGTAATGAAGCTAACTACTTAATCATCACTGCATTAAACCAAAAGTACAAATGCATTTTAAATGGGCTAGAGATTTACTTTCCTCTTTATAGAAGTCAGAAATACTAATCAAACCATGGCTGCGTTCACAAAGCATTTGATTCCAGATCTTTTAAACTGATTTTCTAAAAGAAATTCTTGTTTCAACCATAACTGATAAGCAAGAATAAAACCTAGAAATCTAAGAATTCTCAACATAACAACGAACGAGATCCTCAAAATAGTTATATAATTCACTCCATTATCGCAAATAAACCAAATTTCAACAATCAATAAGGGCATCCCACAACTAAGCATACCAATAACGCTACAGAAAAATAAAACCTTCAATGCATCCAGAAAATAGACTACAAAATGAACAGTTAATAAACAAAAAATATATAAGTAGGAAATAAGAAATATTAAGAGATCCAGCCTCTGCGCATGAAATCATTGGATTACATTCCCAATCACTTTGGATCACCAAAACAATTAAACCCAAGTCTATGGATTGAAACAAAACAACCGCAAAACTAAAAAAAGGAATAGAGCACCGAAAACCGAAAACAAAACTCGATCATCTAGAAAGGGAAGCCATTGAAATAAATCTAACCTTCGGTAGTGTAAGAAGAAACTCGAGAGAATTGAAGTGGCAAAACAAGTCGGCCTGCGAAACCCTGGGAATGAAGAAAAGGGGAGACGCCAATAAGAAAATTCTGTGCTATATAACGCGATTTATAAAAACGTTGGGATATTGTTAATCAAAAGCGCGCTTTCAATGTGGAAAAGCCTGTGAAGCGCCGACAATTGATTCCTTGATGGCCATCCCACCCAACCCAGTAGTAATTCAATTAATTATTTAAATTTACATTAATATAATTTAATATAATTTGAGATACTAATTAAGGGTGTGTTTCTTTAGAGTCAATTTGAAAATTTTTTATTTGAATTTAGGGTATATTCAATATAAATTTTGTAAAATTTTGTTGAATTTTTAAAATTTGGGTGTATTCGATCCATACTTTTAAAATCCAGAGATATTCAATCCAATTTTTTGTATTCAATATAAATTTTAAAAATCTTCAAATATTCAACAATCTACCGACTTTGAACAGTGTAAGCAAATCCACCCGGAACTGCAGGTGACTTTTAAAACACTAAACAAGAAAGTACGTTTTTTAGTCTAGTTTGCTGCTTTGAATATATTCTTTTTTAAATAGTAAAATTTAAACCAGTTACCAGCATGAATCCTTTGATATACAATTCGGGGGTTTGGTCTGATTTTATACATATATATATGCAACAATGTGCTCGACTCACAGTTCATTTTGAAATAATAAAATTTTGAATTCTAATAAACCGTCGAAGACTTACCGGTGGAGTAACGGTAGGATTAAGGAGACCACAACCTAGGGGAGCTGGAAACAGTGACATATTGAGCTAATGTAATAACAGATTCGCTCCGAGTGTTCGATGAATCGATTGTAATACAACAGATCAGATTAATGATCTGATTCCGGTGTTAGAATTTCATGTGCACGATATATGTTAGGACAAGGCCACTTACCAAGACAATGCCTCAGAGAGATGAGCTGAAACGATGAAGAGTTATGGCGCCGGAAAGTACAGCCCTCGCCCGTTCCTTGACCTTCACCTGATAGATCACTCTGCAAAAACTTTTCGAACATGAGCTGTAATTGAATAACAACATATGATGTCTGGAAGTGTTTTTATGCGATGCAGACCTTGGACCTTCGACCCACATTTCGGTCACTAAGGTTTCACCTGGATATACATGTAATAGAAACCTCCCGGATATGTTCTTGATCAGATTTTGGTCTCCTCGACAAATGGTTTTGATGATGGCTCGGACAGCAAAGCCAAGCGTGCAGAGTCCATGCAATATCGGGAGAGAAAACCTATACAACGAGGAAGAAAGTTGAAAAGTAGATCCAGTTCCTAAGATCATCACAGTAGATTAAGAATCTATATGTGACCCCATATGTTATTACAGGGACCGAATGCTTGAGAATAATGCTTTAAGGGCAAAATATGTGAGAAATGAACCTACCCGGCAATTTTTGCAACAGTCGGATCTGAGTGCAATGGATTGTAATCGCCAGAAAGCCTGTAAAGTAGCGCCTACATCATAGTAGTGCAAAATGTTACATGGATAAATTAACACATAGTTTGAAGTGCAAAAGGGTTTATATGTTCATTACATATTTTACAAAGTCCATCTCCTACCATACGGATGATATTGAGTCGAAAACAACGAAGGAAGTGCTTGCCATATGATAGATAGTTGGTGCTATTATTCAAAACTGTTAAGCACAAGCCCAAGTATGGAATTATTGTCAATGAATTACGGGAATCGGAGAGGAGTTTCTAACAAGGCAAAACAAACTCTGTCGGTATATTTCTCAAATCATCTCCGCTTGTAGTCTTGAGAATTTTTTCGGGTTCCAATAATTATAACTAAATGTATGAAATAATTTCACATACCTGTGATGGATGTGTAGATTCTTCACATATGGCAAATGGTTGAGTTTTGGGGATTTTGTGAACCAAAATTGGATTAGATGGATACTTTGAGTGAGAATAAAGCTGAGATGAGTTTGAGAAACCACCAGCACCCCTCAAATAAATGGCTAATCTGTGAAGCAACACAAATATTTATCACCATAAACTAAACAAAAAGAAATGCAAATCTAGAAAGAGAAGTAATCGCCGAACATATATATGTCTTACCGGTTCATACACATCAAAACACCCGACTCTTTTTCATAACTTAAAACTTCAATATCAAGAATTGCTGCCTTACCTGAGAGTAATATATTATATATATATGTGTATATATGTAAATACACACACACATACCTTTGTTTAGGAAACATTAATTCATGCCCTCAAGAATTCATAATCAACAAAAGAACACTTCAAAATCCAAATTTTATTGATTAAACATACAGGATAATAATTCACTATTTTCACCCTCGAAATTACAGAAAGGTTGGGTTTCGAAAGAAGAATTAACACAAAATTTGCTTGGTTCTCAAATTCACAACTACTACAAAGGTACTATTGAGAACACTTTGAAAATCAGTCAATATATTTTACTAATCCCCATTAAGAAACTTGGATATTATCAATGTATCTATTAGAAGCTAACCTTTATCATGCAATCCAACGACAGCTGCCTTGTTCAGTAGCTGCGTTAACAAAATTGGCACAGAAGCTAACCGAATCAATGAGGTAGATACATTGTAATAAATGGATAAATGGAAAATGATCTCAACCCAAATGCTGAAAAACTCACACAACCGTTAGAAGGAAGGGGTTTGTAGATTTCGACATAATGTTGTCCATGCAATAGAAGGCGGGGATCAAATCTGGACAAAATAAGGTAGCAGAAAGTGCTCAGACAACAATTGTGTGCCAGCGAACCAAGATCCCTTTACTACATTACATAGATCCAAATATTTTAAATTGTAAATACAAACACAAAAACAGGTACTTACTCCAAACCTGGAATCTCCAACAACTGTGATTGCAGGTCCGAAAATAAAACAGAAAATGTAGGCAAGACCTGCATCGTAGATACTACTAAATTAACATCCTTCCTAGCATGATGCAAATATTATTACATATTTTCCCCAAAATCTAATCAAATTATGCAGATGAATACAGAGATGATGAACAAAATAACAAAGAACACAACAGTCTTAACAGCAGAGCCCAATCATCCAAATACATCCTCAGATCACACACTACTGGTATTTCAAAAATTCATAATGAAAATAAGTCGGTGAATCATGCAATTGCAAATTCAAAAATAACTTTTAACCTTGATTTCTAGTGCACAATTTCTTTCAAGTAACCGAAGTGGAACATAAAACATCGCATTGGAACTTACAAGAACAAAATTGAAGTTACAGCACAAAAATCGATGGTTTGGCTACCTGAATTGCTTGCTGTCCGTCCTGATGGTAAACATACTTCAGCTCCTTATCATCCACAGCATCTCTCGAACACGCACCAACTCCAAGTGCATACAGTGCTACATCCCTGCAATCAAGCGATGCAATTGTCACTGACCACTTCTGCGCTCAACTACATCAATAAATCATCTAAAAAGAAAAACAGATTATTTCGAACCTAAATTGAACTTCCCTAACCTTTCAGTGTAAGTATACGTCGTCTGCACGCTTGTAATTCACCCGAAGAAAATGAACCCCCAAAATAAAATAAAAAAAAAAAAAAAAAATGTTACCTCAGGAACATCAATCGGAAACCCAAACCCAATCGTAAAAATTCACCCAAGGTGCGGAGCCAGAAACGTTACCTCGGGAAATTTGTGAGAGACGACGAGGTGAGGAGCAATATTTGGCTTTCCAGCCATGTAGGACTCTGCGACGAATGTTAAAAAGGAAGAAATGGAAATAAATTGGGCGTAAATGTAAATCGTAATGTCAAAATGGGTTGTAAATTGACTGTGTCTTATAATGACCGTCCCATTGGCCATTGGGATTAGTCCACATAATAAATATAATTATTATTTTTAATAAATTTATTTATATTTAATATATTTAATAAATATAAATTAATTTAATTAAAATTTTAATTTGCGCCTATCTAAAATTCTTTTAATTGATATCTTTCATCTTAATAAATAAATAATTTTATTTATTTGTATGATATTTCATATATTTTATTAAAATATAATTTTTAATTATTTATATTAACTATTTGTTTTAAAATATTTATAAAAATTCTATAATACAAGATATATTTTTTTTTTTAATACTCCATTCGTTCCATATTCATATATCAATTTGTTTTTTCACGAAATTTTAGAAATATTAATATTATATTAGAATAAAATAGAAATAAAGATAAAAATACTAAATTAATCATATATGATACAAAAGTAATATATTATAAATTAGAAAGATATTTGTAATATTAGGTAGCCATTATTAAAAAAAAAATAGATATTTTGTTACGAGATAAACCAAAATAAAAAAATAAATAGATTGTTAAGTTACGGAAAGAGTATTAATTATAACATATTATAGGCTAATATAATTCATTTTGACTGCTATAATGTTAACCATGATGTAGGCAATTGACACAGCCGTGTCTTTGAACAACACGGCTGTGTCTACGACAATGCAGCAGTTACTATGAAGTACTTGAGCGGTGGAATATATGTTATCGATTGTTTAAATTTATATTTAATTTGTTTGTGTTATCATAAAAAATATTTTTATGTTTTAAAAATTATGTCAATTTTTTATTTTTAACTATAAAAAATAATAATTATTACCTATTTTCCATTTAAGCTATTTTTTAAATTTTTAAATGTGTTAAAAATAAAATAATTTTATGGCCCATGCAATTTTAGACGACAACAGCTCACTAATTCAATATCCAAAACAACAATGAAAATTTAATCCAACTCACTTTACTGAATTTTACCACTATAATCAGGGTAAAAACATTACATAGTTACAGTAACATAATTTACCCATAATTCAATAAAATAAAATAAAATAAAATAAAAGAATCCACCCAATGAAATAAAATTCAATTGATATGTATATATGATATGCTAGTATTTATTATGGGGGCATAAATTGAAGATTAGACAACAACAATGAAACCCAGTTACAAACCGAAAGAATGAGAGACCTCGAGTTAAGGTCAAATTAACCAAACCAACACTGTCTAAACCATGGTTAAAGATAAAAAACTCGCAAATTTTTTCTTACAGGCAGCCATGGCCACAACCTTAAAGTGGCCGTGTGTGTCTTCCCGTCGCCCGGCCACACAGCAGTGCATTCTTCGGGATCGGATACTCGTCTCTCAACGACGTCGACGTCGTGTAAACTCTGAGGTACATTTGCTGCCCGAGGTACTGCCTCGACCAGAACTCCGATCGCAAATTCCACATGCCTACGTTGTCGAGCGAAACGTAGATCGCCGTCCAAGATTTCGGGTACACCTGCATGAATTCAACAACACGGTCGTGCTTGTTATAATCTCGTGTAGTACATGCCTAAGTCGCGATTTGTCGTAACAATTTTTGATCGATCGGTTACCTGAACTGTGTATCGACTGACGGCGTCGCGTAGATTGTATTGAGCCCGGCTTTTGACGCTATTCCATGCCCCTCCGTCCATTCTACATTATTATGTTAAAGGTTAGATATGTCGTAAATTCGAGCTCGTGAGAGTTAACAAATGACGAACTTACCCTACGACCCAAAAGGCGTAGCCATTGAGGTGATAGCTTTGGATGATGTCTTCCGGGTTTTCGAATACGATTTCTACGAATGCCCTGTAGTCGGCGTGCATGACCGATGTGTCAAGACGGATTCCCCGGCCGTTGGGAGTGTAAGGAATGCTACCCACGCGGAAAACTCCGCCGATGCTGAAATAGTCGGCGACTTTCAAAGGCGTGTCGGGATGAACGTAGGATACGCCATTGAGGGCGTACCGTTGCTTGCCATTGACTTGGCCTGCGGAGCTTGACAGCCGGATGGTCAACGAGGTATTTATCATGCCGTAGTGGTACGATCCTTGTGGATTCGGCCTCGGACCACTTGCGGTGAGATGCGTCCTAAAGACACAAACACAATATCGATTAGCTATATTTGAAAATAACAACTAGTGAGATGATCATTCGTGTTAGGCGTTGTACCTAATGGAACGAGCTTGATTGAGGGACCAAACAACTTCGGTCGGACCCCCGGGGAGGGGGCCAGATGGGGGGCTATTGGAGTTTCCATAGCGAAGGAAACCGATGCCGGTGAGGGTCTGTGATGGCACCGTGAAGCGGGTGGTGGCGACAATGTAGTACGTCCGAGGCGGCTTATTTGCTGTGACGAGGACTGACATGCACTGTCCGACATGGATGTCGAGCGAGGAATAGCTCACCTGCACTGTGTGTGTCCCTTCCACCTCCACCAACAGCATATCATGGCCGTCGATGCGAACATTGAGCGAGTTCTGCAGCCCGACGTTGCAGAACCTGAATCGATACGTCTTCCCCTGTTGGACGGTGAATGATGTGACGTTCGGGCCCTGGCCGTGCATGAGAATGCCTTGAGGGGGAGGGAGCTTCTTGCCCCCGTCAAGAATGGCTCTGAGGGCCTGCGGATATGAGAACGATACATCAGAATCATTACAACCATGCATCGATAGGGACGGGAAATTTATTTTAGCTATATATCAAATGTATTATTATAAAGACATGATTTTGGAGTATCAAAACCAGCTTTGAATATAAATGATTAAATTGAGAAGGGACTTACAGTGTGGTTGGACTTGTACCAATCACCGATGAGGAGGGAGTAGTCGTCGGCCGGGGGATCAAAAGGAACCGGGATTTGGGGCCGGCTGAGGATTTTTATGGAACCATAGCCGCCAGCGGCTTTGTGGAAGGCGAGGGAAGGGAAGTAGAAGTAGCTACCAATTTGGTCCTTCATCTGCAGAATGTACGTGAAGTTTTTGCCGGGAGGGATCGGGCATGTCGTCCCTGCCACGCCATCCTCGTACGAATTCCTCCTGTTTTGGACACCATTCCTGCATGCCAGCCAAGTTTGAGTTGTTTTAGCAAGTATGATCATAGATTCTGAATTGTCTGAATCAACATTTCCAAGAAATCGAATAAATTACCAGTGGATGAGGAAAGGCTCATTCAGGCTGTTGAAAACATTGATGATGATATTGTCATTGGTGACACAGAATATCTCAGGCCCTGGGAATTGTCCATTTATCAAAATTCCCTGAGGAGCAGAAACAGAACAAGAATTATATATACATGAAGCTACAGTAATTACTAATTACTAATTACCACACACAAACACACATACCTGTTGGGGGACGCCAAGAGGAGAAATGGTGCCATAGGTGACATTCCACTCGAAGAATCTATAAGGGTTTTCTGCAGCACTAATGGAGAAAACCACAAACAGAACTACTGCTGCAAGTTTCAGTTCTGTCATTTTTCAACACCAAATCTGTTAAAAGCCCTTTCCCCCTCTGCTTTTTCCTCTGAGGAAAGAAAGTAAGGGATGGAAACGGCGATGCTGATAACAATAGTAAGAGGGTTATATATATACATATATATATATCTAGAGAGAGAGAGAATAAGAAAATAAAGTCAAACATTGTCCAGCATCAAAGGCGTGTATTTGAGAATGTGAAAATTTGATGGGTTATAGAAAAGATAGGCAACAAAAACACGTCAAGAAAAGAAAAACAATAAAAAGCTAAGAGACAGTGAGTGACAGAACATAGCAGCATCATAATTCTTGACTCGATATACATCCCACTTCAAAAGTTCCTAAATATTTTCAGAATGAATATACCACAATTTCAAAATACATAAAAACAAAAAGAATAAAAAAACACATAATAGTAAAGGGTGTCGGTGGACAGATCCAACTCCAAGATTAGGAATAACGCAACAGATTCCCACATGCCCTGTTTCCATTACTATTATCATCATCATCATCATAACTAATATTATAAAGCAAGAAAAAATGCATGCATACATGTGCCGTATGGCTTATGCTGCGGCCAACCGCGTAAGAAAAAGATATACTATTTTTTAGTACAGCAGCAAAATAATTAATAAAGCTATTTGAATTCTTACAATTTGCATACAACGTAAATTAATTAATACCTGGTGTTCAATTGCAACAAGGGAATTATGCAATTCGACTCACGTGCTCCAGCGGCATAACTGCACGTGATTCAAGGCCCTGTATGGTTTGTAGGTTTCTTCTGGCACTAATTTGAGGCTGCTTCTGGGAGGGTTCCTGGTCAACGCGTTTCAAGAACTGGATACACAATTAATGAGCTAAAATAGTCAACTGGGATAACTGGGAACTAAGTAATCGAGCCGTATTCATCATCATGATCATATCAAATGCCAGCAAATTTACAGATCCAAGAAACAACTCATTCCCAGTACACCAACTTGGCACTACATATTTCCATTATTCAAATTAAATATCATAAAATTGAAAACTTGAAAAACTGAGATGAACACATATGTGGACATGAAAAATTGAAACTTTAAAAATGTCAAGAATTAGGGAAAGGATAGGTGTGTTTCTTGAAGATTCATTTTTGTTATAAAGTGTTATCATGTCATGTGCCGTGATTGCTGCTATATGACCACATTCAGCATTGTTTTTCTCTAAGCAATTATTGGAATTAATTAGTCCTTAAAAGCAGAAAAATCAAGTGATTTAATTCAGTTTGAATGAATTGTAGGACCCAAAAAGAATGAAAAAAATAAAGGCATTCACATTTATGCAATCAAATCAACAAACTAACTCACAGCTGCCAAAGGTTAAGCATCACTTACAAACTGATAGGTTGCATTCAAATTTATAGCTAAGAAGCAGCATCTTCCTAATTAAAACCACTATAGTCTATCACTATCATAATATAAGTTGTTTAAAAAGATCAATATATATGTTTATCTGATATTAAATGCTTTTGAAAATTTTAAGACAAAATATGATTTCATTTGGTTTTAGTATTAAGACTTCTCAGCAGTATTCTATCTAATAGCAGTGTTTTCATATTTACAGATCATTCTATAATATGTGCAAAAATTCTTGAAGTAAATGATATTGTGAGACAGGGAATTATATATACAACATAAATTTGAACATTTTTAGTACCACATATATGGAACAATGTCAAGCTTTTCAGTCGAAAATAAGAAATCCCCTATATTCTAGACAAATAATTCAATACAGCTTTTGCATATATAAATCGATCCTAATCCATTCCAATCCACCAGTCCGATACTCCTGAAGTAAACACTGAGTCGGACATACAAGTAACATGTTTTCCTAATGCAGTCTATCAGGCAAGGATAAAAACAGGTCACATTAGTTCTTATAAGCACTATCCATACATGCCCGACAAATTTGATAACAAAATAGATCCCACAAACGGGTAAATGTCTGAAACTGATGGATAATCCGGCATCAAAATATGAGTAGAAGTTAGAACTGTAGATTCCTTACCTTATAGCCAAATGTAAATTGATTACAACCATGACTATTGAGCATCAAGGAGAGTGGTCGCATCAGATAACAGCAATATGCAACAAAACATCAGACAACAACATTTCTAGGTATGAATCATGATTCAAAAGAACTTCAGTGTAATAGTGACTCCAGTTCAATAGAACCAACATGTGTGTGTGTGCGCGTATAACTATATATAAATCAGTAAAACAACCCCTGAGAAGTAAGAATAAATCATGGCAGGACCATCAATGCTCATAAGTGTCTGCAACAGAGATGATACGGCTCAAGTCATAGTGTCATACATAAAGACTAGTTACCACTACTTATAGATGAGTTCTTCAAAGCTGAGGAGATTGAAAAACCAACTAACCTTGCACAAAAGATTAAGTTAATAGGAAGATGAATCATTTTACATCTATTCATACTTAATTCCTCGACATCGACAATCAAATGAAACTAAATGCTATAGCAAGTATATGACATACAAAAATTCCATAAAAGTATAACGGAAATCTAAAGCCAGAATGAATGCCTTCAAATATTAGTTAGCCTAACAAAAACAGCCAATTTAATCAATTTGACATGAATGTTGGACTCAAATTCAAACTACAAACAACCATGGCTCCAAATGCTTAACCGAAATCATAACAAGCACTTGCAATCATCCCATAACATCTCAGGTTAGCATCACATTTCACATTAGGATAAGATCCATCTTCTACAATTCAGTCTAACCCCATAATTCTTTTTTGAGCACAAAACCGAGCATCGGACTTTATAAATATGATAATATCAGAAAACAAACAAATATTTTCATCCATTTCCTCACTCAATTACTATCATCTCCAAAGAGAAGACGAAGCCTAGTGGCGAAAGCACCAGTCGGCTCGAGAGCAGCTTCAGCTTGGAGACCTTGCTTGATGTGATCCATGCGTGCCATAAGTCGTTCCTGCTCCTCCTTCAACGCTACGTTGTCCTCCGTCAGGCCGTGAATGCGGTACTTCTGACCGAGCGATCGGCAACTCAGCAGTAGAATTCCGGTCATAGCGAAGAATTGTATGAAGCTTTGTTTATGTTTCCTGGCATTCTGGAAGAGACCAAGAAATTTCCGGTCGCCGTTAGGGTTTCGGACGCTGGTAGCTGCTGACGGCGGGGACTCCATACTTGCCGGCGCCAGATTCTGATCTCGATCGATATTGAAAAACTAAGAGAACGTGGGCCCAAGCCCATCAATTTGAATTCTATCAAATTGATGGGCCGGGTTGTTTATAAATTGTACCAACTCATATTTTTAATGTGAAAATCCGATTTGTCATTTAAATATAAAATATTTCCTTCTCCAATACCGCTGCAGAATTTAATATTAAACGTTTTATTAGAATGCATACTCATATAATTTTGGTATATTTTTGTCAGTCATATATATATTTGAAATATTTATAAATTAATAAATATTATTTTTTGTCGCTTGGAGGAAATATATATTTTTGATTTATAATAATAAAAGAATTTATATATATTTTAATTTATACCCTTTAATATTATATTTATTTTATAAAAATGACAAACTATTTACATTCAATTTATAAAATAAAAAATAAAATCATTTTGTTAATTTATTCAGATACTGTTCAAAATATTATTTCCAAAATAATAAGTCCAACTGTAATAGCATTTTTTCTTTGTAAATAGAAAGAGTATTAAACAATATATAAGAGGATGTATGTAGACAAATTTTGAAAACTCACTCTTACATGACACTATTTTTTTCCATAGGCATTCAATATTTATTTCATTAAAAAAATAAATAAATAAATAAATAAAAACACTCCAAAACAAATGTTTGCTTGATTTGTGTTTTAAAGGAAAATATATACACATGCTATTATTTCTAACAAAACAATATATCAAAAAATTATTTAAATAAAAAAAATAACTTAAATTCAAACTCAATGTAAAACATATGCAATTCTATTATTCTTTTCTTAGTCTAATATATATAAACTTTGGCATATGAATCTCCACATTCGATTTGAGTATAATCAAAATGTGATAATGGATATTGATTCCGGATTAGAAAATTAAAATTCACTAGTCACTAACAGATTACAAAATAAACTTTCAATGTAAATATGAATTTTAATCAAAAGAAACTTCATCACACTAAATCAAGAACCACGTTATTAAAAAAAAAGAAAAAAAAGGAATATTATCCACACAAAGAGCTTACTCTAGAAAACAACCTGATAAGATATTATGATACATTGTCCATAAAATAAATAAATGTTCAAAAGCCAATCATGAAGCATAGGACACAGGTAACAAGAATTTATGGAAAGGTGAAGAGCCATGGCAAATTAAGTTGAGCAATGTATAAAGGGCATGGATATACCTAGTTGACACAAATCCGGCAAATTAGTATAATTGGACGAATATAGCTCCAGCCCTCTTGTTTTAATGTACTGTCTTCTTGAAGATATTAATCGCCGCCAGAGAAGTCCTTTTTATGACCCTGTTTCATCCCGGAACCTCCGGGATATATCATTCTGGAGCATTTCCATAAACTCCTGGGAATCACCAAGATTTCGTGTAAGTAAATGTTTTTTGCAACCAATACTTTTGTGGAAGAATCGTGAAAGAATGGTACCTGTGCAAGATGCCCCTGACTGCACAATGCATTCACGATGCTTTCCCTTGAAGGGCCGTCTGTAAAAAGGTCTAACGCACTATCAACCAATGAGTTAAAAATCTCCTGGGATGATGGTCTTTGTTCTTCAAGCATCCGAACTACTTGACGGAGATTGATGCCCTGGATAAAGCATCGATAGAAATCAATATTCTCACCAAATAACAGTAATCAGAAATACAATTAAGTTAAAAGCTGTGGAAGCCGTTGGTTTTATGAATCTGACAGAGAAGTTGAGAAGATTAATACTGATGCAAAACTCCTTGGAGAGAGTTAATGATGATCCAAAACGAAGGGATTGATTTTTCTCTGACTTTGCAGCCATGGTGATGAGAAAGTGATGCCTAAAAGAAGTCGAAGGTGTTATTGTCAAACCTGTGTGTTATTGTCAATCGGCACAGTCCCTCGAGAGAGAATCTGTTCTGAGAGAGGTGCTGATTGAGAAACAGGTGAGACACCACCTAAAGCTTGAGAGACAATTGGCATCATTTGTTGCATCATTCTTCCCAGATCAATCCCACCTCCAGGCCCCCTACCCATGCCTGAAAACATACTTCCAAGATCATGGCTGTCAACCTGCTGAGCAATCTGATTCACTGTATTCCTCATTGCAGGATTTTGGGTGAATTGCTGCAACATGTTTCTTAACATGTCTGGGGAACCAATCCCAGTTTGTTGTGAAACGCCAGATAATAGACCATCAAGAGCAGGACTATCCAGAATCTGAGACATTGCATTTGCCACATCACCTTGGTCAGTAGTGTTTTGCCTTGTGGGCACGCTCAGTCCAGCTCCGCGGTTTAGATCTCCTGAATGTACTGAGGGCTGCAAATTTGTATTCCCTGTGTTTGAAAGGGATGAAAGGGATCGCAAAACTTCTTGCCCAATTGCTCTTGATTGTTGAATTTCGCTAGTAGTACTTGCACTATGTCCACCCTTGGCTTGTGCTTTTGGCTGCTTCCGCTTCTGCTACATTGATAAAAATGCACATTTAGAAACTGTATAGTGTTATAGATGGTCTCATCAAATCAAAATCACTGTCAGAGCAAGAATAAAAATTCAAAAATCAAAGCATAACTAAGTGGTGGGATGTGTTAACACAATGCAAAATCTGAAAATCTTTACCAGTCAATATTGAAAAGGGGAGACCAAGATTTCCTACTCAAATTCCTCAGATATTTTGACCAAAATGCAAACGAAACCAGAGTGTGTTGGAAATATGGAACCAGAAGATGATCCATTAAAGAATTTCCCAAGTAGAAGGGAGCAAACATAGAAGAAAAAACTCAAATGGAGAATGAGGATAAAAATAGCATGCAGGCTGAAATGAATTGAGCTAAATAATAGTAAATAAACACACTAAATTGTAAAAAATGCTAAAATTGTGTTAATCATTAGAAACCAAAAACATAGATGTGTTTGTTTGTGGGTTTCAAACCCAAGTTCCATTATTTACTAACTTTTTTACCTCCACACACATCAAATCATAACACCTATTTTTCATTCTTTTATATTACACTCAAAATCAATTTTACATTTAAAAAACATCACATCAACATTTATTTATATTATATCAAACAATTATTCTAATTCAAAGTTTTACTATTCCCAACCCCAAACTCAACTTCCAAACCTACATACAAGCAAACCCAGATTTTCAGGTACTTAATTCTAGTGTAGAATTTAGTGAATATGCATCAACCTTTGGGAGAGAGGGGTGTCACACACTTTGAGGCAGAACAAGTATGTCTAACTCCTACCTTAGGCTGAAGGCCTCCCAACCCCAATCCAAGGGGGGCAGCTGAAGAAGAATCCTTATTATCATCACTCATATTAGATGCGCTGGAAATTTTTTGAGCTGCAGAGCTGGAAGATTCACCACTGGAATTCACATCTACAGTCTTCTCAATGTCAGGTTGGTGGGCTCCATTTTGTCCCTGATAATTGACATTCAGTGAGTTCACGTGACATTTGAACTAAAGTGATCAAATAAAATGATTACAATATCACCTTCTGATCATCCGTCAGGGCAACATGAGTCAAGTTACTATTGGCTTCAGCAGCCAGTGCATTTTGTCTGGTCCTATCCTCATCTGTGGCACTATCACCAACATGTTGCTCTTGATTTGTTGAAACCAAAGTTTGGCCTTTAAGAAAAAGAAGCATTTTATATATAAAACTGAGTGTGAATCATAGAAGATTTTCTGCATGTGTACCTGAGACAGTAGGATCTGGATTATGCATGTCTCCAACAAGCCTCCTTAGTTGAGCACCAACATCAGTTAACAATGTACTGCTAGATTCAGTAGGTTGTGAGACGTTACTACCAGGTTGCCTAGCACCAGAGATGGACACCATACCACTTTGTGAAGGAACAGTGTTTGCAGTAATCCCTGATAACCCCATTGCTTGAACAGTGTCACCAGTCTCAGTAACATTAGGGCGTTCTCCTCGCATTCCTTCTGGAATAGGCACTCTGGCACCAGAAACCATCGGTGCAAGTGCTGCCCCTGATTGAGAATTAAATATGAATAAGATAGTGAAAATGATATGCCTATGAACTTGCAAGATAAAGATTGATATCACATACCAGTATGAATATGAATGCTCACATTCCTTGGAATGCTAGAAGCACCAACTGTACCCATATGGACTGGATTCGAAGAAACACCAGATGAAGCACCAAAAAGAGAGCTTGCTTGGTGAGGAAATGGCTGCAAATATCACAAAACATTTTGCATACTCATACACAGGCTAAATATAAGAGTGACCATAAGATCATGTGTTGGAAATGTCGAAATGACTATATCAGTGATTGGTACTGTCACACAAACCTTCAGAGGACAATGTTATCCATGAACTCCAAAGAATAACACAACAGATTTAAGTTCATCTCATCTTAAATAACTACAACCAAAAAGGTCGGGCAACAGAAGGACAAACACTGTCACCAAGGTCAATGACTCAATGAATTTAATTTATCAATCTGTCATGTTTACCAACTTCAGGTAAAAAATTATGCTTTTCTGAGACATCAGAAAAACTAATATTATGAATGCACTGTGATGACTGCAAGAAATTGGATCCAACTAAAGTCAGACCTGCGGAAGTAAAGTAAAACATAACAATGTTGTGGTAAAAACCATCAAAGTATGAATAACAAACCTGAACCATAATAGGATTAGGCCCTGAAGGAGATATATAAACAGCAGGCCCAGCATTCACAAACGATTCAGCCTACACATGCACCAGAGGACTTTTTAGATTGACCTCCCAGTAAATAAGAAAGCTTTTAGTTCATGAAAAGGGCATACCGAAGATTGGCCCATGCGAAGAGTCAAAATTGTCCTTCCCAGCTCTAAAAGAAGAGCACCTAAGTGTTGCATGGCCATGCCTAACTGAACAGACTCTGTATGCACTTGTCCCCTCACAGCAGGATCATTATTCCCACCCTCCTGACTTAGACGACCTGCAGTGTGCTATGAATTTTGCAGCAGGTTATAGATAAAATCAGGAACCAAGAAACGCAACCAGTTTATGAGAAGTAATAACCAGAGGAATAGAAATAGCATAAACCATATGATGTACAATTCATGTGAAAAAAGAAACATGAATCTAGAACTGAAATGATGTTTAAAAAAGTTTTGGATATGCTTGGATAGTGCAGTAAAGAGTAAAAAATGAAAAGCAACAGGTTAATACTTGAATATAATAGTATAATATATATGCAATTGTGACTATGATATATTTGGAATCCATGAATTTAAAGGCTCATACAGAAGAGTACAGCAAAAGGCTGAAGAATTTCATGAGATTTTTACAACTGCATTAGAGCATAGATAGAATCCGCACGGCATACAACAAGAGCACAAATTATTAATGGTGACAGACTTGAGATGATAAAATCATGTTAAAGGAAAAGAACCAACTTGTAATTACATAATTGAAACTCTGAGAAAAAAAAAGAGAGAGAATCTTTAGGAGGATGCTTACAATTAATGCCGGAACAGCATGGTCACTAAGAAGACGCTGAGCATGCTGTAAAACAATACTCAGTGCTTCGACTGTTGGCAAACCAAGTGAATTTGAAGGCAATTCAACAGCTGGTAAATCACCAGTAGTAGTTGTTGGTTGGTTTGGTTGATTTCCTATATTTAAAGATGATGCAATTTTGGTAAGAAATATTTCATAACACAATCAAACTTAACAAGATTTAGGCTATTACCATTTTGGGAAAATGCATGTTCCATTCGGTTCATAAATTCCATTAGTGTGGTCAGTGAATCTGGAATAGGCTGATAATGAAAAAAATTCACTGCTTAGGTGTAAGGAAATAAGAAACCTTAGTTAAACTGTGGTTGGAAAATCATATTTGTAAATACCATGTTCATTGAAGGTGTAGCAATTGCTGCTCCTAGGGGGATTTGCATAGTATGTGATGCTGATAGACCATTGGAGGGTTGCGAAGGAGAAGATTGATTTCCATCCTGACTTTGACTGCCAGAATTAACCCGTGAACCCTCAGCTTGATTTACATGAGACAACTGAACCGAGGATACATATATATATATGTTAGAAAGAAAGGAAATGAATGTTAAAATCCATTAACCAAAAACATACAACATGAAGAAAACAAAAAAACATGAGTAACTAAAAGAACCTGAATGATGCTGCATGGAATCCACAGATAATAAGTTTAACAGCATTTCATTACATGGAGAATGTGGCCATTCTTTAAAATTATCAAGTTGATCAAAACACTCAAGCTAGGGAAAAATATTTATTCAGAAGATTTTAATGTGAAGAATGCACATATTAAAATTAAAAGTGCCAGACAGCACAACCATAAGAAACTATGTAACATAACAAAGATGATGAACTTAAATGCAACTCCAGATTCAAAATAAAATTATTCTCTCAAATGCTGCAAACTGCAATAAAGTACTCTCGCTATTCAAGAGTGAAAATCAAAGTATCTAACTACTAATTACTCTCCGGTGTTCCCACTGAATTTTTTGAGAAAACTTATAAAAAGGTTCGACAGAGATAAAGTTGCTTCCAGACCAAGAAAATTGATGAGCTTAACAATAAATGAAAAGAAAAGTAAATATAATTAAGGTCATCAAGTTGAATGAACAACCAAAAAAGAAATACCACTGTCATATGATATTTTTTGTTGTAAAGATAACAGGTTTGAGCACGATGAAAGCGCAATTCTCGTAGAAGCATAAGCACCAAAGAATTTTCGATCATATAGATGATGACAATCGTAGTAGCAGCAGCAGAAGAGTTCATAGCGCATTTAAGTATTGGATGAGCTAAATGAATGTGCAGCTGGTGCACAAATAACTTGATAACACATCAAGAGGTGACTAGATAAAATGAACTACTACCGGGACACCAGGCATCATGCCTCCCGTCTGATTGCTAATTCCAATAGTGTTCAATACTGCCCCAATGACCTGAAAAGCATACAATGTATTAAGTTTCAACTAGACATACTGGAGTGATTTCATCATAGAGAGCATGTCCTAAACACCAGCATGACAAGAAAAACAGACCCGACTTATATCAGGCACGGCTGCTTCTCCTTGATCTCCAACATTTAAGGTACCCAATACAAAACTATGAGCAATTGGTCCAATCCGATTGCGCTGCCCGCCAGCATTAGGATCATTCCCTGTATCACAAAATAAGACAACACTTGAGGGAAACTCCTGTGCTGGATCAGATTATTTAGAAATCAGTGGTGCATGCATCTCAGCTGATTACCTCTGCTGCCATTGCTTGAAGTCGCCTCTCCAGTGATTGATCCAGAAGCAGGGTGGGGCTGCCTTTCAACTAAGTGTAACGTATCTCCATTTTCAACATCTACAGTGTTGTTAAGTACATACCATAAAAGATGCCAGGACAAGCGGATATCCCAATAAATGCAGAACACCACAAACATGAAGATATACAGCATTTTCAGACCACAATGTCTGGTTTAAGTTCAAACAACCTTTTGACAGTTTACTGTGGAAAAGAAGAGTTAAAAAAACAGGTGTTTGTATTTTGAATTGTCTTAGAATTTAATTTTTTTAATGAAAATTTTGGTGTTGAAAGGGATGTTTTGAATATAATATACATTTTAGATGTGATGCTTTCTAGTGGGAAAAAATAATTCACGATTGATTAGCACAAGTGAACACACTAAAAGTTTTCCTTCATATATCCCTAGGCACATAATCAGTGGTTTTCTTATAAATCACATTTCATTTGCCATATCTAACCTTAGAAATTTATACCTACATAGAGATATAGGCACAAACACCATGGGCATGGGTTTATAAAGACACAACTAGATACAGCTTATTAGACATGTAAACATGCATACAAATCACACATATATAGCAAAGAATAAATGTATTAGCAACCTAAAGTCTCTCATAAAAGATTATTTTTCTTTAGTGGTGCTTTGATGTACAATGCATTGTAAAATGAGAACAAATAAAGAATTTGCAACTTCATAACTCGAAGGATACTGTAGTCCGAAAGAAGGTGATCGTCCTTCAAAACCTTGCCCCTAAATATTAGACGTTGCTGCACAACTGGCACACCACTTTGACTTGCTATCTTCTCCTTGAATGCAGCTATAGGAATCTGAGACATGAAAACCAATTTCATGTTGAACAAATGGAATGTGGTTATCCAAATAAAACTAAATTCGCAACATTGCATTTGTCAAATTAAACATGAAACCAGATGAAAATTAGAAATTGAACTAATACTAATTGTCAATATAAAAACTCCTAAAGTTCAAGCAAGGAAAGAAATAACTTAACATAGATCAGCTCAGATTACAGCATAGAATTTAAAAATGTTTGCATCAAGTATGTTACCATCATGTAGAAGGATACATCAACATAAGAACCCGGAATACATATGAACAGAAGAACTATCGCAGGTACAAAAACAAAAATATGATAAAAAGCATAGAAGATGCATATAGTATCTGGCTATTATGTAGAGAAATTTTTTGTAATTTATACACATGAACATGTCATATAAAAGCATTGAAATAAAAAAATTATAAAAAAAATAAAAATTACATTCTTATCCACATTAACACTGTAAATCCGGGAATCCAGGGTTTTGATATTGAGCTGGAGAGGTGATTCAGAAGTCCCACTAGAGCCATCGCTAGTACTTGAAACGTTGTGTGCTTCAGGTTCTGCCATGTTAAAAGTGTTTCAAGATACCTGGAAATAGCAAAGACCATGTATTAGGTTCTCTGTTTCTCTGTCATATGCATTCCATTTAGATTTCTTTATTACAAAACGAGTTTAATTTATTATTGCAACAGCTGCAGTACCAATCTTGGTGTCAGATTATAAATGTATATGCAAAATAACAACCAGGTAGGAATTTTTCTGAAAATCAATGGAAATTATTGAGAATGCCATGAAAGTTTGAAAATATGTCTAAACAAACATGAGCATGCTGTGGTGCTCTGTCGCCCATTCTTTAACTGTTGGAAATCAACATTGCCAAGGCATACACTTGCGATACACAGGATGAGCATTATTACTTACACCATAATTCTTTCTTTTTTTTTTTTGGTAATATATTGTTATTTGAAAAAGAAAAAATGCTAGCAGAGGTTTGTATCATTTGTACTTTCTGAAGTTTCTTTCATTTCTCTTCTCCATTCTTTCCATCTTTTTTGCCTACTTTCTATGTTTACTTGTATTAAAAGTTGGAACTTCTTTGTATCTATAATGAGTATTTTTGTGAAAATTACCAATTGCGTGAATTTATTTCTTAATTGTATAATGTGTTGTCATATTTCGGTATTGCGTATGTGGAAGCCAGAACATCAACAACGACTTCAAAAAACACATGACCCTAGTAGTTTACTAATGCAGGATAACCAAACGATGAACCATTTCATTTGCCCCATTAGCAAGAAACCAAATTCCACAAATCAATAAGACCGCTTGCAACTAACCAACCCAAATACCAATGCAAAAACAAGAAAACATCATCAACCCATCCAAGAAATTGAAAACGGGATGTATACGATTACATACGTCTAACGCAATTTTACCCCGCTGGCAACCAAAAAATAAAAACTTAAAACAATCTCCAGCCTCTGCGCATCATTGGAATACATTTCCAGTCACCTAGGATTATTAACAATAAAATCCAACCTCTTCCTAGGGTTTGAAAATAAAAATAAAATAAAGATTCAGAAACCAAACCAAACGAAAACAAAAAATCAATCACATAAAATTGGAAGACATTGAAATCGAACCTTGAGGAAGAAGTTGGAGAGGAATCGAGATGGCCTGCGAAATCTTGGAAGTCAAGGAAAGATTTACAGCGGGGAGTCGGAGAAAAAGCAAATCTGCGAGGGCTTAATCGTAATCACAGCTTCATGACAAATGCTCCACATTCCAGAAGGATCTACAGACAGGCCTAGTTTGCGATTTGCGAACGCTCCCGCTTTCTCAGTCTAGCTGGTCGTACACTACTTCAAATAATATATATTTTCTGAAGAAGTCGCATTAGTGTCACCACGATTTTGGTGCTGAAGAAAAGAAAACGCTATTCGATATATCTATTTAATTTTTATATACTAATTGTAGCTTATTTTTAAACACAAAATTAAAATTTATTTGATTGCAATTTAAAATAAAATATTTAAATTTTTATTTAGACTCAAACCAAGCCCAAACTTTGATCCAGCTCAAAATCACGCCTAAATTAAGATCATGCCTAATTAAGCCAAGATTTAAGACAAAAAAACAAATCAATCTAGCTGAGAAACAAGATTAACAACAAATAAAATATTGAGTAAAAATTATTTTTGGTCTCATTTAATATCAAAATTATCAATTTTGGTCCCATTAAAAAAAAAATTATCAATTTTAGCCCTACTCAAATGAAAATTTATCAATTTTAGTCCCAAAATGGTTGACTGGGACTGAACACGGCCGTGTTGTTTTGAACACGGCCGTGTTGGATGACTCAGAAGGTGACTGGGCGTCCTAGGCAGCCAACACGGCTGTGTTGGTTACCCTGCACTTCTGAACACGGTCGTGTTATTGTCCGTGTTCTGAACACAGCTATGTTCCTGACCATGTTCTCAACACAGCCATGTTTCTGTCCATGTTCTCAACACAACCATGTTCTAAGTCATGTTCACGACCATATTTTCAATATAATCATATTGTAGGTCATATTTATTATTTTTTTTCACTTTTTGGTTAAAATTATTTGATATATATATATTTATAATTTAATAAAAATATTTTTTACAATTATTTTATAATTAAAAAATAATTAAATTTTAATATTTTTAAAATATATAAAAATAATAATATTTTAAAATAATACTCCCTCTGTCCCACGTTGGATATCTGGGTTACTCTAGACACTAGAATTTATGATAAGTATAATTAGTAGATAATTAAAAATATATTAGTAAAAATAATTGTCATGTAATATAAATAATTATAAATTAAGATTAAAATAACTCATTAATTTAATTAAAATTAAAATTAAATTAAAAAATAGTGTGTAATTATTTTCCAAAAAAATGAAAGTGATATAAACGGCAATGTGAACATGGTAAGTGGGACGGAGGGAGTATCATTAAAACATTATTATTTTTATATATTTTAAAAATATTAAAAATTGATTATTTTTTATATTATAAAATAATTGTAAAAAATATTTTTGTTAAAATATATATATATCAAATAATTTTAACCAAAAAGTGAAAAAAATAATAAATATGACATACAATGTGATTATATTGAAAACATGGTCGTGAACATGGCCTAGAACACGCCTGTGTTGAGAACATGGGCAAGAACATGGATAGGAACATGGCTGTGTTCAGAATACGGGCAGGAACACGGCCGTGTTTAGAAGTGCAGGGTAATCAACACGGCCGTGTTCAGTCCCAGTCAACCATTTTAGGACTAAAATTGATAAATTTTCATTTGAGTGGGACTAAAATTGATAAATTTTTTTAAATGGGACCAAAATTGATAATTTTGATATTGAATGAGACTAAAAATAATTTTTACTCTAAAATATTCGAAAGAGAATTCACATGTTTCATAAAAAATGATATGATTATATGGAATGAATTACCCCAGTCGAACATGCAAAAAGTCACACTAGGTGAACCATGTGTGACAGATAACCTGAGGTGTCATGGATTACCGTCACAAGTCTAACCCCTACACGTAACTGCTCAGGATCCTAATTAATAGATGATCTATATTTTATATATTATATATTATTATTATTAAATTTTAAAATTAAATTTTAACTTTTAATTTATTTATTTTTCTTCTCCTATTTAATTTTAAATTAAATTTAAATTTCTAATTATATATTATTATTATTATTATTATTTTAATCGTCTACACTTTTTTACTTTACAAGCATTGCCCCCAACAACTAGATCAAATATGTTTCACTTTTTCTCTTATATCTTTCACCCTTCTTCGGTCTTTTTTGCTTTTCGAACTTTCAGATAGACTGTCTTCATATTCTTTTCTCAAATTTACATTGTCGAGACGGTCACATTCAACATCTTCTCCAATCAACGCCAATCAATAATATTATTAAAAATATATTTTAATCATGTATTTGTAGATCTATAATTTATTTTTATTGAGGGCCTAAAAAAGGACTCTCCCACTAGGTCATTCCTTACGGAACCCGCCTAAAAAAGGACTCTCCCACTAGGTCATTCCTTACGGACCCGTATGTATATATTATTCATATTGTATGTGTGTTATAATTTATAAAGTTGATGTAATATTCAAAATAATTATATGTGGAATATTCACCGTGTAAAAGCCATCGGATACTTAATAAATCCACGGTATCGACTGATTACTAAGATTTGTAAAATTACTACGTAAGATGACTCTTGTAAATTGCTTCTATTATGGGAGGTGCTAAATGCATGTGCAACTTAAGATATCCACTAATTTTTTTATGAATCACAAAATTTTTGCCTATATCAAATTGAGTTTTTATTTAATTTTAAATAATAAATTAATTTTTTTTTAGTTTCGTAATCGAATAATTTATTATTTTAATTATATAATTGAAGATTATCTTAAAATAATTTTATAAGTGAAAAGAGTTTGCATATTTAATCTTTCTGCTGCCCTGGAAAGCTCCGTGGCATCTGCACGACATATTTAAAATTTAATTTATTTAAATAAAAAAAATTAAAAGTAAAAAGTAAAAAAATATAGAAAATATAAAAATAAAAATATATAGATTTTTAAATTTTAAAAATTTAAAATTATCTTATTTTTTATATTTATATTTAAATTTTAGATTTTTTATTTTGTAAATTTTTATATATCTTTTTCTAAAAATAAAATTAAAAAATAAAAATTAATCACTAAGACAAAGGAAGTATCTTGAAATTCTATATGAACGGAGGAATAATATTTTTTTAAACATTATATTTACGATTGAAATTATTATATATATATAACTAAAATAATATCAATAAATATCACGTTTTTATTATAATATTTATCACTTATATAAATTAATAAATATTTATGGGTGTGTTTGTTTGGAGGTTTGGATTTTGCATTGGGATTTGAACAGTAAAAATTTTGAATTGTAATAGTTGTATGATGTGATATAAATAGGTGTTGATGCGATATTTTGAATATAAAATTGATTTTTAAAATAATATAGAAAATAAAAAATAGGTCTTTGATGTGATCTTTTTGAAAGAAATTTTTTGAATAAATAGTGGATTTTGGACAAAATCTCTCAAACAAACACAGGAGTATTCATTGAATCTTTGTTGATTACGAAAGATTTACATTAAAATTGTGTTTATTTTGGATTTTTTTTTCAAAATGTCGTATTCATTCAATTTTTTTTTTTAAAAAAATATTAAATCAACGCATATTTTTTTATTTTTTATATTATATTAAAAATAAATTTTACATTCAAAACATTACATCAATAGCTATTTATATCACATCATATAATTATTCAAATTCAATTTTTTTTTATTCAAATATCAACTCAAAATTAAACCCCAAGCAAACACACCCTTTCTAAAAAAAAAAGAAAAATTGAACATTTTTAAGTAAGAATCCAATATCTTTAAAAATCTAAATTAATGTTTTTAGATTTCAAGTGATTTTTTAAAATTTAACTGAATACACTTAAATTTTGAGAATTTAATTACAAAATTGTATGGTTGGAATTTGAAACTGTAATATAACGTGTAATTTATATTTTTATTGAAATATAGTTTTATATTATGTATTCTAAAAAAGGAAACAATGTATTTTATTAAAATTTGTATAAAAATTAATAAAATTAATTTTTATTTTAAATTATCAAAAGAAAAAAAAAAACCCTTATAAATTGTGTAAATTTAGGGTAGTTTGGAAAATTTTTGTTCCTATTAAAATGATATAAAATGAAATATTTTATGAAAAACAATACTTTCCTCAGTTTTAATACAATAGTTTTATTTACTATTTTTGTTCGTCCCAAAACAATAGTCTTATTTCCATAAATAAAAATATCACTGTATAACTACTACCTTTACGCTAATACACTCAAAATGATAAAAATGTCTTTTATCTATATTTTTTACCGAGTATCAATATAATATCAATATTCCTTAAATCTCGTACCCAACACAACAAAGACTATAGTTCCGGAACGAAGGGAGTATATTTTTTTAAAAAAGATTACAAAAAATCTAAATAGTAAAAATATTAAATTTAGAGTTAAAAAAACAAACCCTATTAATATAGGAATCCACAATCCAAAACTTGGAAGCATTGGATATTTTAACCATGACGGTGACGTGGAAATTTAATATTTTAGAAAATAGAAACGTGAAAAACACAAGCAAGCAAATCTATTAAAACTGTCCCTGTCACCTATGTCACTGACACTATATCAAAGTTATGTATAGTAATAATAATATATAGTAATAAAATAAAATCAATAGTATATAGTAATATTAATTAAATCAAATTGCATTTCTAATTGAGTCGTTCCCTGTTCGCATGCGCTGTCAGCGACAGTATATAAATTCGCAATTCTATACGGTAGTAGAAGACAAAAGATTTTTGTCATAGCTAATCGGCAATCCTAATCCATTTTCGTTGTTCGCTATCGCCAATCGGAAGCTAAGGCACATTCGATTTTCGTTGGAAATGGATGCAGCGAAGGTTGAATCAAGCGGTACTGCGGGAAAGCCCATACGATGCCGAGGTAATTGGTCCGCCATTACTTGAACTTACAAATTACAATCCTATATGCGTATTTGGATTGGACTGTGTGTTTTGCGCGCAGCGGCGGTGGCAAGGAAGGCGGGGGAGCCGCTGGTGATAGAGGAGGTCATTGTGGATACGCCGAAGTCGGAGGAGGTTCGCATCAAAGTTTTATGTACTTCCCTCTGCTTCAGCGATGTTACTTTCTGGAGATTGAAGGTACAATCCGCGCCGATTGTTGTATTTTTCGCTTAAAAACTGTTGTAGTTTTTCCGTATTTGATTATTGTTTTTCTGTTTCAATCTGTTGAAGGAACCTCCTGCGTGTTTTCCGAGAATTTTGGGGCATGAAGCTGTTGGGTAATGTTTTGTAGCTTGCTTATTGTTCTTCCTGATTGAAGTTCAATTGCTTCGTTTGTAAATTGTAACTGCTTATTTACTTCAGTATTGAATCTAAATGCATCCGCCATTTACACAGATTCAAGTTTACAGTCTTAATCAAATTTCATTTGTGTGTGTTACTTCTGTTTGATTTGCTATTTTGGTACCTACAGCGTTGTTGAGAGCATTGGCGAGGGTGTTACTGGACTGGTTCCAGGGGATACAGTCATTCCAATATTCGTTGCAGATTGTGAGGATTGTACAGATTGTCTATCGAAGAAGAGCAATCTGTGTTCAAAATACCCTTTCCATGTCTCTTCATCGATGCCTGATGGCACGAGCAGATTTAAAGATCTTAAGGGAGAGAGTATATACCATTTCCTTTCCGTTTCTAGTTTCACCGAGTACACGGTGGTGCATCTTGCTAATGTAACAAAAATCGATCCGGTGATCCCTCCAGACAGGGCTTGCCTCTTAAGTTGTGGAGTGTCAACAGGTGCCATTGATCTTCGCATCGTGTGTTATTTTGAATTTGCAACACACTTTTGAATAAATTTCTTTTTGGCATCTTTGAATCTTGTGTTTTTCAGGTGTTGGTGCTGCCTGGAGATCAGCCCAAGTTGAGGCAGGATCGACAGTTGTTATCATTGGTCTCGGGTCGATAGGGCTAGCAGTAAGAACTTGAGTGATTTAATTACCTTGTGTGGATACAAATCATAACATCGTACTAATTTTTAATTTGTGTGAAGGTGGCTGAAGGGGCAAGATTCTGTGGCGCTGCAAGAATCATCGGGGTTGATATGAATCCTGACAAAGCTGAAACAAGCAAGTCTTTTAGTTCCTTGTTTAAAAATCGAAAGTTCATTAACATGTTCAAGTTACAAGAAAACACTGATCAATTTTGATTCGATATTTAGGCCACAAATGATTCGTCTGAGATTAAGTCTAACATTTGTCTTTCCGTATAGGCAAGAAGTTCGGAGTGACTGAATATATCAACCCACAGAGCCTTGGCGATAAGCGTCTCAGCGAGGTATTGCCTATTCAAATATAGCCCTTTTTGTTCTTCGCCTCAGATGTCCATGGATTTGGTTTCGACTGCATCACAGGTCATAAAAGAGATGACTGGTGGAGGTGCAGACTATTGCTTCGAATGTGTCGGAAAGGCTTCCTTGGTTGAGGAGGCATTCGCTGCATCGCGAAAGGTTTATTCTCCATTCTTTCAACGAGCACTTATCGAAGATGTTTCTGGTCTTTATTACAACCGATTTTCTACCAGGGATGGGGTAAGACTGTCGTCCTTGGCGTGGACAAGCCGGGAGCACAGCTAACATTCGGCTCTTTCGATGTCCTACATCTGGGAAAATCGATCATGGGATCCTTGTTCGGAGGACTCAAACCGAAATCCGACATACCGATCCTCATCCAACGATACTTGGACAAGGTCATACTTTCTTGATACCTCTCTTGTCTGTGCAGTTTTGGTGAATCTGTGGTTTGAGTTTGTGTTTTCTGTGCAGGAATTGGAACTGGAGAAGTTTGTGACGCATGAGGTTAGTTTTGGGGACATCAACAAAGCTTTTGAGTTGCTGCTTGAAGGGCAGAGCCTCAGGTGTGTTATTTGGACGGATAAATGAATTTTTACATTATCGTTTCTTCCCTGTTTGGTATGAATTATGCACTGTTTGTTTGAAGTTTCTTGAGTGAGAAACCAACCCTGAATAATGTAATAAGATTGTGTGTCTTGTTTACGTGTATTTTGTATTTATATGTTTTTGTTTGGTGTGATATGATGGCTTTAATAAAAATTGAGTGTCAGTTGAGTGTTTCTAACTATAATATTTTTATTTTAATATAGATGGAATAATGTGAAAATACAAACAAACACTCCAACTTACATGTATGATCTCTTAAGATAACTATTGTGTTTCTTTCTTAATCATGCTTTTTGTTTCTTGTCAATGCTGCATGTGTTTGTCTTTGGATGCTTAATAGATATTAAATTTATCATCATAAAATATTACAGTCGTTCAAAAACTAACGTCCTACTTTCATATTTGAAATATCCAATAATTATTGTCCTCTTTTTAATTTTATACACAAAATTTACTCTTTTACTCTTAGGGTGTGCTTGTTTGGGGATTGGATTTCCAATCCATTATTCATCCTATTTTTTCCCCCAAAAATATCAAATCAAACACCCATTTTTCATTTTTTATATTATACTAAAAATTAATTTTACATTCAAAACATCACATCAACACCTATTTATATATCACATCATACAACTATTCAAATTCAAAATTTTTACTATTCAAATCTCAACTCAAAATCCAAACCCTCAAACAAACACACCCTTACTTTATTTACTTTTTCATTTTATATACACAAGATTAAGGACAAATTTGTCATTTTATAACAAAATTCTAATTGCCTAAAAATACGTGTAAATACTAAATAGAACATTAGAAAATGGACGAAGAGAGTATTATATCTTATTATTACATGAATATTTTATACTTAAATTGAATCATACTTTCAAGAGAGCAAAATAGATTTTTAACCATCATTTTATACTTCTTATTAATATAATATTAATGCTAAATTGCACAAAATCCACCCGTGATTTTATAAAATTGTACAAAATCCCTCATACTTCTAAGACTGCGTCAAACTCCCTCGTCGTTTCATAAACTTTGCGTCTAACCCCCTCAGTGGTCCTTATTTAATGATATTTGACATAAATGCGCTCAAACTACGAATAAATTTTAGAATCTCAATTTATAAACCCCTAAAATTACAAATATATATATATTTTTTTATATTTACCCTAAAAAAATAGTAAATATACTCAACATAGTTATTTTTTATCAGGTTTTAAGAGTTTATTTTTACTATATTTTTAGGGTAAATATAAAAAAAAAATATTTGTAATTTTAGGGGTTTAAAAATTGAGATTCTAAAATTTATTCGTAATTTGAGCGCATTTAGGTCCAATAACGTTAAATAAGAACCGCTGAGGAGGTTAGACGTAAAGTTTATGAAACCACGAAGAAGTTTGACGCAATTTCAGAAGTATGGAAGATTTGGTGCAATTTCATGAAACCAAATTTTGTGCAATTTAGCCTAATATTAATATTATCATGCAATAATAATAATAATAAAATTACGAGAGTTGTTTTGGGTAGGAATAACAGTACTTTGTAATTTAAACATAATTTTTTATTATTCAACATATTTTTAGTAAAAATAAATTATTTTTTAAAATAAAATATAACATCAAAATATTATATAAACTAAAATCAAATAAAAAATCTAAATTCGAATCCAAACCAAACAATTATTTATTGATATAATATTTTAAGTCCATTATAATTGTTTGAGTTTATATTTTATCTAGAAAAAATTATATAGTACTCCATTTAATATCATATATATATATATATATATATTTAACAATTAAATTGATATTAAAATTTTAATACAAAATTTATAAATAATTTAAAAATAAGTTTACATATATATCTATAAAATAATTTTAGGAACATGGACGTTGTTAACCAATAGGGCGCCGGCGACGGCATGGCCTAAGTACCTCCTAATAATTTAAACACTTATGAACTTTATAAATAATTTAATAGCACACTCACCCTACGACCCTTTCAAACAGTGCAATTTAATAATACTAGCACCAACAATTTTTGACCATTCATATTTTAAATTATTATGTTTTTTTTAAAGTTTTTAAATAGGCAGCATTTAATTATAATAATTTATAGATAGTTTTGTAAAAATAAACTTTTAAATTTTGATATATGTTTTTAAATTTTATTTTTCATCATTTAGTTATCACACATAGTGTAATATTTATCTATTTAAATATAATATTTAGAAATAAATTCCTCTATAAATATTTAAGTATGTTTAAATACATCACATAATAATTACGGTCTAATTCAATTAAATGGCCATTTCATAATTACATATGCAATTTGAATTCTAAAAAAAAAAAGTCAATATCAGCATTTATTTATTTTAATATAGGTATATTTTATTATTTTTTACCTATAATAATAAAAAAAATAAAAAGGTGTGTGTTTGTTTTTGAATTTGGATTTTAAATTGAAATTTGTATAGTAAAAATTTTGAATGCTAATAATATGTCATATAATGTTGATGTAATATTTTGAATATAAAATTAATTTTTAGTATAATATAAAAAATAAAAAATAAATATTTAGAGAAAAAATTGAATAAATAGTAAAATTTGGAGAAAATATCCCAAACAAAAAAATTTGAATGAATAAAAAATGTCCATCGGAGCGAAGTAATAATTTGTAAATTATGTCATTTTTTCTTTTATATGTTTTAATAGTTTGCAAATTAAGGCCAGAAGATTATTATAATTGATGGGTATAAATTTTTTGACATTGTTGAGAAAGAAAAAGATTTAAATTAAGGGTGTGTTTGTTAAAGGAATTGGATTTTCAATCATCAATTTTTTTTTTTTTTTTCTCAAAAATATCAAATCAAACACTTATTTTTTAATTTTTTTATATTATACTAAATTAATTTACATTCAAAACATCACGTCAATGTCTCTTTATATCACATTATATAACTATTCTAATTTAAAATTTTTACTATTTAAATCCCAATTTAAAATTCATACAAAGCCACCCTGCAGTATAAAGGTAGTGTAACACTATAAAGGGAGTATAAAGGTAGTGTAACACTATAGCAGCAGTAACACTATCGTCATTCAATCCTCGTCCCCAAATGGATGAAGCTGCTGCGAGGAAGCCGATACGATGCCGAGGTATTCAATTCTAAGTTCTAACCACCAATTTTCGATTTCTGCAACTTGTTCTGATTCTCTCAATGTAATGAAATTGGCTGACGGCGCAGCGGCGGTGGCGAGGGCGGCCGGAGAGCCGCTGGTTATAGAGGAAGTGATAGTCGACGCCCCGAAGTCGCGGGAAGTCCGAATCAAGATCATATGCACTTCTCTCTGCTTCAGCGATGTCACAATCTGGAAACTCAAAGTATGGTAAACTTGTCCAATTCTTCCATTCAAAGAAATTTGTGTCGGAATATCTATTGAATTTGATCTCGTTGTCTGATTCCGCCATTGAAGGTTCCTCCTGCCTGTTTCCCGAGAATTCTAGGTCACGAAGCGTTTGGGTAATAATTTGTATTCATCGTCCAATTATACTTAAAAAAATTGTATAAATTCCTACGTTCTAATCGCTCGATCGTTGCCTTGGAGGCTACGACAGCGTCGTCGAGAGCATCGGCGACGGCGTGACTGAACTGTCTCCGGGAGACACCGTCATTCCGACGTTCATGGCAGATTGTTTAGACTGCACAGATTGCCTGTCCGAAAAGAGCAACCTCTGTTCCAAATTCCCCTTCCACGTCTCTGCTTCGATGCACGACGGTACCAGCAGGTTTAAGGATCTCAATGGAGAGATCTTACACCATTTCATCTTCGTCTCGAGCTTTTCCGAGTACACAGTCGTCCACGTTGCCAACGTCACGAAAATCGATCCTTCGATCCCTCCAGACAGGGCTTGTCTTCTCAGTTGTGGAGTTTCAACAGGTCTGAGTCCTTACGATCAATTTCATTACATTTTTCTATGAATCTTCGAAAAGGTTGTAAGATCAGTGGCTTGAATTGTTTAGGCGTAGGCGCAGCATGGAGGTCGGCAGGAGTTGAAGCAGGGTCAACAGTCGCCATATTTGGCCTCGGCTCGATCGGATTAGCAGTAACAACCTTAACCTTCTCACCTTGTAGTCATTTTATTACATACAACAAACAATAAGGACATTGTAGGACTAATTCATGTTTGCTTCTAGGTAGCCGAGGGAGCTCGACTGCGCGGCGCAGCAAGAATCATCGGCGTGGATACAAACCCCGACAAATTCGAGACAAGCAAGTGTTCATAGCTACTTCTTTATTACAAATCCAAAATCATTTCTAACATCGTTGCCGTATAGGTAAGAAGTTCGGAGTCACTGATTTTGTGGATCCAAAGAGCTGCGGCAAGAAACGCGTCAGCGAAGTAAGGAAAACATACTCTCTTCACAAATAAATACATTTTTCGCCTTTGTTCGAGTTCGATGGCTGTAAGAAGTTTTTAATCCGTTCTTATGATCCAGATTATAAATGAAATGACTGGCGGAGACGGCGCAGACTATTGCTTCGAATGCGTCGGGAGGTCTTTCTTGGTCGAGGAGGCCTTCGCTTGTTGTCGGAAGGTTCCTTTCTTCTCCTCCTTTTTATCTTATTACAACAGTTACAAAGTACTAACAACATATTATATAACAACAAATGACTATGATAACATAAATTATATTAATATAATACAAATATAGAAATGCGGATTTTGTACTGATCAGGCCAAGCAACTGTAGTGTTAATTTGACTTAGATAACATGTCATATATATGGCCAATATATATTTACCCATAGTGCAATATAACTTAAATTATATAACACATATTTTGTGATACGTAAAAATATATACTGATTACATATATAACATATGCAGATATGGACAAATAAACACTGTACTGACTTGACCGGATGAAAAGTTGATCAATGTTTTAAATATAACATATAAACTGACGACATATTACATTCTTTCTTTTGTAATAACCGAGCTTGGATGTGTAGGGATGGGGAAAGACAGTGGTGGTCGGGGTCGAGCCGGGCGCACAGCTGACGTTTAGCTCTTACGACATCCTTCATATGGGGAAAACTGTCATCGGATCCTTGTTCGGAGGCTTCAAACCGAAGTCGGACGTGCCGGTCCTTGTCCGAAGTTACTTGGACAAGGTTGCATATATACTACAATGTCTACATTTTATATTTTCTACGAGTTCGAGTTTGAGTTCAGCTTTTTTCTGTAAACAGGAATTGGAACTGGACAAGTTTGTGAGTCATGAGGTTAATTTTGAGGACATCAACAAAGCTTTTGAGTTGCTACTTGAAGGGAAGAGCCTCAGATGTGTCATTTGGATGGGTAAATGAATCCAACTAATTAATTAAGGGATGTGTTCTATGTGGTTTTTACCGCATAATTTTACTATTAAAAAATTAATTTTATTTTATATCATATTATAAATCTATTTAATAAAACTTTTGATTGGAACCAAACTTATGCATTTCATTCTTGAATAAAAATAAATAAATATTGGATTAGTTTATTCAATTAAAAATTCCCAACATATTGTTCCTTTAATATTTAAAGGTCACAAACTTTAGTGGGCCACGTTCTTTTAGGCCCAATAACTACATTGAAAATCAGGTCCTAATATTGAGATCGTGCACACGATTTGCAAATTAAGTATCAATCGTAAGTACTATCCATTAATTCCCCACGTATATTAATTACAAAAATTGGATGTGAACAAAGATTAATTTTGGTCATATCAATGTGTCACAAATTATGTGTAAGAATATTAAGAAGGTGAACTCTGGTCTGCACCAATTGCCTCATTAATCTGTCCAATCCGGCGTCGATCTCGCCGATGACGTCATCGGCGCCTTGGAGGCTCACATGCACCCGCCGCACCTGATCATCAACATCATCATACACATGAACCCTAGATTCGTTCTTCCTCATCTTCCCCACCACCGATTTCACCGCCAAATCCAAATTCCTGATCTCGCTCACCATTAATCCGCCGTCCGGCGACGATTTCGTCGCCATCAGCCTGGAAACCAGCGGCCAGCCACCGGAATTGACTTCTCCGGCGGCCGGATTCAGAAGCCCTAAAATGCTCCTGAAAACCCTAATTGTGGCTCCCGCCAATTCCCGGAAATGGTCGCCGTGGCGGCCGCCGGCGGTTTTCTGCATAAAATTCTTTAGCGATTTCGACGTCCTGGCGGCGGTTTTGTTTGTGTTCCTCCGGCAGGAGAAGTACGCGGCTATGTCCGGCTGCACTGCGGCGGCGTCCAGACCTTTCCGGCGAAGCGCCGACTGAAGGCGGCGGACGATTTCCCTGAGGGTTTGGAACAGCTCCCTAATAGCACTGCAAGCGTCCATTAAATCGACTGATTCTGTAAGAAGCTCATCGATTGAGGTGCGAGGAAGAAGGCGGGATTCCTCTACAGTGAGTTCCTGTGCAGTGCGGTACAGTTCCTCAACCCTACACAGATCTGATAAGATCTCCTCTGAGGTAATTTCAGAACTTTGTTTATCCGATGAATAATTACGTCCTGAAACCTGCCAAGAATTGAGCTTCTGGAGGGTCTTATTGGGGTGATGCAATCTAGCAGGTAAACTGATGGACCTGAAATGTGTAGTGTTTGAACTCAGGGTTTGGGATTGGGCTTCCATGGCTGGTTAATTCTTGATCTGATCCGATCGAATAATTGGGGTAAGATGATAAGGGTATTTATAGAGACAGTAGTGTCCCTGGAAATGGGAGAAGGGTTTCATTCTTTAATGAAAATGATGGGTATGGCAGAGTTAGAGGTTTCTTTATGCACAATCAAGAAAAGGGTTTCTTGATTTTTTTGAATTTTGGTAAGAATGGCTAAGTGGCAGCAAAAGAAAGAGGTGTCCAGTGGTGGTCTGCAACGTGGCTGTCATGCAAGAATCCATTGCTAATTATGGAGGCTCCACTTGTCCCTCTGCCTCCCAAATCATTGCTGACATTTAACCAAAAGGCAAGAAAGTAAATTAATTTAAAGCCCTCTTTTTTTTATATATATAAAAAAATTAGATTAAAATAAGAATCGATTTGTTTGTTAGTGAGGGAGGCTAAAAAGATTTGATTTTGGTTTGCGGGATCGATTAAAATATTACGGTGGTTACAACAAGCTCCCCACCTATGCAATTTTTTTATTCATTTTATTTTTATGAAGATTAGAAGGCACACGTAGGTCAATTGAAGTATCTAGAATATGCATATACTACTAGATTTTTATTATCCACCGTATCTGAAATTGATAATATATATTTTTTAATTGAGATATTATTGGGCCTTGGATTTGGAATCAGGCCCAGAAGTATTGTTATGGGCCGGCCCATTGTGCTGTCGGGGATTCTTTATTTCTTACTAATTATGTTTTTAGCACATTAATAACGCATTAATTAATTGTGGTTTGTGGATTGAGACTTGAGAGAATCTTGTTTATTGTCTCCCATGTGGTAATAAACCTCAACCGTACAGTACTGAATATGTCCGGGTGGTACGAATTGAACATAAACATTTTTCTGACATTATTAATAACTTGTTGGCTCCTAAATTGTCCAAATACTATGTTCTTTTTTTCTAGATTGTATAATTTAATTATTCAATAATTATGCACAATCCAATTCAGTACTTGATGATTTCCTGCATTAGGGTTTTCTTTTCTCATTTGAACTAAAATGAACAAAATTGATTGCACAATCAATATATATATATATATATATATATAAATTATTGTACCAAAAAACTTGGTTCTAAAAATAATCTCCACAAAAATTTCTAACTAAATAAGGTTTGGTACATATGATTCAATGATCAGTCACAATGTTGAGAAGTGTGACTCTACATTCAATTAAATTCCTGAAAACTGTTTCGATTCCAGATTCAATTCCTTCTGCACAAGCATCAAGATTCTGTAGCTTTGTTTGCATCATTTGGAGATCAAAATTCTTGGAATCATTGCTGTTTCTCACTCTACCATGGAGAGTGTTTACTGCAGAATCCACACAGCCCACCTCAGTAACATCACTATAAAGATGATGATGATGATGATCCTTTGTCGATATCAGCTTCGAGACAAGATTCCAGGTGGTTGGCCAGGACAGGAACACCAAGATACCTTTGAAGATGGAGACAGTGATGAGATTCACTTGTGTCAACTCCTCGAGGCCGTTCTTGTTTTCCAGTTTCTTGAGTGATTTCATGGTCTTGGATATGGATTTGTTCATCTTCTTTCTGATGGTGAGGTATGAAGCTGTGTCGGGATGGATGGATGAATCCAGGCCCTTACGGCGCAGCGCTGATTGAAGGGACTGAATGGCTTCCCTGATCATCTGAACGGATTCCCTGATTGTGGCGCACGAGTCCAGGAGCTCTATCGAGGTGCTGAGTGAGTCTTGAACTGATTTTCCATCTCGATGGAGAGACAATTTTTGCTGTTGAGTCTTGAACTGGTTGTAAAGTTCGGACAGCTCAAGGAGACCGGATTGAATGGCGTCTGAGCTGATTGGAGCAGCCTTTGGAACCTGCCAAGATTTCAGATTTTGGAGATGAGATTCAAAGCCTGTGGGGTGTTGTAATCTTGAGGGCAGGCTTATGGACCTGAATCGTGTTTGTGAAGAAGCTGCCATTGTTGAGAGCTCTCTCTTTTCTTGAATTTTCTGAAGACTACAAAGCTGCTGAATGCTGTGATGAAGAATGATGATCTGATGCTTTTTTATATCTAGTGAGACAGCCACTGAGGTGAAGAATCATTCTCCATGTGGTTCCAATGGGGTGCCCATAAAATTTTTAATATCCTGTTGCATTTCACACCATCAAACAAACAAACAAACACAATATATTTATATTTATGTATGTAATTGTTTAAAAATGAGGTTCAAGGCAACAAGAGAGAGAATGATTAATGTTCACCAGCAGGTTCAGGCAAATGCATTTAATATTGAGCAAAGAATAAACTAAGTTTTTTTCTTGTCCCTCTGCCTCCCTCCTCCCGTGTCATTAGGTGGGATTAACTTCAATTCTAAAGAATCTAATAGCAATTATTGTTGCACCAGTTTGATAAATTGAGTTAATCAAAATGGACTTTTAGCACTAATGTCTGCAGATGAAGCAAATCACTACCTATTGTCAATCCATAAGATTTAATAAAGGTGTGCAGCATAGGTAGGGGTGGGTGTTGGATAAGCAAGGGAACATTCAGAATATATGCCATAAGATTTAATCCAAATCCTATTTTCATTCCTAGGAAATATAATCATTCGTTCTTAGCTACAGCAACACATGTTATATTTCTGAATATAAATTGCCTGGCAATCATGTCTCTTCACAGAAATATATAAATGTAGGATTTTGAAGACAAGAACAATGCTTTCAATGTGAAAAACTGCAAAAACCTTATGCTCATGAGACAGATGCACAGAAGTCGGGAGACATAGGCATGTTCGAGGTTCAGAATAGATCTCCCGACAATAGTTCAAATTTGAACATAAGAATGGGGCATTGCAATTTCCTTAGAAAAGAAAGGGTATCGTGAATAGTGGGCTGTCATCGTTTACAGCAACGCCAAAAAGACAAAGCAAGATTGAATGGACATATGATCAATGTAAATAACTGCAGTCAAATTAGATAAAATGACCCAAGCAAGGACATGAGTTGCTAATTTACGTATACAGAAAGATGAACCATCTAGAGTGCGAGTAAATACTTTTAATCATAGAAATTTATTCATATCATCTATTTTCAAGCTCCTTTCTGTTCTGTTATTCGGAATTTATTTCTAAGTTTTCTAGTTCTGGTGTGTTTCCTAATGCAACTGCCATTCTGCCAAGAGATATCTGGCAACATCTTACCATCAGAATGTCGATGGATTGCACCTGCGCTGCTGTATTCAACAGGTAAGAAAAATCATAGAATTAGCCCATCTGAAGGATACTTCAAAACACCATACTTCAAAACACCATAAGCACTTCATAAAGGCACTCGTAACTAGTTTCTTCAGTTAATGAGATTACACATAAACCAGTCACTTTCATTCGTGGAGTATTCCCAAATTTCAGAAGAATTTCACAAACGCGTTGAACCAAAATTGAATTTAATTCAACATATTATTACTTGAAGAAGCCCCAAGAAAAACAAAGTACCACCTATTTATGCTCGAAAGTAAGACCTTGCTCTCTGGCCCTTTTCAGCCACTTCAAAGAACTTTCCAATGTTGGATAGGCAGCAGCGTCAGGTAAGCTCTTGCTCTCAACTGCATAATCAAAAACTTCATAAGCTTCGGCAACCCTACCTTTCCTGCACAGTGCCCTAAGAAATGCTCCATACGAACCACTCTCGAGCTTTATACCACCTTTTTTCATCACCTGATATAATTCAACCGCCTTATCCAACATCCTCGACTTACACAGCCCAAGAAGCAATGTGCTATACGTACATGAATTGGGCATACACCCTTGCTCTTCCATCTCATCCAACAATTCCAATGCCCCCAATGCATCCCCTTTCCTACACATTCCATTCATCAATGATGTGTAAGTGACTGCATCCGGAAAATGACTCTTCTCGGCCATTATTCTCAGAAAATTCCTTGCCTCATTAACCCTACCCGTTTGCGATAATCCATATATCAAAGTGTTGTAAGTATATTGATCGGGTTCAATCCCTTCATCCTGCATTTTCTTATACACTCCCAATACTTCTCTGCCTTGATTCAACATACAATAGCCTTTCATAATTGTATTGTACACATAACAATCAGGCTTGAATCCTTCCTCACTCAACACCCCTAATAATCTCGTCGCCTCCCTTAAATTCTTGGAGTTACAAACATTATCGATCATTATAGTATATGTCACGAGATCAGGCTTTATGTTGAATTCTCTCATATCCTTTATAAAGCCATTCACAGTACTTAAAGGCCTGTTCTTAACTAAATGCTTCACCATAAAATTGTAAGTGTACGTGTCCGGCGGCGATCCTTTCCTTGAGAACTCCTTAACAAGATCAATAGCATGCTCCTCTCTGCCACAACCACAAAGCGCCCTCATCGCAACATCTGTAGTAACCTGATTAGGCTGAACACCGTTGTTTCTCATCAGATTGAGGACGTTGTGCGCGCCGGAGAGCGAATCTTCATCTGGCGACGAACAAGACTGCACAAGAAGTACATGATAAGTGGAACGATTAGGAGAAAAAGGCGGATGCGCTTTGATCATGTGATTTAGGAACATGATTGAATCCTGAAGAGATGAAACGGATGAAAATGACTGCAACATTGAGTTGTAGAAGCTGGGCTCCGCCGGAGGCCTGCCTTCGGCGGACGAAATGACCGAATTGAAAAGTGATTTGGCATCTGAGAGGTTGGGCGAATCAAATAAAACAGACGGAACACTTGCTTTCCCCGCCGAATCGTTGCTTTTCACCACCTTCTTCTCTCGAGACTTGTTAGATTTCGGCGATGGGGTTGTTTTCTCCCGAACAGCAGCGGAATTGGCTCTGAACAGAGTGGAAACCGACGACTCCGCCGCCGCCCTCCTGAACGCCTGCGGAATTTTCCCCATCCCCTCAACAATTCTCGAAAATACCAATTCACAGAATTTCCAAACTAGGGTTTTGCAGAGGTTTAGAACGAGAACGAAGCCTCCATAAAAGAAAGGCAACGTCTTATTCGGACCCGGGTCGGGTCAAACCCACCCGTTTAACCTTTCAACAAATTACAAAAACGCTTTTACGTGCACTTTCGATTAAACGCTTTTAATACTCCTCAAACGCTTTCATTCTGTTATTTCAGTTATCTCCTTCATTTCCATACTTTCCTAATTACCTCAAATCCTTGCATTCAGAAAAAAATATATACTACATAATATTCTTCTTACAGAAAATAAAGAAATCGATTGGAAGTCAACCCTTATACATAATCACATTAAAATTTTTTATCCAAATTCAATTATTTCGTGTCGAATTCTTATCAAATTGTCGTATCGGTTCAATTTTTACCGTTTCAATTTTTATCCGCTCTATCTAAGACACAGTGAATCCATTCGATGCTCCCGTAAAATATTCCACAGGAGAGTCTTTGGCCGTCCTAAACGCCCCAAAATGCCTGAGCCTATATATCCCACCATCAACAGCCTCCTCCGGCACTTCCCATTCGATCGTCGCGATGCCGTAAGAGTCGCCGGAGCTGCTGTCCCATCTGAAAAAAAGACAGAAGTCATCGTCATCGTACACCGGCTTCCATCGATCGTCACTGTTGTCATTTTCGAGCTTCTCCACCGCCGCAAACGTGCCTTCCGTCAGCAGATCATACCTCGGATTTGCGCTCCAAAACGTCGCCCTTACCTTCTCCCCTGCCCTAAATTTCCTACTCTTCACGTCCTGTTTGATGTCGCCGAATCTCACCCCTGCTGGAGGCGAGTCGCCTGAAGGATCCTGCAATAGGCTGATCTGAACCGACGAAAGATCGGGCGGCGAGGGTCCTCTCGATATGTTACGATCTCCCGTCGCCACTGCTTTCGCCAGTTTCTCGAATTCTTGAATGTACGCCGACAGCGTGTGAGGACCGTAGAGAGTCGACGCAGCCTGCAATGCCACAATCGATCGCGTTTAGTTTGTGTTTGCGTTTTTGCTTTTTGTTTTTTTTTTTCGAAGTTTTTTCTTGCCTCGTAGCGCTGCTGTTTGTACTCTTCAAATGTGGCGACGTATTGCGAATATGTGTTGGCGAGGCCTGCGATGACGACGTGTGTATTGTCGTCGAACTCTTCGTTGTTATAGGTAATAAGTGTTTCCTTAACTGCCTCCCTCAGCCTTCTTCCAGCCATTGTAGTGAACTCTACAAGACAGGAGACTCTGTTACAGCTATTACATTGTAGGATCGAAAGGAAAAGATCGAAGATCGATCGAGGAATTCAGACCCCCTGGTACGGATAGAATCACCAGCTGTCCTAACCGGAGGATTTGAATCGGAAGAATCGCCGGCTGCAAGAAGAACAGACAAGGAAACGTAAGGTATCGAAAGGGATGCAGTTCAGACATAGCTTCGATTCTTTTATCGTTTTACTACCGCCCAATCGTATGGCCAAAACATCTCTCCGGTGTCGAGCAGAACCGACTTGGGCTTCTGACATTCGACCTGGTATTTGCTCGGTTCCTTAATAGCATCCCTCACTGTCTTCCAAAACTCGTTGATCTGCGGAGACAAAAGCATCGAATGAGAAGAAAAAACGACTCAAACGAACGAATTCGATCATATTCGCTGCTAACTTTAGTATCGCCTTGTCTGAAACCGAAAACGCCCGGTCCATCAGTCGTTCCAGCAGCGAAACCTGGTCCGAGCGCGGCAGGGCATGTCCTGACAACCTCGTTTCCTTTCAGCGCGACTTCGATGTCTGTAAAGTGGAGGTAGACGAGCCTCGAATCGATCTTTCCGGCGATTTTCGACTCGGCAGAAGTGAACAAGTCCACAGCTTTTTGATACTGCCTCTCCCCTATGATCTTTGTGCTCAAAACTTCATCTGGATATCTGTAACAATTCATCAGTTATGGCTATGTACTTCATATTCTTCGGGTATTCGAAAGTGTGAAAAGACGAAAATACCCTGGACCGCGACCGACACAGAGCTGATCATCGCCGTGGCACGTCGAGTGGTTGAAGTCGCAGGGCTTGCCGGAGTCCAAACAGAACGCGCCGAGCACGTTTGGGCTCACGTCACCGACGTTTGACTGGCAAAACGCTCCGACAAATCGCAATCCGTCGTTCTTCCTTACTTTCGACTCCCGGCTCGCTGTTTTGTTGCACGCTTGCCCTCCTGTTGCCTTGATCCTCGACAATTGTTTTGTCGACGCACCTTCGAAAATTCGATACGATGAGCATAAATACGCCGATAGAATGTAGCCAGTAATCAAATATATCGTCTTACGTGCGACGTTGGACTGTTCAGCGTTTGACGCCGGGAAAGTCGAGCTTCCGTTGTTGTCGAAAAACCAGTCTTCGAAAAATCTTGCGGCCGCGCCTTTGTTGTCTCCGCTGATGAGCTTGTTGTCCCGGCTCATCGATGTGCCGTGCGTCGCAAACCACGAGAACGCGCCGATGCTTTTCCCGCTAGTTTCGTCGACAAATTTGAGAAGAGTCATTAGTGTATCAACGTTGGTTTGATACTTCGCCCTTTCGCTCGGAGGGTTGAATAGGTAGGCGCTCGGGCTCCGGTTTACGCTTGCATTCTTCACGTCCCCTAGAAAACGATAGATCGTCGAACATTGAACGTAAACACATTTTGCTCTCTTACAATTTTCAATTGGCAAAATTGCTCATAATTTCCTTATGATTTCGAAACTCAGCGTAAATTTTCCTTTTACTTTAAAAATTGTATATATTTTAAAAAAATATTGCATGAAATCCCTTTGAAATTTCGAAACTCGAACGTAAACCCCCACTTCACTTTAAAAATTGGATAGCACTCTCTTATACTTTCAAAAATATTGAATGAAACTCCTGACATGCAAAAAAAAATATAGATAGAAAATCATATTCTCATCACAAAAGGAAGGTTTTGTGGCCGTGGAGTTTTATGCAATATTTTTTATTTTTTAAAGTATAAGAGAGCGTCATGCAGTTTCTAAAGTACAAAAATATTTTATGCTGAATTTCGAAACCACATAAGAGTTATGAGCAATTGTACGATAAAAATACGCTCGTTACTCTCTGTTATTGCCTGTGTTGATGAAAATCGATCCCGGCTTGAGGCGATCGTGGGCTTGGACGACGCTAAGCTCGATCGCCGTCACAAGGGCATCGAACGATTGCGGAACAAAGCCGAGGGAGGTTATTGAATACGTCACGTATTGCAAATAACCCCCCGGGCCGGCATGCGTGTGCGTCCCGCTTATCGCGACATTTTCCTCGTTGTACAACTCGCCGTACCTTCGAAATAACAAATCGACACATTTCATTACAAATAATCGATCGGTCGACAGAGTCGAAATCCCGTTCTAGTCGAAAATCTCACCTCGTTTTGAGCCTTTCGAGCACCTTGATGGTGACGAGTTGCGAAGCCATCCCGGCGTCGAGGTTGACGAACGCAAACCTAGCGCCATCCGGGCCGGGCCGGCGATCCGCAACAATGAAGGCCCGCGCCCTGAGCCGGAAATGTATGCCTCCGGTGACTTGTTCCATGTTGGCGTAGCCCATCATGTTCACTCCGGCCGCCGGACCGGTCATGTCGTGGCTTCCTACTCCGATCAAGTAGTCGCCGGCTACGGCGCCGGAGAGTGCCGCGAGAAGCAAGGGGAGAATGAGAATGCATGGATGATTGATCATTTTGAGAGTTGGTGAGAATGTTGCATGAAGATTGATGTGTTTAATAATGTAATTCAATGTCTTCAATTCGTTATTGCTATATATATATATAGAGAGAGAGAGAGAGAGAGAGTTTGAGAGAGAAGATGGTTTCTTAGTTGGTATAAAAGAATATGAAGTGTACTTAGGCAGGTCCGAACGTGATCTTGACTATTGAGTTTTATGCGACGTACTAGGTTTATGCTCTTGTCTCCTAATGAATCTTCGGCGACTTGAGCACTACTATTATTATTATTATTATTACAAATTATCGTACTAATATCAAAATATTTTGTTTATTCTACTTTAAAATATTTTTTTATTTTTTTTTAAAAATTTATTTTCTATTTTAGAAAAAATAATCATATACTAATATCAAAATATATTTAAATTTTACTTAAATTTCAAACATTCTACTTACGTATACAATTACTTTCTTTGTATACTTTCTCAAAGCCTCGTATCAATTGGGTCGGAAGGAGTATTAACTATTCTATTTTTAATTATTATAAAACAATTTCATCTAAACATAATTTTTTTTTTTTAAAAAAAAAGTTTGAATTCAATTTATTTACCGTTTAAAAAACATATATTATAATTCTATGGTGTATTTATTTGTGATTTTTCATATTTTTATAAGTGAAATAAATTATTGTAAAATAGTAGTTGTATAGTTTTATGAAAACATCACTAAAGTAAATAATGATAACTTACAAGTAAAAACACTCTTAATATTCATTTTAAAATTTTATTATTTTTAATATAAATATGGATTATAATTTATTTTATTGAGAAAATTATATTATTTTATTTTAAATATATAGACTAAAAGATAATGTTACTTCAATATCAAAATAAGATAGGTAAAAATTAAGTTAGAATATTTTTAGAAAATTATTGAGAAATTAATAATAATAAAAAAAGGTGTGTATTTTGTGTTTGTTTGGGGATTGGATTGGATTTACACTATTTATTTATTTATTTTTCCACAAATATCAAATCAAACACTTATTTTTCATTTTTTATATTATACTAAAAATCATTTTTACATTCAAAACATCACATCAACACTTATTTATATCACATCATACAATTATTCAAATTCAAAATTTTTACTATTAAAATCCTAATTCAAAATCCAAACTTCAAATAAACACAGAAATAACAGATGCTTTTCTTAATAAAAAAAAAAAAATTGACATATTTTTTTAAATAAAATTATAAAAATTTATTATTTTTATATTATGACACTATTCTCTATGACTCATGATTATATTTTAGATTTACTTTTTCCTTAAATATTATAATTATTTTCAAAATATAAAAATATCCGAAATACCAGCGAACACTCCCATGGTTTTAACAAAACATTTTTTAAATGTCACCAATTTGAAAAAATATTTGTTTATACCATAAAGGAGTAGATGTAATTTTGGTTTGAATTACGTTTTTAGTTAAGTAATATTTTTAGTTTTGTGAAAAAATTATAAATATTGGGTTTGAATTATATCCTACATATATATATTGTTTGAGATTAAAATTTTATTTAAGTGATTTTTATATTATAACATAATTTATTATATTTTACATTAAAAAAATTATTTCAAATAAAAAAAACTAAACAAACAGCTCAATCCTTTTATTTAAAATGAAAAAACAAACATAAATTTAAATTTAAATTTAGATAATATTTTCATTTCTGGACAAATTAGTTACTGCAGCTTTCAATGGACCCCTACCACTTATAACACCCACTAAATGGTTTCTTATATATTATGTCATCCTCCATGCCGAAAAGCTAAAGTTGCATTATTTGTTGCAATCTTTATATGGATTATCATAATATAATAATACTAACACTAATGATTCCTATGTGGACAATTAGGTTCTTTATTTATATCCCATCCATCTTTAACAGTTAATTCCATGATCAACACATATGTCGCACATTATAAATTTTCTTCATGGACAAGACCACAAACTATTTTTTTCATGATAGTAAATTCACAGATAAAGCACTCCATAATAGTACATGCTTTTGTATTTTCAAACAAACACCATCAAGTGAAAATCAAAGAGAAAACCAAAAAAGGTAAAGTGCAGAAAACCCAAGGAAGAAGCCATCCAAAACATCATCAACCACAACCCAAAAGCACAAATTATTGATAGGAAAAAGGAAAGAAAGAAAGGCAGAATGGATTGGCTTAGTGGCACGCCGAGGAGTCGTTCTCCTTCTCCTTTTCCTTTTCCTTCTCTTCATCGCTCTTGGAATGGTAACCAGGGATCTTCTCCTTTATCTTCTCCAAGAAGCCTTTCTTTTCCTTACCAGACTCAGGGGATGCGCACTCCGGCGCCGGCGGAGAAGGCGGCGCCGCCACTTCCTCTGGTTTCTTGCCTCCTGGAAGCTTGTCCTTGATTTTGTCCAAGAATCCTTTCTTCTCCTCCGGTTCGTGAACTGGCGCGTCGTCGCACTTCTCGACCGGGACTGAAGTGTCCTCGTACTTCAGTTCGTGAGTTTCTTCTTTCTTATCCTCGCCGGAGAGTTTCTCCTTGATCTTTTCCTTCAATCCTTTCTTCTTCTTCTTCTTCTCTCCGTACTCATCTACTTCTTCCTCGTCGCTTGACTGCGGAGATTATTAGAATCGAGACTGATTCATCAACGTGTTGAATAATTCATAAAACGTGAGACGATCTAAGACTAACGCATCGATGGAGCTATATCTGATCTCAACTAATCTCGTGAGAAGGGAAACAGTTTCGCAATGGAATCGAGACTGATTAATCTAACGTATAGAATTAATAAGCATAAGCTGATCTACGCAATGGAATCGAGACTGGTTAATCTAACGTATTCATGAGTTCATAAGCATAAGCTGATCTACGCAATGGAATCGAGACTGATTAATCTAACGTATTCATGAGTTCATAAGCATAAGCTGATCTAACATGAACAAATCATTGGAGCTATCTATGATCTCAACAAATCTTGTGATAACGGAAAACAGTTGAGCAATGGAATAAATTATTGTGTACGAATAAAATCAGCATAGCATAATGCGGACGGCGATTTCAAATTCAAACTTACCGAACTGCTAGAGCTGTCGCTCCTCTTCAGCTTCTCGATCAATCCTTCGTGCTTCTTTTCCTCCTCCACGTACTCCTCTTTCTTCTCCGGACACACCTGAACTTTATGCTCAAACTCATCGGCGATCACCTCCTCCTCGCACTTCTTCTCCTCCTTCTTCTCTCCGAAACCGAACAGTCCACGATCGCTGGCCTCCACCGCCGCATACTCCTCCACCTTGGGCACCGCCGCTGTCTCGCACGGCTCCTCCACCTTACTCTCGTGGTGGTGCTGGTACTTCACTTCATCCGCCATACCGATCGGAATCTACAAACGCTATAATCAAAATCCGAACAATGCTTCTGAAATCACACACACACGCAGATCGTTGTTGTTTCTAGAAATGAATGGTAGAGAACTGTGAATGGCGGGGGTTTATATAGCACAGCCATTGGAGGCGCTCACAGCGTGACATCAACTTTTCCCGCAAAAAAATAAAATTAAAAAATTAAAAAAACCGCAATTCCTTATTTCCCAAAGCAGTCCAAAAGCCGTGCAACTGCTCCACTTTGTAACCCCAGTGCTGACGTGTCCGCTATTTTATTTATTATTTTTAAAATGCAATAAATACATTCAATCACGTAACTTAATCTCTATTAATTTAATATCAATTAATAATTACAAAGTCGGTACCCGATAACCACGTAACGACTATGCAATTAATCAGCAAAGTTTACCACATTAATAAATTTACTTAATGAAATAATCTATTTTTATTTTTATTGAATCTACTTATAATTTTTTTCAAATAATAATAAAATCCGTGTATTAAATATTTAAAAAATACGGTGATGCCGACAGAGCCACGCCTGCGACGCGACCTGAAGCCAATGAGGCGTCGCCACGTAACACTGGGGTTGTGTTTGTTTGGAGGTTTGTATTTTGAGATAAGATTTGAATATTAAAAATTTTGAATTTGAATAGTTGTACGATGTGATATTTTTAATGTAGGTGTTGATGTGATATTTTGCATGTAAAATTGATTTTTAGGATAATATAAAAAATGAAAAATAGGTGTTTGATTTGATATTTTTGGGAAAAAAAAATTGGATAAATAGTAAAATTTTGCACAAGTCTTGCAAAGAACACACCCTAGGTAGACGTGGAATATTGTACCTGGTGGGGTCCAGATCGTGTCGGCCTTGATTGGATAAATAAAGTCTGAAATGGGCGGTGAGATAACGTTCAGAAATAATTGAGTGGGACACGTGTCGGAATATGAACGGAGCGATGAGTTTCTCGAGATGTTATAACATGATCGAGTGCAGCGCAGTTGCACAATACGTCGAAATCAAAAACGGTGGGGCCCGGCCCGGCCCGGCCCGTAGGACAGATGGTCGGCTGGATGCGTTTGAATATATGGGCAAAGGACGCGGTTTCTATTGTACTTTTTTGGTATTGTTGCACGTGCGATGCGCCAGCTGAGGTGTATCGGCACGTGATATGCCCCGCTGGTTTTCTCTTTAAAGCTCGGACACGAGACATCCGGCCTCGTAGATCCAATTAAAGCTAGTAGTGTTTTTTTTTTTTTTTTTTGGTTTGTGTAGTGTTTATATATAAATCAATATTATTTAATTTGTATAATTAATAATAAAAACATTATATTTCGTTAAAAGATATTAATTAAATTTCAACCAAATCAAACAAACATTTCTATGTTTGGTTACCATTTTGATCCGGGTTAACACTATGCTTCAAATTTTTTTAAAAAAATATTACATCATATAATTTAATTTAAAATTTATTCCAAATTCTCTATTTTTATATTTCTCTTAAATAAATAAATATATTTATATATATATATATATTTAAACACTTAAAATAATTTATGTTAATTATAAATAAATATTTATATATTTATATTATATAAAATTTTATTATATATATTTTAATAAAATATATTTATAAAAATAATTAAATACATATTTTTTTTATTTTTTTAATCATATATATATTACATTATATATCAAATATTAATTAAATGAATGAACTTCCCACTTCGAATTCAATAACTCGGTCGGTAACCAAATGCACCTTTTGTTGTTTTAGATATTTTGTTGTTAAAAATTTGAAATTCTAAAAATAATATAGAGAGTGACGGTGTTATTTTTATTATTAGTTTTTGGTATATTTATTTTAACTTTCATATATATATATATGTATATATTACTTTCTCCATTCCACATAATTTGTCCATATTTTTTTATTTTCGTTTGTCTCACGTAACTTGTCATTTATTTTTTTTGAAAATATGATTATTCACTCTAATCGTATTTTAAAGTTTATAATTTTTTTAATTTTAATTAAACTATTTAATTATTTTAATTTTAATTTATAATTATTTTTATTTAATAATAATTACTTTTATTACTAATTATATTTTATCTAAATTCCTATATCCATAGTAATAGGCCCGAAATATATGGACGGAGAAAGTATATATTAATTTATTAATTTCGCATTTTGTGTCATGTACACTTTAAATATTAAAAATTAAAAGGTATATAATTAGTAAGTAATTAATTTATTTTTTTTAAAGAAAATAATAATATTAAAATTTCAAAATTTATTGTGTAAATAAAGTCTTAGTACGGTTATCGGACTTGTTTGGATCATCATTATCTTTATCAAAGTAAGATCAAAGCCCACGGTTTCCATGTATTTTTAAAAAAGAAAAAGTAAAATCAAAGCCCAATTGTTATTAGTTTATTTATATTCATCAATAATTCAATATAGAAATAAAATTCACCTAACATTGTCTATTGTGTATGCAATATACTTTCGTCCGTCCCAAAATTATAATCTTAATTGAGTTCAATACGTGATTTAAGTAATATTAATATTATATTGGTAGTTAGTAAAATGTATGGATAAATTTTTTTTTGCCATTGTGAATGTATTAGTGTAAAAAGTAGTGGCAATTGTGTAATAAAAATGAAAAAGTAGAAGTAATTTGATGGTAATACGATTATTTATAAAAATAAGACTATTATTTTAAGACGAACAAAAATAATAAATAAGACTATTGTATTAGAACAAAGAGAGTATATAATAATGAAAATATTATTATCACAACACATGAAAATCGTCACCCTACCGTTCAAAATTCAACAATAGTGTTAAAGTTAAAAAAGTATTTGACAAATTTATTTAATATACATTAACAATAAATTTTAAATATATACACAATATAAAATAAACTATGCATTATGTGTAAACCTTATAATAATAAGTGTTATGATTACAAATCTAACCCTTATATCATCAGACCATAGTATTTTGTTTATTTGAAATTTTGTTTTCGTGTGATTTAAATAATAGTTTAAATGTAATATTTTCAACTGAATATTTTTATAAAAATCTGTAAAACTATTACTTTGAGTTTAAATTATTTTTCCACTACAGAAATATTATTTACAACCATTTGTGTTTATTTGTGTTTTTGAAAGAATGAAATATTCATTAAAACTTATACAATATCTCAATTTTTTTTGCTCTATTTGTCAGTAAGGTTTGAATTTGTAGTTTAAATATTGAAATTTTGAAAGTTAAAATAAGTATTTGATAATAATATAAATATAAATATATCAATGTGATATTTTAATTTTAAAATTATTTTTTTAATATAATATAAAAAATAAAATTTCATTTTAATATTTTTGAAAAAATATTTTATAAATAATAACATTTTGGATAAATAACTAAATTTAAATATTTTTAAAAAAACAATGCAAGTTTATATATAAATTATAATTAAAGTAATATAGTAGTAATTTTTTTTAAAAATAAATAATAACTATAAAATTTTAATTGAAAACCCAAGGAAGGATATGTTATTTTAGGTTCTTGAGGGGGCATGTAATGATTAGACAATACTTCAGGAGTATAATGAAAGTTGAAATTCTCTGTCCCAATTATTTAACGATCATCAGTTTGAAATCGCCGTCGCGGTGGTTGACATCTCCTCTCCGTCCGCAACCTCAACCGGAGGGAAGGGAAGGGAAGGGGAAATCACGGAAATTTGTTGCTGTTTTATTGTGAATTCTGTAGACAGACGGCGGAGGGGAGGCGAAAGAGGCAAGGAAAGTGAACACAGTGGCGGGTGGAGCTAAGAGGATGATAACGCGGTCAAAATTGGCGGAGCAGCTGAGAGAGTATCAGCTTCGATCCAAGCACGATTGGGCTTCCGCTTCGTTTTTCTTGTCCACCTCCAATCTCGCTTCTTCTAGGTGATTATTTCTTTTATTTATAATTGAATTGTCGTTTGTTTACGTTGTCTTTTAACGAAAATTTCATTTTTGATGTAATGTTTCCTTTGATTTGTTAAAGAATTGCGTATATGTTTAGAGATTTCGTGTCCATTGCACTGTATTTTAGTTTGGATGTATGGAGGAATTGAATTTTAGATGCTGTTTCGCTGAACCTGTCTGGAATTGGTAATGAGCGGGTAACCAAATTGTTAAGATAGGGTTTTTGTACTAGGTAATTGAAAATTTTCTTGCCAAGAAATGAATTCTGAAATTGTTTACTTGCAATAAGACATTCTGATAATATATGATAATAAGGATGGCCACCATAAACTCAGAATTCATGAATTCATAAAGATTGATTGTCCCTTAAGTTCCCACTTCCCAGTAAATTCTTGAAATCATTGTTTTCCCTGATCGTTCGGAATATAGGGCATTATAATGTTCATATATATTGGACAAGGCGTTCATATGTTAATTTTGCAGCGCTTCTTTTTGTGGCTATCTTTATTGTTGTTCTTTTTTGTGCGGCTATAACTTGTTTCCAATATAGCATTTGATGTATTGCTTTCTTCTTCATGTATGCAGGGTTGATGTTGCAGTCTTTGTTATATGGGAGCTTCTTATTTTAGCAGTCTTTGTATTCTCAGCTGTTTCATTATATTTTAGGCATTTAAGGCTTGCAATTTTTTTGTTGTGCATTACAACGCTATTGCTTTTAACCATGAAAATTACAAAGCAAATTAGACTAGCTCGCAAAAAGCAAAGGAGGATGCTTCTTCCATTATCAATGTAGTAGTTAGTTGCCCATGAATCGGAAACTGAATCACATGTATCAACTTCCATGTAGATTGGTAAGTTCTCAGCTGCTGCTTTGGTCAGCTTCTCCATTTTAAATTTGCAGTATGTGTTATTGCCCTTAAACTCAGATCATTACAAAATGCAAGTGTTTTGCTTGCCCCCTATGTGAAACAAGTGAAATATTGTTTTTTATTGTATAAATTATTTGAAAGTTTTGGTTTGCCAAATTCAGTGTCCTTGAATATTTGTTGCAAGAGAAGGTGGATTCTTGCCAATATTGATCATAATTTGTAAGGGAGCTAAGCTATCATTTCTGTAATAAAATGCTCACTCTATTTTCATTGTTTTGTACATTCAATATGATTTGTTTCGTGAATCCCAGTGTCCATCTACTTATTCTGGCTTGAAGAAGTGGATTGCAATTCCTTGTGTTGCTATAGTCCATATTGCTCCAAAGACAAGCAAAGCACTTAGTATCATTCCTAGAGATCCTAGTATCCAATTAAGCCACCACATAAAGCTATTCTTCTCGGGTTTCTTGATTTTAATCCACATCAAACAGGGATATGCAAGTGAAACTGGTAGAGCTATCCCCCCTATCAGCCCAGCCAAGCTTTTCAAGAAGGGAAGCGCAATGGAGATGAAAAATGCCAGGCAGCCAAAGAAAACTCTAATCCCTGCCCGAACCCACCAAGGGCATGGCCTGTTCTTGTTGCTGGTATATTTGAACTCCATATTGTCAAACACGGGCATTGCGTATATCTGGAATGAAGTCAAGCTGTGGATGACAATTAAGAGGCTGGTCATCCCCATTATTGCCTTTGATATTTCACTGCCGTGGTATTTATCCAGAGCACTCATCATTCCGTTATTTGCTGGTATCTGGAAACATTGAATGCTGATTACACTTCTTAAAATGTGATAATTGTGCACTCTTTTATACGAGGTGTTGATATTACTATTATATGTGTTTTTCCATTTGTTCTAGGTTTATGAATGCAAGTTTAGAAACTAGCTTTTACTAGTCATTTTTCCTTTCCCTACTAAACTTAATTTGGTTTGGGAATGTTTCCAGAGGGGGGCCTACCAGGTTTCCATATGCCCAATAGCCTCCAATAGCCATTGGAAACAGGCAAGCAGCAATGATCAGGTATGCAAACTTCACCCCTTTCCACATTGGCACACTTGATGGATTCTTTGCAGATGAAGGCATAGTTCCCTGTATCAAAATTAGAAATTCAGGCAGTTGCTCATAATCCACCTATGCTATTCTTGCTTTCCTATTGATTCAGTCAATCCCCTTACCTGAATCTCCAAGACAACATTGTGCCCTCTAAAAGCAAACGCAATAATCCCAAGGCCATTCAAAACACTGCAAACATTCCCAACTTGTGATATCATTCTTACAGGCTCATATGACACTCCTAAGGGCCTGGATTTGGACACAGACAAGATCCAGGTCAGGGTGCAGTATGATACAGCAGTGATTGCACCGATCAGGGAAACCCCAGCAATGGAATTCAAGTTGGGAAGCTGGGACAGCAAAACTGCCAGGCACACGAAGACTATGTACCACTCTATAAGTGATAGTGAATTAGCATTACAGGTTGTTCTACAAACAGTATGGAAGAAGATTTTTAGTGTGGTGCTTCCCATCATTATCAGGCTCACACATGTCCCGCCTGCCAGGTACAGAGTTGGAAATAAGGCCAGGATCTTCCCCAGCCTTTCACCTGGAAAAGGTACCAATGACTGAATCTCGCATCCTCTACTTTTCCTGGATGATTGATGATGCAATTATGATTACAGGAAATCAAGTCAGTGGAAGAATCACTAACCGAAAGCTGCCTTGGAGAGCCCGAGGTATCGGCTGTAGCGAATTCCAGGGGAGGATTCATGGAGCTGAACTAGCAACCACATGGTGTACAGTTGCCACACAAATGTCACAGACAGGCTTATGATTCCCCACGCCCTGAAACCAGCATAGGTAATGTCATTTCAATTCTTCAGACGGCATACAAAACAAACACCTGCCAATTTATATTGACAATAAATGCATCTTGCAAGTTACCATCCAAGAGCTGTGAAAGCAAGAGGAAGTACAAGGGCCTGGAATCCGATCCCAGAGCTGAGGGTGTGAAAAGCTGCATAATAAGCATTCCCATTTCGGGACTCAGTGATGGGCAGCCATGAGTCCTGGAGGTCAAGCCTGGTGAGATGCCCAACTTCTTCCAGGCACATCTGCACACTAGAGAGGGCCCTCTTCATCGGACTGGCCAGAGGTGTCATCATCTGGGCTGCACTGAAAAATGGACTTTTGAAGGAATCTTGATGTAATGGGGATGGAGCTGGAGCTGAAGCTGAGTGAGTGAGGGATGATGGGCGGTTGGGAAGCACTGGACTTGATGAGCTCATTTCCATGAGGTTAGTCATAGCCAAACTAATACTGTTGCCTATTTCTTGTTTTTGTGCTGTCTCAGAGTTGATGATGAGGTGGTGTCATGAGGCTCCCTGCTTATATAGAGCTGGAACATGTGCTTAATAACATATCCTTTCACCTTTCATTCATATCAGGGCTTTTCTGATTTTCAGTCATTTGGTTAAAGTGGAGCTTTGACTGCTTGACCAGTTGCCCCACAATGGCTGCGGCCTTCAGCATTGATAATTCACAAATGAATGAAGCAAAAGTAAGTGCTTTTACACCTCATTAGTTACGTCTATTTAGTATCTCTCTGTGTTTTTTTTTTTGCCTCCAAGATTCAGTTCATATAAGCATGTTAAAATACCACTGCTTCTTTGTTCTATCTGATCCATTCCAGCTGATAATTAGATGTGCATATATATATGTTATCTTGAATTGAGGACTAACTAGTGAAGGAAATATTTATTTTTAAAAACTTATCTGTCAAAGAATTAAGGAAAAATGTTTACTTTGTTTATAGAATTGTTAGTAGATTTTTTGTTGCTGCACCGTAATAAAAATTCCACCATTCGGAAAATCCTCAAGACAAAATTTGTGCCACTTTTGAATTTCTTAGAAGGAAGTCTTCAAAGATGATTTGAAAAGCCAAATTTAGTCCAATGTAAGCTTATGCTTTAATTTATTTATTCCACTTGTGAATTTCTTGGAAGGAAGCCTTCAAAGATAATTTGAAAAGCCAAATTTTAGTCCAATGTATGATTATGCTTTTATTTATTTATAGATTAGGGTGATGATTAGTATATTGCAGAAATTAGTTAATTTAGGAGAAAGATGTAAGCACTGAGCAAATGTACAATCATTGTAAATAAAATTGTACCCCTTTAAAGCAGTAGAGCTTTATTTAAGATCATTGGTATTGCAAGGAAAGTTCTTGCAGTATATATATATATATAGATATAGATATAGATATACAAGTCCTATGAAAAATGCCTGTCCTTCCAAAAAACACCCCACATCAACTTGTTTGGTTTCTTAGGTGAGAAGAGAAGATAGGACACCGGTAATTCTTGCATAGAGATGATCATACTAAATCATAATAGTAGTAATAAATAATATATTCAGTCATAACTTTTGTAGGGTGATACATGAAAAGATGGCTTGCAACTTTTTGAATTAGGGTTTTGATATATCTATTCAGCTTTTATTTTAACTTATAAAAGTATGTTACTATGTGTTGACACGTATTTTTTCAACAGACAAAAAGTAAAATTCGAAAATAAGGAAATATCTTCGAACTTGATTAATTAGTGTTTGAGATTAGGAATCTCTAAACACTGTACGGTACACAAGAAAATTAACTGGATCCCCAAATTTGACTTTGCTTTGTTGAAGTTGATTGAAGATGATTGTAGAAGAAAAATCTAAATCCTTAATACTTCTTGAAAGACGCTTTGGAACCGTCGCCAGCAACCGCCGTCAACCGCCCAAAAGAAACGTTTTGAAACATCGCCTGGTCAGTTATGGCAACCGTCTTGTCAACTGCATAACCCAACCGACTAATCCAGCGACTAACTGGTCGCTAGACCAAAAGACTCATTGACCGTCCCCACCAAGCGACCAAACTACTGTTCACTTAAGTGGGCAATCAATTACCAGACTTTACTTCGTCCGACCTCCGTAGCAGCCGACTTTACTTGGTTTGACCACGTACCAACTGACTTGCTTATCCGATCTGCTGACCATTAGACCTGTCTGTCCGACCTGTTGACCATCAGATCTGAGAACCTCCCGACCTGAAGACCTTTCGACCTGCGGACCTCCCAACCTGAGGACCTTCCAACCTGAGGATCTCCCGGCCTGCGGACCTCCCGACCTGCGGACCTTCTGACCTGAGGAGCTCCCAACCTGACCAACCGACCTGACCACAAATTTTTTCCTTTTTTACCCGACTTCGAATCTAACTTTCTTTTTTAAAATCCTGCTATCCTTATTTTTTTTTATTATTATTTTTTGTACGTAATCCTATGATTGAAATAAATGTTGCTGATAGTTTATTTGTTTTAAAAATCTAATGAAGGGTTAATTGATGTTAGGAAGTACTATTTGCTTCATTGCTTGGATTATTTGTGTTTTGGATTTTTTTGGTGATGTATGGATTTGAAGTTTTTTTAAAAGAAAACAAACATATTAGTTGTGATATTTTAGAATGAAAATTTTAAATATTTTAATATAAAATTGTATGGTAGACAAATAATATGGAAGCACATCAGAAGTTTCAAAATATTTCTTTTTTATTAGTGTGTTTTCTTTTCTTATATATATATATATTATAATAAGAAGTATTGCAGGTACAATGATAGGCATAAATTTGTGATGATAGTGGCTCTTTGAATAACTTTTGTGAATGAAAATGCACCAGCTAACTTTAGAAAAAGAAGAATGCTCGTCCTAGAACACACAGACAGATGTACAATGTCTGTATGGTTACTATTGAGAGACAGTTCCCTTTCCTTAACAGATGACGATTGCTATGTGACGTCACTTCATGACGTCATATATGGGTAATTGTTTTAATTATGTTGTAAGGTTTAGAATTTGTCCAAATTCACAAAATACTATTTCTCGATTTTAGTTTATTTGTTTGATGCAACTTCTTGCAAAAGTTTCATTTATGTCAAAATTTCATACCCATATTATGTTGAATACATTTTTTTTTTTTTTTCTTAATGTACACTGAAATATATACCAGAAAAATTATGCATATCAGTACATACATTGAATATTTGAAAATTTTTTTTATCGATACAACGAAAACATGTCGGCATACTATAATTTCAACAAATTCCTAATTTTTTATACAAAAAATTCGGTATACCAAAAATCTTGGCATTTATTTTATCTATTGGGCCTTATATGTTACAAAGAAAGTTAGATTTGGGTCGGGCCTGTGTATATATGACCCATTGAATTTATTATTTTATTTCTTATCTACTTATTAGTAAATAAAATAAATAAATATTGCCTACTACATTGAAATTCCGCTGTAGCAACTTTTTGTATGTATATATCTAATTTTTAGTCCCTATAGTTGAACTTTTCTTTACCAATTACCGTATTTGACCTCATATTTTTCGAATCATCAATTTCAGTACCTCAGTCATCCTCTTTCTTCGATTTTTGGTCCTTTTTTTTTTTTTTGTTGAAAATTTATTATAGGTCAAATTTGTTTATATATAAATGATTAGTTTATATATAATATAATTAATAAGTCTCTACATCTTAATGAATTAATTAATCAAAGTAAAATAATAAAGAAATTTGACCAATTTTTAGTCCCTTTAGTTGAACTTTTCTTTACCAATTACCGTATTTGACCTCATATTTTTCGAATCATCAATTTCAGTACCTCAGTCATCCTCTTTCTTCGATTTTTGGTCCTTTTTTTTTTTTTGTTGAAAATTTATTATAGGTCAAATTTGTTTATATATAAATGATTAGTTTATATATAATATAATTAATAAGTCTCTACATCTTAATGAATTAATTAATCAAAGTAAAATAATAAAGAAATTTGACCAATTTTTAGTCCCTTTAGTTGAACTTTTCTTTACCAATTACCGTATTTGACCTCATATTTTTCGAATCATCAATTTCAGTACCTCAGTCATCCTCTTTCTTCGATTTTTGGTCCTTTTTTTTTTTTGTTGAAAATTTATTATCGGTCGAATTTGTTTATATATAAATGATTAGTTTATATATAATATAATTAATAAGTCTCTACATCTTAATGAATTAATTAATCAAAGTAAAATAATAAAGAAATTTTAAACAATATCTATTCGATTGGATTCATTTAAATTTGTATTTATTCTAACAAAATAGTATGTATTATTGAATTTTGAGACAGGAAATCAATCATTTTCCTTGATTAAATTTTATTGTTTCAACGACATTAGATTCAAATTTTGGAGGAAGTAGCCGTTGCAAGCTTGATGAGATCCTTCCTTAGAATCTTTCCCGCCGGATTCCTTGCGATGGAAGATATGAAGGCCACTCGTCGAATCTTCTTGTATGGAGCAACCTGTGTTATATTATTATTATTATTATTTTATTTTTGTATTTACAAAAAAATATCGAGTACCATAATTTTTACACCTTTTTAGCGATCCACTCCATGACTTCGGTCTCAGATATCTTGCTTCCGGATTTACGCACCAAATATGCCATCGGAATTTGCCCGGAATCCTTATCCGGGAACCTAAAGTAATTAAATCACAAACTTAAATATGTTAGAAAAAATAAAAATAAAATCCAACAATAATTGTTTGCCACAAAAATATGATAAGAATTAAGAACAATATTAAAGTCCGTAAAATTTCTTTGAATGAATAAGTGTAAAACATTTGAATGCTACTTATATCTCAATTTTTAATATCTTCTTTTTAATAATTTAATTAAAACTTTTAATAGATGTTAAGTTACAGTCGATATTTCTAATGCATACAAAATAAAAATCGATAATTACTTACGGTATGACTGCAACATCTTCGATTTCAGGGTGGCCGAGTAACAAGGCCTCCAATTCCGCCGGAGGAACCTGCAGCAAAGATCGCATCCAAAAATTTCGATCAATCTATTTAGTATATCTTTCGACCGACTAATACTAATTCTTCTAATTAATCGCATATACAACTTTTCAATCAAAGGAAAGCGAATCGATTGGTGTTTGGATCGATCGGGCCGATTATACCTGATAGCCATTGTACTTGATGAGTTCTTTGATCCTGTCCACAACAAATAAGAAGCCATCTTCATCAATGTAGCACAAATCTCCTGTTCTTAACCATCCTTCAGAGTCTAGAGTCGAGTTTGTTGCCTCTTCGTTGCGGAAATAACCTACATTTACGATCAAATTTTAAATGAAAAAAAAAAATTGAATACAAAATAAAAAAAATAAAAAAAAGAATATAGTATAATACATACTATTCCAATGTTTTTTAGTAACTATATAATAGGAAATATATAATACTCCTTCTGTCGGCCTCTAAGGTTATATTTACTTTTTGAATCATTGTACTTAACATAAAAAAAATATCATTATAGTTGTATAATTTTTTTGTACAAATATAATGAAAGTATTTTTTCTAATTTGTAATACGTTTTGATATAATTATTAATATTTAAATATCAATACACAAAAGTAAATGAGACCTTAAAACCGAATATATATATATATATATATACAATATTTGAATAGTAAGGTGTAACAAATATTACTATTAATTTTTATACAAAAATATACTATCACCTCTATAAAATATGATTGTCAGCAAATTGTAATAATTTAACTAAACTCTCGCTATCTTACCTGTATAGTATAAAAAAATTTATTTGTAGCAATCTTTTTTTTTAAAAAAAAAAATTGGTATATTGATAAGTAGGTTGACTAAAATAGAAGAGTATTGATTAGATAATGTATACGATGTGATATATATTGATTTGGTAAATAGCTGTAAAAACAAATTAAACAATTAAATAGAAATAATATAAACTATAAAAATAAAAATATAAAATTAGGTGGAACATTCTTAGATGGTAAGTAAAAAACAAGAAGAATATATTAATTGAAACCAATACCTTGGCATCATGTAATTTCCTATTCGAGAGCTAACTACTCCTCTATATGTACACACACTAAATCCCACTTAAACTTATACATAAAATTTAGGAATGTCAAAATTAAAATCGATCCGAAAATCAAAACTCGTTCGACCTGAAATATTTTTTAGTTCGAGTTTGGATATTTTGGGATTACAAAAATTGGATCGACCCGAATTCGAAACTAAAAAAATTTATGTTGTATTCCGGGTTGACATGATAATCCGAAATATAAAAAGTAGCTCAAATTTAGGGTTTCGAATTTCGAGTTGATATTAAATTATTATTATTATTTTATATTTAAAATAAAAATTGAAATAAAATTTTTTTAAGTTAATTTAAATTTTTTTTAAACTTTGTGTTCGTATTTCGGGTGACCTGAACTAATTTAGGTCAATATGAATTTGACCGAAAAAATTTAAATTGATAATTTTTTATTATTTTCATGGCTCAACCTCATATGTAGACAACCAGAAAATTCGAATTGACGCCCTGATAAATTAGGCCACAATCCCAGCACACTAACCACTATAAATTAGTTTATAATTATAAATCATATGTAATAGTTAAGAAAATTTAAATTTAAATTAATTAGTGTTACCTTTCATTATGGCGGGTCCCTTTAACCAAAGCTCACCGGTCCGGTTCACCGGCAGCGACTCACCGGTTTCTGGATCGGCGATCTTCGCCGCCATGTTCGGCGACAGAAGCCCTGCCGATCCGTGCTTCCGGCACTCATCCATAGTGTCACTCGACGCTCCGACGGCGGTCGATTCAGTCAGACCGTAGCTTTGGCGAATCATCACGTTCGGATACAGTTTCAGGAATTCCTCCGTGACTTCCTTGCTCAGCGGCGCGCCGCCGGAGTTGATGATTTTTAAGCTGCTCAGATCGTACTTGTTCCTGAGCTTCTTGGCGTTGGCGGTTAAGGCGACGAGGATTGGCGGAACTAGGGGGAGATAGTTGACGGAGAAATTCTGGATTGCGGTTAGCAGTTCGTGCATATCGAATTTGGGGAGGACGACGACGGTTGCGCCGGCGGCGATGAGACCGGTGGCGAAGGCGACTACTCCGTAGATGTGGAACATCGGTACGGTGCAGACCATAATTCTGTTCTTCTCTTCGTCTGATCCGAGTCGTTGTAGGAGCATTTCGGTTATGGCGATTAGGTTTCTGTGCGTAGTTACGACGCCTTTGCTTGCGCCGGTGGTGCCGGAGGAGTAGAGGAGAGTGGCGGCGTCGTCCTGGTGGACTCGTTCCTTGACTCGGTTGCGACTCACTTCTCGATTCATCATTTCTTCGATTGAATCGACGATTCGCAGAGCGTCGGATCTCCGATTTAATTTCACGGCGCCAGAGCGGAGGAGGACGATGGGGAGATTTGAGGCGGCGAGTTTGGGGATGAGATGTAGAGTGGTGAAGGCGAGGACTGGTTTGGAATCGGCGATCTGTTTCTGGATTTCGTCGGAAGTGAGGAGAGGATTGGCGGTGGTGACGACGGCGCCGATGGAGATTACGGCGAGGAAGACGATCGGGAATTCGATTGAATTAGGGCTGAGAATGAGGACTGTTTGGCCTTTGCGTATGGCTAAGTCTACGGAGAGTGAGGTAGCGACGGATTCGACGGCTCGCCAGAGGTCGGGGAAGGTGAGGCGGTGGCCGGTGGCGGCGTCGATGAAGGCGACGGTGGCGCGGTGGGGGCGGGCGGAGATGTAGGTGGTGGCGTCGAGCCATTGGTTGGAGGGAATGGCGACGGGGTTGCGCTTGCTGTAGAAGGTGCGGTTGGTTCTGCAGAAGCCGCTGCGTGGGTCGATATCGGAATAGGAGTCGGAGGAGTTTTCCGCCATTGAAGAGGAGGTGGAGAAGTTTAGCTTCTTCGTGATCGGTACGGAATTAACTGCTCCTTGTATGAATTTGTTGCCGTAGACTAGCTCATCTACCTATTTGAGTATCTACACTATTATTATTATTATTATTATTTATTCTGTTACTTCTTTTATTTTTATTTTTTTAATTATAAAATTTTAATATTATATTAATTTTTTCAATTTATATATTTTTTAAAATTTAATTAATTATTTTTATTATACTATAATTATTTTTTTCTAGATGAAGTATTATTATTGTTAGGAGTATTTTTTATGGACACTTTTGATTTATTATGTGCCTATTTAAATAATTAATTAAATGAGAATTAAGGGGTGCCCAAAACATTAAACACCTTAATTATAAATGGTGGAATTGTGAATCAAATCTAATACACAACGTAGGGATGGCATGGCGCCTTCCCTCTTGGCTACGTACACTTTATACGTGTATTTTATCCCCAATCTAGTGCATACTAAAAAATAAAAAGTAAATGGCATACCACCTCTTGTATTTTAATCAAAATATACATTATACTTTGTGTTTTATTTATCATATAAAATCTAAAATAAAGTATATACAAAACACATAGTTTGTTCAAAATGGATATTACTATATAATTAGATGCACGTTTATACCCAAACATTAAATTTGAACAAATAAGAAATTTTGTGCATATTTTAATTTTATAGAAATACATAATAATTTTATGTATTTATACTAAAACATAAAATACGTTTTTTGATTGGAAGCCAATAGCCTCTCTTAGAAACCAATCTGAATGGAGCCTTAAATATGTATAATTTATTAGGGTGCTGAATAAGAAAAATTGATATCATACTATTAATTATTCAACAAATAAAAATACATTAAACAACATTCAAATTTTCAGTTGAATTTCACCAAATTTGAACCAATCCAAAAATTCAATTTTTTGGCAAAAACAAATTCTATCTGATCCAAAATAACCAAAATTCGAACCAAATCCGAAATTCTCTATTTTTGTTATTTTTTAAAATTTTATGTATTTTACTTCATATTTTATAATTGTTTTATACTATTAGATATATACAATAAATAAAACTAAGTATATCATACCTATAATTAATAACTTTTAATTCTTATTTTATAAATCCGATTATAATTTTATCCAAAACATCGTATTCAATTATTATTTAAGCATTTATCAACAGACAACTCTCCGCTCCCGTCCACCCCGAAAGGGCGTGGCAAAAGATACCATACCAGATCGGGGTGTCACATTTTACTCCAAAGAACTTGTCGATCCACAAGACTAAGACGTTCATCGTCGAGGCGTTTCCAAGTCTTGATCGACTTGACCGCCGCCCACGAGCCGTCCTTGTTCTTCTCCATCGACGCCGCCACCACCCTCGCCCTCCTCGCCCACCCCGCCTTCCCATAAGCATGGTACCCGAACCCCCCGGCGTAGCACAAATTGATGCCCCTCAGATTGCCACAGAAGTCGTTGAGGTGATCGTGCCCCGTGAAAACTGCCTTCACATCCCCGGCCTCGGCCATGGTTGCGAAAAAACCGGAGTTGACCGATGCTGAGCTGATCCCGTTGCCGTCGGGCTCTTGCTTCACGCCGGTGAAATTTGAGGCGTCAAAATATGCGTATTCCGGCAGCGGAATGTGGAAGTAGACGAGCCCCGGGGCGTGGCCGTTCTGTGGCTCTGGCATGTTTGCGTAACTCCTCTGCATTAGGACGAATATGAATTAGTACATACGGAGGCTTATACTACTTTCGTCCGCCGCCAAAAGTGTCGTAGAGGGAGTGAGCGTATTCTTGAAAAATGGAAAAAGATATTACAAAATATCAAATCAAATATATATTACAAAATATTATATTATATATTATTTTTTATTATTTTTAAAATTTTAAAATCTATATATTGTCTAAAACCAGAGCCACATATTTTTACAAATTTTACTATATAATCTTGCTATTTTTGTTAAAAAAAAAAAAAAGAAAATTAAATTGTTATTATAAAATAATTTAAACTCAACCAAAAAAAAAAGAAAAAAGAACACTAAAATGTAAAATTGTCAAGTTTGTTTGCTTGCTTCTACATTTCATTTCTTTTGAATAACTCATTAACTTTTCTATACAATATATTTATTTTTATTAATTTATTACTATAAAAATATTAAATAATATATTTTTATTAGAAGAGGAACGTGCCTGAAGGTTGAAGGAAGTGTGCAGAAACCAGAGCTGCTGCGACGGTTTGATCCAGTCGTAGCCGGGAATGGACCCCACCTTCGAGTAATCGCCGCTGTCCAAAAAGTACAAATTCAGCACCGATTTGTTCGCCAGATGTGAACCTCCAACGCCGTACACTTCCAGGTTGTAATTACCGTATCCGTCGATGTCGGAATGGTGTTCCGATGCAGCAGGATTGAGCTTAGACAGAGTGTTGTTCATCCCCACGATGTGCCTCATCACCCCCTCCCTCGACAACGTCGATTCCTGGTCGTGATTTCCCAGCACCGCCGCCCATGGCCTCCCCGACGACATCGCCGGAGCAAATGCGGCGTTCAGCGACGCCGCCGCGTCGGCGGCGTCGAATCCGAAAATATTGTCCCCTGCGAATTGGTAATTGATTAATAAATTAGGGTTAGGGTTTTGGAATTTGGGAATTTTTTAATTACCGACCTGTGAAGACGACGAGGTCCGGCTGCTCCGCCTGGATCATGCGGCGGAGGAAGGCGGTGGTGTTGAGATCGGAGCAGGACGGCATTTGCTCCGGTAAGACGTCGAGGCAGCGCGTCGTCTTCCCGTCGGCGTAGTGCATGTCCGCCACTTGCAGGATTTTGAACTCCCCTTTCTTACCGTCGAACCTCAGCTCGCTGGCGGCGGCGGCGGAGGCGGAGCAGAGGACGAATATCATCACCGTTACCATAATCGCCGCCGCAGCCGCCACTGTGTTCTTCGACATCTTCTCGATTGGCGAAAAACAAGAGATTCCAAAAAGCCGGCCAATTGTTACATTGATTGTCCAAACGATATATCCATTTCAGTCGCAGATAATAATAATTCCCATTTTTGTCTGTATCTGCAAGACTGCAACTTTATAGTTTACAAACGATACATCCATTCATGGGCCTTGAAAGTGTCTTCACAACCCGAGATGGGCTTCCAATTCGTCGGACTAATTCAATCTTCTTCCCAAGTTTCCTTTTTTTTAATAAATAAATACTAAAATATGGAAGAAGATATTTGTGGAGAATATAATTCAGCCACGTAGAGCCAATTCCAGAGGCCCATTCATTCATAGCCATGGCGGTTACTTCAGATTCGACCACTTCACCTTCTTCTCCACCGCTTCCATGGCGTCCACATTCGCAACCCCACCGCTTTCCTCCACCATTTTCGGCCGGCGAATCCTCTCTCCTCTCACGGCCAAACCAGTCGCCAGAAAATTCCTTCTCAACGGAAAGAATCCCGGAATCATCACCGCCGTCCAAAATCAGGCGGCGTTAGCCGCTTTCATTTTCTCCTCCATAACGCCGCCGCCGCGGCCGTGATTGTCCCCAACGACCCTGATGGACTTGGGCCGGTCAAAATCCAAATTTCAAGAAGTGCCGGAAACCGGCGTCTCATTTGCTGACGTGGCTCGGCGGCGGGAACGACGAGAGGGAGCAGACGATCAACCAGCTCTTGACAGAATTGGACGGCTTCTCCGGCAATTCGGGGGTCATCGTTTTAGGCGCGACGAATCGACCAAATGTTCTGGATGCTGCCCTGCTGCGGCCGGGCAGGTTCGCCGGTCGAGTCAAGATTCTGCAAGTTACTTTTGTCTTAGCTGTTGATGTATGTATATAAGTGCAAGGACTTGTGTGTATAATCTTTGGCGTGGCAGGTGCATTCCAGGGGGAAGGCATTGGGAAAGGATGTCAGATTTCGACAAAATCGCGAGCGGATTTGCAGAACCTGATGGACGAGGCAGCTATACTCGCCTTAAGGAAATTAGCGAAGACGAGATATCGGACGCCTTAGAGAGGATAATCGCCGCACCGGAGAAGAAGAACGCAGACGAGAAGAAGCGACGGTGTGAAATAATCGGACAACGTTATTGTTTCGTTTCTGTGTCCGAACATTGTCTCCGTAGCTGAATGTGAGAATTGTTGTGCAGAGGCCGGGCACGCATGGGTCGGGGCTCTAATGCCCGAGTATGATCCAGTTGCAAAAATCTCGATTATTCCCCGCGGCCAGGCAGGGAAGAGAGGCTCGAGTCGGGTCGAAGCTACCTAAACCAAATGGCAGTTGCTCTCGGAGGAAGGTCATACATTAATATTTTGATCGATCCTATATTCGATCACTTTGCACTAAAGATTCCCCGATCCTTCATGGTGGAGAGGTTTGGGTTCAGCAAGAAGATCGGGCAACTCGAGATCGGGGATCGGGAGGGAACCCAATGTCGTCGTTGATTCAGAGGTGCGGGAGCTCATCAAAACCGCATACGGTAGTGCCAAGCAAATCATCGAGGAGTTCATGAGCCTTTTCATCGACAGGAAGGCAGAGCTCTTCGTAGCCTAAAAAGACATGTACGAGGAAGAGAAGGTTTGTAATAGCAATTGTACAATACGATCAAAAAGATAAAATGAGATGAATATAATCCAGACATGGTTACGAGTGACAATGCGGTGTCCGTATATTTTTTGCAATTTTGCGTTTACTCTCCCTCTATGATGGTACATTTCCGGATAACCGAATAATACAGACAACCTGTAAATGAGGGGGTAGACTACAACAGAATTCTCACGATTGATACAGTGCGGTGCATATCCTTATCCTTTACCGCCTCGTTGCTTCTTTTCTTCCAGGGCAGCAGCCTCATTCAGCATGTCGGCTGCATCTTTGTGCATGTCGAGCTTTGCGAGGGCCACGGCTTGCATGTAAAATGCTGTGGACCATTCCGCGTAGATGCATTGAGCTTGCATCGCGTCGCGGAGAGCAGCGTCAGGCTGATCGCACATGAGGTAACAAAGGCTACGGCGTGCATGAACCGTTGGTGAAATCATGGTGCCCACGTCTATGAACTGCACGCCAAATAAAAGCCACTTAGATAAGAGATCGCTACAGGCTACAACATTCACAGTTTTGCATCTTCAAAGTTTAATTATTCGGGTACTTTCTCACCCTCCAAGACGTTGCAGTAGAGATAATGTTTTCATTTATAGCTACAGGTGGAAATGAATGAACAGATATGCGAGGAATCTACTTACATGTTCATTTAGCGCTATCTCAAATCGAATTATTAAACTAACACAATGGGTTATTAATATGCTAGATTAATTAATCATGCCTACTTGTACATCGTCTTCATTTCGATAAGGGAACTTTTCAGACAAAGATGCAAGCCAACAATAAAGTGACTTCCAATATATCGAGATAAAGGGATCCAAACGGTGATTGGTTGCTAGGTAAACAGAGTAGAACTTACGAGAATCAATATTCACTAGGCTAACTATAACACACTCGAAGATCTGTAAGACGAATCATGATGTTGAGATGAGATTTCAACTCGTATATGTACATAAATAAATAACAAATACCTGAGAATAACAATCAATAGCAGTCTTAAAATCTTTATCACGGAACGCTAAGTCACCCCTTTTCCTTGCATCCAACATGTCTCTCATTTGTTGAGTCCATTCTTGAAAAGACAACTATTTGGCATCGAAGTCAGTACAAAAAATAGATGTAGAAGTTGAACAAAATTCACCGCGGTTACTTTAGTTACTAATTTTACCTCGTTGGATCCTTCATCATCTTTGTAATGCTGCATCACTAAAAATTGATGAATAGCAGTGAGATCCATACGTGAGCATGCATCACCCATTGGTGAGAGTGGATGTGGAGGCGTGGAGGGTGCTTCTTCATGCTTTGGAATTCCCAACATCACATAAGATGGGACCTACAATTTAGGAATAATTTCATTACCTTCAATAACAGTATTTATGTAACTGATCAAACGAAATAATGCAAGGTCACAAAGTTACCAGCCTGCTTTCAATTACGTGATAAATCCCTCCATCATCAAGTGACATAATACAAGAGTTTTCCATTTTTCACCACATTAAAAAATCAAAAGCGAAATAATCACAAGATTTATCATCTCGGACATGTAAAAATGGTGGATATGAGTAAAAAAATTGATCATCAATGTAAGTTTAGTTTACTACCTGCACATATTTTTTTTTGACTATTTTAGGTAAACTATAATATAGCAATGCTTAGTAACCTAAAAGTCATAGATGGAAACAAATAACTACTACTCCAGCTTCCCGCGAATCTGCAAGGATAAAATATGACATAACAAAATAAACGGACAAAGATTACAATATCTGTAGCAACTTTGAGAAATAACTATTAGCATCATCAATAAAGCAATGAAGGTACGCAAACTGATTGATTTACTTTTTGTGCTGTAACAAGACAAGACTATTGCTATGGTATGCCATATTGGTTGTTCAGGAAGTGTAAATAACACAAAAAAGGAGTTAGTGCTTACTTCAGGTTTATTTTGCAAAGGTTCTAGTGTAGTAACAAGATCTTTGAACTTCGGGCGTTCCCTTGGTTCATACTGCAAACATTGTGAAGCAAGATCAAAAACTACTGTAGCCTCTTCAGTAGAGAAATTCCCCTCCAAATGAGAATCCATTAGCAGACGAATATTTCTTCCTCGTATCATATCCAGTGCCTGACATGACACAGAAGAATTAGATAAAGTACCTTCACATAAATTTATGTTCTACTTAAAATACAAACAGATAGGGAGGGAGCAAGAATGGTTGTTAAAATTAGATTGAGTGAAAATCTCTAAACACAAAACAGTTTTCCAAAGACAATAACGGAAAGTAACAGAACAGACCATTTCTTGATAAGGCTAAATGTGTTGTGAAGACATTACAAGTAAAACGGATGGGATAAACAAGACCAAACAATATCTCAGAGCCACAGATCCAATTGAAGCAATAAGAAACCAATAGAAAATTGGCACTATAGAACGCATGAAGGTCACTATCCTCATCCAGAAGCAACGGGAGGATTACCTTATAGCATAATTAAACTATAAAATATATAGAGAAATATCTAAGACAGTTAAAAGTGTAGAGGTAGGCTTATTAAGAAATATTCACAAAAACTGTGGAGGTAGGCACATTAAGAAATATTCACAAAAGTGTGGAGGTAGGCAAATTGAGAAATATTCACAAGCAATTAAATAATGCGTCTTACACCGTGAAGAAGCCATTGGAAGCCCTGCAGCCCTGCTCATGCAATTCTAAACTACTATGCAAATCCTCTTTGGCGATGTTATTTGGAGCAACCAATAGTTTTTTTTCTCATTTCAAAGTTTCAGAACAAAATTTTGACTGGTGAAATAGAGTGCAGGGATTATTACAGCATAATTCTGGTACGATATAGAATTTACTCTCCATCTTCATCACCGCCCTACAGCGATCTTAGGTTACATCCCAACAAGTTTTACAGAAAAATTTTCTCCTTTCAACCAATTGAAGTTCAAACTACACATCTTCAATGAAAGGAAAGTCCAAAGTAAATGCCATCACTCTCAGTGGCCTTCAGAAAAAAATTTCAATACTTAATTGGAAATCATGTAATTTTAAGGAAATGAGATTTCCGTAGTAAGTGAGGACTTAAATACATCACAAATTCACAATGCGATTGCCGTATCTTAATGAAGGGAGAATAAAACAGCACATGATTTTTTTACTGTTCGGTTCCCATTTATCGTTTGCAGGTCATCTACCTGCAAAGACTCACAGAGGTATTAACTTAACTTGGTCTCACCTTGATACGGGGATATTCATCCCTTTATCTAACCAGGAATTATGTAGGATTATACAGCCAATCTCTTCTAATTAAGCAAACTAGAACAGCTTCTACAGACCCCTGAAATAGCATTCCAGCTGTTGCATACAAAACAGTCTAGTATCCCTTAACAAATTTAATCGGGTAATTGATACCCCATTGAAACTCCCATATGTTAATAGTAACCACAGGAAACATTTTGCAGCTATGCAGGTGTAATCTCAATCCACATTTAATTGACTAAAATGTGAAAGTGTCTTACAATAGCAAATATATAGAAATTGGTTAAATGTAGGATATATAGAAAATAAATCCTTGCTACCCAACAAATTGAACAAGTTACAAAAGCTTATAAGTAACATAAATAAATACGTACATGACTTGGAGGGATATGCTTTCCACTAAGAAGATCCAAAAGCACGGTTCCAAAACTGAATACAACACTTTCCGGAGTGACCCTCCCTAGAAGAGATTGCATCACATGTCAAGTGAGAGTGCGTGTGAGTGTGCGTGTGCGTGTGCGCGTATGTGAGTGTGGTGCTGTCTGGAGTAATGAAAGCTCAAAGAAGCAGTTAACAATCACAAAATGCCAAAAGAATAATATTTTTTCGTCCATTTAATAATTACATGACGTATTATTAAATATTCTTCCAAAAGTCCTAGCATTTTGCTGAATGAAAAAGTAAAGTCTTACCATTTCTGAGATACTCAGGTGGAGTATATGCAAGATTTGTGCTATAACTTTTTCCATCCCTACTATTTTTCATCAATCCAAAACAAGATAGACGTGGATCTCCATTCTGCCATAAATAACAACATCAACACTTGTCTCCACTCTCTAGGTTAACCCTAGCCCCAGAAACATGGGACAAAAAATTCAAACTATTCCATCTCCTACATGATTGAAAATATCACGAAACATAGATAGTTAACCTCATCAAAGAGAACTCGGTAAGCATTCAAGTCATGGTAGAGCGGGCGACCTTCTCTGCTGCAATAATCAAGTGCCTCAGCTATATATAAAGCAACTCGTAACCGCATAGCCCACTCCGGAGTTTGATTCTCCCCTGCACGAAAGAAAAGCAAAACATTGAAGAAACAAAACATGGAGAAATAAAGAGCACACAAAAATCATTATCAAGGCTTGATTATATGTACTTGGATAGGCTTTTAAACCCAAGAAAAATAATAATATGAAGATCATCCTTACTACATAAGCATCTTATGCCAAGATTAGATTGTTCCCCAAAAACACCCATGGCAACAAAAACAAAGGCTTATGCTTCTACAAGTAATGGTACAAAATAATTATTAACATGATCCCAAATCTCCTGCAATAAGATGAACCATTCAGCTTCAAGAATAATTTAGTCACTCAATCACAACATAAAAGCTTTCCTAATAGCAAAAGTACCAAGAATGTTCCACAACCCTACACCTTAGCCTCTACTCGGTTAATTATAGGTTAAGAACATTTCACTATAATGGCGGAAGCTACGGGGAGGACAGTAATTTCAGAAATCACAAAAGCCCGCACAGGTTGTTCATTGAAATGAGCAATGTAAGCCTAAAGGTAGATGAATCACAAAATTAAAAGCTCCATAATTTGAAAGCACAACTTACAGTGAAATAAATGCTTCGCGAGCGTCTCATTAGGCATAAATTCAGCAACGAGCAGCCTCTCCTCTCCATCGCAGCAATACCCTATCAGATTCGCGAGCCTCTTGTGCCTCAGTTTCCCCACCTCCTTCGCTTCCTCCTACGAAACCAACGCACAGTAAAAACCTCACCCCAACAACTCTCTAACCTAAATCCATCTCCACCAACTACAGAAAAATAAAAATTAATAACTGCACACGCACCGCAAACTGTTTAGGATCGGGCCACGCCGCTTTAGTAAACTTCTTCACAGCGATCCACCGGTTGTTCTGCAGGCGACCTTCGTAGACAAAATTGTTAGCCTTCTCCCCGCTCTCGGAGACGATACTTTCCGAACTGAAGTTGTTCGTCGCTGCCTTGAGCTCCACCAGCGAGAACTCCGCAAATCCGCCGCCGGTCGGTCCGTTGACGGAGGAGGAGCGGCGGTGGCCCTGCCCCTGCCCCTGCCAGTGATCCTTATCCACCAAGCGCGTGAGATGCTCCTTCGACGCGCAGCAGCCCATGGTGACTCGGCCGAGTTGACTCACCCCACCTTCCCCCGCCCCCCTCGCTAAGTTATTACGCAATGTCAGTCTCCTTCAATCTCTCTCATAATAAACCCCTCAGCTATTTTCCAAATTAATTAATTAATTAATATTAATACATTTTTTTAAGATATTTAATTAATCTCATAATAGTGGATTTATTGAAAATGTGACAAATCTTTTTTACTACACTATCGTTTTATTTAAATAAAAGTGTCAATAAAATTTGGTCAACCTAAAGTTATTAAGTTGATCTGTTTTAGTGGAGCCTTTTCTGGAAGATGTTTGAGTAATTTAATAATATTAATTATTTTATAAAACTAGCTCCTAAGTGCCAATTTTATTAATTCCAATCAATAATTGAATGTATATTTTATCTTAACTTTTTTTTTTTCTTAATTAAATTTGATGTCAGTGGCTTTAATAAACAGTGGATTTATTGCACAATCTTATTGAAAGATTTGACTGTAAATATCTTTTGTAATAATAAAAAAAAATAAAAATGGTTCCTTTATTTATTGTCACTTAAATCTTAAGTTTCTTTGTAGAGTTATTAATTTTTCGAAGGCCAGGGAGCTCCGAACCCGCATTTATTATCCTTGCGATGTCGTAGAGATCTCACCATCGACGGTGCTCAGATTTCTGGATCTGTGATCCAGGTGTTTGTTTATTTTAGAATTTAAATTAGGGTTATCGTGACGTCAGTAGAAACCTGAGCGGAAAGCAGTCCACGTGAGGTCGTGCTGTGGTGACGTGTCGCTTCGTTGTTAACACCTTGTTTTCTTTCACCATCTGTCCTTTGGACAAAATAAATAATTAAGTAGTCCGTAAGGATAGTATGATGGTGTAGGAATTGAACTTGTGATCGTATAGTTTGCTGATTTTTTTATCTGATTGACAGGGTATTAAATTCGATCGAAAATTTTTATGTTATTAAATAATTATTATTATAAATAAATAATTCAGATTTAACTTGTGATTATAAAATTAAAAATTTAAATTTTTTATTTATTTTATTTTATCAGGTCTAGTTCCTCTAGTATACTTAAAATGCAGTTGAAGAATAGTAAGTATTTATATTTTTTGTACAAAATTAATATAAATATATATTTTATTATTTTTTGTCTTTTAAAATAAAATAATTATTTATTAAATAAAAAATTAAAAACATTTTTAAGATACAACTAAAGAAAAAAATAAACATAATTTTTGGACACGTAGAAAATAGTGAAATATTAATATTCTTGTTCTTGTAATAAATGGAATTTAAAGATACCTTTAATTTGTACTTTTTCAATTGTTTGATGCAACCTTTACAAGATAAAAATAATACTCATTCCCACGTTTTCTATAGATGCTGCCGCTTTAATCTTTTCTATATTTCATGTCTCAATTTTTTTAAAAAATAAATTAATTAATTAATTAATTAATTATAGTTTAAATTTTATAATTTAGAATTTTTTATATTATATTATAAATATTTTTAGTAATTTTTTTAATTATTCATTTAAAAAATTTTGTATTTATAATATACAAACAAAAAAATAGAATGAAAAAAATATTCCTTCCGTCCAATATTATTATGATAGTTTTTGTTAGTTAACAATTAAATCTATACACAATTTATTTATTTATGGTAAATAATAATTTACTAATTCAAAAATTTATTACTTAATTTTAATTAATAATAATCAATTTATCATTAATTTTTCTATTTATCTCACAATTTGATTATCAATTTTTTAAATAAATTTTTTATAACTTTATAAATTTTTATTTTCCCACTTTTATATTAAAATAATAGAGACTTAAGTATTTAAAATATTAAAATAAAAATAATGCATTTTCTTTTGTCACAATATCACATTTGAATATATGAATTTATTCTTTTATACATTACTTATTTCTAATAAAAGAATTATTTATATTTCTCAATAAAAAAATGTATGTATTTTAAATAGGTCAAGATGGTTTGATTTGTTCACTTTAGATTTTTGTTCTGTTGTGTTTATTATTATATGTTTTTAATTAAACCGTTGTTACATGATTTTTTTTAAGGTAAATAATAAAATAAATGATATAATAACACAAATTAAAAAAAGTTCAATAAAATTCAAAATAATAGAAATTAAATACCCATTATTTATATATATCTACATTGGTTGTCATGCCTAATTAAACTTGTATTGTGTCGTAAAGCCCACAAAAAAACAGACAAGAAATTTAAAATTCCAGGTCATTACTATCAGACATGATCATCCAACGTTACATATATAATGCTGGAATATGGCTGTGTAATAATATTATATATATATATATATGATGACATTATTTTATTATTGAAAATTTATTATATGTTGAATTAAATTAATTAAAATGAAAAAAAAATTGTAGGTGTAGATCAAATTATGTGCACGTTCATAGACTTGACTCGATTCATCGACTACTTATCCACTCACACTTGACAATCCATATGTTTATTTATTTATTTTAATTATTCAATAAAAAAAAATGAGTAGAAAATGAAGATAAAAATTTACATAATTGACTAATCGATCAAAATAAATATGGTGCTGATTGAACCAAATTATTATTATGTTATTTTTTTTCAACCAACACATATAAAAAGTTAAATAAGAGTACTTTTTTTCGACTCAACAGATGTTATGTTAAATAGAAATATCTGTGTGATGTATTATGGGTGTGTTTGTTTGGGGGTTTGGATTTTAAGTTGGGATTTGAATAGTAAAAATTTTGAGTTCGAATAGTTGTATGATGTGATATAAATAGGTATTGATGTGATGTTTTGAATATAAAATTGATTTTTAATATAATATAAAAAATGAAAAAAATGGGATGAATAGTGGAATTAAAATCCAATCCCCCAAACAAACAAACAATTGTACATCGTTGTATGAAATTATGTTGTATGTTGTAAGTCTATGGTGTTGTTTTCGTAATATGTTAATACAATTCATGTGTTATACTTCCTCCGTCCATTGACAATTTATCCATTTTTTCATTTTAGTCTGTCTTATAACAAAGTATCAATTTTCTTTTTTTAGTAATTGTACTATATACCTATCATTACAAATATCCTTTCAATTTTACAATATATTACACAAATGTCATTACATTTATATTATACAATATTAATAGGGTTAATTTAGTCTTTTTATTTTTATTTCTACTTTATTCCAATATAATACTAATATTTCTAAAACTCCATGCAAAAAGCAAATTGATATATAGATATGGGATGAAGGGAGTATATTTTTGTGTCATATTATATATTCAGTGTTGTGTAAAATTATGTAATATGTTGTCAATCATATTTTATATTTGTATTATATTAATATAATTCATATATGGTATATACTTATATATTTTGTTGTTTATCCATGAATCGTATGCTATCAGTGTATGCATTGTGTTCAGTAACGAAACTAGCATTTAAATCACGGGGGGCAAAATGTTATAATTTATTTAATATTTAACTAATAAATTTAAATAAAAAATAATGACATAATTATATGTGAATTTGGATAGTTTTGAAGAGACAAATTATTTTTAACACTAAAAAAATCATAAAAAATTGGGCTTAGGGTCAATGACCCCCAAACCCTATTGTAGTTCCGTCACTGGTTGTGTTTCTATATATTGTATGTCATTTTACTGTAAACTTATATTGTATAAGGTAATTACTTATTAAACTTTTATATCTCAACAAACTAATATAGCGTCAATTAAAAATTACTACTCTCTCTGTCAAATTAATAAGTATACATTTAATTTTTTTGTAGTAGTTAAAAGTAGTGTAAAAACAATTTTATCATTATTTTTTATGTAAAAATAACGATGAAATAGTAAAATAAAAGTATTTGTGAAAAAATATATATATATTTTTGAAATAATTACTTTATAACTGGACAATCTAAAAAAAAAATGTATACTTTGTGAGTGAACGAAAAAAGTATTTTGCACCAACTCGACCACATTATGTAGGGCAACAAATCACATGTTTGTTGGTTGGTCCAGACATGTATCGTCATCGATGGGTTCATTGCATTGCATTGCTTTGCTTTGCTGGACTTATTTATGTCCAATCTCCAACTTGCATAAGTACATACATACATACATACATACTAACATTAATTTCAATTCCAAGTTACGACAATTGTTGAATTTCTTTAACCAATGTAATTATTGGACAGAGGAGGAGAAGGACATAAAACATATCGACAGCTATATCTCAGAAATAAATGCATTCTTGTGACCCCCAAAATAATATTCTCTATTTACTTGCACATTTTTGTAAATTTTGTTAAGCATTATAGCATTTTTTTTTTTAAACTAATATTATATTAACAAAATGAGATTCAAACATTTTATTATTAACACAATAAAGTAAAATGTTAGTATTTGATTTGATAGAGATTTTTGGAATTTTGAAAAAAAATAAAAAATTAATTTTTGATTTGATATTTTGTAGAAAAAATATATATATTTGATGTGATATTTTTTTAAAAAATAAATAGTATCGAATGAGTAGAAATATTTTATATAAACAAAGCTTTAAAATTTCAAAATATTCAAATATTTTTTTTATCTAAACAAAACAAAAATATATTTTGCAAAACAAGACCTGACAGTCATAAATTCACTCATCGCACGACCCCATCATCCTTCCGGGACGACGAATGAGACTTTGTTGACTTTGTTTGAAGTAGTTTTCATATAGTATTATGTAATATATTTTGTAAAATTAAATTTTAAATATATATTAAAATATTTTTAATAAAATTTACTTAATATAAATATTATTTTATAAAACACAATTGTATATAAAAATATCTAAAATTAAGTGATTAACGTAATTTGTTTTTTTGTAGAAAAATAGAAAATTTTCAATTTTCATATTTATTTATTTATTTTAAGAAAAATGTTTAAATGATAACTTTGAAAAAATAACACATAATCTTTGTATTCAATAATTATTTCTTGCTTCAAAATTGAAATCTAAAATATAAAAAAGGTAGCCTAAAAAACACTAACTCAAAATATGTGGAAATGGAAATTGTATTTTCTTAATTTTGGTTTGGGTTTAATACGTATGTATCTTTTCATTTCACTAGCGAATAACTTTGAAGGTACAACCCAAAAAGCGAAATGTACACGGTGTGCATGAGTATGTATGTATGTATGTATGTATCTGTCTGTCTGTGTATGTATGTTTATCGTGTTCTTTGTATTAATCACTGCGTAAGTACGTTCAGTAACGAAACCCTAGCGTTGATCAAACTCCGGTAGGCTCTTTCGGCGCAGCCTTCGATCTCCACCATGTGATCCTCCGTCCGATGCATCTGTTTCGACGTGATTTTGATCTCCTCCTCCGTTTTCTTTCTCAGATTCTCCAGATTTATCTGCTGGAATTCGCGAATTCCGGCTTCGATCTTCACCGTCTTTGTGAAACTCAGGCCGATCGGCGACGGCCGGCGGAACGCCGGCGAGTTTGACAGGCCGTTGAAAAGAGCGCCGGAGACGGAGACGGTTACCTTCAGCACGTCGTTGACGACTTCTATGAGCTCGACCTCGTCGTCGAAGGATGCGCCGGCGGAAGCGACGGTTAATTTTCCGATGGAGAGGAGGTTGGAGGAGAGCTTGCCGATTTCCTTCGAAATTTTGGTGAGATTCTTCGAATGCGCGACGGCGATGGAGTTGTCCTTCCGCCGGACGGCGATCTGCGCGGCGGAGAACTCCTCCTTGAGTTTTATAAAGAGCGTCTGGAAAGTTCCGTACACGTCGACGAATCGGAGGAAGTCTTCTAGAAGGTTCTCGATGAGTCTGGAGCAGTCGCCGCCGCGGAGAGATTCGCGAGTCTGAGGGAGGTGGAGGAGATCGTCGAGCGATTCGTGAACGGTTTTAAGCCTCCGCATGCCGTCGCAGATCCAGGCGGCGGTCCTTCCGCCGTCGGATACGGCGGCGGACCAGGAGCTGAGCTCGGCGATTTCGTCGCGGAGCTGAGCAATTATCGGGTGCGTGCGGCACGGGAGACTGGCGGATCTGACGTGGAGCGACTTCGGAGGCTTGCCGGAAGTTTGCGACGGAGGATTGGGGAAGGAAAGCGATCGGCGGAAGCTGGTGACCATTTTCGGCGCCATTGTTGGGATGTGCAGTGCAGAGTGGAGAAAAAGGATTTGAGGGAGAGAGTGAGGAAGATGATGGGGGCGCGTGTTTATATAGGGGCAGGATAAGCGCGTGAGGAGCATTTAAGAAGGGGCGCACGTGTGGGGAACAGGGACAGGGTGGAACCTAGACAACACGTGTGGGGTGACACGCTGGCTTTATTATTCAATTAATGTCCTGTCGCCTAATTATCTTTTACTCCTCCTTTTTTATTTGTTTATTACTTTCACTTCCTAAAATCTTGGATCCAATTTTTCACAAATTCACGTAGAGTGTTTTTGTCTGACTCTTGAAAGTTTTTGTATTTAGGTATTGGATTTGAATTTGATTTTTAAAAGTACATAATTAAATTAAATTACTCTCTCTGTTTCACTTACTTTGTCTTTATTTTTTATTTTCGTTTCCATATAATTTATCATTTATTTTTTTTGAAAAATTGATTATACACTTTAATAATATTTTAATTTTTTTTAATTTTAATTAAACTATTTAATTATCTTAATCTTATCTATAAATATTTTTACTAATATACTTTTTAATTACTTATTAATTATATTTTACCTAAATATCTACAGTCATGCGTCCATCTTATCAAGGATGGAGGGGGTAATAATTTGATTCGATATAAATAAATAAAACTATATTTTACATAAAATTAATTTTAAATATACTATAAAATAATAATTAAATTTAATATTCTCTTTCTTCACTAGCGAAAATAATTTTGATTTTTAGTATCAAATCTTTGGTTGGTTCACTTTGTATTTTTTTTTAATGAATATATTTTTTATATTAGGTACAAAAAATTATATTGATAATATAAAAAATAATACTTTATATTGAATTATTATTTTTTTATTTTTTGTAAATATATAAAGTATATATTATATATCTGTATTTATATTATATTTTATTATTAATATTTATGAAATCATTTCACCTAAAAATATTAAGTAAACAAATCTTTTATTTATTTTATTAGTATTTTGCTAGAATTGAATTTTTATACTATGATTATTTTTGCAAACTTCAGTTCGACTATTGGAGAAACCCCATTACATATGGTCTAACTAACCATACCCATATTATATGCGTGGCTTATACATTGTATTTGTATTTATATTTTATTGATATTTTTATTTTTTTTTGGATGAAATTGACAATAAATATATCTTTATTCCTTACAAGAAATCGTTGCATATTAAGGGTTTTTCTTTTGGCTTTTTTTTTTTTTAATTATTAAAGTTTGAATGTAATTTTATATATATTAAAAAAAATCATAATATGTCAAATAGTAATTTATTTTTATTTATTTAAAAATGTTACCAAACACATTCTAAATAAATTGAAAAAAAAAAAAAAGTAAAACAAATTAAAGTCATAATGTTTTCTATATCAACCATATAATAATAATTTATGCTAAAATATATTTTGATATGATTTTTTTAATGATAATATATATTTTTTGTAATAATGTTTTATTACATTAGAAGACATATATACTTAGAACTTCAAAAGCAATTAATTTTTTTAATATAAAGTGCAAAATTTTGGAAATATTCTCCATAAAAAACAGTAAAATAGATATAGTGTTAAAAAAGTAAAATTATGTATAAAAAATATTGAAATATTAGATAAATGATTTAAATATTTGAATAATATATAAAAACAAAAATTATGCTCAATAAAATACTATATATGCTAATTACAGTTAATAGTGCAATATCCAGGAGGCTCCACAAAATCTACCTATGCCCCAACTTTCAAACTACCACACACACACACACACACACATATATATATATATATATCCAAAATTAATACTATAATTATTGTTATAAAATTAAAAAAATATTGGTTTACGTAATAATCCTTATTTTCTATTTAAAGAAAAATAATACAACTACATAGGAATTTCCACAGATGACAAAATCATACTTAAATAAGGGCTAAACGAAAATTTAAGTGACGGAATCAGCAGTAAAAGTTTGGGGGCGCAAAATCAATTTTTTTTTTTTTCTTTTTATCAATTCAATATTTTTTTATTATTATTCATAGTACACCATGGCAAAAAAATAAAAAAAATTGGAAAATTTGAATGTTTTAGAAAAAATTTCAATAAAATTACATAAAATATAATATTATTTCTATAAAAAATAAAATTTAAAGACTAAAAGTATAAATCAACGGATAAAATTTTTATGATTTTTTACATTACAAAATAAAAAATTAGGAGGAGTAAATTACTATAAAATACATAATTTTATTATTTTTTACATTAAAAAATATACTCCCTTCGTCCCGCTGCAAGGTTGCCATTGGTTTTTTGCATGTTGATCTTTGAATATTAATTATTATATCAAGACGTAGTACAATCGAGAAAAAAAAGACAAATATATTTATACACCAATACAATGATATTTTTAGAGTAAATTATTCAAATATAAATATATTTTTAATGTCAAGTATAATGACACAAAAATCAAATAACAACCTTGATGGGGGACGGAGATAGTATATATTTTGAGGACTGACGGATCAGTTGACGCTGCTAGCGCCATGTAGTTTCACATCTGCCTCCGTCCACTTAAGTATATAAATATATATATTTTTTTATTTTCTTCAATCAAAATACAAAGTATAGATATCCTCTTTTAATATGTTTAACTATGCTAAATATTATAAATATATGTTCTCAATAATACATATATTTATATAAATATTATTACATCAAGGCAAAAAATAGTTTTTTAAAATACAAAAATACTACTACCATTTAATAATATATTTTTTTATTATCAGTAAAAATACATATTTTGTAGTGTAATACATGTGTAAATATATAGGTTCTGTTAGCACTTATATAATTATCTATTTTCATACTTGTAACATTTTATTTGGATTACAAAATTGGGATACAAACCAAACAAAATCTATATACTCTTCCGTTCCAATGAAGGGTGGCATTTGTATTTTGCACGTAAATTTTTGAATATTAATATTATATTGGATTGTAGTGAAAAAGACAAAAATACCCCTATTAGAATGGTGTAATATAAAAGTAATAACATTTGTTTAATATGTTGTAAGCTGAAAGAGTATTTATTATGTTAGGCAAGTACTGCAATTACTAAATTAGGAAACGGTAACCTTGTTTTGGTACGGACGAAAATAGAAAATGTTACCCTTTCAATGAGTTAATTATGGAATTTATTTTGTAATGTATAATGCTCATTAATTTATTTTTATTTCATTCTAAATTAAGATTTAAATAGAACAAACCCTTAATAGTATAACATTTGCTTCTCGGTGAGATTTTTAAAAATTTTAAAATTTCTTTTGTAATTGTGTTTTATGTTCAAACAATGGTTGTATGTGATATTTATGAAAAATAAAAAATAAAATAAAATAGTAAAAATAATGAGATTCCATAATGAAAAAGTAAAAAGATGTATTAATAAAAAAATCTCTGTTGAAAATATCATTTGGATATCAAAATAATACTAAATCCGTTCATTAACAATCTCTTTATTTTTCTATTTTTGTCCGTCCCATAATAAAATATCAATTTTTTTAGTAATTGTACCATCTACCTAACATTACAAATACCCTTACAATTTACAATATATTATACAAATGTCATTACTTATTATATTATGGATAATTTAGTCTTTTTATCTTTATTTCTACTTTATCTCAATATAATACTAATATTAAGCAAATTGATATATAGATATGGGACGGAAGGAGTACTAAGGTTTGTATGGTTTATATATTTGGATTTGAGTTTCGATGTAAATAATATTTTAATATAATATTTACGAAAAATAATAATATATTAAAATATACAAATAAATAATAATAAATATTTTAATACACAAAACAAACCCATGATATTGAATGTATAACGTATATATATAAGTGGCTGGGTAGTGTAGGAATCAAATATTCTTATATATCAACTTTTAATAATTATTACATAATTATGCATATCTTAAATTACTATGAGCAAATCTTAATTATTGTACTGTTTTAATAATTGATCTATATTAATATATATATATATATATATCTCTGCAATTTTACATATATTTGTCACATAAAATAATTCTGACTCAAATTTCAAAAAATTGTAAAAAAATATTTGAAGTCTGATGTAAGTGATATCATCAGTATACGAAGAGGATTTGCAAATCTTTATACATAAATATACGTCTCAGAAAAATACATAAAAATAAAAATACAGTATATTCCACGTTGGTTGCATGCAAAGATTCAAATCAATTAATTTAATATTATTATTTTATAATACATTATGTATATTTATATTAATTTTAGCATATGGTTGTTAGATCAATTATTTTTGAGCCTACTAGGATTAATCAACATTGTCAATAATTGAAATTTAATTATATACTATCAAATTATTTGGAAAACATATATACACAAAAAGTTCAACTCTTGTACTTTATTTTATGTTCCCAAAATACATTCAATCTATCATAAATTGAAAAGTGAAATTATTTATTATTATTTTTTTTTTTGTGAAATAAATGAAAATTTGGTATATTTTCATATGAATGACATAGTAATTTTTCTTAAAAATATTTGAACCATTTCTAGTCCAAATGAAAATTTTCAATAAAAATTGAACAATGCCAGTAATTAAATGAAATGAAATGTAATTAATAATATGGATTATGATTAAGAGGGGTAGTGCTAAAAGGCTTGTTTGTCACACCTATTCCACGACCTAAATTTGCACCTTGAATAATTGAAAAAATCAATCATATATATCAGTAAATGATTGAATAATATTCTTTGAAATTTTATAAACTAATTAAGTAAACAAAAAATAAATTAAAAAAAACCCTAATATGCAAATTTGAATTGAAATTGCAAATGAAGTGAGTTGATTAATTCATTTCATGATTAATCAATAATTGCCAACATGACACGCAGTAATTAATTGGTGCACAAACAAACACGACACAACAGATCATCCTACTACCAATAATAATAATAATCAAGTGTAATAGTACTATACGGGCAATGGGGCACTTATGAGTAGGGCGTGTTTGGCTGTTCTGACCGAAACAGATAAGCTGTCTGTCTGGTCACGTGACTACGGTACTAACACTCTTGGTCACGTGCAAGTGGCCCTGTTGGCTTGTGGTACACATCATTTCATTTTTATTTTAAATGTTGGTGGATAATATTCAAGTAATGTTACATTTTGTATAGCCAAAAATATATTTTAGTCTTATTTTATACTCTATTACAATTAGGTCATAGTCTTATTTTAAATATAGTTATGATCTAGCTTATATTTATTATTATTATTATTATTATTATTATTATTATTATTATTATTATTATGTGTTAAGAAGAGATCCGGACATCCAACCTAAAAACAATCGGTAATAGATGGAATGATCCTTCACCGTTATATATTTAGGGAAGTTCTCACACATTTAGCAATGCGATACAATATTCAACATTATGTTAAGATCGAAAAGAGTAATGAATTGGTTGTTTGTAGAGCTTTTCTAAGTTATTCAATAAGACTGTTCAGTATATGTATCAGCTATTATGAAGCTGAAATTGCCAATTTTAGTTTGAATGAGATCAAAATTGATTAAAAAATAATAATAAGATTAAATTGATAATGGTGATATGTAATAGGTTCAAATATGATTTGTACTTTTTATATTTTAGGTGATATGATTTTTTTCTATTAATATTATAAAAAACATAGTAATATATTAGTACTAACACAATACATAATATATATTTCATCCGTCCCATTGAAATATTGAAATTTTTTATTTTCGTGCGTTTCAAAATAAGGTTATCATTTCCTAATTTAGTAATTGTACTGTCTACTTAACATAATAAATACCCTTTCAACTTACATTATATTGCACAAATGTCATTACTTTATATTATACAATATTAATAGGGATATTTTCATCTTTTTTATTACAACTTATTATAATACTAATATTAAAAAATCTACATGTAAAAAATAAACAACAATCTCGCACAAAAACGGAGGGAGTATATATTTTATTTCATCACACAAAATCAATAATTCAATACAAAGTATTAATTTTTTATATTCTTATACAGCTCCTCATATTTACTATACATAATACACACCTAAAAAATTACAAAATGAATGTTAATGTCATTTTTTTTTTATTCTACTTCCCTCCGCAATATATTTATTTATTTACATTTCTATTAGAGAAATTTAAAAAATATCAATTATCTATGTGGTAATTTTTTTGTCACAATTAAATATATTTTTTATATTGGATTAAAAAATAATACTCCCTCCGTCTCAAATACTCTACAATTTTTTCTTTTCTATTTGTCTCAAACTCACTGCAATATTTCTAAATTTAGAAATAATTAATACTCCCTCCGTCCGTCCAATTTTTATTGTCCTAAAGTATATTTGCACAATTTTTTAGGTGATTGTTTTTTTTATCAATCGACAAATTTGCCCTTAATTGTATAGTAGAGATCAAAAGTAATAAATGAACGAAGGTAAAAATATAAAATTTGTATTTAAAAAAAGAAATAGGACAATAGTTGTTCGATGTCTCAAATATGAAAGTAGGACATTAGTTTGTGGATGGAGGGAGTGATATTTATATACATATATTAATATAACACTCAACTTTATCTTATCACATCACTCAAATATAAAAAAAAAAATAATAATAATTTATCTCTCCAATCACATAACTTAATATCCAAATTATCTCAAATTATCATATTTAATACTCTCTCCTAAATTTCCGTGCCAAACACAAATATTGCACAGTGTTTGAGACGGAGGGAGTAATATTAAAATTTTAATTAATAAAAATATACAAAAATAAATTTTTATATAAAAATGATTGACACGAAAACATACTTAAGACATATATAATAAATTTTTTCATATATATACATATATATATTTCAAAGAGTTACGTGGACAATTGCATGCCGAGGACTAACGCGTGTAGTCGCATTTCTGGCGACACGTTTGTCTGTTAGAAACGTGTCAATTTTACGGGGACAACCGCCAATGCACTGCGTACTACAAGTCACAGCTTCCAAACCCTAACCGCTGTCCATCTCCATCAGGAGCACGCAGCAGAATTAATTAAGGTCTGGTCGCCAATGGAGAAACCTCAACTACACAAAGAAGAAGAAGAAGAAGAAGAAGAAGAAAAAGAAAAAGAAGATACCAGAAAGCAGCAGCAGCAGCTTCCACACATATCGCCCATGGAACCGCTGACTAAGGAGGCTTACGGCGGCGGGATGTACGGCAAAGACGACAAACCGAATCTGCAGCAGCAGCCGCCGGCGAGCGCTACGCAGAGCGCCGACGGGCCGGCTGAAGCCACCGCCGCGCCGAAGCATACGCCGCCGCCGTCTACCGGCGACCGAGACCGCGATATCACTGGCCAATCTTACATTCAATAATTGGTTTAATTTGTTTGTATAATATAATTATGGATGTTAACACAAATATGTAGAATTTGTTTTTTTGAAATAAAATAAGTGTGCTGTAAATGAACATAATTAACCTTATTTATTGATGATAAGTTAATAGAATTAACTATTGGTAATTAGTTAGAGTAATGAATTCAAACAATTTACTAACTACACTTTCACTTAACAGGCTTTTATCAACCAGTTGCAATAATTTGTAAAAGAAAATGTGTATAATATATTTTTGTAATATATAGAGAAAATTAAATCGAAAAAATTGATGTAGAGGAGTTCTGCATTCAACGTTGGTGCAAATAAGTCATTTCAAAAATATTAGTTTGAGAATTTACTCACGAGGCCCAATCGGCATATTTGTTTGGGCTTGGGCCCATCCCAATGGGCCACTCGTTTTCTCATCCTCCGAAATCCTCGGACACACTGATCCATGTCCAAAGCCGGAATCTCTTTTCTAGCAAAGCCCAATTTCTCGCCGGCCACGGTATCGAACCTCTCTTCCCACCCGTCTTCCCATTCTCCGTGGGCGTCGCAAAGCCCGATAGTATTATTCCGCCACTCCGTCCAGCTCCAGTTTGTACTAAGCCCACTCAAAATGGGCTCAACGCAAGGCCCACTACAAATGGGCCTGCACGGCCTGCATTTTGCACCGCTAAGTGGGCCAAGGCTCGACATTGCTACAACAGGCACTCCAAACGGGCCCGGCGGGAACTCGTATTGCCGGTCCGTTACAATGCAAAAAGGGAGCCCACTGGTTGTGTATTGGACCCCTTGGGTTGTGAGTTGGGCCATAAAGGCCATCTCTGAGTTGAGTTGGGCCAGCCCGGCCGAGTCGAGCTGCGGAATCAAGGAGAGTCTAGATAGGGCCACCACGGATGTGTTGTAGTCACCCAACCCAAACCGGTCGTTGAGCCCACCGTAGGATGAGCCCAAAGGGACGACGTATTTACCCGGGATGAAATTCTTGGGGCCCAATGGGCCGGCCCAGTAGCCGTCGAGTCGGGTCCGGATAATCCAATCGTATGTAAAGCTGTTGTAGTCCTGATATTTATTGATCATTGTTAGACAGCCTTCCACCAAGTTGAAGTATTGCAAGAGACCCTAAGGAACGGTAGAAATGTTGATGTTAGTATTCAATATGGTAATGTAGCTTATGAAGTATATAAATAGGGGCAGTTACAGTGTTGAATTACAGTGTTAGAATTTTAAAATTCAAACACGTGCTGAGAACACACCGCAGCATATGATTGTTATCAGACAACACACAGTATTAATACATGCAACACACCGTATTTATTAATATAATACAAATATAACACATAATTAACAACATATGCTATAGTTTTATACAACACAAACAATAGGTGATTTCAGCACGCCACATACGGTTATACAATACACTTGTAATTATAAACCAACAACACAAATACAACATATGAACTAACAACACATATTGTAGTCTTATACAACACAAATAATAGTTAATTTTAGCATACCACATACTGCTATACAACATATTTATAATTATGAACTAACAACACATATCCTTATTATATACACAAATATGTTGTATGTAATAAAACTATATGTTATTTGTATATATTACGGGTACTGATTTTTCCAAGTCAGCGGTTCATACAATGCACGTTTAATCATAGAAATAATGAGTTAGGTAAAGGACTTTTGCATTGGTTTCTAATTAATGGCATTCCTAACCTAATGTGGTCTCGAATTCCAACATTGATGATCAACAATGGTTAGCATGAAGTGACTAACCAAAACACTAACATGCATTAAACATTTGCCAAGAAGGTAAAGTTTGTTGGAAAGGAATCAAGAATCACTTACTGCATGAATAACCTAATCTAAATTAAACCCCATTCTCCATTCTTCAAGAAATTGAAACAATGCCATATAACTATGCCATTGCCTATAAGATCCAACCAAGAAAGGATTCATTCATTACACCCTAATTTGGAGAACAAAAACATAAATGGAAATGGTTTGATGATGAACTAAAAAACTAAGATCAAACATAAGTTGCAAATGTAGCTAAACTACAAGAAATTAAGTTTATCAAAACCAATTTGGAGGCCACAAAATTAAGGACACAGAGAAACAAATTCACCAATGGCACTACTCAAATCATTCACCAAAATTGCAACTCTGTACAGATTTTGGCAAGAAAATCCATCAATCAATCAACAGAATGAATGAATTGAATATCGAAGAACAAGCAATCAAAAGTAAAGGCGGTTAGTTACCAATACAACAGAGACGGTTACCTGTATACCATTGGGCGAGTTCATGGCGGTGAGTACTCGAGAAGCCGATTCAGTCTCCGGTATGGAGCTAGGTTTGAAAATCCTAACGGCGGCGATTCTCGGCGCGGCGTCGAGCAACAAAAGCTTATATGCGTCGGAATCGAGCGGGGAATGGAGGAACAGGTCGGAATTCTCGTAGACTCGGAGGATCCTCTCTACAATCGAAGGTCCGGTCAGTTCGAACCTCCGTGCTCCGCCGACCAAACAAACCGCAATTCTAGGCCCTGCCTTGGCGATTGAAAAATTGCCGCGGAATATGGAATCAATTTTGGGGGAAACTGACAGTGAGGAGAAGGAAGTGGAGAGAGAGAGGAAGGCGATTGAGAAGAGGATGAACGTCGGGAGCTTCCAGTCGAGATCCAGCGCTCGTCTCCTGAACTGAATGAAGAACTTGGCAGGATTCTCCATGGTTGCATTGGAAAGCAGATTACAGTGGATCATTTTCGAGGAGCCTTCATAACCGAACTTCTCCTTCTTCTTCCGATTAACTGGCGGCGGAGACGATGAATTCTCTCAAGTATGAGTAGTTTGCTTCCACTTTTTGGAAGGTTTTCTTGGAATCGATAGAGGAGCTCAAGAACTGCAATGGCCGATCGAGACTGTCACTGATCTTCACTATAATATATATCTATCTATCTATATATATATATGCATACATACATGATACATACATATATCTTAATTTTTGAACCAATTTCTCAATAATAATAATAATGGAAAGTACAAATAAATATTTAAGGTATGTTTGAGTTAGTATAGACTCTGATATTTCCAAAAGTGATTATGAATTTAAACTCAGATATTTTCAAATTTTATCAGTCATTTATAATTAGTCTAATATAACTTGTCTCATGGTACTTAGTTTACGTACTATTAAATTATATTGAAATAATATTTATATTTTGCATACCCAAGACAAATAAACAAAAATATATCTTTTCGACACAGAGGGCAAATATATATAAATTTTGTTTGGACGACGTGGGAATCTGCAGTAGCTACCCGAAAGTGCGTACTGGATAAACTTTCAGTCGAACCTAATACCCTGCAAACCAAACTCGATGAAAAAGTCACATTAAGCGAACCATATGTGGCAGATGACCTGAGGCGTCCGGGTTTGAACCTATGACCTCACGGTTACAAATCCACCCCCTATATAAATTTTATTGTATATATTATATTGCCCATTAAATCTTTCTTTAGGTCTGCTAATTTTTAGGTCGATGGTCCATTGGTCCTCTAATTTTTATTCACAATGAAGTCATTTTTCCTATTTTAAATTAGTGAATAAAAATTACGTACGGTCGTCACAAAAAAGAGAACATTGGTATTTATCGACACGTATCAAGCTTTTCTTTATTTGACCTTTAGAAAAAGTAATTGTCCAACAACGTTAGGTAGATTAAAAATTTTACATTTATTGTTTGATTTTGACCCAACTGTCTCAAATTTCATGCACATATTTTATTTCATTTTATTTATCTATATAAAATTTCAATTTTGTGTTTCTTTAACTTGAGTTTGAAAAAAATCGATTTGGATTTAATATTAAAATATTTTTTTAAGAAAATTTGAAAAAATTTAGTTAAAAACCAGTTGAACTTTTTATTTAAATTTAAATAGTACTAGTATGAAATAAAACAATATATTTTAAATTTAAAAATGTATAAAAATCCCATAATAAAATAAATAAATTTAAATACAAAAAGAAGGAATCATTTATTACATAGAAATGAAATTTGAATTTGGGCCCGCGGAAAACGGCGACGTTTCCGACCTTTGCTCTTACTTTTCTGATTGGTCCTAACGTGTATAATCAGCTGACCTCGTACGTATTGAAACTGATCTCAGTATATACATATCACATTCATTTACGATACATACTCTAGCACCATTTTCGCATTTAATACAGTTTATTGGACACGTGTCCTAAATCGATTCCATCCTGTAATTAACCAAGTCCAAAACAATCCCGCCGCCAGTTCGGCGGTGCCGGCCGCCGCATTCCACGGCGAAACCATCGATAGGAAAATTGATATCACAGTCGTAGATTACGCAGGAGATAAATATTAAAAGAATAAATAAAATGGAAGAATTAAGCAAAAAAAGCAGAGCAACAAATGCGATACATGAACAGACAGGTTTTCAGACACCAATACAGATAATACAATCATCACTCCGAAGAAGGTGGCGGCGACGGCGGCGGTGACGGCGGCGCCGGCGGCGGAGGAGACGATCCAAAATCAAGCGACGGAAACACACCGGGAGGTCTTTCCCGGGGCTCAATCGAAAGCAGCTGAGTTGAGTCGCCAACGATGTCCGCCCATCCGTAATGTGGCTCAGCCCTTTTCGGACAAATTCAAAGAAGTTAATGTAATCGACGGCTACAATAAATCGAGGTACGATGAAGAATGTTTCTTACTCGTAGTATGTCTCTTCATCGACAACGATATCCCAGCTTTCGCCTGTCGTACTTTTGCCATACTTGTGCACTTTGCTGCATATCAAAACATAGCTCTTAAGTTCGGAGGTAAAATATGATTCGATCCAAAAGGGACGTCGTTGTAAAGATGATTTAAGCATAATCGAAACATTTCCAATTAAAGTGCGATAAATCATGTCATAACATACCCATTGCCGAAGTGCTCTTCTCCCCATGTCCTCGACCATCCTACGAGCATTGTGAAAAAATGCATTAGTCGGGGAAGGAAATACAAACATAAACCTAAAAAGTATCGTACAAAAATACGTTTATCTTGAAAAGGTAGTACTAATCAAACAAAATAAACAAAATCACTTGTGGTTAGAAAAGTTTGCACCATTCTCATTCATAATTTAGAAACTGCATCAGACTTTCTTGATTATAAATAATATTGTCGACAAATTATAGCAAGAACCGATGGATCGAACTTTAAACGGGAAACAATCGACGACTTACTCTCACCACTAGGGGATACATGCCAAGTTTCTCCTTGGCGAGAACCGATTCCCGCGAAAAACTTCTCTTCCCACTTGTCTCCCCATTTAGTTCCAAGTTCGGTCTCGGCCCATTTGTCCGTCCTAAAGAAAGAAAACTTCGTTAATCCATTATACTACTTCTGTAAAACTCTAAAAGTCCATTTATTTTTGACGTGTTTGATTTTTTAATATTAATTATTATATCAAAATATAGTACAAATTAAAAAAAATAAAAAATAAAAAAGGGTAAAAATAAGCAAAAGGTAAATGTGATACTTAGATGAAGACGGATGGAGTATCTTTTTAGAAAACGAAACAAACTTCATTTGGGCAACCGATGAAAACTTTAGCAAGTTAATTTGAAATGGCAGAACCTGATATCAGTCGATGAAGATGGGGAAATATACCATTTAAGGACCGATCCTCTTCCGTCGTAATGTTCTCCCCACTTCTCCCACCATGATTGTTCGTTCAGTCGGCCATACTTATGCGCCCCTTTCTCAGTCCAGCCTTTGGCGTCGTACTTCTCCCACCTGCTTTGAAAGAAGCATTTTAATCTATATATTACTCGGATCTTCTGTTCATCAAATTTCACAGATTTCACGTACCAATTTTCGTACCACCCAGCATTTTCTGTCCCCGACTTTGCTTGTTTCTGTGCGCTTCGCTCTATCCTAGCCAGATTGCTGCAGTTTAAAATGGAATTGTGATTTCGACATCATATAATAAGTGAGAATTGTAAAACATAGAGAGAAAGAGAGAGAACCTCCATTCATCCTGATGAAGAACTTCTCGCCATGTTTCCCACCACGAATCCCCTTCGGCATTTTTTCCAGATTTCTCGACACCTTGTGTAAACAAAACAGTATGAACTAAGAAGATGGGAGAGCAGGCTATTGAAGGAAGAGAATGGTCAATTATGGATCTACTAGAACATTGCCTCGCGAAAGAATCAAGCAGTAAAAGCGCAATCGAGAGACTCCATACCTAGCTCTTTGTATCCAGTCCAATCACTTTTCTCCCACCACTGTCAAGGAGATCAACAAATCCAATTAAATGCATCCACCTGGGATGATACTCAACCAGGTTATAAGATCAAGACATTATCGAATTATTGTACAGAACTAATCAACCGAAGAAATCTCAATACTACTCGTAAGTTCTACGAAAGAATTTCAGCGTTCTGAATGCTCCCAATACTGTCAAACTTAATTTAAGCGTATCCTTACGATCTAAAGTGCATTCTTTACTGCATTTATCTTGCAAATGTCAGAATAGGACTGAAATGCACGTCTACTTAATTTGTTTAACAGAATTTTATGCTGATAATAACACAGTAAAACTCTACAGTTAACATTTTCTCGGCATAAACAGTGAATTTAGTCGAAGGTTTTAACAAGACCACTTGAGAATTCACCATGACAAGTGTTCAATCAGAAACTTTACACAAAAGTGAATCCTCACCGTACAAGCCACTCAGCATTTTGAAATTGGAATTCTATCGTAATGTTTCAATAAACCGTTATGGACTGAATCGAATCCACTCCAACCAATCATACTTGAAGCTTTGCTTCAAATGTTTATTTTATATGTAAGAACAATGATACTGTCAAATCTAAACAGGAAAAACGAAAAGCAATAGCATACACCTTGTTGACACATACACATTCTAAGTTCTTGTATGATTCAAAAATAATTTCATCAATCGAACACATGCAAATATTGTCATAAACAAATTAAAACTATACAGAGCATGTGTGTGCAGTGTGTGTACCGTTTCTTTCCATTCTGAAGTACCATCAGCACTTTGACCGCCCATTCTAGTCCATCGACATCTGTAACCATTGTCTCCAAGATCTTCTCCACTTTCTCGATACCAAGTACTCCCATCTTCATTCGTGCCGGATTCACTCACATTTTCATTCAGCAGATTGATGCCCCAATCTTTCTCATTTGCAATGCCAGTGTCTAATGTACAACATCAGAGAATATAGAAACCCCAATAATTATTAACACAATACGACTCAACAAAGTTAATTACAAGATCCGAAACTATTCACTAATTTATCCAACAAAAATGGGGAATAACATGAACCAAGCATTTGTCCACATTACCATATCATTACCTCGTTTAGGGGGAGAGTCTCGTGATTGAGGACCCGAACTCCTCGGGGTACAACGAGAGAAAAACTTCTCTTGTTTGGAAGCATACCGAGATCTGCAATGCAAGAATATCTTGTAAACATCACAAACTTCATCAAATAGTAATCTTTTTTTACAGAAACTTCTATTCTCAACATATCAATTTCCTCTACCTTTCCACTACTCTCTATTTCCCATTGGCAGAAAAAATAACACATTTTCAACATTCATATCTTATTATCAGAACAAGAATTCAGAAATTGAACTTGATTAGCTGTTCCCTAAAATGATCTAAAATTTAAACACAATCCCTTCCATTCCATTCCATTCCATCTACGCCTCAATCGACAACATTTGAACAGGACTTTTACCAATGTCGAATAAAATTCCCACAGACAAAATAGGAGCATCAAACAATCTGAAAGAGAAGAAATCGAAACTTGGCAGAGAAATGCAGCAATGGAGGAAAGCTTACTGAGGAGAAGCCATGGGCATTACGGGGGTCCGAACGCGATAATTAGGCCTCTTACACTCATCGAACTTCTCAGCGTTCTTTCGAATCTCGGAGCAGCAACAATTGACGAGTTCATCTTGTGCGAAGAGCAGTCTCTTCTTCCTCCGCACCTCCAAAACCACCACACCATTTTTCCCGGCGAGAAACCCTACATCGGCTCTCCTCAACAATCTCAGACTAAACGGCGTCGTAAACCCCCTAACGGCCACCATTCCTCCTGCTGCTGCTGCTATTTACACTAACCCTAAAAAATTCCACATTAACCAGTAATAATACAAACCCCCAATTTCACTAATCGAAACCCTAGATTCCCGAAACCTCCACCCTTTTTTTCTGGCTGCTATTCGTCTCTCGAGAGACGAAAATAGAAAAGGGCGAATGCGGGCATTGGAGGAGGGAGCCGATTGCTGTGCCCTGCCCTGCCCACCCGCTTGCCCTGATCAGCTAACTGATTATTTTATACGAACGCACAACACGAGAAGACAAACGACAATTTAAGTATTTGCAAATACAACAATACACATATACATACACATACATACATCTATATATATATATACTCTACATATGTATTTGACAAGAGAAGAGTGATTTCTGGGTGAAATTTGAAGAATGAAAATACAGGGAGGGGGAAGAGGGAGAAGATGAGCGGCGTGGGTGATTTCAGGCCTGTACCGCCACGTCGGCTCGAATGTAGCGACTGTTGTTCTTGGTCGTCATTCTGCACTGGCTGGGATCTCTCTCTCGGTGCATCCCCAGCCACATTGATTGATTTGTTATCTGCGGCGGAACAAACTGTTGTCCGAAATCTTGGATGGTCCTGGGACCTCGGGACCTTTCACGGATTTTGCCTAGGCGGCTAGGCCCTTCCCTATCCTTTGTTAGTTTTTTTTGTACAGTCCCCACGTGAGTGTCTTGAATAGAAATAGTTCTGAAGTTTGGGGCTTATTTTATAATTTGTTTTTAGTTTTTCCTTTTACTGTATAATTTTTTTTTACATTGTTTTTTTAGTATGAGTTATTATTTAAATTAAAAAAATTCTGAAAAACACAATTTATATTTTATATGATAAATCTAAAAATAATAATGATAAATAACACGAAAGTAGATTTCAAAATACCACTACTAAGTTGGAGTACCTGGGATATGTTTTTTTGTCATTATTCTTTCTTTTTTCATAAAAAAATTATCAAATATTATTTTAATTTAAAATTTTATTATTTTTAAATTCTAAATTCAAATCCAAATAATAATAATAATAAAAAAATCCATTTTCGTATCATTTATTCATTCAAGAAGTTATTGTATGAACGATGAAAATGAGTGCATTGTAATTTAATGAATGGTCACAAATATGCACATATATATATATATATATTGTGGTGCCATATCAGGAAATAAAGGATTTCATGTTATCATTAATTTTTATCACATGTTGAAAAAAATATTATAGTGTCATTCAATAAAATAAGAATCTTATTATCTTAGTATACAATTCAATGATTCATGTTATTAGAGTAATATCATATTTATAAAAAAATTAATGAGACGTAAAATAAAGTATTGTGAAAAAGTAAATGGATGAATTTCGAGATTTGTAAGTAAATATAAAATTAAAATATATAAATAACAGAGTATATAATTTACTAGAAATAAAATTGTACTGTCTTTTATTTTTTTTGTTAATATATATAATCCAAACATAAATTTTGCGTATTTTATGATAAAAATAAGTATAATGTGCATGGGGAAAGCAATGGCGTGTAGGTGACATTGAAGGCAACGGTACAATTGTACCTCCTCATATCTTACCCACATGCATTTTTATTTATTATCGCCCCATTCATCATGTTCATGTCATGTGCCTCACTCTCTCACCTTAGCATTCAATGAATTTTAATTTAAATTGAAAATAAATATAATATTTTGTAATATATATATATATATATAGTTAGAAAATGCAAAATCCTAAAATATAGAAAAATAAAACTCAATCAAGCTAAAATTGAACATTGGCCAGATGTGTGCGTACGTATAAATCCAATTGAACAAAATATAAATATATATATATATAGAAAACTGAAAATACTTGTATTTTAGAATATTTTAATTTTGAAAACTTGGAATGAAAAGGTAATATTTTAAATAAAAAATACTTATGATATATATATATATTCATAAACTATAAATAAGACCACAAACAAAAAGACACCCTAAAAAACTCCAAAATGAGGGGGCAAGCATTACCATTAGTAGTCCTCTCCTGGTCAGTCAATCATCTCACCAGAGTGACGTGTACTCCACGTGTCACCTCATTCGGATAAACCCAACAACTGCCACGTGTCCAACAAGATAAATACATGACGCAGCATTCTTGGCGTGGAAGCCCGCCACGTGTCAAAACAAAGTTCCCCTGCCCTTGGACGAGGAAACCACAATGACTCACCAACACACCACCATCCATAGAATAGATAACCTTCATGTCACCTTCACTCACAAATCCATTCTTTCGTTCTCCACCATCCACACTTACTTTATTAACAAAATATTTCAGGAAAAAAACATATGTATAAAGAAATTGAATAAAGGGGGACACTTTTCAGATGCATAACCCACAGGTCAAGACAAGACAAATATATTCAGACCATAAATAAATAAAAATAAATAAACATTTCAGAGGATAAGAGTATATGATATGATTGATGTCCAACAAACTCCCCATGTGCAAGTGAGAAATAACATAAAATTCAACTTGCATATAATGTCAATGCAGCAGAGCAGAGCAGCAGAGGATGGATTAAAGATGGATAGAAATGGGAATCTGTGTGTGTATGTGTGTAAAAGAAAATCCCATCTTACAAACAAACAGGGTAAATTCCAAAACAGGCAATCAAGATTTGTCTCAGCAGGTTGGGATGGATCAAAACCAACTAATGTTTAATATTAGAAAGAAAGGCAAAAGTGAATGAGGATATTGTTAAAGATATGTCGGCTCTAAATTTGCACTTACTGTTTTTATCATTTTCTAGAGAGATAAGGCTTTATTGATTCAACCACCACCTGCATCCAATGAATTGAGTCATCAACAAGTGGGGAGCAGAATTCAGTGACATATTGTGTATATAGAGAAGAAATGCATTTAAACAATGATGAGTTTTATTGAATTTCTGCCATCTATGGTAATGTTCAATAGTGCAATCTTTTGGAGTTCAATCCAAGAATGGGACCAACTGGACTTTCCTTTTAACCCTAAATTCTTTCTTCAAATTGTAGTTTTGACATTGAGAATGAAAGAATGAAATATGTTTGCTAATAAAAACATTGGTGGGTATGTATATTAAAGACCAAGAATGTATGAATGATAATACTTACTCTTCCATCATAAGACAATGATGCAAACATCCATGGCTCCCTAAAACTCCAAGCGAGACCTGAAAAATGGGCAAACGAACAATTAAGTAAATTCCTGAAGGCAGCTGATGCAAAATCCAAAATTTGCACAATTACCATAAACACTGTCTTCATAGTCGTTAAAAGAATTGAGCAATGGTTCGACTGTCCGGTTTGTTGACTCTATCAGACTAGAAGAAAAAGGGGGGAAATAATTAGCACCAATATCCGTGTAATCCCAGAAGACATAATGGCAACTAAATGATAAAGCTCACCTCTCGTGTCCTGAATCATTCGGGGTGGGCGGCAAAGCCAACCACAAATTTACAGCAGAATCAGTTCCCGCACTCTACAATTGCTTTTGCATAATCAGTGATATATCAACACATCTATACCAGATATAATTCTCATTTTTTTCTGAACAGTAGGAGAATGAATCTTAGGATACATTTAACTGAAAGATCTTAAGGAGAAGAAAATAATAGACAAGGATTTGAAGAATTTCAAAATTTTACATCTTGTAGAGTGTGTGAATATAGAATACAGAAACTATTTATAAATTATTGTAACACTATAAAAAAATGAGGTTTGCAAGACAAATAGTGGTAAGAATCACTTTGGAATCAGAGAGATCTACATGAGTTCATATCTCATTTTTCCTCTACTTTTTTGGAGTGGAAAATGAATGCATATATAAGCCACTATTTGCACCCCTTCCCTGTCTTCTTTAATTAAAAAGGTTGAGCATTTTCTTATAGTTAAATCACCAATATAGCACACCCGCCATTTTCTATATTACCACCTCTTAAATCTGTAGGACCAAACACAGAGTTAAGTTCACTGCCTTGATATCAAACTGCTCGGCTGAAGCAATTAAATCTTCCAGTATCTCATTAAGGACAAAGAATAGACATATGTTTGTTTTATTTAGAAAAGATGGGAGAGATCAAATTATGCAGGGAGAAAGTACCAGTATCAAGCCTTCATACTCAGGATTGCATTTCACATTCCATGTCCTGTCAACAGTAACACAAATATTAACCCCTCAAGCGATATCATAACATGATAGATGCAAATGCATGAAAAGATGAAAAATTTAAAAACATAAATAACAAAACAAAATAATAAACCTAGGAAAGCAAAGGATAAACCAAGACTCAGCACTTGTTCTGACAACATACCAGTGTGAATGTCCAGGGAGATCTGCTACTGGGAACTTAAGCTTTCTAAGGTCCCATATATGAATGCCGGACTCTTCTTCAGCTGTTACCTAAGAAGCATATACCATCAATCTCACAAGCACATAATAATGAGGATGTGCAAAGTGGCAAATTTAGGTAACAAGAACATTTCAAACAACTTTGACACTTAAATGCTGGGTTTTCCGCACCTGAAGGTTCAATCAAGTATAGAAAGTAAAAGGAACATGTAAAGCAACAAGGCATAAAAGAGGTTCAAGGGCCTCATCACATTTAATAGGACCCTAACCTATTCCATATGAGAAGTAAGAGTGCTACTATTGTTTGTGTACGTGTGTGTGTGTGTATGCGCGCGTGTTTAACACTGGCTGACTGAGAATATTGTTAGTGGTTTAGATGGAATATTGACAATGGGTGTGTATAACTAATCTTACGCCAAAAATAAATCAATTAATAAGTAAAATAACAGTAGGATCCAAAGAAATTACATTAGTTCCCAACAATTTAACAAACCCACATTAATATTTTATAATTATTAAAATGTTACAGCACTAAAAATTTCCATCAAGTTTAAAGCATACTTACAAGCATGTACCTCTTTTTCATGTTATAGTCTACATTGCGGACATGGGCATGCTCAATTGAATCAGTTTTCCTGCAGGGAAAATTTCCATCCTCAGCATTGTTATGCAATTGCAACCACACAACAAGTGTGACTAAGCCAGACATATCTGAGTGTAGACTAGAAGAATAATGTGGCTTAACTACATTATTTCTTGTAAATGATCATTGTTTTTCTAATTCTTTATGTTTTTCTTTTTTAAAAAGTAAGTTACCTTACACTAAAAAATCATAAATTTATGAACGATATACTTCTAGGATTGAAGTTGAGGAAAACCAGAATAAATCATTTCAAGGAATTATTGGTTCATGGCACTTGGTGTTGCAAGTTTCCTGTCCTTACAGAAAGGCCATGTTACATTCCAGAACAGGGCAAGACACTAATATATATGGTGACATCAATGTGAAAAGAGTCTAGAAATGGTGGTATGGTCCTTGAGCATAAGGTTTAGTGAGTAATATTAAATATTACTTGGAATTGAATTTGATTGGGAAGTACATATAGAATAAATAGTGAATTTTGAGTTTCTTCATATTTATGTAGGAAAGTGAATTATTTTGGATGAAATTGTATTTGGTGAGTTAAAATATTTGTGGTAAATTGAAATAGAGATCGTTAAAGAATAAAGTACAATATAAATGTATCTTGTGCAATGTGGAGAACAAGTACAGCAACATTATTTGCAAGGTGGGCAGGGCAAAAGGTGATGAAAAATTGTGGCATCATTAACCTTAACAAAAAAATAATAATAATAAAATCAAAATCTACACTTGCAACAAGGTATGAAATGGGATAAAGATACTTCAACTTAAAAATCTTCAAAAAAAAAAAAAAAGAATAGAAAGAAAGAAAATAGTAACTTGCTCGTACCTCATGGTCCTCAAATCCCAAAATTGAACTGATGAATCACATGTTAAAGAAATGGTATTGAAGTCGTGGGGATCCCATGCTCCACCATTTAAATAACTAAGCATACCAGCTGATTCTTGTGATTGAACCTAGATTACATAGCAAGACCTGATAAGAATTAACCAAAATATCAAAAGCTAATGTTTATGATCTATATTCCAATCACAACAGTATAATTAAGTGATGAACACATCAGGATAAAAAGTTTGGAAAAATATCATCTATGGAAGGAAAGGACTATTAATGTCAATATTCAAGTGGAAAAACAGATGGGGGAAACATAAATATAGAAAGAATAGTGTTCAATTAAAAGCACACATGCAATGCAAGATAACATGCAATGGCATAGCTAATAGCTAATGAGAAGAAAATGAAGAATCAACACTAGTACTAATAAATTACAAAAAGCAACGGGCCGCTAAGAAAAATATCAAGATCACGGCAACACGCATTTAGAGTTACAAATCAACCAAACCACAACAACAGACACTGTTAAATTGTCTACGGTCTCGTGCCTAGTCTACCCGGTTCAGAAACAGTTTTAGGTATATGCAGTTACCAATCCCTTTATACAGATTCTTAATACCTTAACAGCTTGTGCATCTAGGGGTGAAAGTAAATCATATACTTGATGTATTTTACTTTCATGAAAGCACGCCAATGCAATTCTTATTTCCTACAACACCTTATAGCCCAGTTTGATTTTTACCTTTACCCTTCCAATATTCATAAACATAAAACAGATCATTCATTAAGCAATCCATGAGGTGAAGAATTAGAGATAGGAAAAATGACAGAGCAGGTCATATAATCATGCTACGTTGGAAATAATACAAACTTGATTTCTCCTGATGAATGATAACACCTACCTGGGCAGTCTTCTTTGAAGTATCTAAGTTCCATAGTGTTAAATTCTGCTCATCAACGCTAACTATCTTCTCATGCCTTCCAGTAGGCCACCAGAGTACACTGCATACAGCATCAATAGATATATAAGGGCATTAGATATCTCCTCTAATAAAATTCAAATATTATAAGCCCAACTCAATTTGGACACTTATGTGAATAAAAAGTCAATAAAACAACATCATGTATCATTAATCAGACCTACTTCAGATCTAACTTAGTTCATCCAGTAAATATATACTCACCACCTAATCTTTCCAGTGTGCCCATCCAGAGAAGCAATACTTTCCAATTGAGGAGAACTCAGCTCACCATACAACTCAGGGAATTGCCACACTGCTGCTCCATATGTTTCCCCTTTACGTCAATATTAACAGACACGAAATTTATCCATCATTGAAAGGATCTAGGTCAATACTTCGAAAGCAAGCTTTACAAAGAACATTTACATATCAAAGTTTGTTGGGACAAGCAAAAACACAGACATCCTTAGTAAAAACCATTGGGGTTTATGGATTATGGTTTTAGTTAGATTTAGATTGCCTATCAAGCACTACTTAATAAATCCATGGCAAGAACACTACACACAGTACATCATATTTTGCCTAACTGCACCTTCACGTTGACACAATTGGATGCATTTACAGTAAACTCCAATACCAGACAATCAACAGCAGAAAATTCCGAAATTACCGGAAGAGAATACTGTGGAGAAAATCCGCTGATCAAAAGGACAAGAAGCGAGATCCCAGATTTCATTCGGATGCGAAAACAAACCCTCACAGATCAACTCATTCCCACCAGACGAAAGCCTCAGCAAATGCACCTGCAACCCCACACGACACAGAAATCAATCGGCAAAACACCCCAACAACAGAGAACTAATTAAGACAGAAATTTAGACCACCTCGTTTTCTTCTTTGAGGCTGAGCGTACCGGTCAGGAAACTGGTATGATCTGTGTCCGCCTTCACATCCGAAATGCATCTCGCCTGAAGCACTCAATTTCACTTGAGAAAATCATTTTCCTTTCAAAATTATAAATCAGGGTGGCTTATCAATCTCGGAAACACTGACCTGATACTTGAGACCATAGCCGATTCCCGTTGCTCCACCTTGCATCTTCTTCGCATCCGTCGACGGCAATGGCTACCTACACAAATATCTCACCCACAAACCAGATCTAAACTATGACTCCTATATGGATAATAGTCTGTAGCCTATAAATTGGGCCAAATGTATCACCATTACCCAAATGGCCTGATGTGAGGTGATGACCCAACTCACAAACAAGACTCATCAGAATCTGTAGCAGTTTCTTCAAAATTTTACCAATTGGGTCGGATTTGTAATAACCCAGAATTCAAAAAGCAAGAATATTGTTTTTTGAGAGTAAAAAATTGAAAATAAACACCCCCAACCCCCCCAGTCCGTCTTTCTTTTACATAGTTGACTTTGTATAAAAAAGTCAAGACAACTACAAATTTATCATTTATGTAATAGAATATCATAAACAGAGCATATGAAGGCCAAAAAACCCATTGATACAACTCTCAAGGGGCACCTTTTTGTGTGTCAAATATGATACAAACCCATGATCAGCCTCAAACAAAACCACAATCTTTAACCCTTCAAGGATGACTGCAAAATTCTGTGCCTATTTTGCACTCTTAGGCTGGCCAAAACTATCCAAACTAAAAATACCAAGGTGAAAGAACGACAGTATACACAGTTCTAAAACTACCTAATCATATATATATGTATGTCCGAAAACAAGAAAAAACAATATGTTTCTCAGCTGTCCGGGCGGGAGGAAGAAGCCCGGTCATTCATCAATGGCAGCTCTTATTTTCTAAGTCAAGGAATGTGGTGGAAGTATGGTTTCCGGCATGCCTCGGAGCAGAAAATGAGGAAAGAATTTTACCTTCAGGTGGTCGGGAGTTGCCCAGAAGGAACTAACTCTGCTGTTGAGTTAGACAAATTAGGGGATCTTTTGTCAGCATGATGGTTGCAGCAGTTTTTCAATGGGTTGGGGAATCGTCGGATTCTGACTGCTGACAACTTGGGAAGAATTGAGGTGAGTATACTGTATTCAATCTGAGAGCAGTTCATCCAGCTCCGGCTCCTGATTATCGTATTCTGAGCTTGTTTCATTGAATGAGCTACCAAGCAGATTCAAGGGATCATCTTCATCTTCAGGATCAGAGAAGTCGGGTTCATCATTGTTTGTGTTTTGATCTTCATCTGCTGCATCGGTGTCTTTTTTAACTGGCGGGGATTCTTTTTGAACTGAATCTAACTTTGTTTTTGCCTTGGCATCTTCACAAATGCAAGAAGCCGGGTTTTCGTGAAAAACTCCCCGGCCAGGCCTCACTTCCTTAGGCTCCCCCATAAAGCCTCTCTGAAATGTTCGTGTACTCGAGGCAAATTCGTCCCAAGTCATGTTGTCCCGGTTCAGAAACAGCTTGTATAACTTCTTTGCATTCGGGCGAATTGTGGGTTTGTGCCCAAAATATCTCCTGAAGTCAAGAAAACCTTACTCGGTAAATAACAAGCAAATACAAGGCATCCAATGCTAATTCGAAATAGAGTATACCTTCGTCCTGCTAAAATTTTTGCCATGTTTCCGTTGTTATTTGTAACAAAGACATCACTTTCATCGCACACTATAAAGTCCAATGCAGCCATACGAGAAGAAAATGCAGAAAAGGGTGCCAATTCCTCTGGTTTTGCTAGGGTATCTTTTGAATAGAAGTTAGGAAAAAGGGCCTTTAATGGAGCCAGTGATGATTCTCCTCCGTATACTTCCCCAGATGCAACATAAATGTAAGTCTGTTGGTCATACCCGAGTGCTTTGAGCAGAAGACCAACTTCCTCAGGTGTAAGTGGACATCTTCCTTGCCTCCTCTCCCTTTCTGGATTATGTTTCTGCATATTCAATCAAGACAAAGTTGAATAAAGACTAGCTATGAAAACAACAGCTCGACTCTTCAACTATAATTACCCAATCAAAATGTCACTACATAATAAAACAAAGGCTGCAAAGTTTGAACATTTCTGCAACCAGCTAGCCACAAATCATTCAAACGCATCTCCATATATTTTCCACAATAATGCAGTAATACATTCTATAAAGTCAGAGGAGCATCCCATCAATCAACAATCTAGCACCACCGGAAAAGAAAGACAGAAAAATCATTATCTTAAAAATGATTGTTCAGATCATTTTGATAACAGTGACTTTTACAGAAATTTCTAATAGACTAATTAATACTTAATTGTGTTTCTAAAGAATAGAATTGAAAGCATTACATGTAAAGTCTTCCATCTCCGCCGTATTTTAGACAATTCTGTCCTCTCTTTCTCTCCTCCACCATAATAACATCCCGAGAATGCAAGCATATCGGGTTCATACCTGCAAATATTCAACACAGATAGAATGAACAACAATATTGTGTCCTCATTTTAGAAGTACTCAACACTATATCACGATAAAGAAGAAAGAAACTTAGATTCCAACCCAATCCAATTAATCTTTGAGAAATCAAATCTCTTAAGAAGCTTGTGAAAGATTATTAACCTCAATCATCAACAGATGGAAAGAGAAAATGTACAAAATTGAAGAACCACATACTGGATATATTAGAACTTTTCAAGACTCCAAAAGTGCAAACAAAGGGTCTAAGCAAAGGATAAAAAATTGATAGTATGAAATATGGAATACATACACCTCTGCATTCAGAAACTGTGCTTGTTATGCAAGTTGAAAATGAAGCAAGGAAATAAGCTTGAAATTGGAAAATTATGGAAATAGGTGTATGCACCTTAGGTGGAGAGCAATATAATGCTTGCTCCTAGCCCTCATTCTGTGGACCAATTTTGAACCCATTTCGAGGATAGGCATAGTGAATCTCAAGGCATGATAGTTAACTCTACACCTAAGCTTTTGCAGATCCGTGCTCAATCTATTTGAAAGTCTATAGTCAAATTTTGTCAGCTGAACAGCCTGAAACATAAATGGACCATTTGTTAATTGTATGAGTAATGGAACCAGATACAAAATACAAAATACAAGATGCCACGAACGGAACCATGTTGACAATGCATCTTCTATACACAAGTTAGACTAGTTTCACTATCATATGAAAAGAATGTTCAGCATTGTACCACAAGATGTAACAACGGAAATGACCTGATATGTTCTTCAGGTACACTAAAATCAGTAAAGAAAATATTTAGTAAAAACATTATTCAAAGAGGGCCCGAAATAACGGCACTGTAGCAACAGCAAAAGAGATTGGTACTCGAAGTGCTATTATGAATTCAAGACAGTGATCCACCAAAAGAGTAGCAATCCTTCCTATTGTGATGTTTTCATTATCATTGATTCCCTGAATGCATCAGTAGTTTGGGAACTTTGTAATTGTGGAGATATGAAACATGGCACGGCATTTGACAACTCCACATATGGAGCCAACACTACACAAACTAGTAAATTGATAAATGACACATGATCAGAGAGAATTAATTTTTGTTTCTCTAATCCATAATATCATCTTTGTTTTTTTCAGTGTGTCAGACAGATGTGAAACATTAGCCCAGTCATGACAAATAGGTACAGTGACTTTTTATTACCAAGTTTTATCTGAAAACTTAGTGTATATCTGAACAAACATGCCAAATTATGCAAGGACCAGATTGACTTACATGCTTCTTTGCAAGGACAGGTGTTAAACGACTAACATAGCATTGCTCATTGCACTTTCTTGGCACACGCATTGTGTATGGATTCCATATCTGGCCTCTTTTTCGAGGAAGCTCTTTTATGATTTTTACATCATCTTTCAGATATGATATAAACCAATCAACATTGAAGATCTCTGAAAAATTGCTGCAACAGAGAGCGACAATGAATGCCTAGAAAGAATTTATAGGAAAATATTCCCAAGAAAAAACATAAATAAGAATTTTACGAAAAATGCACCAAACTTCACCTAGCATCCTTCCAAAATGACTTTGGGTCCAATTTTGGGACAATGAGAGTAGCATTCAGAATGCGAGCAGCAACAACAGCATCAGTAATCTGTTCAGAAAAGGTAACATAGTAACTAACTTTGATGCCTACTATTTCGGAGCTCAGAAGTCAGGACAACATGGCCCATTCAAAACTACAGATAATTTTATAGCACATGATACCAATTAATGTTCATAAGCAATTAACAATTATATAGGAACACACATAATTTAACCCCAACAACAGGAATTACTTTTCGAATCATGCTCTGGAATTCTAGTATGACTATAATAACAATCGTTTCTCGCATTTATAGCCAAAAAATTTTACACTTTCTCGACTACCTTGCTCATAGGACAAAATCCAAGCTTACCACATTATTGTGGTCTACACAAGTGCTACATTACATGATAAGGACAAATACTTTAGAGAATGATGAATCACGTCAAACATAGGAACTTTGAATGAATGCATTGTCAGAGAATGATTGCCAACAATCCTATAGTCACCAATATCTTGCTTCAAACACACACTGATTTTTAAAGAAACATTTCTATGAAGGAAACTAGACCCAAAAAAAATATTTTTCCATGTAATAAATGATAGATGCTGATGTAGCTCCATAACTACACTACCCATTGAAAGGCCAATAGTAGACTATCATCTTTCTATTTTCCAACATTCTCTGATAACAACGGCAGTGACAACAAATAATCAAAGAGTACAAACATCCTTTTCGTAGATTCGAAGATTCTTGCAATATAGAAGATATCCATCCCTCCAAATATATGTGAAACAGAAGCAATAATTACCCCAGTTCTTTGCTGGTTCAAGCCTCCGCTGGTTGCAATAGCCAAATATCGATTAGGTTGGATTATAGCAGAAGCTTCTGTTCATCAAAATTCAATAAACAACAATTGCTCAAAACAGTAAAGAAACAAGGCTAGAACAATCAATGTAGCGCAAATTTAGCAAAGTTTACATACTTGCAAATTTAGCACTGGCGTTGCTGCATCCGTAGTAAAGCCCTGCGTTCTTCGTCCTCCATAGATCGCGTTGATTTACTCCTCTACTGTTCTAGATCTCATCACCCAACAATAATTATATTTAGCAGATATCCCGGATCCAATCAATCGACATTTCACGCATCAGCATCGAACGAAAACCAATCAGAACCAAAAATAAAAACAAATAAGAAGAAGAAGAGCAAAAGGAACTAACCGAAGAAGAACCACTTAATGCCAGAGCTCCATTCCCTCCACTTCCATTTTCATTTCCCTCACCAATGACGCTATTTATCTACGACAAAAATCGCACCAACACCGAATCAGAAACACCATAAAAACAACAACAATAAGAAGGAAACTATTACGAAAAATACTCGGGGTACCCTAGAGCGGAAGATGTGATCATTCTCGACAGGCGAAGGCGCCAGGAAAGAGATGAAAACGAATAGGAGTAGAATGGCAGCGGAAACCGCGGCTATGGCGGGGATAAGCCGGCGACGGTATTGGTGGCGCCGCCGCTGAACAGCCATGATACGCAATCTTGAAAAGAATATTTTGGATGAAATTCACGACGAGGAGGAGCACAAATCGAGGGGAAAGGCAAAGTCAGTCCATGTGCAATTGAGCGGAGCAAACAATCATTTTCCTCGAGTCCTCTTGGGGGAGCAACCATTCGGACCTTCACATCTGGACCACATTCACAGTAAACGACAAGGATTTTCTGACTGATGCTCAGGAATCAAATTGACGATGGATGAGCGAGGGAAGGGTCAGCAATGCCAAGATTTTCTTTTTTCCTTTTTAAAATTTTCACTGCACAGATCGGGAAAAAGGGGAAAAAGAAGAAGAAGAAATCGATTTGGGGTTGGGGGATCACAATATTTTGATGAAATTTAGGGTTCTTACCATAAACAATTACAGCTAGGCTACAGGCTGCAGCTGTCCGGATTTTTGTACAGTTTTACCGCACCGCATCCACAGCCCAAATTAATATTAATCGCTGGATTTCATTTAACCTTGCGATTGATTAGGGTTTGTTTATTTTTGCATTTCAATAATTATAAAAAAAATAAAAAAAATGATATATTAAAGAAAAAATAATAAGTTATTTTTATATTCATTAGAGGTATTCATTAGTATTTTTAAACATATACCATATTATTGTTTTATTTTATAAGATATTAAAATAAAGTTTTAAATTTTTTATATTTTAAATTTTTTTGTTTGAATAGTCATCATCATATTTATTTTTATTTTCTTTAATAAAAGTTTGTTGGATTAGGCCCACTAAGCCAACAATGCTATGGAAGAAATGCAATGGAAATTTTATCTCAATAGTTCCAGAATATGGAAAGGATAAGTTTGAAATTAAATGTTAAATGTTAAATTTTTATTTAATAATATTTTGTGTTTTTTTAATATGAATTTATTAAAAAATATAAATTTTAATTTAAAATTATAATTCATTAGACTAATTACGTGTGACAAATAAATTTATCAAAAATATCCAAACTTAAATTTATTACTTTACAATCACGAATTCATTCGGGCTAATATAATTTTTTATTATTGGCACAGTTTATTACCCTATCAATCCACCAAAAATATGTTTTTATCTCTTTTATAATTTAAAAGTAACATGACTACAATTTTTTAATGAACAAACAAAATATAATTTTGCATAGCTAATAAACAATATTTATATTTATAAACATCGAGACTACAAAAATTCAATCTATATTTCTTTTCTACAGAGAGTGTACATTTGACAGTCTATATTTACTTTTCTCGGAAATTTAAGAAATAAAAATATTTTTAATTTATTAAATAATTCAAAATAATGTAAATATAATTTTTTGTTTTTATTTTCGGTTAATTCTCCTAAAATTTTTATTTGACAAATTATTTTTCTTATCGGTTCTCGTTTATATATTTGTTCATTTTAACTCTCTATTTATTCTTTACAACTTCTCATTTATAATATTACACACTTTCATCTATAAACTTTCAATTTTGCCCTCAAAATAATATTTTATTTATAATTCTATATACCCAATATAACTCAAAACTCTTAACTTGTGTAATCAATGATCAATTTTATTATTTTATTTTTTGAAAAATGACAACGATACAGAATGTTCAAAAGTATATATTCATTAACTTATTTATATTTTATTCAATTAAAAATTAATATTTTTTATAAATATTTTGTATTAAAATTTAATTGTAAACATTTAAATATATATATGTAATTTACTTGTAAATATTTATATATATAATTAATCTACTTATTGTTTAATAGTATTTGTAAAATTGAGTATCACATACATTGATATTTTCTATAAATATTTTGTATTATTATTTAAGTGTTGCATATATATATATTTATAATTATTTAGTTTTCATATTGTTATCTATCTACTTATTTGTTTATTTTTTAATAGTAAAAAGTGAAATTATATTGTAGGAATTTCAAGTGAATAGAGAGTAAAGAATAATAAATTAATAAGAATATGGAGTAAATGAGAAGAATTTATTATATAGAGAGTAAATAGGAAATTAAATTTAGAATTATGGAATTTAATGGAAGTTACCCTTTTATTTTTAATGTAAGATTTATAATATTATGATAAAGTAAATATTGTAGAAAAAATGAGGTATTTTGAAATTATAATTTTCAATTGGACAATTTAAAATAAAAATATATTTTGCGAGTGGACGAAGAGAGTAGTATACTTGTATGATTGTTTGATTTTTATTTGCATTTAAATATTATTTAAATACTTGTAATGTAATACATATTGTATTGAAATTTGTGGTTGTGTTTACTTGTAAATTTTGATTTTGAATTTGGTTTAAAATAATAAAATTGTGTATTGAAATAATTATTTAATATGATATAAATATAAATAAAAAATAAATATTTAATTTGATAAAAAATTATACTCATATCCGTCAAATTTATTCGCATATGTTCCTTAAATTTTATTTTATTAATAATTTTGACAAAATCAAATATTTAACATTCAACTATTACACTCTATTAACACTTATTTACCACAATTATCACTATTACATTCTATCTTCATTTCATTTAACTAACTAAATTTGTAAAAATAGTTTTAACTACTCTTTTTTTTTTTCAATAAAATATAAAGGAGTAAATAATAAAAAGTAAAATTTTTAAAGTAAAGAAATTGTGTATTTAAAAAAAAAAAAAATCAATTTTATATTAAATAATATTGAATAAAATATTTTGTAAAAAAAAAATACTATAATTATTTTTAAAAATACATAATAATAGAAATCTGCCGAAGAAACACCCCCTATTTATTGATTTTTTTAGGGGCAAAAATATCTTTGTAATGGAAAAAGAAAAAAAAAAAGATATTAGCAAATGATAAAGTGGATTCAGCTGTTCAGTGGTCAGCCACCGCCGGAGAAGAATGAACACGCTGTTGCTTCCTCCGCCACCGCTCCATATCCGCCTCCCTCCGCTCCACTATTTCTCTGCTCCGTTGCCCCTCCTTTGCCACCGCCTCTGCGCCGCCGCCCCTCAAAGTTTCAATCTCAGCGCAACCGCCGAGGATCCGTACGACGTCGCTGTACTCCCCAACCCTAGTTACGACTTCACTCCACTCCTCGATTACCTCTCCACTAACTACACTCCGCCGGAGTCGCTCCCCTCCGACCCACCGAGACAGCTGGAGGAAGCCGAGCTCCGCCTCGCGGAGTCGTACGGCGCCGTTCCGGCTCCCCTGTGGCACTCTTTGATTAAGAATCTCTCCTCCTCGCCTTCCTCCTTTTCCACTGCCTATTCGTTGGTTACCTGGCTTCAGAGGCACAATCTGTGCTTCTCCTACGAGCTTCTTTACTCAATTTTGATTCACGCGTTGGGGAGGAACGAAAAGTTGTACGAAGCTTTTCTGTTATCGCAGCGTCAGAGCTTGACTCCATTGACATACAATGCCCTAATTGGGGCTTGCGCGAGGAACGATGATCTCGAGAAGGCGTTGAATCTGATGGAAAGGATGAAGCGAGACGGTTACCAATCCGATTTCGTCAATTACAGCTTGATTATTCAATCACTGATGAGGAGCAACAGCGTGGATGTGTCGATATTGGAGAAATTGTACAGTGAAATGGAGGTGGATAGCATCGAATTAGACGGGCAGCTGTTCAATGATCTGATTTCAGGCTTCGCTAGGGCTGGAGATGTAGACAGAGCAATGTATTTCTTCGGGATGATGCAGGGGAATGGAATGACTCCGAAGACGAGCACCATTTTTCTGGTGGTGAATGAGTTAGGGAATTTGGGGAGAATTACAGAGGCGGAAGCTGTGTTCGAGGAGTTTAAGGAAGGTGGATTGAAGCCGAGGACGAGAGCTTACAATGCTCTACTGAAAGGGTATGTGAAGGTGGGAGCCTTGAAGGATGCAGAGTACATTGTGTCGGAGATGGAGAGGGCCGCCGTTTCGCCTGACGAGCATACCTATAGCTTGCTCATGGATGCTTACGGTAATGCCGGCAGGTGGGAGAGTGCTCGAATAGTCTTGAAGGAGATGGAGGCGAACGGCGTGAAGCCTAATTCGTACGTGTTTAGCAGGATCTTGGCGACGTGCCGGGACCGTGGAGAGTGGCAGAGATCGTTTCAGGTGCTGAAGGAGATGAAGGTCTGTGGAGTCAATCCCGACCGGCAGTTCTACAACATAATGATCGATACATTTGGGAAATACAATTGTCTCGATCATATGATGGCTGCGTTCGAGAGGATGAAGGAGGAGGGGATTGATCCGGATACGGTGACATGGAATACGCTGATCGATTGTCACTGCAAGCAAGGTCATCACGACACAGCAGAGGCATTGTTCAGAGAAATGCGGGAGAGCGGGTTTTTGCCTTGCACGACGACGTATAACATCATGATCAATTCGTTTGGGAGTCAAGAACGGTGGGATGATGTGAAGGATTTGTTGAGGAAGATGCAGGGGCAAGGATTGCTGCCTAATGTCATCACCTACACGACGCTGGTTGATATTTACGGGCAATCGGGTAGATTCAACGATGCGATCGAGTGCTTGGAGGTGATGAAATCGGCTGGACTAAAACCATCTTCCACAATGTACAATGCTTTGATTAATGCCTATGCGCAGAAGGTATATTCCTCTCCGAAAATCGAATCTTGATATTCTTGCGGGGCTGCAACGTAGTTTTGTGTAAAGTAGTGTGTTAAATTTGTCGACAGGGATTATCCGAGCTAGCCTTGAATGCATTTAGGGTCATGCGAGGCGATGGTTTGAAACCGAGCCTTTTGGCTCTTAACTCGTTGATTAATGCTTTCGGAGAGGATAGGAGAGATGCTGAAGCATTTGCCGTATTGCAGTACATGAAGGATAATGTGAGCGAATCGAATGTATTGATTGATTGCGTATATTGTTTTATGTGGCTGTTTCTGTTCAAGCTAAATCTTTGCGAATGCAGGACTTGAGACCCGACGTTGTCACTTACACGACACTCATGAAAGCTTTGATCCGCGTTGAGAAGTATGAAAAGGTTCGTCGTCAATTTAGAAACAAATAGAGCAAAGAGATAATGTTAGGAAAAATTGCAAAAAATATCCTTCCCATATACTCAATTATCACTTTTGTCATTTATTTATTTCGCTGACATAAATGTTTGCAAAAGTCGTCATTTTTGTCTTTCAGTTGCTTATGGTCGCGCATGGAACAACTATTGTGTGAACATGATGCGCGGTTGAAGGGTAGAAATAATGACTTTTGTAAACGTGAATAATAAATACCAAAAGTGATAATTTGGTATAATTGAAAAATATTTTTTACAAATTTCTCCATAATGTTAATGTTTTAGTTGTTCCCGCACTATAATAAGGTTTTAAGTACGATGGTCATTTAACATGGTATCAGAGTCGGATAATTATATTTTAGTTCCACCACATATCATAAGATTCTCGCTCTTGAAAATCTATGCTCTAATGATCTCTATGCAACTCAAAACTTCACCAATTCTTCGTCGTCCACGTCCAAGTCCAAGATTCGTAATATATAAATAAATGATGTGTATCCCATATACAAGTGAGATGTCTTCCAATCATTTTTGCTCATGTGTTCTTGTCGGGTTTGAATTTCAGGTTCCTTCTGTATTCGAGGAAATGCTGCTCTCCGGATGCGCTCCCGACAGAAAAGCTAAAGCGATGCTTCGATCTGCTCTACGGTACATGAAGTCTGCTCTAAAACTATAGCTCGATTCCATTCGCATCCGATATGGAATCTCTAGCCACCGATCTCACCACGGCAAAAAGTTGAGGTCCGTAACCCCGCTTACACAATCGATGTGTACCCGATCAACCGTTTGGATTCGATTGTTCGTTATTGTTGCATTACGGAAACTACATTTGGCGCAGGCTGGACGAGGGGGCGGCGTCGATGCAATGCCCCGACTCGAAGTGTCCCGGTAGGCGTCGATAGCGTCGATTGTACAGTGTATATGGAAAAACACAAAGGTACAAAGGTGGATATTGAGTAAGGAATTAATGTTGTAGAATTCATTAGAATACTGATAATGGATTGGGATGTTAAGGAAGGAATCGTCCAATTATAACGTCGGAATTTGCAATCGCTATTTTTAAAAGCATTATGCTGAACAAGATCTGGAATTGTGAAGTTTGAATTATAACTTCACAGTCATAAGTGTATTTACGTAACAAATAGATATTTTTTTAAAAGAAAGAGAAATAAATAGTTTTAGTGAGGAGTGAGTATTTTTCAATTTAAGATATTATAAAATTACTTTTTATAATTTTCTATTTATATTTAAATTTAATTATAAAACTATCACAAATAAATAAAAATAATAAATAAATAAAATATTTTAAGAAAACAAATAATTTTCTTTTTTTTTTTTTTTTACTATAATAATAGCCGGTTCCGTTACTATCAAGCGCCAAGAGCACCGTCACCACCTCTCTCATCGAGTTTTGGTGTGTTTGTTTTGTATTTTGGTATTTTTTTATAAAAAATTATATAAATAATATAAAAATATAAGATGGATAATATATTATGCATTTGTTGATAAAATATATATATATAATTATATTGAGAATATATATGTTTAATAAAATATAATATGTATTTCACAAAAAAAAAAAAAAACAATAAAAATCGAACTATACAAACCACAATAGATTGTTTACATATAACTATTTTAAAGAAAAAAATTGCTACTATTAGACTATTAGTCAATAATATATGATGCGCTTTTGCTTTCAATATAATTCAATTCTCAATAGGCATGGTTCTTATAATACTCCCATATTTGTTTAATAAAAAATTAAATAGATATTTTAATAGAATATTTATAATTTTTACTTTTTATAAATCTGTAATTATTTTTTAAAATACAAAATATGAACACATCTTTTATTTTAAATTAGAATTATCATAACTAAATAAAAAACATATTATTTTTTTAATATACAAATTATATTTAAATAAAAATTAAAATAATAAGGCATTTCAAATTAATTTAAATCTAACATAGCCCCCCGTTTCATTTTTTTTTTTTTTTTAGAATATTTGCTCTGGAATTTGTTCCTCAAAATTATTTGACACCTCTCTCTCTCTCTTATGAACAGGCGCCAAGAGAGAGCGAGAGGGAGAGAGAGAGAGAGAGAGAGAGGAACTTCTATGATTCACTCGGATAATCTTGAAAATCCAATTTCACTGAGCAGTCCATGCTCCGGGAACTTTCTCCGCAATCACAGTCGCAGTTCGCCGTCCGGTTAATTGTCGCCGGAATCGATCCCAGATCTGTTTGTATCTTTATCCGCACATGCGAATCTGTATCGTGTGCGTTTTGGAGTAGTATGTAACAGCCGCGTCAATTTTGGCTGTAGTCAAAGACGAATTGTGGTCAGTATAAGTCTGCGCTTGTGAGATCTTTGACTGTTCATTTGACTCCTCGAGAAAATGTTGATGACTCACTCGTTTGAGTGGATTATTTTACTCTTCTATTGTTTATTTCGGCGATATATTGATTTCCGTTTGAAGGAATTGAACTTGATGATTAACAAACTTGCTACTATGTGTAATTTTCAACCTAATTTCGTACTCAAATTCGTGAATCCTGTTCGCTTGTGCTTATTTAATTTTTCTCTGTTATTCGTTGGATCTTGAGCCTAATTGCACTGATATCTTACTGATGAGTGTTGAACAGTCCCCAAAGTATAATCAGTTATTGATAGCGGTTTATTTTCTTTGGTTTTTGATTGATTTTTATACAGCCAGATTTTGCTAACTATGTGCAATATTAAGTAGAAATTTCTTTAATGAAGAGAGTATTTACATTGTAATGAATTGTTGATCAGAAACTCCGGAATCTGGATGATGTTATGGTACTATGAACAGAAATTGGGGAACATGGTGATTTGATTGATAGAATCTATTTCCATTTCATATCTAATATGGTTTCCATTTGATCAGGTGAGGAGATTTTGATAAGAGTGATGATTTGATGAGAAGAACTGATGTTATTTGCAGTAGAAGGAGGAGGTTTTTTCTCTTCTTCAGCTTCTGGATACACTAACGGCCTAAAGCTTCTTGTGTTGGGTCGGGAAATCGAAGAGGAACCAATGAGAGTAACGCCGTGGAATCAGTACCAGTTGGTGGACCAAGTGACCGATCCTTCTCTCCAGCTGGCTTCAGCGAAGAACTGGCTTGTCCGTGGGCGTGCCGCCTCCTTGGTGTGCTTTGGTCGAACCACAGCTCAACCTGAATGCACGTCCCATCTGAAAGTCGGTCCTAATCAAAACAAAGAAGTATTGCCCGAGCCTGTGGCTTTTGATGAGAGTAAAGATCAGGCACACCTGGTTAATCCTACTAGTTACGATGATCTTGGCAGCAAGTTGAGTAGTCGAAAGAGTAGCTTGAAGAAATCGAAGAAAAATGAAGCTATTACCTTCATTGATGGTGGTGGTAGAAATAATCGAAAGTGTGGAGAGTTTCTTGAACAGGTCGATGGCGTCGATTGTCATATAGATAGGAAGAGAGTTCAGTGGACAGACATATCTGGGGGAGAGCTGTTTGAGATTCGGGAGTTCGAGATGAGGTATGAAAGTTTACAATTCATAATCGAATTTTAATATGAAGCATTCAACGTTTCTCGAGTATAAATGCATCTACATTGTTGTTGTGATTGATTTTTATTCGATATTCGTTTCAGTGAAGATGGATCAGATTTCAACTACGATCTTGAGAACGGGAAGGTATGTTCGTGCAAAGTCATGTGATCCAAAGGTGCCCGCGGTGAAAATACCGAATGGGATCGAAGCATGGACCATTGATATATCGGGTTAATCTTCTTGCCTCATTTCAATATTGTGTGCAATTGAATTACTGCCTTGTGATTCTAGTTTGTTGTTGTTTCGATTTTGGTTCTGGTTCCGGTTTGACCCCTGCATCGGCCATTCCTCGTCGTCGAGGAATGACTTGCTGGGCCTTTGTAGTTGTCCATATGAAAAGTTTTACCTTGAGTTACTGCTGTTAAAAGAGGCATCAATCATCATATCCTAGCTATTGTGTTTTCATGGTTTTGTTTTCTTGTAATTTTTTAAATTCTACAATGGGACAGATGCAAATAAAATGTAATACTATAAACAAAACAAGAGGTTTTATACAATAAATTTGTGGAAAGATTTAAAACAGAAGTTTGGCATGAGGGTGAATAAATTTTACCTTTGGTATCCTCTTGTTCTTTAAATTACTCGACAGCCTACGCCTGCCTTCCCTCGACTACAGCCACTCGAGCTTGCCCCGGTGCTCGATGAGGTGTTGAATTTTACCATTAGGTAAGAGGGAGAGATTCCTCACCTTAGCAGGTTTAGTGTCGTACTTAGCTTTGAATCTTGGCAACGGCTTCTTGTGTTCTTCTTCCATGATCTTTGAACTATCCGGCGAGACCTCATCAAGAAACTCGTCTGCTATGTCCCCGTCTTCGTCTATTTTAAGACGCCTCGCGTACCATCTCAAGCCCTGATCAATTTTGAAGAATGCTAAGGAATTATTCGTAACACGAATATCAAATTGTTGGAATATCAGCGGTAGCTTAGTTGATGATCTCGAGCCTCCGAGTATATTCCAAGTTAGATGTATACCACTGAGATCATCTATTGAGTCGTACTTATAATTACATGTAAAATTTCAAGTATTTTTTTTTTTGAAAACATCATATTAGAAACACAATAGGACTAAATATAATTTTTCACTATTGATAATTTTTTTTCCAAGTCTAAGTAAGTCAAAAAACTAACAAATCCTTCAAACAAGATCATCAATTCTAGCAAAATCAGCACAATGCATCAGCCACCAGATCTGGTCAAAACTAAGCTCAACGAAGCAATTCAATGCTTACAAAAGGAACATAACTTCCAAGCAATCAACTAACCAAAACCGCAATCAGAAACCAGAAAAAAAAAAAAAAAAAAAAAAGAAGAAGAAGAAGAAGATAGGGATAAAAGGAGACCTGAATTCCGCCGTCGCCGGCGGGGCAGAACACCAGGAGTGGCGGAATTGGAGCTCGTTCGACGGGGACTTTCACTGGAACACTAAATCCTTTCATCGGAACATGATCGGGCGGAGACGTCGCTGCCAGTGCCACCGGCACGGAAGACGAATGCAGCGGCGGAATTGCAGCGGCATGGCGGTGGTCGTCGACGTCGTCGTCGTCGTCGTCCTTGGCAATCCCTAGGAAGCCGGCGAGTCGCTTAAATAAGCCCATAATTGGGGCTACAATACATATGCGCAGAGTGAGAGTGAGAGTGGAACTGATTTAGGGTTTGGAATTAAGCAGCAGCAGGTTGAGGTTGGGCAACCACAAATTGGGGAAAATTTTAGTAGTAGAATAAAGCTGACCGTACTAGTGGTGAACTATTTTGTGAACTGTAACCCTCACCGTTCTTTCTATATTTACCCCCAAAATACTCTACTCTCTAAATACGAATTTTTTTGTTTCTCTATATATATACCATTTGGTCTTGCAGCTATATATAGTTTTTCTTATATGACTTGACCTAATTTACAAGCTATATTCGAATCACGCTCCTGTGTATATTTCATTATATATATTTTTATTTTTAGTTTTTTAATTACAAAGCAATTATCTTAAAAATATTTTTATTATTATTTTTTTTATAAATATTTTTATTTTACCATCACAATATTATTTTTTATTAAAAATGACAAAATTATCTTTACACTATTTTTAACTATCAATTATCATTAAAATATTATTATTTTTAAAAATTTAAAAAATAAATAATTACCTTCAAATTGAACATAAGAAGTATATAATGAATCTTCCTCTTAATTTTGTTTATGCTTATCTTTAGTTTTTTGGATTTGACACATACAATGCTACAACGTGGAGCCCGTTTTTAGCTAAATAGATCATTTTAAAAAGATATAACTTTTATTTAAAAATTGAGAAAAATAGTAGGTGCCACTACATATTATTTTGTTTATGTATATATAATTATATATCAATTTTTGTATTGGATTCAAATCGAATTTCAGGATTGTTGCCTATTTTGCCAGTTCTAATGATAATATTTCCAATAAGGTACTATTATTTTTGTTTCTATATATGTATATATCAATTAATTAAAAAAAAAAAAAACTCAAACATTTATTTTTATAGTACAAGATATTAAATCTAACTACTATTCACAAAATACAACATGAAAACAAGGTGGGCTACAAATTCAAATTGGGCCATCGACTGAGGCCCAATCTCAACCTATTTTAAGAACATACTATCATAAAATGCAACAAACTAAAACAACAAAATTTGTTCAGTTTGCAACATACTCCGGTTCAGTTATGGGAATAAAAAAATAATTTACTCTATTTTTTAACAATTTTTTATAGTATTAATATAAAAACAATATTTTGAATTGAATTCGAAAAAATAAAATATATATTATATATTAAGAATTATATCAGTAAAACAAATTATTTTAGCGAACAGAATCTCTGTATAAATTTAGAAAAATACAAAGGTTTTAAAACATTCCAAATTAATTAATATATCTATTTAATCATTTATATATTGTTGAACTAATTACCACATAAGCTATAATTGTATAGTGCATTTATTAATCGGTCCAATAAAGTAAAGTCCCATATGGAAAATTTAAAAATAAAATCATATTTATCATTTTTTTTTTGGTTATAATATTTTGTTTTTGGTCCAAAAATTGACAGAAAGTTTGTTGCACACTTTACACTATGAGAATGAGACTTAGGCAACTTAGGCATCTAAAATATTTCCAATAAAAATTATATGTAACTATATTTGAGATTTTATTTCCTCATGGAAAGATCCAAAATTTCTTGTATCATTGATCTATTCAACTTACCAAGGGTATGTTTTGATGTTTTCTTACATTATTTTAAATTTGATTTCTTAATTAAAAACAAATCAATTTTAGTATGAGTTATGTTTTTCAGAACAAAATTAAAAACATAAACAAACACGGTTAGATGAGAGTATCCAAGAAACTAATATTTTCTTTGTATTTCTAAGCTCATTTTCACACTACACGCCATTCTTGCATTTTCGGAATCCTTTAAGGTCCCGTTTGGTTGGATTAATTTAGATTTAATAGTTGGTTTTAAATGAATGAATTTAAATTACTTCTTTCATCGTTTGATTAATATATATATATATTTAAAATGACACAATATAAAAAGTATTTTATGTATTAAAAATATAATACTTCCGTTCACCCAATAACGTTTTTAGATGAAATAGTTTTTGGCGTGTGGTACAAAAAATTGTGTTAAAAATATAAAATATATTATTTTAGAATGAATATTTTTTACTCTTTTACTTTTATAATGACTTTTTAATTTTTTAGAATGAGTATTTTGGATTTTTTAATTTTGTATTTATTATTATTTTCATATGAAAATTAGAATTGAAAAATAGGATTGAAAATACAAAGCCACTGAATTATAATCCAAAATCAAATAAGAGAAAAATTTTAATAATAAAAGCGAGGAATTGAACCCACAACATATACAAACTAAAATATTTGCCATTAATCAATATTGTAATTTTGGTTTTTATTTAAAAAATTAATAAATATATAAAATTTTTAAAATTTAAATATTAATTTTAAAAATCGAGCCGGTCAGGCAATGCCCGAAAATTTTTGGGTCTATTTTAAATACTCGGATATTTACCACCTCTATTAAAAGTAAATTTTAAGTTTGAGAATAATAAATTTTTTTATTAAATAATAAGAACTTACAACCAAACACTCTTATAGCATTTATCTCTATATATATGTATATGTAACAAAATAATTTCATTACACACACATCACACAACAATATGTTTCCCCAAACCCTTCGGACACACATTGCTCTTCTCTTCGCCATGTCCTTAATTATTTCCATTTCATTAAACGGCGGCGCCGGCGCTGGCGCCGCCAATTCTACCTTAATCGAAAGGGCTTGCTCCAATAGACACATCGAGTTCAATAGCCAGTTGTGTCTCCAAATCCTTAACTCGGACAATCGAATAGTGTCGGCGTCGAATTTCTTCGACTTATCCATCGCCATAATGGAACAAGGAATTTCCAACGCTACGATGACGAGGAAGCTCATCGAGAGCCTCATTACAAAGGGTAATGTTACTTACATCCTCGGAGATTGCAAAGAATCGTACAACTCGGTCATAGCGTCAATGAATAGTGCTTTGTCCGAAGTGAGAGACATGAAGGCATACGATACGGCGACGTATGATCTCCTCCTTGCCGGCACGGACAACGTCCAACGTTGCAAGGAAGTTTTGGGTGGTAAGAAGGGTAATTATAATGAGTATGGGGTTATTGTGAGCGGGAATACGGCGGCCACGATATATGGGTTGTCTGCGTACCAGGCTGTCGATGTTCTTTCGCAGCAATAAGATGGTTTTGGTTGTTGTTAAAAAATAGTTACTATTGTTGAATAACGACGTAGATCAGTATGATCGATCTTGTTCTATGTAAAGAAATAACATGCTTTGTTTACTCAGCAATATTTTGGAAATTTATCAAAATATTTAATAATATATAGTTTTAGCAGAACATTTATTTACAAAATTCTAAAATTTAAAAACTCTACAAAAATTCATGTCTAAACAAATAAATTTGGCTAGATAAGCATATATATTATTTGAAAATAACAGATGATGTGTTATTTTTGTCTCTTTTTTTTCACATTTTTCCAAAAAATCAATATTTTTTTATATATAAAAGAAAATATATTTTTTAAATTCTCATAATCACGAATTCATTTTCGTACCACCAAGGCATTTTTGTAGACACAGAAATTTAGGTGAAATATAATTAGTAAATAATTAAAAATATATTAGTAAAAATAATCATATAATAAAATAATTATAAATTAAAATTAAAATAATTAATTAGTATAATTAAAATTTAAAAAAATTATAAATTAAATTTTTTAAAATAAAATTAAAATGTATAACAAAATAAGTGGGACAAAAGAAATTGAAAAGATGCACATAAAAAAAAAAAAAAATGGGACTGAAAGATTATATACTTACTATTATATGGAGTATTAAGAAAATACGGTTTCTGCCAAAAAAAATTCCAACTAAAATTCCAAGTCTGCCACTAGACATCTATATATCTATTGTAGCTATTTTTTTTCAAATAACAAGACTCAATAACTTAGAAAACTATTAACCAAAAGTTCAAAAAATAAAATAAAATAAATACATATGATAAATGTAAGACAGTACTTTTTTTTCACAAAATATTTAATATTTGAATTTTTTATTGGTATTTTTTGTATTCTTAGGGTGTGTTTGGTATATAGAAATGAAGCCAGAGAAATAAAAAAAGTGTCATTTTTCTTATTTGTTTGAGTAGAAAAATAGAAATTAAAAATAAATTATTTTTATTTATCTGTTTTCATTACTCTCCTATATGTAGAGAGAGAAATTAAGAGAAATAATATATATATATATTTTAATTTTTTTAAATCTTTTTTGTACTATCTAATTTATATCTATATATTTTTTAATATATTATTTTAATTTTACAAAATTAAATTAAATTTATTGTTAAAGTATTTAAGTTTTACGATTTTTTAATAAATTATACTAAAATATAAAACATCGAATATAATTTATAATTTTTTTAAAAAAAAAATTCATCAAAAATACTTTTCGTGAATTTTCATTTGATAAATGTATGATCCATTCATATAACTGCATATTTATATATGTATATATATTTCTCAATTGATTCTCTATTTTAACCGACAACAGAATTAATTCACATTCTCTACTGATTCAATTTCTCTCCAATTATATTATCTACTCAATTTATCTGCAATTTCATTATGTATACCAAACGTGAACTTAATATTGTATGTGGAAATAATGTGCTGATTTTCGTTACCTAAGACTAAAACACGAAAAACACATTAAATAAGCAGTATAAGCAGTTATTGCAGGCCAATTGTAAAATTTTTTTATTGTATGAAAAAAAAAAATTAAAAATTAAAACTCACCCACCTATATATACACATATACATATATTTATTTATTTTAAATTATATTGTCAAAAATGCTGTTCTCAACCCTAATTCAGACACGGATCACTTTTATTGCACTCAACATCATCTCCTATTCTCTATTCCTTCCCCCAATCGCCGCCGCCCCCGGCACGGCGGCGCCCGCGGCCGCCCCAGGACCCGCCGGCGCTCCCCCGCTTATCAAACATGTCTGTCAGAGCGGAAATCCAACATTCGACGCCGACCTCTGCGTACGGCTTCTTAAATCCAACGAAGAGGCGAGATCCGCCGCCGATTTTCACTCCTTAGCGATGGCGATTGGGAAGCAGGGAATCTCGCACGTGAACCGCACGCGCGAGCACGTGGAAAACATGTTTAACAAGACGGCGGCCGGCGGCGCAATCGAAGTTTGTAGGAAGGCGTACGGCGGAGTGATGGTGACTTTGAAGAGCGCAGTGAATGAATTGAAGGATCCGATGACTTATAATTTGGCTTCTTATGATATGTTGCTTGCCGGTACGGACAGCATCGGTCGGTGCCAGGATGCGGTCCGCCGCGACAACGTGACGGACGAGGTGGTCTTGTCGGGGAATAAGGCGGTGGTCGTTTTTGGGCTGTCGGGGAATAAAGCTGTTGATGAAATCCGACGACAGGATTTAACTAATTATTATATATACTGACTAATTATTGTCTGAAATTATAAATAAATTAATAATACAACTTTCTAATAATTTAAATTTTTAGATGAGACAATCATTGCGCCTATCATATGAGCTGACGTGAATTTATTTGACGGGAGAGTTGGACTTTTATTTGTGTATAAGGAACTTGATTTTATCCGTTGGAATAAATTCTTTTAAAGTAATATTTTTTTAAAAAAATACTCCCTTCGTTCACGTCCACGTTGTCGTTTCTGTTCGTCCCACGTACCATGTCATTTTCTATTTTTGAAAAATGATTATACACTTTAATCTATTTTAAACTTTTTAATTTTATTTTCATTAATACATTATTAATTATCTACTACTTACGCCCCTTTTAAAATACGGTGTCTACAATATAACATACACGGCATGTGGGACGGAGGTAGTATATTTTGACATAATAAAATTAAAAATATTTTTAAAATGTAAATACTAAGCTTAATTATTTTATTTATTAAACCTCTAAAATTTATTAATTATTTAATAATTGTAAATTGTTTATTATAAAATAATACTATATATCTTTTAAATTTTGGACATTTATATTATAAATTTTGATTTGAAGCACAATATATAAATAAAAAATAAACTTATAATTTAAAGTCAGATCAATTACACTTTACAAATTATTTTAAAATATAATAATTATATAATTTCTTTGCACTTATTGTTGGGTTTCGGCTTGTGATTTGTAATGATACATTTCTATATTAAAGCCCAAAGTTGTAAAGCTGTGGTCCAATTTTTATCTTAGTCCATTAACCGATAAAGTTGTCGAGACCTTATCTGAGTCGTTGGATCAAGGGTTTTGTTATTAGCTATTGGATCGATGTTAAGCCGCTGCTCTTCAAATTATTAGACATTCAGTCATGGACCGATATTGCAATTCTCTCTGCTCGTTGTCTTCTTCCTCTTAGTTTTTTGTGCGATCGATTGAGGATGTTGTGGTAGGATTTTTCCTCTAAATTGTGGGCTAAGTGTTTCTTAGTGTAAGATTGAGAAATTTGTACAAATATCTTCTTGTATTTGTGAGAATTGATTGTACAAGTTATCGTGGTTAAAATTTGGTATGCGGAATTTAATTAGTTAGTTGTGGCTATTTTAGTCTGAATTGGAGCCGATGTTTCCTTTCAATGCACCTTATATTTGTTTTAAAATTGTGTTAGGAACTTAGCTGAACTTTCTTTTTGTTTCTTGTGTTTTAATTTTTCTGATTCGATGCAATACAAGAGTTATATGTTTATCATATTTTTTCTTGTCGAATTTATGTTTTACTGTACAAAAATACAACATTTCAATTTATTTTTAATTTTTAACATTTCAAATTACGGCATATTAATTATTATTATTATTATTGTTGTTGTTGTTTCAACAGGAGTATTTTTTACCATATTAATTATTTGCAGGTTTTAATCTACTTTTATATTATTTGATTTATGTTTTTTTAGTTCAAGAAAATATATTCAATATCTACTTTTTTAGTAATATCACACATTCAGTTACAATATTTATTTAAAAATAGTGGCTATGTTCATTTGTATTTTCTTGTATGTTTCTTATGGGAATTTTTTGCTTCCGTTATATTTAGTTTTTGGTTTAATTGAGTAGTAAAATTTCATTTTTTTTTATATATTATTTTAAAAATTAATTTTACATTCAAAACATTACATTTAATTTAATTGAATAAATATAAATAAATTAAATTTGGTGGATCAATTGGATGCCTTAATTACCAGAATTAACCAAACATACACTATAGAGAGATGCACAATTTAATTGATAAATTAATTAATTTGGTTTATGTCTGAATTAAATTTAAGATTCATTACCCAAAACTTTAAGTTAAGTTCATCGCCTTTGTTTGGATGCCGTCAAATTGTTTGTAAATAATTAAAAGTTTTAATTATAATATTTTTATGGTGCAATAAATAGATTATTTAGTCCCAAAAATATTGCATCACATTTTTTTTAATATATTAAATATAAAATAATATTTAAAATATCCCATCAAATATTTATTTATAACTATTGACTTCGGTTAAAGTATTGATCAACTCATTCAGTAAATATAATCATATAGCTATATCATAGAAAATGATGTAATAAAAAATACAATATTCTAATGTGAAATTATATTATGTCAATTAATAATGATTTGATTTAATCAAAATACTTTAAATACTCCAATTTTATTATATACTAATATTACGTCAAATAATTATTACTATTTAAAATTTTATTATTTTGTAAATACCTAAACACAACTAAATAAAAGATTTTTACATAATATATTTTTTTAAAAATATTTAATATGGTCTTTTTAGTTTTATTTTTTAACTTAAAAATGAGTAATATATTCCTAATTTAGGGTTTAGGTTCTTAGCAAGAATGACGACCCCCACCCATTATATTTATTTAAAATTTTTACCTACTCCTTTAGTTTAAGTCTAGAAAAAGTTTTGTAATTTTTTCATTAGGTACAATTTTCACCGTTTTATCATTTATATAGAGTTTTTATTAATCTATAAGTATTTTCAATATGAAAGTAAGATTAAAAAAAAATAAAAAATTAAATTAAATTATAACTGGCCAAATAGTAAACTGTCTTAAAAGTAGAGCTGGCAACGAGTCGATTCGTGTCGGGTTGAATACTTTAAACGGGTTAAATTATTTAATTTTAACTCGACCCGTTTATTACCGTGTCGGGTTCGGGTTGACTCGTGTTGATCCATATACATAATTAAGTCGAATTTCTTGAGTTAAATTAAATAATTTTTTGTCGTGTTGTTGTGTTATGTTAGTTTTTATTGGTTTGAGCATAAATTATGTTGAATTATTTAAAATTGAATTTAGTTTAAATTAATTTATGAGAAAATTATTAAATTATGATTATTTTATATAATGAATATATTAATCAATATTAATATATTATAATTGGGTTGTCGTGTTGGGTTCGAGTTGAAAGCTTCAACCCTAACCCGACTCGTTCACTATCGTGTCGAGTTCGTGTCAACCCGTATGCATCGTGGGATTGAAATCTTTAACCCAAACCCAATTATCTCGTATTGGGTTGTGTCGAGTTAGTTTTTCCCAACTCTACCTAAAAGTAAACATCATATTGGTCGGTTTAAAATCAATTGTTTTATTATTATAAATAATCATATTAGGATAAAATTATTATTTAATTTTTCATTATGAATACATAAATATCACTATTTTTATATTTAATTTAAAACACATATTTAATAAAATTAATATATATTTAATTAATATTTTGTATTTAAGTACTAATACAATATCAATATCATTTAGAATTTGTTCTTTTTATTACTTCAAATTCAATTAATATTATTTTTTCAACATAATATTCAATAAAAATATATATATTTTTTATAACATATTATCTCAAAATTATATTTAAATAAAAGCTCAAACTAACATATCACTTAAAATTAATTTAAAAACAAATCCTTATAAGAGATAAATATAGTATAAAAAATAAAAGAATCGAAGACCAAATAAAAGACGAGAGTGATAAAAACAGGTGTAAACAGTAGGTGCAAAAAATAGGCTATCGGTATTTCCTAAAATCATTATTATAACTATGATTATAATTATTACTATAATCTTTAAAAAATAAAAAAAAGAAGTGGACAGGTGTCGGACACGCGTAGAGTTCTTAAAACGTCAACGTGTTGAGCAATACGACGTCGTCAAATCTATCTTTGTATCTGTATTACACAAAATCCAACAAATAGTAAATGAATGCATGCTTTATCCACGTCGTCTCCTCATCTCATCTGAACCTCTTTTCTATTTATAAACACAACTTTTATTTTATTTTTATTTATTTAAATAATTAAAATATTAATATTTTAAAAATAAAATTGGTGTGAAGGAAGTTTCGGAGACAGGCAAAAAGCGTGAGGGGCACCGAAACTTAAAGCGGAGGGAAGATCTAAATTTAGCAAGTGCCAATTATTATATATATTTTTAATATAAAATAAAAGCTAAGGTTTGAATAGAAATAATAATAATAATTTAAAGCAGTGTGGAAAGAATAAATTCAAATGTTTATTTTTGTTGTGTCACCTGCACAGAAAAGGCCTATTTCTACATTTAATCCCACTGTTATACATATGTATAATTTTAAATTAAAATATGTTAGATATTCACATGTTTGTAAGTAATTGTAACATGAATGTAGTGAAATAGTTTAGAAAAAAGAGGACTATTGTGCAATACTTTACTTTATAAATGAGAAATATGCTTTCTAAAAAGAAGTCATTTTTTAAAAATTGGTCTTTTAATTTCGTGTTTTATTTATTGATTTGAATTAATACTCGATTTCTAATTTTCTACGAACTATATATAAACTTGTACGTAACAAAGTAGACTTGAACAATAATTTATATAATTATTTTTTGTTAAATAGTATATGAATATATATAAAACCAATATATCTATATTAAAATTGATGAAGGTAACATACCATTGAGTAGTCAAGGTAGAACACATTAAATTCATATAAAATCAAGTTTCTTCTTTAAAAAGAAAAATAATAATTATAAACATTTCAAAAATTTCCTTTATTAGAAGCTTTTTACTTCAAGCTAGAAATGGGAGCAATTAAAAGTGACATTTCTTTTTGTCTTTGAACAATTTTGAATTATAATGATTTTAGCGATTTGTACCTAATTTTGTCCTATGAGAAGCATATTGATTTTATATGAAATAAAATGTAAAACTTATCGATCAAATATATATATATATATCATATATTAAAATGACATTGTGACTAGAGATAAATGTCTCTAATAAATTTTCATTCTTATTTAATTATTAATAATACCTTATTAAAATTTATCTTAATTATTGAGTATGTTATATGTATATATACTAAAAATTTCCAAAAGAGCAAACCCAATGGCAGTAACAAAATCATGTCTATGTTTTTTATCGGACAAAACAATAAATGTAAATAATACCTAAACTCTGAATCAAAGTACAAAGTACGATCGACATTTCTGAACCCAAAAAAAAAAAATAATATATAGTACTAATATTATTATTATTATTTTAAGAAAGAAAAGAAAAGTAAAAATCAATTACTGTGAGCTGTATAAAGAGCAGAGTAAAAATTAAATCAAGAAGTTGGGGGATACTGGCCGGAACTCCACGGCGGCGCGGCGAAGGTCGAGGCGGCAGCGCCGCCACCACCGCCTTGCGTTGGCTGCGAGTTTCCTTGTGGGGCAAAATGTATGGTCTGACCACTCGAGAACAGAGATGGGTATTGCGACGCCGGCGGCGAAGGCGCGGCGGCGGAGTAAAGTCCGGCGAACGACGAGCCGTAAAACACTTGCTGGAGAAGACTCGGCGGCGCCTGAAATTCGCCGCCGCTTTGCAGAAGCTGTGAGTATTCCCAGTAATCTCTGGCGGTGCTCTGCAATAAGGATGGAGTCGGAATCGGATTCAGCGCCGGAGCCGGCGCCGGAGGATTGAAGATGGTGGCTGACTGGGATAGCTGCGCCGGCGGTAGAAGCCGCGCGTTTTCGGGAAAATTTAGCTTGGCTCGGCTGCCTCTGAATCGCAGCGCCGCCTCGTCGTAGGCTCGGGCGGCGTCCTCCGCCGTGTCGAAGGTCCCGAGCCAGACTCTGGCGGCCTTCTGAGGATCTCTGATCTCCGCCGCCCATTTCCCCCACGGCCGCTGCCGGACACCTCTGTATTTTCTTCTCCGTTCGCCGGATTGGTCGTCCGGCGCCGGAATTGAGGGTTCTTGAGGTTCACCGGCGGCGGAGGATGACATAGTTGCAGCTCTGATTTCCGTTTCTGAAATTGGGGGAACTGAAATTAAATTAGGGTTTTTATTTCTCCGCAAAATTGACGGCAAAATTGGATATAAAACGATACCAGATTTGAGAGAAGACAGGGATTCTCCGAATCCGCCATAGCCGCCGGCCCGATTCCGATCAGCAAACTGCGAAACGACGTCGTCTTGATCGCGCCTTCTTTTCTGGCCGGCGAGGGAGCCGGAGCTGGAAGAAGAGTAAACAGGGGAAGGCGAGTCGACGCCAGCGGAGGGTATAAAGCTACCCAAACCACCAAACGTCGACGTATTATCAAGAACACCACCGCCCTGCCGCTGCCCCGACACCACGTGCGTCAGCGCGGTCACCATCGCCGACATATCACGTGACTGACTGCGCGGCGAAATGATCGGCGCCGCCGGCGCCACCACGGCCGACAGCAGATAATCCTGTTGCTGCTGCTGTTGCTGTTGCTGTTGCATGTAAAAATACGACAGATTGGGACCGCCGCCTCCCGCCGCTACCTCCCCTTCCGATCCTCTTCCGGTCGCCGGAGATCTGCCATAGCCGCTGTCCTGTCGGTTCGCCACCTTCGATTCACACATAAGCTGGAATCCCTCCCCAAGTAATAAAAAAATCTCTTACAACCTCAACAATTTCGATCAAATAAATCGATCCAATTCAAGAAACTAATCCGCCGGAAAAAGAATCGTTATTATAGAGAGATTGGGGGAGGGGGAGGAAGACCCTTCTATTTATTTTATTTTTTTAAGAATAATTTTTTAAGTCGGACTATATAGGAAGACGAACAGAGAACTACATCGAATTCGGACAACTCGATTCAGATAACTCGATTACCGCCGTTGAATGAATAGTAATCGTAATTAAAACGAATTACAAATGTTGCGAATTCGATTATAATAATCATTAATCATATATTTGTTATTAACATAATATTATTGATAAAAAAAGGCAAAATTTAAGGAAATAAAGCCTGAAAACTGATTTTCAGTCTGACCTTTCAGACGATTAAAGAGAACGTCGGCTTATTGAGTTTGGCGGTGAGAGATGATAGAAATACAGAAAATAAAGATAATTTTTCCTAAATTTGATATTTATTTTTTGGCATATATTACGTCTGATGCAAATTAAAAAATATATATTATTTTATTTTTATTTTTTATGAACTAAATTATATGGTTATATGAGACACTAAGTACAATATTTAACATAAGTTTAGTTATTAAGTAGTTGAATTTTTTAATTTAGTAGATATTAAATAATATAGATTTTTATTAAGGAATTATATAAATTTTAGAAAATCTAGTTTTAAACAATACATTTATTAAAAAATATTAGATTTTTATTATATTTGTTGATTGTATATATATTTAATTTCACAAACTATCATATTGTTTTGTTTTGTTTGTGTGTAAGAAGACAATTTGAAGTTGTTTGTAATATGCTTATCTATGTGGATTTGCCAAAAATAACAATAGGCAAAACGCCTAGAATGCGTTTACTTCAAGGGACTAATTCATTTTTGCATAATTTATAGAATTTTAAATTAATCAATTAATATAAATATATCAATATAGAAGCTAATAAATTACTTACTAAATTACTTAATCATTTTTTAATAAGCTTTTTCAATATTCAAAATTTTTGGTTATACACACACATATATTATATAAATTTTATTGTATTATTCTACTTTGTGTTAGTTAAAAGTACATGCATATTTTTTGTGTGCTTATAAAATTTTGATACAATTTTTTTTATTAAAAAATATGCTCATATTTTTAATAAAAATATATTTAAAAAAATAATAAAAATATTTCACTCTAACAACATAACAAATTCCTAGCGTGAGAACCTTCAGCCACATCCGAAAACTTATACATTGTTTACATATTGCTTTTATATATATATATATATATATATATATAAAGAATATAATAATAATAATAATATAGGATAGGGGTGCGCAAAATATTCGAAATTCGATCCAAATCAAATCGAAATTTAAAATTTGGTTCGGATTTGTTCGGATTGAATTTTTGACAAATTTTGGATTTTCGGATCAGATCAGATCGGTATACTTAAAATTCGAACCAATCCGAAATCCGAAATATAACATTTTAATATATTTTTTTATTATATATTTAATATTTTATTAGAAAATATTATATTTTAATATAAAAAAACTCAAAATTATTAAATATTTTAATATATTTACTTTTATATATTATATATATTTAATATTATAAAATAATAAATATAAAAGAAATTTACAAATTAAAAAAATAATTAAAAATATTTAAAATTTTGAATTTTTTGATTTGGTTCAGATTTTTTAGTTCGAACTTTGGATTTTCGAATTTCGAATTTCGATTATTTCAGCTCGATTCGGATTGATTTTTTCAAAAATTTTGAATTTTCGGATCCGAATGCTCGCCCCTAATCTAGGATTTGAGTTTTTATACTTGACTCAGTTTTAGTATTTTGAATTTTTATATCTTCAAATGAAAATAGTTACAAAATATGTTTTGTTCTTTTATAATAGAAATCTATATTTTAAATAGCAAGTTGAAAAAGAAGACCCCTAAAATGAGATAGAGGGAAAATTATAATATAAAAAAAAAAAAAAAAATCATGGAAAAGGGTTAAATATATACCGATAATATATATGTATGGAATAGGTCATTAATTGGATGACTTTTCTTGTGTTTTGAATCTAATATTCAAATAAAAATATTTATTAAATATAACATCACGTATACAAAATTAAATAATACTATCTTCGTTCAGATTCTAGAGTCTTATTTATTTTTTGCATGTTAATTTTTGAATATTAATTATTATATCAACATATAGTACTCAAAAATACTTCAATTAATGTTTTATAATACTAATAGAAGGACATTTTTTTAAAAAAAATTATACAAATATAATAATATTTTAAATGTTAAGTACAATAACTTAAAAGGTAAATGTAACATTTAGAAACGGAGGAAATAAATATATTGTATAGTATGGAAATTACAAGGATGAAAATTCAGAGCAAAGCGCATTAAAGTTATATAGATAACACTAGTTAAATGTAGTCGATAATACAAGTATCTATATATAGGTAATATTTATTCAATAACTAACAATATATATAATAAAAAATTATTTTACTAAAATAATATTATTTTATATTAACCGTCCAATATACACGTCTTAAGATTATTACAAAATATTTAAAATATTATCCCTTAGAAAATATATATATATATATATGTGTGTGTGGGCAAAGTGATGGTCAAAGCACGTCTTCACACGAGTAGAATTTTTTTTTAAAAAAAAATAAAAATTATATACTTCTATTAAATTAAATTAAATTTCACATAATAATAATAATAATAATAATAATAATAATAAGAGTTTGGCTGAAATGGTACAACTTTAACTGAAAATCAGTGGGGGAAATGAATATATCCCATTGCTGTAATAATCATAATTAGGTGGATTTTGTCGGATTAAGACATACTAATGGATATATATTATCACTTCCCAACATTACTTAAAACTATAAATTATAAGATTATATATATTATAAATTTTATATCAACTTTGCTGTTTTTGTGTTTTGGAGTTCGAGTTTTGGATTTAATTTTTAATATATATAATTATTTGAGTTGATATTTTAATATAAAATAAAAATTATTTTAGTATTTAAAAATATAAAAATTAATTATTAAATTTAGTGTATTTAATATATATATATTTAAAAAAAAGTCAAACAAACACTACCTTAATTTATAGTTTGCTAAATGTCACCTTGTAACAATTTATATGGACCAAATAGGGTCAACCTAGGTTCATTAAGATTATTAGGTACCTACTAAATATATACTACAATATAAAATATTTGGTGTGCTTTTTTGTATAAGATATTTTGGATGAATGATATAGATACTCCTACGTCCCCCGAAACTAAATATCTATTTGCTTTTTGCACGTAGTTTTAAAAATATTAATATTATATTGAGATATAGTATGAATAATGTAGAAATGATTAAAATAACCTTATTAGTATGTGTGATATAAAGGTAATAACATTTGTGTAATATACTATAAATTGTAAAGATATTTGTAATGTTAGGTAGATAGTACGGTTACTAGAAAAAGAAATGGATACTTTGTTATGGGACGGACTAAAATGGAAATATGAATACTTTGTTGTGAGATAGACTAAAATGGAAAAATAGATACTTTGTTATGGGACGGATAGAGTATTACAATTTAGATAAAATATAATAATTAAAAATTATATTAATAAAAATAATTATTATATAATATAAAATATAAATTAAGATAACTAATTAATTTAATTAAAATTAAATAATTTAAAATAAGATCAAAGTGTGTAATCATTTTCTAAAAATATAAAAATGACATGAAATGTATGACTGACAGAAACGACAATGTAAACACGATAGACAGGACGGAGGGAGTAATTATTTTTATTAATATATGTATATACTTCTTAAATATAATTCGTATTAATTATATGTTATCTAAATCTTATATATACAGTATTGCGGACAATTTATTTGAATAGAGAGAATAGTAATTAAAAACAATGATAGTACTATATAAATGAGTTAATTGTATAATATGAAAAATTCTAAAATACCATTGAACTTAGCGCCATAAAAAGTGAAGTACTTGGAAATATTTTGGTAAATAGGATAAAAATAAAGATAACTGATAATTAGAAATGAGACAACATAAGTACTAACGGATGAAATATTAAAGATAATTCATGATTGGTCTGGTGGTGTGAGAATAGATCCGTGACTGTAAGATTATAAGTTTAAATTTTGATGTCTTATCGGACATAGTTTACAGTCTAAAAGACTTACGAATTAAATGCTACCTCCGTCCCATAAAACCAATAATTTATTTTTGCACTTAAATTTTTTTAATATTAGTATTATATTGGTTTATAGTAAAAATGAGATAAAAGTAATAACGTTTGTGTAGTATATTTGAAGTTGTAAATGTATTAGTTATGTTAAATAAACAGTACAATTACTAAATTAAGAAATAATACTCATATTTTGAGACGGACAAAAATAAAAAATGGTATCAATTTTTATGAAACGGAGGGAGTAATTTAATTTGTATAAATATAATTATGATAATTAATTATAAAACATTTCAGCATGTGTTGAATATATATATATATATTTCAACATATGAATATTTGGTTTATAAAGGGTTTTGACCAATTGAGATATATATTATAAAATTGATTTATACATGTCAAGTTCAGACAACATGTTAATTTTAATCAGGTCTGAAAGATTGATTATTGCACAAATTTGAAAACTTTTAATTCCAAGTTGGGAGAGTAAGAATAATACATATTCCTCAATATGCTTGCGTGGTTGTTAAGGTTTATTGTTTATAGTAGTCGATATGCCATTTAAATCTATGTTCATTTTTCTTTTTTGGTTGTTATTGAGAAATATTCTCGTTACTTTTTATTATATTTTTGTATCTTTTTTTTACTATATATAAAAAAAATTATTATTACTCACTTTTATTAAAACTTGTGTCCGATCAAATGAACACACATTTGCACGATGGAGGGAGTATATATTATTACATTTATATCTATATAGATTTAAATCCTTGGTGAAGTATCAAAATTGATATTTTCTGGGATTAAAATAATACTACCTTTTTTATTTTTATATTTTGTTCTAGAAAGAAAGAAGACCGTGAATTATAAATGGCATATGGATTTCGTAATATTTTTAATTTTATTTATAATGGATAAAAATAATAAAACCAAAAAGCCACGTCACGGGACAGGTGGTGGACGAAGACTCTTTGAACGTTTGACTCCTGTGGAAAACGTGGCAGTCCTTGATGCTTTTACATTTATAAATAAATAAGAAAAATAATATTCCTACCATCTTATGTCCTACGGTAGATGCAAAAATTTATTTATAATTAATAAATAATAAAAAATATATTAATAAAAATATAATACAATAATTATTAATTAAAGTTAAAATAACTAACTAATTTAATAAAAACAGAAAATATTATAAATTATAAAATCTAAAATATAATTAAAATGTATAATTTTTTTAAAAAGGAAAGTTATATAATACATGAGAAAATGTACTATACGTGGGACGGAGAGAATACTTGTATTTTGTTCCGGAATTATAAAAATTGGGAATTTAAAAATAATTTTCATATAATATTTTAGAAGAAATGAATTAAAATTATAAAAAGAGAAAAATATATAATTAAACACACCCTTAAATTATATATATAAACAAATAATTGAAATCAACGATATTATATTGAGTTGACACTTCAATGCAAAACATGTTACATATATATGCCGTATGTGCGAACGCAGTGGAGCCATAACAATAATACGTGATAATTCTTTTTTGGCCATATAAATGTAACTTAAATAAAGTTATAATTATAATATATTTATTTTGAGTGTGTCAAAGTCTTGAAAAACAAATAATATTTTACCAAAAAAAAAAAAAACAAAGAATAAAATAATAATTTTGTAAATAAAAAGGATTGAGAGTTGACACCAATGCCAAAGAATTTGTTAGTTGTGAACTTGTGCTAATTAAATTGAATTTATAATTAAAAATAAATTGGTAATTAATAATTAGTCTTTAGTGGTAACGTTTTATTATAATAAGGGTACAATTGGTACGATAAATCCACAAGAAATGCCTACAGACGATTACTTTATTTTAAATTTGATAATAATGAAATTAATCATCGTACATACATAAGTACAGTTGGTGCTTTCCATTTTTGTGGGCTGATAGCAACATTTAAAATAATAATAATAACAATAATAATAAAATTCGCTTCTAATGTCACCATCACCACATTCCTCTTTAGTCGATGAAATTTATTTATTTAAAATATTATTTTAACAAAAAAAAAAACAATAAAAAAAAAATGATCGTCAATCTTATATATATTTCAAATTATTGTAAATAGCCACAAAATAAAAATATATAAAAATTTGTGGTTTGGTCTAGGGGCGATGGACACTCCGGTTGTTTATCCATCTTTATTATTTGCTATTTGAATCGTCTTTTATTAATTTATTATTATTATTATTATTATTTGGACATAATAAATTTTTTGTTTGTAATAAAAAAATAATTAACCAATAATAAAAATTGGGAGCATTAGAACCACTTCTAGTCCGAGGTTGGCAGAATTATCGTGAACAGTCCAGAAAAATAGCATAAAATTAAAATTATTAAAAAGTAAGGACTAATAAAATTTTAATTGTCGTTATGGAAAATAGACAAAAAAATTTATTTATCCTATAATTGAATATTTGGAGGATGATTGGTATTATTCCACTCAATGTAGAATATAACAATCATTGTTATTACTTATCAATTTATGTAAGTATCATTCAGAGATTGACATCAAATCCTAAGACACTGACTTGGTAATAATCCAAACCCATTTCTCTTTTTTAATATGCACCCTTTAATTTTAATGAATAAAAGTATAAAACAATTTGGATGTGCTCTTACACACACCACACAAACATATATGTGTATATGATTTTGTATTTTATTTTTTAAGAGAATATTTGCTAGATAATTATAAAATTTTGTATGAAACATAGATATGATATGATAATATAATTTTAATAGACAAGTGAAAATGAAATAAAATAAGTGTCTAGATTTGGTTATAGATTATGCCTCTGTTTAAATTTTTTTATTCTATTCATCAATATTGATATTTCCAAACAGATATTTTATCAAATATTCAATTGTGTTCAATTTTTTTAAAAACTATTTTCTTTTCTTTTCTTTTTTTTTTTTTTTTGATAAACCCTTATTTATTTATTCTATTCAACAAATTTTGAAATAAATTCAACACGGTTCCCTCCCCTTCAATAAAAATCTAACCTTTTTTATCAACGCCTTCGAGCTGTAGGAGGCAACTTTTCCGATGGACCGCAGGGGAGCTTCTGCCCGGTTTCGAGCTCGATTTTCTTCTTCATTTCTCTCAATATTCGGATCTGACCGAGCTTTTCCGGCGACAGCTTGTCCCAATATATACCTACAACACAAATAGTTCACACAAGACAGGTCTCAGCTGTCTAAGAAATCAATCAATTGAGCGATCTACACTGACCTTGAGGTTTCGGGATTGTGGTATTTGTAAAAATAACTTGAGTCGGAGTGCATACAATGTCGACAGGTACATCGTGCACCTGCAGTTTCTCCACAGGGATGTCGTCTACAAGTTGTTCGTCGTGCACTGCAAGTGTAGCAGACAACGTAGGCGAAAATATACAGCTGATTAAAGTCTAGATAACATATTGTTGAGTACCTAAAGATTTTCTAATAATATAAAAACCCATATTGAATACCCCATAAAAATCTGAATTATAGTACGATCAGTGATGGCCAAAAAAAGATTTAACATTTACCAGTTGTGACGATTGGTGTGGAGTCGTCTATGGCTCCCATGTAACGCAGCATGCCATATTCAAGTTCGGCGAATCCCTTCAAGGAAGTTATATGATCATAAACAAATTTAAACCGAGATTAAGCACAAAGATAAATGGTGTTTCGACCAAATGTTGGATCACAACTGTGTACCTCACCCTTGCCAAGTCTTGCCCCTGTCTTGGGGTCGACTGCAACGGAGCCTATCACAATTAAGTCCACTTTTATGCTCTCTTCGAGGCCTATAGGTCTTCCGTATTTGGCAGCTCCAGCAGAAGTGCACGCCTCCTTAATGGTGCTAGGATTTGACACTGAGAATTCAAGTACTGAGAAAAACCCGGTCCTCAGCCGAGGCTGTGGAGTTATAAGCTTTTTTCCACCTGCATATCAGCATGATCGGGCGAAACACACTTATTAACCATACAAAAAATGAATACACATGATCATACTTGCTCAACAGACTGCATACTACCAAAATATATATACTTTTGATGCGTAACACACTTTTCATCCGTAAAAACAATGAATACACATGATCATACTTGCTTAACAGTCCGCATACTGCATACTGCCAGAATGTGTACACTTATTGATGCAAAACACACTTTTTATTCATGAAAACGGTGATTGCATATGATCATACTTGCTCAACTAACTGCAGACTACCAGAATATATACACTTATCAATCTACTCAATGCTGATTTGAAGATATATTAGATGCACCAGAGGATAATGCTACATAAAACATGGTGATCTTCATTCTCTATAGGCAGAGGCTTCGATTCAATGTCATGCTGATATGTTAAAATTCCACAGCAATCACATAAAATTCTTTGTAATGGAGAATTGAACTTCAAAGCATTTACACTTAGAACTACCGATGAGTTGTTCTCATAAAATGGAGGCCAATTAGCGGTGAAACGATATAATCTGCATCAACAAAAACATCTAACCATTGAGTGTCAGGAATCTGACTTGCTTTTGCGGCGTGTCTGGATTCACTTTCACGCAATTCGCAGCCTTGAACACCTCCAGCTCACTTAACTGCCACAATCTTCACTTCTCAATAGATCGACGGAAAAAAAAAAGAAGTTCTAACAAAGAGGATTTACAATATGTAATCGCAACATAGCTTACTTTGTCAGCAGCAATATTCGCTCCAACAAAATTGGGGATGCGATGGTGAACAGGTCTGGGGAACTGCGCAATATCGCGTGCCTCCATCAAGTTCCAGATCCGTTTTCTGATTGTCCATTTCCACGCCTTCGGGTCACCGGAATCGGTGGCTTCAATTTCGGATTTCTCTGCCATGGACTCTCGAGCGGCCGCATCCAGCCTCAGGCGCTCAGCCTCGTACGCCTCCTCGTCGAATATCGCGTCCTTCCTGCGGCTTGCCGTCGTGAAATTCCTTGATTGATTGTACTTCTTCTTGATAACAAGCAATAACGGATAATCGGCACTCTTACTTCGATAAATTGAGGAGAAATGAAGATGCCGTTTGGGGATGAATCCGATTCTCGTTAGCGGAGAAAAACTTGAGGAAAGCTTCAGCAACTGCACCTCCATTGAAAAAGCTCCGTTGTTGCGGTAGCCGAAGATGACGACGGCAAGTAAATGCGACAAGAGAGTTAAATTTTATTATATAATACATACTATTTTAAAAGCCTATCAACAAATAGCACCAGTGGTCTAGTGGTAGAATAGTACCCTGCCACGGTACAGACCCGGGTTCGATTCCCGGCTGGTGCATTTTTTTAACAACTAATGGGTGTCAGACACGTGGTCCAATGGGAAAAAAGCCTTATCCTATCTTTATTTATTTATTTTTTAATAGATAAAATGTTCGCCCTGGATACGCTCCTTTCTGGACCTGAGAGGCTAAAATTGAGCGGGAAAATTGGTATTTCAAAATTCAAATTGGTTTCAACTATTTTTAACAAACGTCTTTCTTAACGGTAGGAATTTCGCTAGACCCAGGTCGACCGTCGTTTGAGTTTCGGGGGATCTAGAGCTCGGTGAGGATGATTGTTGTTGTATTCGTCGATTAGACGGATTTTGATTTCTTTGGGTTGGGTGGTTTTTGGAGGAGAGGTAAGGATGGATTTTCATGGCATGAAGCGCAGAGAACTCCAGGCATTGTGCAAGAAGCACAAAATTCCTGCGAATTTGTCAAACCATGAGATGGCGAACAGGCTTTCGGAAATTCTCAAGGTATTTCTTCTACCTTTCCCTTTTTCTTCTGAAAATTAGCGTTTAAATAAATGTTTGCATCTGTGTAGGTGAAGTAATTTAGGCTTAGACGTTTTTGAAGTATCAGCTAATTTTGAAAATAGTAAAAATTTACTGTTTGATTTGATGTTTATGTGATGAACTAGTTATTTGACTTTATATATATATATTTATAAAATTGTCAATGTTTTACTATAATATTTGCGGAAATTATTTTGTTCATGGTTATAATATTTAAATACCAGTGTATGGAATTGTGAATATGTTTGTCCACTGTTTGATTCAGGAAAATGAAGAGCCATTGGCTCTAAGGCAAGTTAAAGGTCAAGAAGAGAATGCTCCTGAGATCGAAATAGTTGATGTTGTTATGGATAGGAAAGCTAAGAAAGTAAGGTTTAGTCCGAACCATGAACTGTTTGAGTTTACTAGGTCCATAAACATAAAAAGAAGAAGCAAGCGAAATTCTGTTTCCATCAAGTCTAGTAGTTTATCTGTTGAGAATGTGGATGGTAGTGAGATTAATAATGGAAATGTGTGTAAACCTGGTAATGGCACACGTTCTAGAGGTTCAAAACTAACGGGTGGCAAGGAAAATGGCAAAAAGAGAGGAAGAAATGGCGTGAATTGCCACGATCAGAAGAGTGATGTAGCGTTTAGTGATAATTTAGTCAATAGTGAAGTAGGGGATACTGATGTTAATGTTCCAAGAAGGACGACGAGGTCGAGAGGGAAGGTAGGAATAGAAGAGGCAGCCAGAAATGAAAGCAAACAGGAAAGGAAAAGGGAAAACAATGGATGTGAAAGAGAGAAGAATGCTCTGGATAACGATGATGATAAGTTGAATAGGGAAATGGTGGAAATTCCCCGTAGACCTACAAGGTCTCAAGGTCAGAAGTTGGAAGATGTTACGGAATTGACAGGAAAAGGAGTAGAGACAACCAAACATGAAAGCAAACAGCAAAGGAAGAGAGCAAAAAATAATCATGAAATAGAAAGGAGCGCTCTTGACAATGGCAGTGATGATAAGTTGGATAAGAAATTGGTAGACATTCCTGGCAGAGTTACCAGGTCTAGAGGTCAGAAACTGGTGGAAAGTGCTGGCCCGAATGATGCTGAGATTGGTGATGGTAAGGCAGATGGTATGAGAACAAAAAATAACAGCAAGGCCCGTGAGGAAGTTTTGAAGAATCAGGAAATTGCTGAGGCACATGCAAACGTTGGACCTCCAATTGTATTGAGACGATCTAGAAGGAATGCAAATAGCATTGATGATTCTGAGATCATTGATGATGGCAAAAAGGAGAAAAAGAAGGGTGAAATTAAGGCCATGAAGAAAACAAGAGAACTGGTAACAGAAGGATCATCGCTTGATACAGAAAGCATTGGAGCTAAAATTGTTCCAAATGAAATGGTTGGTGTACAAGTTAAAGGAAGCAATAAGTTGGATCGAAAAAGAAGAAATACAAGGAAATCTGGAAAAGATGGAATCAAGTCACAAGAAGGAACTGCCCAAGAAGATTCTAAAGAAGAAAACAACAAGCTTCCACAGGCTACTGAAGTTGTGAGGAGGTCAAAGCGTGGTGCTTCAAGTCTTAAACCTATTTCCAATGAAGAAAAACTCAATATTAGCACAAATGTGGAGAATAAAAGAACTACAAGGAATTCTTCTAAGAATAAATCTTCAGATTTCGGTGGACATTGTATTCTTCAACCAGAGAATGAAGCAAGGAAGCGAAAGAAAGGCTCCATTTCTGATGATGTCAAAAGCAACAGTGAACCAAACAGTTTAACCCTGATCACGTCGAAAGAAAATGGAAGGAAAAAAGTAGCACCTGCAGCTGCAACTGGAGTCGAAGTTGTGAGTAAGAGGATGCAAGATGCAACATCTCAAGAGGGTTACCTGAAAACTGAAGACTCGTCAATTGTGGATGCCCAGCAAACTGAGCCAGAAGTTGCACCATGCAAAGATCTGGATTCAATCAATGGCATGGGTGCAGATAACTTAATTGGTGATGTGGAACTGACTTCCAGCAGAAAGAGTCCCAGGATGAAGAAAGATGCCAATGAAGCAGATGGTGCTGGTAGTGCTGATCCTGATATAAAGTTGATCGAGATAAAGGAATTGGCAAAGTCTGGCGAGATTGCAGCAGTGCCAGGATATGCAGATTTAAAGGCAGATGACATTGATCCTGAGAAGCAAATTTCATTTGGCTTGTCTAGTGAAGTGACGTGCAGCAAAAAGAGTCCCAGGACGACGAAAGATGCCAATGATGCAGATGGTGCTGGTAGTGCTGATTCTGATATAAAGCTGATCGAGAGAAATGAATTGGCAAAGTCTGGCGAGATTGCAGCAGTGCCAGGATATGCAGATTTAAAGGCAGATGACATTGATCCTGAGAAGCAAATTTCATTTGGCTTGTCTAGTGAAGTGGACACAATTCATTTGCCTCTGGAGTTTGATGCTCAGGGTTCAACTGAACAATGCATATCAGAAACAGATAGTTATGAAAATGAACCTCACTTTGTTGGCCGAACAGAGGATTCAGGCTGCAAGAAAACAACTGATAGTGAAGTTCTTCCAGAAGACAAAAGTGTTTCAGGAAACATTAGTTCTGCTGACAGCCTTTTACTTTGTCCGGCAGATTTCAACTGTAAGGGTGTTTCTTTTATTTTCACATGGCATGCAGATGTTAACCATTAGCTGCAGATAAATAATAGATATTCTTGTTATTTTTTTCTCATTTGCAGCTAATCTCAAAGAAACTGAGGGTGAAGAACGCAAACATGAACAACCAACATTGGATGTGGCTAATAATATTGGTGAACTCAATGACATTTCTGTTCCTAAAAGCCTGGAATATGTTGAATCAGAGCTTGTTACAGTCATGAGATCATCAATTGATTGCCAACATAGTAATGTAATCCAAGACAACCCTTATGAGGGTGATGATTATGTAATGGTTCCCAAAGTCACCGAAGCCATTGCTTTTGAGTCTTGTGGTACGTAGGGTCTATTTGTATATGTTGGTTTTAATTCAATTTTCATATTAACAATTTTCAATCTTAGGGATTTCAGAGGCACGTGAAGAATCTTTTCATTCAGTTAGTGTCGTCCAGCCAAAGGAACCATTATCAAGCAAATTGAGAACCATGCAGAAGGATGAAATTACAGCTGAAGGAAATGAAACTGATGAAGGTGGATTAGTAAAAGATGACAAAGATGCAAGTGCTGAAGACAATGTAGTCTGTTTGTCTAATGAATTTAATGGAGAAGAGAGTGAAAGAGTAGATTTGCAGGGCAGAGAGATGCTTGAAGCTGAAATTTCAATTGCGAAATCTGGTGACGAAGGGATGCATAATGATTCATTGTTGAAAACTGATGCAAATCTGGATAGCAGTCCCTGTGACCACATAGTAGTAAAAGATGAAGACTACAATAGCAAGAGCATGCATTTAGAGTCAGGCGGAGCTGATCAAGGTATATCTTCTGAGGATCACACAAGTAATTGTAATGAAGACAACGGGGAATTTACGCTCCATCTATTTGATGCTGAAAGAGGAGCTAACAACACATCCAAAGATGGTGAAGCTTTTTCTGCAGAATATTCTATGATGGGTTCTAATGAAGAAGGCAAGTTCGCAATTCCTAACTTTAGGAAAGCCATTTTCTTGGAACCCTAACAACATTTAAGTTCACTGCAGGTTGCTCAAGTCTACCAGAAATAACTCCATCGAAACTGAGTAATGCTTCTGAGTCCCACAGTAAGTCACTGTCTTTTGGCTTTGTATATCATCCATTTATATGGTAAATCAAATTATATTATTGCACAGCCCTTGTTCTTACAACACGAACCACATTTTACACTGCTCTAAGTAATACTGGAATTTGTAATTCTCACAGTTATAATAAGGACATCAATGTTCATACTATTTCTAACATGTTTAAGTCGATGACAAAGGAGCTGGAGCTGGTGCTAGTGAGACAAGTGAAGGAAAAAAAGATGCTATTTATCATGATATTATACCTAGAGATGACATGTCAAGAGCCAAGGCTATCAATGATGGGGAAAGTGAGGTTGCAAATCAAGTTGATGAAAATGACAAGGAAGATGCTTATGAATCCGGTATATTAAAAGTTTCCATATTTCTATTATGTTTCCATTTTTGTCCGGCTATGTTGTTTTCTGTTAGAATTGATCGTTTTGCCGTGACTGTTATACCAGAGCACCAAAACAGCCCATTGATTAATCCTATAGCTGTTGCTTCCCCTGTTCAAGATCATGAAGCATGGAACAGTGTAATTGAAAATGGAAACGTGGGGTCTACTTCTAAGTCCAACAGTGAAGGGGTAGTTCAAGTTTCTAACGCTGAGAATGATGGTTAGGGAACTCTCTTTCTCTCTCTCTCTCTCTCTCTCTCTCTGTCTGTATGTTTGTGTGTGTTTATTGAATAAATTCTATTGTGATTGTAGCTAATGATGCAAATCGGGGCGCCAATATGGAGGACCTTGTTAGTACATGTACCACAGATGTAACAATGTCAATCTCTGTCCACAAAGGGGGGTTTGAAACACTTAGTGAAGGTGAGTGTGAAAAGATGGATGGAGCTGAACCTCAATTGACTGATTCATTAGTAAAGCAGACGCTACCAAATGCAGAAGGGGAGACTAATGAAGCAGAACCTAGCCAAAGCTGGACAGGTTGGTTTAAACCCTGGATTTTAACTGTAGTTCCTTTAAATCACAGACTAATATTTCAGGTGGTCCTTTACAGAAATTGATCTCAACAATCTGTTTGGAACACCTGAGGAGGATACTACCTCTGCAGGACGAACTATCACTCCTCTTGGAGCTGTAACCACGCCTTTAAAAAGATCAACACTCCTCAGCAGCAGCTTGATCAAGAAGGATGAAGAGATAAAGGGAGAAAGAGGAAGCAAGTCTGCAAAACTCATAAATGCTGGATGCAGTGTAGCCATGGAAGGTAGTTCATTAGTATATTCCTCATTCTTGAAATCCAAACAATGAAATCTGATTGTTTTTTTCTCTGTCAACCTATGCAGATAATCAGCTTGAATTGCTCTTTGCAACACCCTGCAATGTCATTCAAGCCTCTGCTAATGACAAAACATTGGAAACAACTGCTGTGATAGTGAAAGAATGTTCTGAGACAATGATGGAAGACATAGCAACTCAAATGAACGTCGATGAAGAAATGGGAGATGCTAGGCAGGGATTTGAGAACAACTTTTGCCTTGAAAGTGCATCATTAGACGACAGCGAAGAAGTCACTAAATCAGACTTCCAAGAAAGGTTGAATGTGGAATTGGTAAACACTCACACAAGTGAAGTTCCATTAGAAACTGAATTCCGAGTATGTAAACCTTCAGAGGAAAAGTTGACTGAGATTGCATGTGAAGAAACAGAGTCAAAGGAAGAAGCTGAGAATGTGGAACTGGTAGCAGCCATAGCTCCTTTTGATGCTGAATATAAAGTCCCTGAAGAATTCAAGGAAGCGACGACGGGGAATATTCATAATTGGAAGGAAGAAGAGACTCTCTTCCCTAAATCTACCTCAGAAGCAGAATATAATGTCTGTGAAGTCCCCACTGCACTACTGACTGCTAACACTTGTGAGTATAGGGAAGAAACAATGCCAAATGAAATTGAAAGTGTGGAATTGGTAAACCCTTCCACCACTACCGTTCCTATAGAAACTGAGTTTCAAGTTTATGGAGATTCTGGGGCAAAGTTGGTTGAGTACACTTGTGAGCATATGGAAGAAATTCTCTTCAGCACAGAAGTTCAATATGAGGAACCATTGCCTGAGAATACCTGTGCCTCTGAAGTTCATCAAGAAGCTGAATTTAATGTTTGTGCACCTTCAGTGGAAGAGTTCTCCGAGAATGCTTGTGAGCCAAAGGGAGAAACGAAGTCAAATGAAGTTGGTAGTATGGAATTGGCATGTGCCAGCACTGATGAGGTTGTCCGAGAAGTCGAATCTTATTGCTGTGACGCTTCTGAGGGACAGGTAACTGAAATTTCTTGTGAGGTCAGAGAAGAAGTTAAGTCTGTAGCAGAAAGTCTGGAAGAAGACATTTTTACTCTCGAGCAATTGAATCAGTGTGCGGAAGCCTCAGTGGAAAAATTTGTTAGCACACCATCTGGAAATTTAGATGAAGCCGATGCCTATCTTGATATGCTAATGGATACTGAATATTCAGAAAGTCTCAGTTATGGAAGTGGAGCTATTGCTAAATCCACCATGGAAGAGGCCTTTGACTTGTCCCATGGCGAATTTCAGAAGTCTAATGTTCCTGAACAGAGCTATAGTTTTAGTGCCTGCAATGCTGATGACGACACATTAAGGGATGCATCCGTATATGATTATAGCAGCCCTGTGGATGGAGAAAGAGCAACCTTAGCCAAAGAAGAAGGTAGAGCTGTTTGATTTAATACTTTGGAGTTAAACTTATTACAAATTATATACATACAACATTGTTTTAAATCTACTTTGTTATTCTCCTCTCCCTTTTGCAGGTTCTTTATTCAATGCCTCCGATGAAAATGACAAAGCTATAATTGAATATGCCGATTTTGCAAATGGGGTTGACGATTCATGTGAAGATGACAACCCACGACTGTCCCATGATATTTTTGATGAGCTTCATGGCAGCAGTGAAGTAGCCATTAACAAGACCTCAGAAGCTGATAAGTCTGCAAACACTAATAGCACATGCAAGGAAACGGTGGAGGAGAGAATCATAACACCCGAGGATGCACTTGACACAGCTCCTGCTGCAGGTTAAACAATTAGATCGTATCTTCCATAACTTGGACAAGAACCCCCTGTTTGTAACTGTAACATACCTGAATTTGATTACCAATATTATTACAGGACAAGAACCCCCTGTTTGTGTCGATGATATCCTCAGCAGCTTGGACGGAAATGAAAATAGTGTTGTCAGCAAACACGACACTGAAGACATCGAGGGAAACTCAAATTCAACTCCTGCATCAGCTAAACTTTCCATTCCTGAGCTTCATTCGGAAGCAGGAAAGGAAAATCTCGACAACAATGCTGACTCCATTACAGAGAATATCGATACTGAATATTCTTTCCCTGCAACCTCAGTCGAGCGCCCCCTAGAGGACACCATTGGTGAACTTCCCAATCCCAACCACGACATAGTAAAGCCATCAGTAGAGACAGCAGAATCTGCTTCAGGATCATTGGAAACATCGAAATCTATTGGTAACAATGTGCACACACTTTTCACAACTATGATATAACAGTCCATGCAATTAACAATCTGCTTTGATCTGTAGATCTCACTGATGATACCGAATTAGAGATGGCGCCGAGCCAGATCTCTCCCAAACTACATTCGACTGTGAAAAGGAATGCCCGAACCATTCTGATACATGGAACTCCTCGAAAACAGATAGTCAGAGGTGTAGTAGACATGAAGGAGAATGCGCCGGCCCACAAGACATCTTCGAACATTGGCGATTTCACGACTGCGAGACCGAAGCGAAAGGCCTTGCAGGATGTCAAGAGGTAACTATAATCATAATAATAATATAAACTGCTTTGTGTGATATTTCTTTGGATTCTGTCTTATGAATTTCGTGTGATGTGTTGTGTTCTTTACATGTTTTTTTTTTGAAAGAACACATAAGAGTTGTTAGCATTTCTTGTTCATTGCATGCATGCATATCTCGTGCTGGTTTGTATTTGTGTGTTAGTTACTACGGGTACTTAATTGTTACTACTTGTGATTTTAATTTAGATTTGATGTGTGATTTATTTCTCAATTTCTTAATTAGCTACTGTTACTTACATTTGACTTCTTCCCAACGGTTCAAATAGTAAAAGTGAATAGAAATATTTTGAGGTAATTCATTAAATATTTTAAAATATTAGTATTAATAAATGTAATTATATTTATGCAGTTAGATAGATAGTAAAGTTATTAAAAAATTAAAATAGATATTTTATGAACCGGTATAAAATGGATAAATTGTTAAGGGATGAAATAACTTAGATAAAAGTTGAGATAGTCGCAAACTTCTCGTGCTTCATTATAAGTAATAGTATTCATTAATATCAATTCCGACATAGAAAGATGCAATTTAAATTAATTAATAATACTACCTCCATTCGATTTTTTACATATTAATTATTATATCAAAACAAAACAAAAAAAAATTACAAAAATATAAAGATATTTTAAATATTTATTACAACAACTGTTAGCCTCAATATACATGTATGTATGTATTGGTTCAAATATTAATATGAAATCTTAACATTATACACACACCAAACTTCACTTGCTTATTTATCAAAGTAAAAATAAATATCACATCACACAGAGACACAGTATAGAGCTGTATGTATGTATGTATGTATGTGTATATGCGTTCGTACGTATATTTCAAAAGAGATGGTGGTGATGCTTTCCCTCAGCCTTCTCAGCTTCTTCCTTAGCTTCCTTTTTCTCATGATGCTCGTGGAATGCGTACCCGCCGGACCCCACCGCCGCCGCCGCCGCGATCTCCTCCTCTATCTTGTGCTTGTGCTTGTGCTCCGGATCCTTCTTCGCCTCGTGCTTCTCATACTGTGTATATATATATATATATATACCAATGATACCACAGGCATCAACAAAATCGATCAGAGAATTATTTTCAGTTCCATCGCAAGTAAAATTCTAAATCCAAAATTTGTTCTAGAGTGTACGAAGATGAACCTCTTTTCAGTTTTCATTATAGATCGATCGATAAATCGAATGTTAACGGATCCTAATTTGTTTGTTCGCTAAATTAGGGTAACAATTGGGGGAAAGGAGATAGCAGGAGCACTTTGGTTAATCGAATTACCAGAGCAAAGGCACCGGCGGCGGCGGCGCCCATCTCGCCGAGGTGTTCCTTGTGCTTGTGATGCTTCTCCTCTTTCTCGTAATCCTCATTTCTGCCGTATCCTGCACCGCCGGCGGTTTCGGAGTATGTAACCGCCTCGACCGTCTTCTGTTCCTCGTCGTCCTTGTGGTGGTGGAAGAGGTGGTGGTGGTGCTTCTCTTCCGCCATGATCGGAGATTTGCTTTAACGATCAACTGTCAGTCACTCTGCACCTCTCACTGACACGAAATGAAAGCTCCACGTTTATATAGCTGCACCATGACCTTGGAGTCGTTATTTTTCCGCGGATCCCGGACTCCGAGTCCAGTTTCGATCTAAACCGTCAATCCACACTCGGACGGTGAGGATCACTCGCCCGCAATCATGTATGGATTAATAAGATGGACGGCTGAGATTGGCGCATGTATTTAATAATTAATTTACCAATAAAGTAAAATAATATCCAATCAGAACACGCCACCATAAAGACTCACACCCAACTACCAGTGTCAACCAACTTATTTCTGACACGTGAAATACCTAAAATACCCTCCTAATCTATAACCCACACGCGTCTAACAACAAGTAGTTCGTCCGCATCGCAGGCAACAAAGCACAATATCACGTGTATGAAAGATAGCATTCCATGTAAATTAAATTTTATATATAATTTTATTATTCAATATATGTACTGCTATAATTCATTATAAAAAATTTTACATAAAAATCAACAAGGTAATTTAAATACAGGTTCAACGCACAATTAAATTACAATAAAGATGCTATGATATGAAAAATTAACTAGACAATAGTTACATGGGGGCAGGGCTACCTACACAAATATAATGGCAGCAACGCAGATAATGAGGTCCCAGATAAGTACACACACGAAATTAACTAATTATATATTAACAAAATTGATGACAGGACAGGACAGGACCCAGTTAGTGTAGCCCCACCCCCACGTATTGCAACACAATTAATTCCATTAACAATTTCTAGACCCAATCAATTATTTCAACTATTGACTATCCTTGCCCATAATAATAACAAATTAATAATAATGTCGGCAAGATAAATTTCAATCATGGTAACTTGTAAAAATAAAGTGAAATCAAATGAAAAAAATCAATAAATTAAAGTTGCATCTGGGTGGAGAAATCAGAGATGACAAAACAGTAAACATATACTTAAGAAGAAAAAAAAAAAAAAAAACATTCCGTTGCCGGGACTCGAACCCGGGTCTTTCGGGTGAGAGCCGAATATCCTAACCATCTAGACTACAACGGACTTGTTTATCAATATTACTATTAGTATCTTTAATGTATTATTAAATCTCGATTCAAATGGACCTAGAGTAGTGTCGTCTCCAAAATTATACAAATAATATTGTTAAATTGTACTAACAATACACAAAATATACATCGTAGCACGTAACATATAATTACTAATACAACATATGAGTTGATATCACGTAACATAGTCCACGCAAAATGTATTACAATTGATTTCAGCAAACAACGTGTGTGTGTGTGTATATATATATATATATATATATATAAATAGCACATACTAACAATCTATAGTTGTCCGTTCTACGTTAATATGTTGATTAGCTCCGATCAACATCTTAACAATTCTCATGTAAATAACCATTAGACTAGGGTACCAAACAAACAACGAAACCTCAAATGTAGACGGACATCACATAAAATGAACAAAATCATATCAATACAATACAATACAAAAACAACATATGAACTTACATCGCTCGCATGATAACAATCTACACAGTGCATATTACTACCCGTTTAGAACACAATGAAGCATGTTAAAGAGAGGGAAAACATAACATGACACAATTCAAGATGGAATGGAATGAAATCAGCCATCGCTGGTTAATGTGAAGGCAATAAGAACAATAACAATGGCAAAACATATGATCCCACAAGAAAACAACCACATACCTTTATTGCTCTTAACACCATCATTCTCACTAACCTCTCTGCTGCTCATCTCCACCTCTTCCAGAAGCTTTCTCACTCCATCCATGTCCGAGTCCTTCGCCGCCTGCACCAGCCGCCTCTGTATCCTCTCCAGTTTCCTCAGCCGTCGCTCTTTCGCAGCGTCTTTCACCGGCCAAAAGAGGCCCGTCATCTTCCACAGGAAGATTCCCATGTAGATAGCCACAATACAGTCCACGCTGTAGTGGTGCCGCTCCCGGATTTCTCGTTGTGCGCTGTGCATCACGAGCGCCCAGATCAGAGCTGAGGTGAAGCCCCCGTATGCTTCCTGTGACCATTTTTTTTGAAATAATTATGGATTGTTAATGTTGGGGATTTTGTAGGAATGGGTTATGTGATTTGGGCGATGTGTACCGTCCATGCCATAGCAGTCAAGACTGCGACGAGCATGTGGCCGCTGTACAGCAGGTCGTTGCAGCCGCCTCCGGCTTTTTTCAGAAGATGGTACCATGAAGCGGATCCTTCTGAAGCTGTAGGCCGTAGGAAATCTGCTAGGAAAGTCATCGATCCCCAGTTTGGTTGGAAATCGTCGTAATTCTCTCCAACAACAGCTGAAAGTGAATAAAATTCGGGTCAATACAAACTCTTACAAAGCATAGGACTGAGAAAACTATAACAAAGAGATCGGGACAAACCATATGCTATATCATAGTGGATAATTTGACGGATGGCGTTGGAGTTTGTTGCATACGGAACATAATATTTCTGAGCCCACTGATGCGGGTGCTTAGGGACTTGGAACCGTGCGGATGCACACCAGGGCCGTGGTGAGGGCAGGATTGTCGATACAAATGCTATTGTTCGAAGAAGGCGACCAATGCCCATAGTGAACATGTATCTTGCAGCCAGTCCTAAACCAGGAGCCTTGATCGAGTTGAAAAGCACCGAGAAATTAAGCATTATGTACAGCATCAAGAAATGGTGCAATCCGATGATCCGAGCTCTCAGAATTTGCACCACAATTTGAGGTAATTTCTCATTTAGCGCGAGCAACAACCACTGGCCAGTGTCGGGGAGGGGTGGAGTCTCACTGCCAAAGATTCACAAGCCTCATCAAACATCCGACGGCTAAGTTCTTACTATCGAATCATATTATAGACAGATTCAACCAATGAATGAGTGAAAGAGCAAAAGCATATAGGAATGCACACAAACAGAGTGTTTGCTTATTGAAAATTATCTATTAGAATATCAGAAATTTATTGCATCTTTCCATATTAGCAATGAGATCTATGATAATAACATTACAAACACTTCATTGCGATTTGATCCATTATAGGAAGTATTGACTGATCCAGTGTTTCAGATCAAATGTGCTCATATTTGGAAACTTATCATGTTCCAATTGAACTCGTGAATGTTCTAAATCTTCAAAAATAGCAAATTCATTTAATAGAAGAGAGAATCAATGTTAGTTACTTTCTAGATCTAGCCAAGTGAGTAAATCTCAAGTTCATTCTTCAAAACCCTAGAAAACACAAAATCTTCTGCCAGGCAGCTAAAATCAAACCACACATAAGCAAAACAAGCAAAATTTCCATGATTAGCAAGCATAAATGTCAGTTCTCAGCAGAAATACCTGTGCCAATCGAGACCTAGAACAGCGGTAACAGACCGAACTGAAATTGCTTCAACCAGAAGAGCAGAGAGCATAAAAACTATCGCCAAAACGAACGGAATAGCGGCGCGGAACTCCGACGACCAGTGTTTGTAATACGCGATACGAATCACAGCGGCGATAGCGAGCGCCGCCCAGAGCGTCGGCTGCAGACGCTCGTGCCAAGCCGGCGACAAATGACGGAGGTAATCAATCACTACGTACGCTATTGCAGCGATCCCCAGCCCGCCGGATCCCCTTTTCCGGCGAAACGGAGACCAACCCATCTATCAAACCGCCGTTCCAAACTGAAGCGCCGAACTCAGACATTACCTTCATTTATATATTTATATTCAAAAAGATTTCCTTTAAAGAATAATGGTTTTGTTTACCGTAACACTATTTAACTAGTTTATCACTATTTATTTTCTAAAATACATCATACATATTAAGTATATATATATATATATTATTTTTCATAAATATCAAATCAAATATTAATTTAATTTTTTTTAATTTTTATTTCTACACAATATATTTTTATTCATTTAATATTATTTATTTTTTAAAAAATATTATATTAAATATATTTTTTTTCTCATAAAATATTATTTTAAAGATTAATATTTTATTTTTTTCAAACTTTCAAATTTTCAAAAATCTCTATATCTAAGTAAGCCCTTAAATTTTCAAAAATCTTAAAAGAATCATAGCTGAAGTAAGCCTATAACATTACTCCGTCTGCTAAACATTTTTCGTTTCTTTATTAAAAATATATATATATATATATATATATGTAAAACCTTTCAAACAAACTATGTGCTATAGGTGCAACATAAAATCACTAAAGAATGATTGATAGTATAAAAATATATTTATTACCGGCTAAATAATAGATTCAAGATTTAATATTTCTCAATCTTGCCTGCAACATATAATTAATCTAGTACAGCTTGACTTGTCAAATTAATTTACAAGCTATCCATCGAAAATTTACTCGGAGGGTGTGGATTAAAAAATTAAAGAAGAAAGACATAAAAATGCAATCTTTAAGTATATAATAACTCTGGTTCAAGATCTACAATATGTCCAAAATCAATATGCCCCAAAATCATGTCCTAATTATACATATATTGAAAAAAGATTAAATTGAATAAACGGGTGGCTATGTACAACAACGTAGCAACAAATAACAACTTTAGCCTGCAAAAATCAATAACAATGCCCTAAGAAGAACCACAGGGCAAGCAGCACAATCTCCCAATCTGTATGAAAATCCACTGCAGAGGATTGGGGCCATCGTCTGTGGCCGGAGACGGCGCCGGTGGCGGCAGGGGAAGCTCCGGCGGCAAGTGACGATGGAAGGCGTCGACCGCAGCTCCTACGCCGTCTTCGTTTTCGATGCAGCCCGCTAACTCCGCCGCTCGGGATTTCACCTGGGTGTGGGACTCGACGGTTAAGCGACACAACGGCATCAAACATTTTCAAGAATAAAATGGCTTGCGTTTACCTCGGGCTCGAGCATGAATCGTATGGCTTCGGAAAGGGATTCGGCTGTGAGCTGTGAAATCGGGATCGGTGCAGGGCCGAGCCCGCGTTGATGGATACGATCTCCCCAGAAAAATTGATCGCCGAAGAACGGGACTATAGTTGTAGGACACTGCATTGTGTGCCATGATCAAGATCAGTTAGATATGACGATTCGAATATAATCGGGGAGTCGGGAAAGCCGAGGAACATTACCCCCGCTTTTAGTCCAGTAGCCGTCGTTCCAGCCCCTCCGTGATGAACCTGGAATTATAGACGAAAAGAAATTCGTTGAAACAAACGTCTCGTCTAAAAGTTTAAGCTAAACCGTAGAATGTATTTCGTACTCACCACAGCCGAACACTGAGGAAACAACCAGTCGTGAGGGCAGTCGACGAGAAGGTAAACGTCGTCGGGGATAGTCGAATCTACAGACGAAAAGAAAATAACTTTAGAAAAGAACAAAGGTCGAAGATTTCGAATTGTGGCGTAAGAAGCTTACGGGTGCCAAGATCTCCCCAACCCCGATCAATTATTCCTCTTTGTCCGGTGCTCTTTAATGCTTCCACGATTATTTCCGTAGTTCGTTTTGAATCCTCCAGAGGCTTATCGAGAGATTCGACGTAAATAATCAACGAAATCAGCTAAAAGCAAAAACAAAATAATGAACCCTAAAAGAGATGACTCATTACCATGCTTCCAAACCCGATATAAACTGGCGGACTTCCCTTCTTCATCCATCGAACAAATTCTTCAGGCGGTTGGTACGAAGATCCGAGGTTCAAAAAGCAATAACCGACGACATCAACGAGGTGTCCCCAATCTGCGAAAATTCAAATGCCATTAGCAATGTGACAACATCCAAAACAAAAATAAATCGAAAACAGCGCTCGCTTGCCATTTGGTTTCGGCACAACATGAGGACTCCACATATATCCAGTCGGGAGATGAGAAATCGACCCGTGGTACGTGCTGAAGTACGCAATAGGGGCAAGCTTGAGCTTATTTTTTCTGAAATTGTTGATAGGCCCTCTTATGCCCCACCATATCAGCAGATCCACGAGAATATACGAGAGCTGGATCAAGAAAGGAACGAGATGAGAAAAATCTTGTCAGGTAAATGAACTCGAAGAACGGACGTAACTTAAACATACCCAATATCCAGCACTTTGTGGCACACGGGCGAAAGGGTGAGGAAATGCATACGTAGGCCTGTTGAATAAATTCAAACGGGAAATGATATCTCCAAATCGACAACTATTTGGCTCACATTATACATTTTTGCAACTGTGATGAAATTTGTCGACAACTATAAGACTAGACAAATGATAGAAATTATTCAAACTTACGTCCAAGGCATCGTGAAGAAAATGTGCAGAGGAACTCCAAGAGCTTCAGCTACATGTACGTGCCCTGATAAAAGTACAATCGAGAATTAATTTTCTTAGCATAGGCACATATAATTATCAAAAACTAACCATAAGCCGGAGGATTTGCAATAATCGCCTGAGCGCTGAAAGGTTCGCCCGTAATTGGATCCGGTTCTGTGCAGGCAGGAAGCAGCGATTCTATAATGGCCTTTATTTGTTTCCGTTGCCCGGAAATTTCTCCGGGTGTCGACGGGATAAGGCCTTTATTTCTGGCCATATCTACAATTGCAGAAGATTTATATCTCGATCATTAACGACTAAGACTAAAATCAAGAAAGCAAAAGGACAAATATTCGAATAGTGCATAACATTGAACAAAAGTGTGTCGAGGACCTCTTACATCCAGCCAAAATACGAGGATCTCCACCGAGCGGGTAAAAATCTACTCCGGCTGACTTTACGAATCCTCGGAAGTTGGAATGTGTCGCCAATCTCACACGGTGACCGTATTGCTGAAATACATGTCTTGCCGTTAGATATTTATATATAAAAAATGTGAAGAAGTAATTTGATTCGGAATAAAGTTCAAATCTTTGGAATGTTTTATTTAGTTTGTCCTTCACCTGAAGTCTCATGGCAACGGCAAGGAAAGGCTGAACGTCCCCTCTCGTTCCAACCACGAGTATGGCGATCTTCAATTTCGGAATCAGTTTGTTGCAATCATCCATTATGTAATCAGCAGTAGAAGAACGAACTTCATCAACAGATTGAAACTCTAATAATTCAGAAGCTACAGAAGAATCTTTACTGATATCGACCTCCACTGTCCCGTCATTTTGTATCTTCATTAAGTTCCCGATTAACTTTTTCTGGTTAACAAAAACATCAAGAAACTTAACACACCATCTAAACCAAGAAATTCGATACAATTAATCAATGTGTTCTTACCTTCTCATTCTCCGAGAGCCTATCCAATTTTAGCGCAGGCAACGGATTTCCCCTCCTCTCTGTCATAGACCTCGAATACGTAACATCTTGATTCTCAAGGAAGAGATTTCTATGCACTGGCGCCGTGATGCAATGATCCAAAACTTCAGTAGACAACAAGAACACTCAAATGAGAATCGACAAAACATGATTATAGACAATGAGCTATCCCCTGAATTGATACCTCTTTGATGAACTTGAGGTGATGCTTCTTTCGACAAAGAAGCCTCTGAAAGAGACGAAGGCTCCGGCGAACTTTCCACACAATTGCCTCCGGCAGTCGACTCATTACTATCTAATGAAGACAATGTAGCTGCAATCTGAGCTTTTAAAGCACTGGTTGATTCATCCTCTCCAGTTTCTGCCCTAATTTCCAAAGCTTTCGGCATTTTGGCAGTCCCATTACTCTCCATTTCCTCCAAGTTTTCAAATAACTTCAAACCTCTGCATCAAAATTCCTAAACATCAAAATCATTCATCGAAAGAGCACCGTATAAATTCAGGAAATCCAGAGCTCTAAAAATCCCCAAATGAACTGAAATCTAAAACCCTAAAACAACCTCTTACAATGAAGAACTGTGGACTGTAAATTTCCGGATCAATTGGAGACACACCTACCACTCAATTCCACGTGCTGGTGTTCGGTACAGAAGGTGGATCTTCGATTCAGAACTTTTTATATGTTAAACAATAATTGAGACCTAAAAGTTATGGTGCACAAAAAGCACTAAACCCCAAAAACCTAACAGTGAATAGAAATCCCCAATTACGCCCAACCCTCGATTCAAACAAGAAAGCCAAGATATTAAATCAATCGAACAAAATCAGATGAAAACATTGACTCTAGACTCCAAAATCAATTTTACCTTTTCCCCCAATTCAATTTTGCGAGCGTGAAAGCAATCGAGAATTGATGGTAGCAATAATTTCGCCCAGTGCGACATCAATAATTGCGAACACAAAGCTGCGATGAATCTAGAGAATCTGAAAATGGCGAAGCCCATACGGATGGAGAAAACAGAGGGATTAAGGAAAAATTAAAAATTAAAAATCGGAAACTATTCCTTGAAAAGGAAGCAGATTAACTGGAAACAGCGAATCGAATCGGGGAATGAATATTAATTGCAGACCATGAAGAAAGGCAGCTGTCGCGAGTAGAGATTTTGACCACTTGACGATTGGCTTCTGGCAATTTTGTAAGAGATTCGTCGGAGAAAGAATATTCAAAAGAAATGGAATGGTTGGGCGAAGACTGACTCATATTTGCGCTGTTCCTCTTCATCATCTTCATCATGATTCGTAGCAGTCTCAGTCCTCAATCACCCACCCTAATTTATTATTTATTTATTTTTCTGTCTTGAAATTATTCTTTAAGATGAGACATTAAAAAAAAAAAAAAAAAAAAATGCGATCACAGCTCAACCATGTCAGATGATTTTGAAATGACATTTATATATATTTTTGGTTAGTTAGACTCACATTACACAAACAATTTTAATTTTAATGATATTTATATATTTTTATGGTTAAATACATGTTTTTAATTCACGGGTATTAACCCATTAATATAAAAAAAAAAAAAAAAAGAAAAAAAAGAATGAACTTTATTCAATAAGTCAATATATACATCAAGAAGTTGTGTTTAACACGAACCGTTGGATTACAAATAATGATAGATCAACGAATGATTCTATATATACTTACAAACAATCATTAATATCTAAGATAAGAAACTATTAAAATTGGGTCAATTCGATATTGTCAGTTTTGAGCTGAGTTGATTTAAGATTTATAAATATAAATTTTTTTTACAATTTTTAATGTAAGACTTGAGCTTGCAATTCAACATAAAATTGTTATGCCTAACACGTATTTTTTTGTCAATTTCTTGGCTATGCGACTATTTGTGAATTTGGGTAACATATGCAAGAATTCTAGTTAATGATATATACTATATTTGTTTCAAATGTGGTGCATTATTTATTTTCGACACATAGATTAGGTGGATAGCATATAACATAATAATTTGAAAAATAAGTGATACGATAAGAAAAGAAATTATATTTATTTGAATTATATAATATAATAAAATGTAAAATAAAAATTAAATATATTTAATTATTAAAATATTGCAGAAGTTTGAGATTTGGGATGGAGAGAATATTTATATATACTTGTTCTACGTACATACAATCATTTCAATATTTATTAAAAAATATGTATATTAGACACATAATATACAAAGTATCCAAAACAACAACACTAATAATTAATTACAGCATATTTTAAGGTTAATTAATAATTTAAATTAATTAATACAGTGACAACAGCCGCGCCACACTGTCCGAAGCTGATTTAAAGAATGAACTAATGAATTTCGTTCAGGACGAGAGCTCGAGCTCTATTAATGGTGACCAGGCACAAATACACGTGCTCTTCCAGCTCCTGCACGTGCCGCCGGAACCCTAATTCGTACTTCTTCAGCTCCGCCACAACCTGCGCCGGGAAGCGCCGCCGCGCGCCGTCCATCCTCTCCAGACAAAGCCGAATAAGCGCCTTGTTGTGATCGATCTCGTCCTGCAGCCGAGCCACAAGCCGGCTCATCAAGTCGAAGTCCCTGTTCAATATGTACGCCCCTTTCGCCGCCGCGTCGAGTTGGACAGCTGCTCGGCGCAGCGAGCCGCGCCGCGTGATCGGCGCCAGATTTTGAATCTTCTTCTTCAACGGCTTGATCGGCAGGCTTAGCAGCGCCGGCCACATCAGCACCGCCGTGCAGGTGTGCACGGCTACGAAGGCGGCCGCCGCCGCCGCCAGCCCGCAGGCGGCCGCAGCGCAGACGCCGGAAGCCTTGTTGACGGATTTGATGAGCTTGATTTTACGGGAGATTTGCTTACGCTTAGATTTCAGGCGGTGCAGCACTGCGGCGTTGCGGCAGCGGAATTCGTCGAATTCGGCTCGGCTCCCGTCGGAGAAGGGGCTGTCGAGAACGGCGCAGTACCGGAGCTCAGCTACGGCGGCGCTGAACCGGTCGGCTGAGGACGGCGAATCGCAGCCGTCGATTACGCGTAGGAGGATCGTGTGGTCGGATTGAACTTGACTGAGATTCTTCAGTAATTGGCTGCAGAATCTGGCGGCGTCGGCGCCGGCGTGGAAGAAGCTGGTGAGGACTGATTTCTGGCCGGAGGAATTGACCGCCGGCGACGAGTTTAGAATAGATTCTATGGTTTCCTCCCCGGGATCAAGGAAGGATTCCGGCGGCGGCGGCGGCGGCGATTCGATTTTGACCATAAATTGGAATTTGAGGAAGAAATCTGTGTAGGATTTTGTCCTGACTGCAGACAGGTATTCATCGTTCACGTTCTGCCTTTCTCCACATTCTTTATCTGCCATGGAAATGACCTCGATCATAATTAATTAATTGATTAATTAATTTCATCAACATTATATATCACACTGATGAATAATAAGAATTAAGAAATGACATATATACCTATGTTGAGTGAAGGTCTGATTCTTGCCCACATCTTAAGAATATAATCTTAGTATCTCAGAAAGATAATCAATTAACGTTATATATATATATATATATAGGTTTGATGATGGTGACGATGATATGGTGTATGTAACAGACTTGGAAGCGATGGGCGGCGCCGCCGTGAATGGCCGTTAAAGGTTTGTGTATCACGCGATATATATATATATGTATATATCTGCCAGTGACGACTGATATATATATATATATAATATAATATAATAGATGGATCATGTCATGTATTAAAATAAACTAATAATGATCTGAAAATATCATATATATTGGAGACCCAATTAGGAAATAATTAAAAGGCTTGTTTGGATGCACAATAATGATTATATGCAGTTTTGTGTGACCTAAATATGGTTATTCAAAGGAATAAAAGTGTTCTAAACAAGCACGTTTTGGAAACAAACACTCTTCAATCAGACACAACAAAAACACATCTCTTCTCTCTATATACAAATATTAATTAATTAAATGAATTTTCGTATGCATATATAATTGGATAAACTCAAATGAATACACTACAATAAATAACTTGCAAACTATATCAATCCAACAATTATACTATACGATAAACAATATCAAGATTTGAACCCATTGATAATTCCAATTCCAATAATTTAATTATAATATAATTTTATTGCATCAAGTGGATTGGACCAGTCCTTGCAAGGCATAGAAATGGATGAATCGGGCAGAACAGATATTATGGCATGAAATCCACGTGGCGGATTGTGGTTGCGCGTACGATGATTGGTTGGTGCATGCATGCATAAGAAACCCAAATAATTAATGTATTTTCCTTTCAAGCCAACCAACAAACCCTAACTGCTAGAGGCCCATGCGTGGAGACTTTCGTCACTGTTCAAATTAATTTTGAAAAAACAGTAAAAAAAATAAATAAAAATATTTCGTTACATGAGAAAATATATATATCTAATGCATATTTTTTTAATAAAATAAAATAAAATACTCCATATTGTAGATATAAAAATAGTATTCTCTTTCTCTCCGTCCATTAAAATTAGCGCATTTGTGTTTGACACGGAATTATTTGTATACAGAGATTCAAACTAAACAAACCCTCGTGAATTATTTTTGTTGGAGATTCAAAATATAAAATTCAAAGTTGCAAGATATTTCTATATATAATTAGGAACGTGCTATTTTTCAATTTTTCTTTCGTCTAATAGATAAATTCTTTGTTGCCAAAATTATAGTATTTGAAATGTTTTTATTTATTTATTTTTTGGGTGTGACATTGATAATGCTTTAAAGACCGAAACAAGTCGAAATGTCTTGAGACATTTAAGCACGTTTAATATTGATTTTTGGAGTTTTAAAATTATAAATTTTTTGATAAAATTTTGAATAATTAATGTAATGTTTTGTAAGAGGCTTGTTATTTAATAATATGATATTTTTTGAAAATATTATTATTGCTAAAAATTTTAATAACTTTAGGGGTTGAGAATATCGAGAAATGTTCTTAATTAGTTTGGATTTCATTTTTTTTTTATAGAAATAAAACATTTTATCTAACAAAATATATTTCCAATAAATAATTTAAAGTAAACCAAACAAATAATGCAGTTTGTGTTTTATTTTTGTAACTTCTCCCGGAAGAAGGGTTTCATTTTCAATTTTTATCCGTCCCAAAAACAAATGTACTATTTTTTAATTTAGTAATTGTACTATTTACCTAATATAATAACTACGCTTCAAACGTATTTTCGTCTTTTTCACTACAACCCAATACAATACTAATATTAAAAAATCTACGTGAAAAAATAAATATTAATCTTTATATGGGACGGATGAAGTAATAAACATATATTTTTTTATTTAATCATATTAAATACTTATTAATTTTTTTAAAAATTTCAAACTCGAAATATTTTAAACATATGAAAAATTAATTTAAATTTAATCTTTTAAAAAATTTCTCTAAATAAAAAATTGGAAAAATACACCCCCCATAACAAGCCCCCACTGAAATGTCCGAATTGTGAGTCCCTTTTTGACTTCACTATTAGCTTTAAGACAATCTTTATTAACGTGCAGTCCTAATAACTCTATCACATTATCTCCATTTACAATTATGCCCCCACCGCATGGGACTAACTCGAACCGTCAAGGGTAATTTAGTCATTTCAAGTCAGTTGGCACGACTCGCTCATTAAGAAATGGAGCCCAAAGCGACAAATCCCCTAGAATTCTTCAAAACTAGCACTATATGTTGGCGGTGAATCTCAGGCAGTCCCGGGTCCTTCACTCCAGATTGATCCACACCGCACGATCAGGATCTGCCCCAGAATCGAACGGTGTGGATTCAATCGGGTGCTGAGGTCTCGAAACTTCCCGCAAAAGCACTCGAGATACACCCATCCTTCTCCTGCAACACACCAAAAACGCAGCACTGCAGAGAATGAGATGCTTCAATGGTTTTCATCATCATTAGCTTAATCCGAATGCGTTTCGAGATTCCTGTTCGTTTGGAATTTGTGGTTTTCACTTCCTCTTTAGCTCAATAGCTTTTTTTCTCTTTTGGAGGCGACGATAGGTCGAACAGATTGAAAGCATCTATATATATATGTATGTATATATAAATCTAGGGTTTTGGCTTTGGAGCAGACGTATGAATGGATTTGGACGGGTTTCGTTCCTTTATATTGGATTCAGGAATTGATGTCTGGACATGGATCGATTTGGCAATCTCCGTTGCCTCCGCCGATCACGAGGCGGAGCTGAAGAACAGAAGGGATGGAATCGTCCAGAAGCTCTACGCAACCAAGTGTCGGAATTGCGATCATGGTGTTCACCAGAATCGAGATTCGAGCAATGATCGCGAAATCGAAGGACGTCAATCGGGTGGAAATGGAATTGAAGAGGGAGAGGAAGAACAGAGAAAAATTCTCGAAATTAGGGTTCTTCTGGATGATGAAAATCAGGTATAAATAATTATAATTCATCCTCAACCAAATGTGCCTTCTTTGTGTTCGACAAAATGCCACACTGAAAATTTTCATTTGCAGAGTGAGAGGTCGTTGATTGATCTGCTCCAGATGCTACTGGACATGAACATTTCGTTTAAAGCTCTTCAGGTGAGAATCAATGGAAGAAGGATAAAACACAAACTGTTCATCTCGATTGATTAAAAGCTCCCTTTCTCTCTCTCTCTCTCTCTCTCTCTTTGGTAAGGAAACTGACATTGGAAGACATGTGACGAAGCTAAGGAAGCATCCATGTAATGAAGTTCGAAGGCTGGTGAAAATCCTGGTCAGGTTAGTATAATCAAGAAACCAAAAACAACACTTTCCATTAGCTATGGAGTTTTCAGTCCATCTTCTTGAAATTTGACAGAAAATGGAAGGACACTGTGGATGAATGGGTGAGACTAAATACACCACCAGAAGAGCCCACAGAAGCCATTGGTAAGAAGAAAAAAAAAAAATTGTCTAAACACACACACACAGAAAGAAAACACATCCTTGTCTGAATCTAAATTCATATTTCATATTTACAGATGACGGAAAATCACCAAATCCTGCTGGTCACACAGCCCCATCAAAGGTATGGATTGATGATCCATGTTGATGTATTATTACATCAAAGTATAAAGACAAGATGATAATTTGACTTGTTTTTATTTTGTCTGTTTGAATTAAACAGGGAAAGTTGGGAAGCGAATCAAACAAACAGGGGGGTGGAAAGCATTTTCAGGATCAAACCCACCAAGAATTCCAACAGGGTAAGCCAAGAAAGAAGTTATTAAATTCACTTTATAATTTATTTCACAAGCCAGATCAAAATAATAAACCGAATTCTGGGGTCCACTTTGAGCAGCCAAGAAACAGAGAAATGGAGCAGTACAGATTACAGACTTCCATTCCAGCAATGGAGGGAGTGTTCCCATCAAGTACTGGTAAATGAATAGAAGAATAAATTAGTTCAAGAATCTTAACATGATCAATAGATTGTGAACAGACAGTGATGAATTGAGGAAGAAGAAGAAGGGCCATGTGATGTTGTTAGGTCAAGATGGAAACTTTTTACTTGGAAATGTGACCAGATGCATTTGATTTTTCGATAATCGACAAAATAGCTGCTGCAGAACAGAAATGTGCTTGTGTATGCAACAAACACCATATGCTGTTACTTTATATATATATATATATATATATAAGATATGTAACTGTATTATATATTACTATTGTGTTGTATAGCTTAATAATCCACCAGGTAAACTTTGTTGTCTTGTCTTCCCCTTTTTCTTATAATTTTTATTATTTTTTTACCATGAAAATACCTGCCTAACTTGGCAAATAATGGGCAAGAAATTGTTGTGCTGTGAAGGTGCAACTATTTGATTTGACTGTCTTAGACGAAAATTATTTTGATGGAACTGAAAGATTATTGTTTTCTTGCCCTTCTTGTTTATTTGGAATTTAACTTTTTAACATAAACAGTGAAAACATCTTTACAGGTAATTGCCATTTCCCAACATGGGTTTTTTTTTTATATATATTTACAATTGTTTCCTACATTTCTTGAAAAAAAAAAAAAAAGAAAGAAAAAAGGCCCCATTTTCCATAGCATGTCCATTGAATTCAATTTATTGTACTATATTTTATTTTATAGTAGGGCAAGTGACAATTGTTAGTCAAAGGAAAACCTAAATGGGCCACATAGGACAGTATAGGAATCAAATTGGTTCAAAATTTATGGCTGCAAGAAGACAAATTTTAATAGACCTATAATAATAATAATAATATTTGATATAAAGAATAAAATTGTAGAGAGAATACAGAAGAGAATAAATTAGAAAATTCAGTTAGGAAAAAGATAAAAGAGAAATGCATGTGGAATTGAATCAATCTGAAAAAGAAGACGAATCATTATTTTTTTTCTTTATAATAATAATGTGAATGCGATGTCGAAAATAATATATATTTAAAAGAAAAACAATATTGAAAATTATATAATTTAATTCAAATAAAAATATTTCATTTTCTATATCAATTTTCCATAAATCATCCGGTTCCGTTCAATTTCACCTAAAGTCGCTTTTTCAGCTGCGTATTTTAATCTGACGACTTTTGCTACGTGTACTGGAATTCAAAAGCGAGAGGCTTCTGGAAGGCTCGCATTTCCCGTCCTTTGATAATCCTGCGATTACGTCCGGTTCCAATAAAAGTCGCTTTTGTAAATCAGATTCTCTGAAAATGCGATTTCTGAGAAAAAGACTGAAAGTGTCCGCCCTCTTGAAACGGGACACGTAACTCCTCCCTCTGTCTCACGGCTGCAAAACCTAAAGAAAACAGAATATCCATTTCTCTGCATATCATCAAAACCCTAGGCGATCCATCTCTGCCCACAAAATCAGTGCCAATCATTGACATGGAGCGAGGATTTTTGGTATCTGTGTGAAGTTTTGGTATTTGGAGGAATGCATTTTAGGTACGGTAGCATTGGGGGGAGGGAGTTGGGTTTGTTTACCCACGTTTGATGATTTCGTAGTTTGATGGCGTCGTCGAAGCTCATGGCTTCTCGGAATTCGGAGATCAATCGGAAAGGCTCGGGTTGTAATTCTACTGCGGATTTTCTTAGACTTGATAGCGGAGGGGGAGGAAGCAATGCTCCCGATAATTTGGCGTCTGATTCGGTGATGGCGGAGGGGTTTTTGAGGAATGAGTACGTGGAAGGGAAATTGAATAGGGATCGGGGTCGGAGGCAGGTAGTGGAGTCGGAGAGTGATTCAGGTACTCGGTTGAATGCGGAGGCTGGGCTTCTAGATTCGGTTGGTGGTTCTACGACTAACAGCGACGGCGAGAGGCCGGAGCCGCCGAGGGCAGTTAGGAAGACGGTGGATGATGTGTGGAGAGAAATCGTGGCGGGGAAGAAGACCGCACATAAGCCGAAGGAGGAGATGATGACTTTGGAAGATTTTTTGGCGAAGGCTGGGGCGACGGAGGAGGAGGAGGAGGAGGAAGAGGAAGAGGAGGCGACGCCAAAGAAGAGATTTGTGGATGTGAAGGAGGAAGGATTCAGTGGGGGATTTTCTGTTTACAAGAGTAATTCGGTGATTGCTGGATCCGTAGCAAGTGTTGGGATGGATGTTGGTGGGTTAGGGGGAGGCAGAGGAAAGAGGAGTTTGAGTTTGTTGGAGCCATTGGATAAGGCAGCACTGCAAAGGCAGAGAAGAATGATCAAGAATAGGGAGTCTGCGGCGCGATCGAGAGAGCGGAAGCAGGTGCTGATTTGATTTCGTCGTTCTTGGTTCATCAGGAGATCTGTGTGGTTTGGTTTCTGCATTTGGTTCTAATGGTGTGTTGTCTTCTTGTTATTTTCAGGCCTATCAAGTGGAGTTGGAAACGATGGCAGTGAGACTTGAGGAAGAGAATGATCGACTGTTAAAGGAGAAGGTAACGCCGAGGTCTATTCTCATTATTCTGTTTTTTTCTATTTATTTGTAAGTGTTGTTATCCATTTCATGAATTGTTACCATGTTTCACCAATTCTGTGGATCTGATTATGTGCCATAGATGTTTCGATTGCTTGAATATCATATGAATGAAGCCTTCTATGAATATAGGGACTGTAGACATAGCAAATAGTTTATTGTTCTTTTATTATATGTTCACAACCCATTGTAATTTTGGGTGCGTAACCTATTTTTTGTTCGTAGATCTTGCTGGTTAGAATTATTGTGAAAAAAGTTTGTGTTTGAAATTGAGGTTTTCGTAGTTATCCTTTTCCTATAGGCACAAATCTTTAGGATTATCCATATGTTGTGCCTTGGCTTGGAAGTAGATAGCCTATACTGTTAGGATTATTACTCATCTATTATATACTTCTAGTTTAGATGTTACGTTCTGCGTCATGACAAGCCTTCTAACAAACAGTATTGTTGATTATATTCCAATTTCAGGAAGAGCGGAGAAAGAAACGACTTAAGCAGGTATTCACTTTCTTCTGTGAAAATTTTCAGTTGGAATCCCTTTACTGTCGTGTTATTCGAATATTGACAAGTATATAGTTTTCCATCATGCCTCTCCAATGCCGGCGTAATCTTTCTAAGTTTTAAACACGGGAAATTCCTAAATTCCTCACGAAGTTCGAATTCTAGCTCTTTTGAAACACTACTTTGTTACTGATCATGGGAATCGAAGCTGCACTTGAGTTTTAAACATATTCTCATGTACAATGTGTGTGCTGTGTTACATTCGCACCTCCTATTTTGAACTTCTTTTTAAATACCTCGAACAAACAATTAAGTTGTTAATTACAAATATGATTATTTATTTTGTGCAGCTCCTGAAGAATGTGATCCCTGTAACTGAGAAGCAAAGGCCTCCACGGCGTCACCTTCGAAGAGTCCGCTCCATGCAGTGGTAATCCTTCCCAACACCTCACTAAAACTCTATTCCCCAATTCTGTTGCAAGGCAAAAGATAAAAGAAACAGAATCATGACCAGAACACCACACAACGCCTTAATCATAATATCTCTAGTAGATTAAATTACTACCACTGTTAGTTGCTGTAAATCCCTAAATGCCGGCAATAGAAATATGGAAAGTTGTTACATTTAGGAACCACAACAACACAATTGCTGCCTGAATTACTTATATTTGTATTTTTTCCTTCTATATATAGTTAGTTTATTAATTGTCATGTAATGATCTTATTATTTATGCCTATTAGGCTCCAGTTAGATTGGTAAACTAATTCTGTATTTTCTGTCTTAACTTATGTTGTTGGTTGGTTTGATTTTATTTTAGGATTTGTATTATATGTATTGAGAATGATTTGATGAAAAAGTCAGAGAGGAAACAGACAAGCCATATACCCACAAAGCATAAAAGATTCTAGTACACATTCCTAAGCTTAGTATCCCATCCCACAGACCACATATGTTTATATATATATATATATATGTCTTTGTCTCTTTCGTGAATCTGTTTCTTTGTGAAGGGTAGCTATGGCTTCCTCAAAGTAACAACACTTTCCCTTGTTTCAATACAATACATGGAGATCTTTTGTGAAATTGCATTCAGTTTTGATGCACAGAATCATTCTCCTGAGAGTGTTTGTTTGTCTTTTAGCAGTTTGTCTTGGTGTGGAATACTGATATACTTCTTGTCCTTAGTACCAGGTGGCATTGTTATCATTATTATAATACAAAATAATAATTATTGGTGTTTCATTTCTCTATGTATTATACAATGAGATTGACTGGACATGTTAGTACCTGATGTCTTGTGCCTGTCTGATTTGGTGTGCAAGAACAAACATAGGTTCTTGTAATAACAATTGTTGGAAAAGCTGTAACAATCAATTAGAGCTCAAGAATTAACAATACAAACATTTGGAAAATAACAAAATAAGCAATAAATTAAAAGCCATAGATAATCATCATGTATGTATGATGACAATATGAAGATTGGAGTAGCAACAAAATTGTTGTTTATTTGCCTGAAAAGAAAAGAAAGTGGTAAGAATTGAGATGCAAAAAGGGTCTCAAAATACAAGACCTAATACTAGACTAGGCCTTTTTCATCTTTTGATTGATAATCAGAGGAGTAATCATTTTAGAATAATAATGCCCATCATCACAAAAGAAAAGAAAAGAAAAGAAAAAGATGAACAACAAAAAGTATCAAATGCAAAATAATTATTTATGTGTACACACACATATATGTGTAGTACTATATTCATTAATCAAATTATCCTCCCTCATCTTTATTTTCAACTTTAACTTCATTTTTTCAGAAACCCTTTTGAAGTTTGTTTTCTTTCAGAGACAAAATCATCCCACTTTTTTGTACTGTCAAAAAACATATAACCACTACTCATAACCCTCTTTTGCTTTCTTGCCAACACCCGGGGATCTCCGCTCCAGAAACGATCCGCACCGTCGAAAGTACAGATCCCACACTCGGGAGCCAAACTCCATGGACCTCCCAAGAATACCCATCCCCATGCCCCAGCCTCTTCTCTGTCAAGCACACATTCAAACTTTCCACTGTACAAACATGTCTGACAAATCTTAATCTCTCCATTGCTACACACATTTTCATGTCCTTATCCTCCCTTTATATCTCACCAAATAAACCTCACTCAGTTCACAATTCCAGGCCTGTCTTGTCCACTACACATTTCCCTCCATGTTGATGGTGCTTTTCTTCTTCGTCTTCTTCTTCTTCCACTCTCCACTGTCGGACTCTGCAACTGTGACTGTTGATGGAGTCTCGCCATGGCCGAACCCTAATCTTCATATTGGAGACTCTGTTGGTACGTACATTGCTCTAATTTTGGGATTTTAATTAGTCTGTTCATGTATGTATAATATATAAATATATATGTTCTTGTTGGTTTGCAGTTTTCCAGCACAGATTCCATTACAATCTGTACGTGTTCCAGACAGAGGAAGCTTTCGATCTCTGCAACTTCTTGCGCGCCACGCTCTTGACGAAGCCCAATTCGTCTTCTTACACTGTGAGTTTGTTCATTCATTTTGTAATTATGGAAGAATTTGAAATCACTAATTTTTAGGGTTTTTAATTTTTCCCCCAAATTGTTGAAGTGGCGAACTTCCCGCCCTGGATTGTTCTACTTCGGATTCAGCAATGGCTCGAACGTGGCGTGCTTACAAGGCCAGAAATTCTCCGTGAAGGTGGTCTCGGCTGCGCCGGCGCCGGTTCCGGTTCCGGCGCCGGCGATTGTTGCTGGAGGAGTTGTGGCTTCTTCTCCGGCGTTTCCGTGGCCGTTCCAACCCCGAGAAAGGACTTCCCGTTCGCCGAGTCCTGCCCCTGGTTCGTCGCTGACCGCAGCCGTCGGCCCGGCGGCGCCGGACAGGGGAGTGCCGTTTATTAACAGTAATCCGGCGGTGCCGCTGCCCACCGGAGAAGTTGATTCTGCTACTATCCGGCCATTGCCGACGTCTGGCTGTCACCGCCGCGACGATCAGGTAGTTTTTGAATTTATTAAAATTCGTTTTTTTTTTTTTTTTTCTTTTTATTTTTTTTTTGGGAAAGTATCTAATGGGAAGCACGTGATTTAATCGAATTGAAGACTATAAATGCAGTCTCACTCCACATGGAAATAATTCAATACATCCACTATTCTTCTCCCATTCTTTTTTTTTTTTTTTCAATAAAGTAAAAATTACTATTTTTTGTATTTTCTGTTACTATAAATATTAGTAATAATTATTATTTATGTTCATTATAAAAGTGGTTGTATGTTTGAATATAAAGTTTGAATGCAATTATACTCACCCCACACATTATAAATAAATTATGTGTAAATTTAACTAAAACAAATAATAAAATAAAAATTCTGATGTAATAGTCATAGGGAAATGAGTAAGTATTAATTTTCTTATTTATTGTCCCATAAATTTATTAACAATATTTATCTATTTATATTTTACTACTCCCTTGAAATGTTGTAACAGGACTATCAACCTAATAATAAATATTTTAGGGGTATTTCTGTTTTTTTTATTATAATCTATTATAATACTGTGTAATAACGATAACCTTGTTTCGGAAGCCGGAAGGAGGATTATTTTTTAATTTTCCCAATTCACAACAGTCAACGTTGTTGCAGTATTGTTTGATCCGACGGTCACAAATATGCCACTTTATGGATGGACCTAAATGGAGCTTCTGCCCTTTTCTTTTTCAAGAGACCATTTTTTTTCCTGTGATTATTAATCTTAATTCTTAATCTCTTGCATTGTATTATTATTAATAGTATTGATGAATAATAATTTGAGAATAATGAGAGCGTGGTGTTCTGATTGGGATTTAATTACATGTGTGCAGGTGGTGGGCTTTCTTGAAGTTGTGAGAGCTTTGAGCTGCATAATTTTGCTTGTAATGATGGCCTAGAGTGAGAGAGAGAAAGAATGTAAAGTGGACTTAAAGTTGTAATGATTGTAGCATATGAGAGAGAAGTCTTGACCCTACTTTAGAAATCATTGCTGCCACTCTCTTTTGTTCTTTTGCTTTTCAGTTTTGGCAAAAGCTTTAGTTAATTACTCTTTTCTTTTAATTCTTCACATGGATCACTTTCAAGTTTCAACAATGGCTTCCAGGCCCTCCTCCCAAAAAACCCCAATTTTGGCCCAATTTTGCTGAACACAATACAGACAGATTAAAATCTCACCATTGATGCATTTATGGCCTCACAAGATTCCTGCTTTTCTGGTCTTTGAATTCCTCCCTGTAGACATTTCTTGATTGCACTGAGCAATCAATAAACACCATTCAAAATTAGGGTTCACTTTCAAGTTACAGTCAAGAATTGGGATATTGACATTTAGATGGAAGAAGAAATCTTCCATTGACAACAGTTTCAAGAAAAATGTATGTTCACACTAGCAAGAGTTAACACAAAATCTAAGTGCAAATTTTTAGCAGCAAATCTCAAATCTTTTTTCTCCTCATTTCTTTACATATCCACAAGCTCAATTCAGATGCATATAATAAACACTTTTGATCACACAAATCATCAAACATTTGTGAAGAAGCTGCACTTACCGATCATGTATCTACAGTTTTTTCATTGAATGCACGATCATCGGTTCTGCCCGATGGAGTTAAGACCTTCGGTCCTGCTTCGTAGGATCCTATGGAACACGTCTCGAACCAGAAGCTCCAATGGATCCAATCCATCCTTTACGGCTTCATACACCGTCCGAACTTCTTGAATCCTCTGCTTCGCCTCCCTCTCCTTTTCATCTGACAATGGGAATTGGACGGAATCGATCAGTTCAGTCATGTGCTGATTGCATTTCTCAATATCAAGAATCTCCTTCAACAGCCCACAACTATTCCTCCTTTCCCGTTTCTTCGACTTGTCCAGAATCCTTTCATGGAGTGAAAGAATAGGAGCAGCCCATAGAAACTGTTTAGTCACCAAAAAATGCGTCTGTAGGCCGCGGTCCTGACAAGGAATCGCAGCCACAAGAGCCCATATTACGAATAACAGCACATAAGTCATCGTGAACACGGCTACATTGAGTCCATTGGTTGAGGCAGTCTCGTTTGCCCTTGGTGCAGTTAAGTTACTGCTGATTGCTTGCAACTGCTTCGAAGCGGACCACGACCTCGAAACACTCCAAGACAGGGACCTAAACTGGGTAAAGGATGATCTCTGCTCTCTCTGTCGCCCAAAAGACCGGTTTCTATGCGCAGGAGACGAGCTAGATTCCTTCTCATCGAGCATTGCAATGGATAAGTCGATCAAGGCCTTCTTAGCGCGGCGAAAATGGCCTTCTCCAATGCTCTTTTGATTGTCCAATGCACATAGAACAATATCCAGCTGCTTCTGCCACAGCCTGATCTGCTCGATCCCATCACGGATAGCATTGCAAACATCCAAAGCTTTGACACTCCTCTCAAAGAAATCCCCAATGTGACGATCCATTGGAGGGCTGCTCAAATTGCTCCTATGGTTGAAAACTATCACTCTGAATTCCTCTTGGCAAAAGAGGAAGGTTTCTAGCAGCTTCCGAACCCATGGGATTGAGAGGAGCTCATCGGAGCCGGCAGTCGCCAAATCTTGGAACCGCTCGGCTACTTGCCGCTGGAAGGCATCCAATTCGGTTTCTTGACCTGTGGATTCCATGGAATGGACCTGACGGCGGCTCAGAATCGAAAATCTAGCTGTGGAAGTGTTAGGGGATGAAGATGATTCTTGACAATCTGCAGTTGGCATCTCTTAGATTATCTATTACATGTAAAAAGATTCAAATTCTAAAACATAATCTGGAAAAGAAATTTTGCAATATCAAGCAAGCAAAAATAAGCTGGGATTCATATACAGAAGGCCAATTCAATTCAACAAAAATCACATATGACAATACCCTAATCTGACAAATACAACAATATACAGAATCTTCAACTTTTGCATACACCTCAGAGAACCATCAGAACATACGAAAAATCAAGAAGTTCTCATCATCACAAATTCAATCTCACAGAAATTCTAGAACTGCTAGAAATGCACAAATTAAATCGAAAAAAACTCTGATTTCCCCAATCACTCAAATTCACGCATCAAAAACACAAAACCGGATATCGGTCGTCAGCGAAAAGAGTAAGGGAGGATTGAAGGGTCAATTCTTTTGGATGGAATGGGTGGTGTATATATATTGGGGTGGATTAGAACGCGTAAATTGAGAAATTGAGAGAAGAATCACACAATCCTTCCATGAGCATGGCGGGTTAAGAAAGAAGGGCGAATTCAGCAAGAAACGGCGATCTAATTACCAATGATTTCATTCGAATAGTGAAAAAAGTGAAAAAAGGGGGAAATATTTAGGGATTGCGATTGGGGAAGGGAATCTGTTTACTCGTCACGAACACGCAACGGACACGTCTTACTTTATATGAAAGCGACCAATTCATCGCCCTTTATTTGCAAATAACCTTTTTTTTTTTTTTAATATATGTGTATATATATATATATATAATTGAAATTAGATAGAAAATTTTAAATTGTGAAAAAGATAATTTATATGTGTATATATGATTTGAAATTTACTATTAACCTTGATTATAAAAGTATAATGCAAAAAATTATATTCCATGATCATTTGAGTTGCGTACACATTTTAATAAATATATTATTACATTAGTAGATTGTCATATAAAATAATTGTGACATTTTTATAAATAAATGTAATATTAAAATATATAAATTAAAAAATATGTGAGAACTATTTACTATAAATGAAAAATATCTAATTGACACCTATATTTGTTTTGTGCATAATAGCATAAGTGTACATTTTATGACCATATTGATTAGTTGATTTAGCACATGAAAATATATTAGATAGTGTATAAAAATATATCAAATAATATATTTTATACTGAAATTAATTATAATATATGTCACATAAACCACTATTATGTATATGTAGTATATTTATATAACTAAATTATTGAGGTTAATTATGGATTTATATAAATTGTATTACTTATGAGCTGCGTTTTTAGTAGCTTTTACATTACAATTTTATCCAAAAGGATCACAAGTACTTTTTTTTTTTTTTTTTTTTTTAATTTTAGAATAATAATTTATTTGACAATTAATCTATGTAAGTAAAAGAAAAACAATATTAAGAAAAGGGAGAAAAAAGAAAAAGAACAACATGACAAAGATTGAACCACAAATAGAAAATATATATACTAATAAAATGAACTTCTTTCTACTTGAAACAATAAAAATAATTGCATGGTAAGTTCAAAGTTGGACTTATTATTGTCTAACCTTCTAGAAATACAAAATTATAGTAATACTTATCTCCATTCAAGATTCTCTACAGAATTCAATACATATGATGTCATCTAAAAGCTAATAAACCACATATTCAAAACCCCACCATTTAATTCATTCAATAATTTCATTTCCAATAAATACAAAAATAAAATAGAATAAAAAAACACATTCTCATTTTAAAAAAACAAATAAATCGCACTTCATTGACTTCTAATATGAAAAAAGTCCAAATAAAAATGGGCCCCTTGCCATTTATTTATTTTATTTGAATAGGTAAATACCTTCAAATTCCCCAAAGATTTGGCAATAAACAATAAAATAAAATATTAATTGATCTTTCAAATATCCTTACTATGATACATATATACATACATTATGGTAACAGTACCGATCAAGAATCCAAATAATATTACCGATCAAGTGTATGCCACTCTTTGATCGGTGGCTTTCTAAACCAATGATCAGTACGTCGATATATTATATTACACTTGATAACAGATTAATATCATAAAAGCATAAATCTTTTGATATTTCAATTAGAAATGATAATCAGCAGCAGCCTCAAAAAAGTAGTAGTATATAATATTTGTAGCCTTGAACCAAGAACAATGTATAGAAAGAAGTAGATAGAGATAAGAATGATAGACTAATAATTTGAGTATTTAAGAATATCATCATTCATAGTACAATTATTTTAGCAGTGTCCACAAAACCCTGAATAATGGTTGCTTCCATGTTTGCAGTACAAGACAAAAATGGCCCCTAAATAATTAATCCTATGTCCTATGCATGCAGCTGGCAATGCCATTTCACAATTATTAGTTATATATAAATAAATAAATAAAAGAGTAGCTAAGCTGCCATTTCAATTGACCTCAATTTTGATATGAATATAAGTGTGTCTGTGTGGTAGCATTACTACATCAATCAACCTCTCCCTCTCTGTCTCTCTCTCTCTCTACATTACTAAATTTGTGTTCATCCATTTGTTTCATTATCCACCTCTAAATAAATCTAAATGAATCTACACAAGAATTTCAACTTCTCCTAAGATCCAAGAAAGCAGATGAGAGCATAAAAGTTACATTGGTATTCATGAACTCCTCTAATCAATAATGACAAAACAGATAAGTTGGCTTTAGATGATATATATATTCATCATGGGATGGAGCTAAATAAGTTTAATGACAAGGAGCAGTCACCAAATCAGTAGAGAGTTATTCAAACATCAAGAACCCTAATTGCATCATCTTCAACAACCCCTTCAATCAAGAAAGCTTATCCAATGGTTTTCTATTAATTAATGTACCTCTTCAAGATAATGGCTGGCTATAGCAAGCTCCTATGGTTGGTTTCCAAAGGTCATTTTCAATGGAAGCATTTGGTAGATGTAATGAAACCCGGGACAGGGACGGGGACCTAAAAAATTGACCAAACACACATAAGAGTGGTCCAAGACTCGACTACGAATATTCAAGGGAATTTCTATTCATCTACCATCCATTAGTGGACATTAACTTATTATCCAGTTGTGGGCATAAAGCTACAAGAAATAACAAATGTGACGACTCGAGGATATGTCAAACAATGCAATTATCAAAATGGCAATGCAGTTTCCAAACATATGGAGATTATCAAACTTTACCTTAAGGCATTGTCGAACAAAAGATACTTGCTGTAACACAGACCATACCAATCGTGTACCAATAAACATATATTATGATGATGCCCTCAGTCATTGTAAAATTACTCCCTACAAAGCCCAACACCTGCAAAATCAAGAACAATCCAAATCTTCCTGTAAGAAAACTCAAATGCTACTACACATACTAAAAAATCCTCACAAGATACAATTTCGGTCGAACAGAACCAAAAGGACCTTTTTTAGCCTAGTATTGCCTTATCAAGTGTATATTAAAAATATTAAGAAAATTACAAATGAGCTTGACTCAGTATACTTAACATAAGCTTGAACATTATCGAACCAAGCCAAGCTTTCGATCTATCTCAGCAAAAACAAAATCCAGCATAAAAAAGATATTAAGTTCAACTGAATAGCAGCACAGCCCACAAGAAATTATTTAAAGAAACACAAATTTGTATCTAAATCCAAAGAAATTCACACACAAAGAAAGGCATTAACAAAATGCATTACTGTTAACTAAATCTCAACAGTATAGAACAAGCATTGATTAATTACGAGCCCTCAGATCTCATAGCTTTTGACAAATCACGAGCGGCTAAAAAACACTGATGGATGGATTCATCGAAGGCTTTCGAATACCCGCCATGAACAACCCCGTGTAAGCGTGTGGATTTCGTGAAAATGTGGTTAATGAAAGAAAGTGGAGGCGGATGATTCAAGGGATGCGCAAAGCCCAGCGATGAATCTCTAACCATCACGCCACTTCAATGCACTAAAAGTTTTTCCATCATCGAGCACAACAGTAAAGATCAAATCAAATGCTCTGTTGTTAAATGAAAAAAAATAAACACAGATTCGAATGCCAATATGTTCCATGATCGCCATACTCTACACATTATGCGGCGCAATTATATTACAGTTATTGTAGACATGAAACTGCTCAGGTTAATTTAGGGTCAAAACCGTTTTTATAATTGGGGATAATGATGGTAAGGGTAGCCACAGTTTTGATGGGCTTGGCCGAAGCTTTAGAAAGACATGATCCAGTGAAAATGGCAACCTCAGCCCAAACCCAAGAATGTACTTTCAATTCTCAGCCATTCTTGCCATGTTCCAAGAATTCAAGCACCCAAAATACAATTCATGATTCACCTTAACTAGCAGATAATTCAAGAATCTGTCTTCAATCATTTCCTCAGAGAATGTACATTAGATTCATTGCAAGTGCCATTAATGGTTCACAAAAAATACAGTAGAAACAAAAGAAGAAGAAAGGCAATGCTACAGATGAAGTTCAAGTTTTATCATAACATATAAGCATAAATGGAAGATCCAAAATTGCAGCAGCATGATTAACAACAGGCAACAACACTAGATAAACAAAAAATGCAAACATGGAAGCAAAGTACCATCAATCCCTGATTAAAATTCGAAATCCTCCCTCGATTTCATTCGCTTTGATTGTGATCCGACACGAACGCCATCTCCTCAGCCTCCTTGCGCTTCAGGTGCTGGTTCAAAATGGTAAGCCGAGCCGTCTCGAATGCAAAGTACCCTATAGCTGAAAAGCAAGCACTATGAAACACTCTAGGTCCCATCCCACGAGTAAATCCAATCCACCCTTCTTCCTTCAGTATCTGCTTCACTGTAGTTGCGACGCCACCATACATTGCAGCAGCAACCTTATTCATCGCCTCGCTGTGCACTTGAGTCATCAATCTAGTTTTCACAACATCCAATGGCGTCGTCAATGTAGCCGATACAGCACCAGCCATTGCCCCACAAACAACACTCTGATATGGCTCAAGATTAGTCTGTTTGGTCTCCCTCAACACTGCAGCTTTCAAATACTCAAATGAAGAGTAGCTTAAAACTCCTGCGGGTAAATTCCTCAGCAATGTCGCACTATAACCAGCATAAAGCCCTAAAACGCCATCTTTCTCCAGAATCCTTAACAGAACCTCCCATGACCTCCCTTTGGCACCTGCCTGCATCCTCTGTGTGATCAATTCCTTCGGCACCATGATTGCCGACGACATGACGTTCCCCATCGCGCCGGCTGTCGGCGGAATCAAAACCGCCGGAAACTGCGCAAATTTCGACAGTATCGACTTACCGAACTCGCAGGTGCCGAAATACACCGCGGAAGAAAACGTCGAACCGACAATAACCGCGGAAACGCCGCTATAGAATCCGAGAATCCCCCGACTCTGGAAAGTTTTGACGACAACATCGAACGCACCTTTATAGATTTCGGAGGCGCCTTTCGTCTGGAGCTTGGTTTTGATCGTGTCGAGTGGGTGAAGGCAGACGTAGGTGAATGCACCAGCAATTCCTCCGGCAGCCGCACCGATTGCCGCCTTTTCAGCGACGGAGAGACTCTTGAGCAGAGCTCGAACGTTGGGAGACTCTCTGGTAGCCGGTTTCAGCCAATTGAAGGATGCGGATTTCTCCCGAGGCTTCACAGATTCCTGATTGGAAAGCGTGGTGGATAAAAAATTGAAATTCAAATTGGAACGGAGAAAGTTGGGCGGTGGTTTGGGGTTAGGGTTAGAAAATGAAGAAGATGCGATGAGGGCGTTGAGATTGTTGAAGAGGGAATTGAAATCCGCGGGGGAATGGGAATTAGGGGAGAGGAGAATTAGGGTTTTGGCGGTGGGAGTCGCCTCCATTGCAGAGGTTTGGGAAATTAGACTTAGCCGCCGCCGCCGCCGCTCTTACAGAGGTCCTCAGCCATGGCTGCAGCCTGCAAGACGAAGATGGAATTGCTCCGGATTATTATTATTAATTATTAATATAATTTTAATTTTACATTATATTCCACCGATTAAAAATAAATTAAAGATATACAAAAAAATATCTGCTAGCGGTGGGCTTTATCAATTTGTTTTTGGGCCTTTGAATGGTAAAGAATAAGGCTCAACCTCAAACATTTCAATTTTCAAGAACACTTAACAGAAATGTGGGTGACCAAAATAGTATAAATTCGAATATTCAATCTAAATTAAATTAAATTTTACACTTGTGTATAATATTTTGGTTTGTGTAACATTTACAAATTGAATTGGTAAAAAAAAAAAATTACAAAATTAATAATGTGAGTCAAAATGTCAATAAGGCGTAATGTGAGTGGTCTTGGTCTCGTAAGGCGCCAACTTCGACTTTGTATTCTTCGCCCTAAGTACTTTGACCAATTCGCCGCACATTTGCTTCGTGCTCGCCGAACAGTCGCTCTGCATTACGAGTAGTACCTTGGTCAACCCGTTTACTCTCGCTACTCTCTCTTGTACCACGCGGTCACGTGCCAGGCAGCACGTGCTCCACAAGACGGTTATACCGTGCTCCGTCGCCCCACCCGAACATTTCATCAGCCTTCGGACGATCTCCACCGTACATTCCTCGTCCTCGCCGATCGCACTCCTCCCCTCCGTACACGTGGCGATTGCTTCTAATACCTTCAGAGCCTTCTCGATGACCCCACCAACCGCGTGGGAATCGTCCGAGAGGATTTTCCCTACCGTTCCAACTATGCCGAGCTTTATCAGTTCCTTCTTCACCGGCCGGCTTGTTGAAATTGCTGCTAGGGCGGACATGGCGGCTTCTGCGGCGGAAGGTACGGACGGCGTTGTTGATAGAATGTGCAGTTCGTTCAGTAGCTCTGGCTCTTCTGCGATTCTGCGCTGTGACTCTGGATTTATGGAGATTGTCTCGAGCAGCTTCGCGGATTTGATTTTGGATTCTGTGTTTCCTTTCTGGAAAACTGTAACGATTGATGATAAACAGCTTCCTCCGTCGCCGATCCGCAGAATTAGGTCGTTTAATTTCGAACTCATTCCGTTTACCGGCGAGACCAAATCCAGAATCTCAACAATCCTTTCGCGGATCGGAATTCCATCGGATTTAGCGAGCGATTCGACGAGTCTGGAAACGGAAACGTTAGATACCGCGACGAATTTCAAGTTCTCCTCCGAGGATTTCATGAAATCGATTAGCTTCGCCAGAGAGTCAGAGTCAAACGCACCGTTGATGATATCCGCCGCTTGCTTCTTCGAAATGACCGACGACGATGGCGGAGCCGATGTGAGGTCGGCATGAGCGAGCCAGAGGTGAATGAGGCGGCGGAGGACGAGATTCGGCGTGGTGTGCGTGGAAGGCAGAGTTTGCATGGTCGCCGGACAGGTGTTGTGGCCGAGCGCCAGCCACTTCTCGATTGAGCTCCGATCGTACGTAACGCCGGTGCAGAGACTCACCGGAGACCTCATCACATCCATCGAAATAGGGCACCGGAACAAATTCGGTACGGTAACATACAATTCCTCCCTTCTCTTTTCCTTAGCCATTTTCACAATTCTTTCCGTTTTCGTGTAGTTAGCGTAATTGGGAAAATAAAAATTGTTAGGGCTATTATATTTATACAAGGCGTAATATATATATATATATATATATATATAGTCAAGGGCGGTAGATCCGACGTCGTTTTAGTATTATTTAATAAGTAAATGAATACTTAGAAGTCAGAAAGTTTGAATACGGTATATATAAATTTATAGTGAAAATTAGCAAAAATATAAATAATTATTTTGTGGTGGGGCCTACGCGTTGAACAATTGATGGTATATCTGCATGAAATTCTTGCATGGAGGTTTAATTAAAGTCAAAGGTGATTGGCACTATTTTCTAATTATATTCTTGGCTCCACAATGATTGCATTTAAATATTTGTTAGTGGGGGGACAATTACAATTAATACAAATCGAAATTATTATACTAGTATTTAGAAAAAAATAAAATAAATTATAATAATTGTTATTATTTGTTTTCTTGAGAGTAGGTAGTGCTTGCAGGGAAAGGCCAGAAAATGGGCAAAGTTTCAATTTTTAGTGATTTTAATTTTAATCAAGTTTCAATATAATTATTGCAAGATTATGAATTTTGGTCCATAGTCAGGAATTGAAGGCGTGTTTGTTCACTTGTTTAATGAAATATTTTTATTTTCTGCTAAAAAATACTGTATATAGAAAACTTATTATTTTTATTATAAATGCATATATAGTTGGGTGGAAGAAATAATGGCCAAAGACATTTCATGTATACACATATAGTATTGATCTTTAAAGATATGTCCCAATAAAAAGCTTGGTACAATTTGACACTGTAATTGCATGTTAGCTTTGAAAAAAGGTAATATATATACATGAATGTAATATTAGTGGTTTCTTTAGTTTGGTGTCAATTATAGAATTTATACCTATATTTGTTAAAGGTGCCCATAGGTCCATTCATGTCAGATTTTTATCCGATTGAATTTTTTAAACGGGTTATGACCCAAACTTATATTTTAAGGCGTGTTAGATTAAAAATATTTTACATATATAATAAATATATTAATTATTATTAATATATTATAATTGAATTGGTGTGTGGGATTTGAGTTGAAGGATATCTGTTTATTATTGTATCGCATTTATGTTAACATGTATGCATAATTGAGTCAAGATTTTGTGTTGAATCGTCGTGTCTGAATTAATTTTTTTTAGTTTTAATTAATTGCATATATATTTTAATACTATTTATTAATAGTTATTTTAAAAATATATATAACTTCAAATATCTAGCCTTTTCTTTTTTTAATTATTATTTTCAAATTTATCCAAAGTTATTATCTAAACAATATATACAATTTTCTGTTTCGATATAATTGGGTGTCTTAATGTTAAATTTTATGTATAAAAAAGTATAAAGTTTGATGTAATATTATTAAAAATAAAATAGAGATATTGGATAGTAAAGAAAAATAATACCAAAAATTAGTAGTAGCAAGAACACGTTTATTAAAGTTTGGGAGGAGTGAGGGGTTGAAAAGCGCTATTGGGGGAACATGATTCTGATAAAAGCGCATTAGCAGGAAAAAAAAGCGCTATAGACAGAACAGAATCCTTACCACTGGGGGTCGTACGTCCGTGTTGCACGCAATATGTGTCTCTTTTCCCAAACTATAATAATATGTAATATATAATTAAAAACTTGTAAGTTTGAATAACTCGACACAATTACATATACATACATATATATATATATACATATACAGTGGGACAGTAATAGACATATATGACATGTACACATGTTTGTGTGTCTGATGCGTGTGTGACTTGAACAATTTTTAAATAATTAATTACCAATGGGAAGGAATAAATGGGTGTCTGAATTAAATGAAGAAAATGAGGTGGATGTTAGTTTCGTTTCCAACTTAGAAAAAAAGAAAGAAGAAACATTTGTGTAGGTGCAGAGCAAAGAAGTTTATTGACTCTGACCAAATAAGCACTAACAGTAACAGTCAGTCTAACGTGTCAGAAACCAAATCAGTAGTCGTTTTGAATTAGTCCACACCTTCATATTCATATTCATATCCTCCCTCAACCAAATACTACGACCAGCCCTCCTTTTTTGTCTTTATTTAGAAAATTAAATTAAATTGAAATTGAAATTGAACCAAAATAAAATCGTGTAATTACTTAGGACGTGTTGTTATATGTATTATTGCATTTTGTTATTATATATATATATACACAAAAATAGCTATTGGACCTAGGGAAGGTGGTTATTAACTCACCCCGGCCCAATTCAGCAATACTTATTAATACAAGCCTATATATATAACTAGGAAGAAATTAGGTCTTATTTTAATTAATTAATCCGTTATTTTTAAAATTTATCCAAGATAAATAATTAAGTTGATAGTATTGTCCAGTATTGACCTAGAGTATTAGATTCTACCAGGATTTATCTAATGCATATTTTCGGATAGTGACTGGAAGTTTCTACTTTATAGAAAAAAGAAGAAATTTAAAGTTTGTGGCCATGAACTTGTAAAAGTAAACTCGACCATATAAGATAAGTTTAAAATGTTAATTATATTAGGACATGGTTCCCTCGTTAGAGGAGTCTTGTAGTAGTAGTAGTAGGGTGGGGTCCACTTGTCCACCTAACCATGTAACACTTGCACCTATTTTTCCTCCCTAGTCCCTACCCTCACACACATATAATATATATATATATGTATTGAATAATTTAATTAATGTGTAATGAATGTCCAAAGAAGGGCTTTATGAATTAAACCTCAAGACCCGCTCAAAGAACACGACTTTGTGGTATGATCGATCATCATATCCCATGTTTTCTTGCACTTGCAGGCACGTGCCTGCCCTTTACCCCATTCTAACTTCATCTTCATCTCTCTCTCTCTCTCTATATATATATATATATATATTGAATTTTATTATTATTATTATTATTATTATTATTATTATTATTACGTATGATATATATATAGTCCACAACTTAAATAACCGCTAATTTCGACTTTATGCCGATTCTTGTGTTTAGATTTGTTGTCAAAAAGCATAACATCAAGGATATTTATATATACATACATGTCAAGTTCTTGAAAATTAAACAGTAAGACATCTCTCGGTAAAATATCGAGTTCGACCCAAATATCTTTATTTCATTTTAATATATTGATTAGACAAATTAACATTCAAACTATTTTTATATTCTGACAATATATAATATTGTTATCGTTGTACTTATTAATTTATAATTAATTAATTAAATTGAAAATTCATTCACTATCCTTCCCATCCCTACCGCACTTATATGGCGATGGTTATGGTACTATGCAACTTATATATTGTTATGTAATATTTACATATATTTATTATACCTCATCCGTCTCATAATAAAGTATCTATTTTTTCATTTTAGTCCGTTCTATAACAAAGTATCCACTTTTTTTAGTAAGTTGTACATCTACCTAACATTACAAATACCCTTACAACTTACAATATATTACATAAACGTCATTACCCTTATATCTCACATACTAATAAGGTTATTTTAGTCATTTCTATTCATATTGTATCCAAATATAATACTAATATTTCTAAAATTACGTAAAAAAGCAAATGAATATTTAGTTATGGGTCGGAGGGAGTATATTGTATTATTATGTGCTGTCAATTTTATATATTTGTGCTAATTGTGTCAAATTAGACAATACAGAAATGGAAGCCGGTGTGTATATACTTGTAGTAACATATTCTTCGGACACAAGTTTTCTCTTCATTATGCATTAGTATTACCTTAATTTGTGCATGGCAGCAATTATTCATTCATTCACATTATCATATACCAACTATATATATAAATCCAACTAACTAACCCCTAGCTATATTATTATTTCTATAAAGTATATTTCAAATTTTCAACTCTACATATCATATAACACATCTTCTTCTTTCTCACTCTCGTTCTCTCTCTCTCTCTCTCTCTCTCTCTCTCTAAATCATCCCAAATTGGAGCCACCTATATATATATATGGCACAGAGTCACGGCGGCGGCGGCGTGGCTATGCTGATCTTCTTGCTGGTGGCTTGCGGCGGCGGCAAGAACGACGTCGTAAATGGTGCAAGACATACAGAGTTTGTGAAGATGAAGCCACAAACACATAATCAATATTATTATTATTACAAGCAACACCAACATAGTCCTTCTCCGACGACATTTTTAGGATTCTTGCCGAGGGGCGTCCCAATACCGCCTTCGGGCCCTTCAATGCGCCACAACGACATCGGCCTCGACTCCGTAGGCACATCCCCTTAATATATATATATATAATTTGATTCAATTATTAGTTCCTCTTCTTCCTCATGAAGAGGTCTGATTTCTCTGTACATTTGAGTGATTTTTGAATCAATCGAGAGAGAGAGAGAGTTCATATACACAACATATTAAAGAGATTAATTCTTACATATTTATTTATTTATTAATGTTGTTTTGTGTTTTTACTATTATGAGAATTATTATTTGGGAATGATCAATTTTATTGCACGAAGGTATTTATGATTTCATGCATTCTTGAGGCTATGCTAATTAACAATGTAATCATTGCAATTCTCTATAAAAAGTTCATATATATATACATATATATATATTCTTAGCTCATAGTTATATTATTTATTTATTATTATTTTTATTAGTAACATAATTGATCAAAAATATATATTTATACAATAACAAACCGACATATTAAGGTATATTATATACTTATTTTATATGTACGGATATGGCAATAATCAACTAATTATACATACAGCTGTTAAGCAAAACTATTATGTATACTTAACTAGACACACATATTGAAAACTACAAAAGTTTTTAATATAATTAAGTGACGATTTATTTACTTATAACGTTAATTAATTACTTAATTAAACGAATTATAAGGTTGAATTTAATTTTCAATTTTTAAAGTTTTATTTTCAGCAATTTAGGCACAGACACTGAAACTGCTTTTGCTCTTCTTCATCAGTTTCAAACTCACCACCAAATTCCAAACCAATTTTAATATAATCATAAGTCAACCACATTATTCATTCACATAATAACAACAATATATATTTATTATACATTCTAAGAAATGAAAAAATAATAATATAATAATTAAGAGAAGTATGGTAACGTCAAGAGTCGTTGATCAAAATTGAAAATTTGGGCTGTTACGTTGAATAGTGCCAACATCCTTATTTAAATATTTCAATTTTGTGACGTAAATCATACTCTATATTTATCTATTATTTCAATTGGCATGCAGTATTTAATTAATTAATGAAGTTGTGTAGAGGTAATTAATTAAATAATTGAATTGTGATGGTCAGATGCACAAATGGACTTTTAATCTTTCTGGTAAAAATCAACATCACTCGTGCTTCACTTTCAAATTATTTTTTTCAATTTTATTCTTTCGGCTAATTAATTAAAGTCAAACCAGTGGACCATAATGTTCGTCACCTGCCCTGCATGCATGTTCTTATAATATGAAAAATTAATAATAATAATAATAATAATAATAATATAATCTTGGTTGACTATAGTTTGTCTATACTACAAAGCATGCTGCAGGCCATATCGAGCTACTAAATTCATATATTATTTAGAATTTATATATTAAATTAATTAGCAGAAATAAACAAACCCATGAACATCGTCAACTTAATTAAATTGATCTCTACTGCATAAAAATTGAGGTTTTATATACAGAATGTGACCATTTCTACATAAATAAAAGAATTATGTAACTTATTAATATATATATATATATATATATTAATTATAATTTTATAAAGAGGTTAAATATTAATGTGCAGAATGGCAAAAATTGGATGGGGTTTTTGTACTGATAGCTACCGCTAAACCTGAGAAGAAGGCGACATAGCTCCGGCGGATCTCCGGGAGCTCACCGATGACTTCTCCGATCGCCGGATATTGTATCTCAGATAAAGCTTTTCCCGATTTTCCGACCACCACGTCTCCGCCTGGTGTTCCCCGAAGAATCTCCGGCTGTACACCGGAAAAAATATAATTACGCTGGATAATAGAAACAAACATCGCAAAAAATTACATCGATAAAAATCGAAGGTGATACCTGAATCGCACGCGTCTAAGATCTCTCGTCCCGTCTCCGAGAGTTACTAATGTTATGTACACACCCGGGACGTATTGCTCGACCCATTCGGCGTCGGGATGGGCGGCATTAGCCGGGGTAGCGGAGTGGTTACGGGTCCAATTTCCGCCGGCGTTAGAAACCCGGGGATTCGGGCGGTCGTTTGGTTCAGCGGAGTTCGATAGCCCGGGCTCTAGGGCACCCGAACTACTTCGACTGCTTTGATTTGTGTCGTCGATTGAATCCATCGGCGCTGCAGGTTGAGACTTTCTGTCGGATTCCTCAATCGAGCAAAGATGGTGAATTCCGTTCGGCAGGTAGAGCGATTTCAGACTTTCCTGGTCGTAAGCACCCGGTGGCAATCTCTCGGCTATATCTTTGACCTGTAACATGAGCCGATTAAAATTTCGAAAATATTTATCCGCTCATTGAAAAATCGAATCAAATCATCTGAGAAACGAGGATGAAATTCAGCGCGGTAGATCATGAATTAAACATAGATTTCTCTTCATGTTCATGAATCTTTTGAACGATAGAAATGCAAACACAAAGTCGTAAGCAGCCTAACCTGCGCCGTAAGTGATTTAATCACTTCTTTTGCAGCTTTACACTTTGATGATTCCTCTGCGGCGAGGGCAACAGCTTCCTGAGTCTTCTTTGCTGCTTCCTGGAGTTCCAATTCTCGCTGTTCGGATTGCTTTTTAAGGCTTTCAACCTAAAAAATAATTCATCGTAATAAAAATTACAGAAACAGATATTCTGGCAGATGGGACTTATGGTTTACCTGCAGCCGTAGCTTGCTCACTTCTCGATTAAGGAGTTCGTTCGTCTTCTTCAGGCTATCAGCAATCGTCGCGGAGAACGAAAGACCTGAAGCTGTCGGGACCGGCGTTGCAGATCGTGGAGGACTATGTTTCCTCGAGAAAGGCGACACAGGTCTCGAACCGACGCTTGAGGCTGTCACAATTGGCTTTGGGACATTGCGACGTCCATCAAAAGCTGTAGCCATAACGGTTTCTCTCAGCTGCGATAAAGATAATTGAGACGACCGACCCAGCGAAAACATATCAGCTTTCTTTCCTTGCTTGGCTGTTTTGATCGGGTCATAATTAGACGGCATGACCGACTTGGCCAACCTTAGATCATTCTTGTCCAGCCTATCTTTGTTTTCACCGGATAATCGTGGCCCGGAATTTCTCTTGTTGTTGGCTCCTGCTTCCGCCACCTTACTAAGCTTCACGAAACACGAATCACACACCCGATGAGGTTTGCTGGGATTCGGAGCCAACGCCGCCATTACAGCCTTTTTGGAACTGCAAGCATGGCAGTGTACTAATCCACAATTGTAGCAATTGTGCCTCTTTCTAGTAAAGCCGAAAGATTGTCGACAACCCGAGCACTGAGACTGCTCGGCACCAGAAACCCATCGATGGAGACATATAGCAGACGAGTAAGTCGAACCACAGGCGATAAATTTAACATGTCTATCCTTCAAAGCTTCAACCAGAGAAGGCGTTTTCCTGTCTTCTGTATCTCCATGGCCCAACCTTCCATTTGCGCCTTTACCCCATGTATAAACCTCGTTTTTCGATGTCAACACTGCAACATGATAAGCACCGCAAGCAACTTCTTCGACGGATTCATTAGCAAGCTTGTCTTCCACCAAGCAAGGTATTTTTCCATCAGACCGAGGATTACCGAGCTGACCGTAGACTGTACTTCCCATGGTGAAAACACGTCCGGATGTAGTCAAGCCGAGTGTCAAACAATGGCCGCAAGCAATCTTTTGAAAATCGTAATCAATAAGTGCAGGCACACAGGTAGGCTTCAACCGCGGCTCCTTGTCCCCATGTCCTAAGCGATTTTTATCTCCATCGCCCCAAGTGAACAATTTTCCAGATGAAACGCTCGAGCTAGATTGGGTTACAATCACCTCGACCACGGCAGCCGTATGCCACACTCCACAAGCAACAGTAATAGTCCTCAATCCTGACAACGATTCAACCTCCCTCGGATACAATACATTCTCCCTACTTCCATGCCCCAAAACACCAAAAGTCCCGTCTCCGAAAGTGAACAGCTGTCCAGTCGACGTAATCAAAGCTGTATGCCACGGGCCGCAAGAAACAGTTGCAACATGAAGACCCTCAAGGGGACCCGAAATTCGCTTAGGTATCCAATGACTGATGTCAGTGCCGTGACCCAAGAGCCCAGCGTGATGTTTACCGTCACCCCAAGTGTAAATCTCACCGTCCATTGTCACTGCACAAGTGTGAAACTCTCCACAAGCCACAAAATCCACGCTGCAGAAAGCTAAAGACTCGACCAAGCAAGGCAGGGAGGCGTCCTTCCCAACTCCATGACCCAGCCGTCCACCGGATTCTTCACCCCAAGTAAAAACTTCACCCTGCCTAGTGACTAGAGCAGCATGCCTAACCCCACATCCTATATGATGTGCATCCATTACGACATTGCATTCCAACGGTTTGGGAAGGAGAACATCCGTTCTCGTGTTGATGGAACTGACATTTTTATTCGGCCCAATCTTAATAACGTTATCAGAGATAACTTCGCCCCACATATATACATCCCCTAATGCATCACAGTCATCCGGTGCAGAACCATGGCTGGAAGTACTGGGTGCGCTAGAAACACTGACCCGAAAAGCATCTGTACCAGATCCTTTTGCTTGCATATTCTTTTGATTCAAAGCTACATGGGAACTGATTGGGGAAGCTGTGGTGTTTGAACTGATAGAAGTAAAAGTGTTTGAACTGATCGAAACCTCGCGTGAGCTGACTTCTTGCGTGAAACTCACTGGACTGCTACTTTGACTCGTTGATGGCAACTCTCCTTTGTCCTGGAGTCAGTAGTTAGGGTATGATCTATAAGAAAAAGGATAAAAGAAGCTTCGTATTCTGCCGAATCACTCCTATTTCAAGTATGACCGAAAATAAAGACCATACAAATAATTAAGCAGCGCAAACAAACTAATTGGTTTAAATAAAATCCTGCATTTTTGTAGAGACAATTAAAATGCGTGCATCAAAAGTATAAGCATGTATAGACAACTTTCAAGATGTGATACCTGAGGAAAACATACTGAAAGATTTAAAAAATATTGAACGACTACTAACAAAGTCCCAATGCCTTAAATCTTAAGAATAACAAGTATTGCTTCTAGGAGAAGCTGGTACCAACTAAAAGGAGGATAACCACAATGGAAGTGTTAGTAGGTCGTAAAACTCACATCAATGTAGAGACCACCATCACCCAACCCATCAAGTTTTGAACGCTCTACTTGCCTGAGCGATATCAATGCCTTAAGGCCAGTAATCCAATATTCAGCCTCGACTTTGTCCTTGCAGATCTAGTATATATGCAAAGAAACAAAAATAAATTTTTACAAGTTAAACTAAAACCAAACAGCATTTTTGAGGGGGTCAATTGTTAAAAAATAATTTGTTTATCACCAACCAGGTCAAGGGATCTTTTTCCGTTGCTATATATTAGAGAGAAGGATAGGTACTCCTTTTCAGGCCGCAGGTATCGTTTAAAAACAGCCTGTGACAGAGACTCGCAATAGTAATGAATATGAACATGTATAAACTGAACAATATATTAGAAAGACTAATGAAATGTGGATTAGAGCAAGCATAAAGTGAATCTATCGAACAACGACATGATGTGAAGCCTACAGAATCTTACAGTTCTTTGTCCAGGAATAATCCTCGAAACTAAAGATAACTTCAAACTCTTTTCTTTACCACCTGAAACCCAAATCAAGGATGTTTCATCCTGCAATATTGAAATACAATCATTATCACACATGCACATAATGGAAGCATATATGAAACACTTTTAAAGTCGATACAATATAAACTTTCCTTTTAGTCAACAGTAAAGCAAAAACACTCCAGCAATTTGATAAATAAAGTGAAATACAACCGCCAACCTAGATTAACCATTTTCGACATAGCCAATCTAACACTTCAATTTATACAACAAACCTAATCCTAAATATTGGCATGAGCACACCACAAGAAAAATAACTAACGAGAATACATATCAATACTTGGGAGAACCTTTAAGGCACATTCACAATGTTGTTTTTTCCGACACAAAATGGTAACGCACACAAAAAATAGGAAACCGCAAAGAACAATAAGGTGTATATTCATGACAACACAGGGAATGTAAAGACGAGTAATCGACACAATTGGCCTTACGATAGAAAGTCTAAATGGACAAAATTTTGGTTTTCCCTTGCGACCATATTTTAGCAGTTGAGCTCCCTTCTTTAGAGCAATCAATGCCTGTACATTGCAAATATATATACAATCAAAAACCAATATATATATATATATTTATTTATTTATTTATATATAACTATGGTGAAGTTCAAGATGTATTCTAAGCTAAAATTAAAGAAAATGAAAAGCTGAAAAGAATGACTAGAAATCTTGAGGCAGTCTAAAGTAATATTAATCAATTGCAATTAGCTACCATGGGAAGCACTGATGCTGCTAATCATTAACACTAGATTGAAGAAAACATTGTGCCCTAATTTCCAATGCAAAACTCGATGCCACTCACCCCATCAACAAAATTCTTCAGAACATTATTAATTCTAACAACTAATAAAAAGGATACTAACAACAACAGAAAATCCATCCGAAGAAATCACAGTCTCAAATTTTGCTCGATTTCAGAAAATGAACCAATTGCCTTAACAAGCATACCTTTCGGATTACGATGAACACTAAACTATATATATGTACCTGCTCGATGTCGCGATCAGCATTACCGTAGCTAACAAGATCTGCCATTCCATGTGAAGCTCTCACCTCCACAGCAAAATCGCCGCCACCATCCCGCCGCCGCTACCATCCACACCAACACCTAATTTCCTCTCTCGCCGCTTACTAAAACAAAGATCCAACGCGTTAAGCCTGTTTCCAGATCTGACAAAACCTCACGCGAATTTTCAAAATTCAGTCTATAGATACAACAATTCCTGAACTAACGAAAACTACCATCTCAAAGGAACGCCCTTCCAAGTCTTCTATTTGACTCCGTCTGACTGACTCCGACGATTCCCCGAAACCGATTGTTTCGGGCCCTTCCAACCGATTCCCGAGACGAAATCAAGGCCGGAGAAAACGAGACGGTGAATTGGAAATCGGCGGATGGAAGAAGAAGAAATTTGGAAGTGCGCAGTCAAAATGAGAGAAGAAAGCAGCGGTGGCAGCAATTCCGATTCTTCGCCTGAGAATAAAAATATAAATAAAAAACCTATTTAGCTGCGATCTAGTGTGGGCGGGTACATCGCTTGGACTTTTCTCTTTATGGTGTGTTTGTTCCGAGGTTTGGATTTTGATTTGGTATTTAAATAATAAAAATTTTGAATTTGAATAGTTGTATGATGTGATATAAATAAATGTTGATATGATATTTTGAATGTAAAATTGATTTTTAGTATAATATACAAATGAAAAATAAGTGTTTAATTTAATATTTTTTTGAAAAAAAAAATGGGATGAATAGTGGAAATCTAATTCAATCCCCCCAAACAAACACACCCTAAGAAAATCCTCACTCTATCCAATATAATTTGTCCATATTTTCGTGCTTCCCACATAACTTGTCTTTTCTTTTTTTAAATATAAGTATACACTTTAATTACATTTTAAATTTTATATTTCATAATTTTTTAATCTTAATTAAAATTATTTAGTTATCTTAATCTCAATTTATAATTATTTTTACAATAAAATAATTATTTTTATTAATATACTTCTTAATTACTTACTAATCATGTTTTACCTAAATTCTCGTATCTACAGTAACGATCACAAATCCAACCCCTATATCAGGTCATTCCTTCCGGGACAATAACATTTTTAAGTGTAATTTGTTTGAGTTTCAACTAAAATTACTATTATTCCCAAATATTTTTTTATAAAATTAATTTTATTTTAAAATAATACCAAATTATAATATTAATTAGATTAAAATTTTATTTCATATCAAAATTAAATATATATTTTTATAGTTTATTATAATAAGTTTATTTGTAGTTCCATAAAAATAAGTTAATAATATTATTGTAATATGATTGAAATGTAAGGATACTTTTAAATTTTGTAGAGATCATATTTACTTAAAAATGAAAAGAGAATCTGATTTAGGTAATATCAAAATAGAAAATGAGTAAATTAATTATTTTTAAAATATGAAGTATGTTTTATTATTATTATTATTATTATTTAAAATTATTAAAAATAAGCAAATCGGCTAAGGGTAAAATGGACAAAGACTCTTTGGACAGTGAAATTTCCGGATATGCCCTTGCTTCGTTGTTGACGTGGCGGAGTTGTCGAGTTCGCATGTACTTGTTTGATCCGCTCGCTTGTGACGTTTTACTTCTATCACTGTGGGGCGGGAATCACGTGTTGCGCAGTGCCACGTCATCGAGTAAGCATGGCCTTGTTATTTTGCCACGTGGTTTGATGTGGCTGACGTGGAAATTCAATAATGGTCATGATTGTTCTATTTATTTTGGGCCAATGAAAAGTAATTATTGAATCTCAATATTTATTAATTTTTTCTAAATATTTAAAAACGCCTAAAATTTATGGTGGACTTTTAAGATTTTCAAGATTATCTTCAACAATTATCGTGATTTAGAAATAAAATTTGAAATCATTCCTATTATGCCTAAATTATATGGTCATTCCAAAAAAGAAATTAGATAAATGTTTAGGCCTAAAGTTCATTAATATATTGGGCCATATTGGCCCAATTACAATAAATAACTTGACCATTATTGGGCTAGAATATCATTAATAGATTGAGCCATATAAGTATAGTGGAGTAACATTAAATAAGTGGGCCTTTAAAGAATATTAATGGGCCTAAATTGCAATAACATTATGGGCCGTAATGGCCCAATTATTTAAAAAATGGGTCATGATAAATAAATATTATGCTTTATTGGGCCACTATTGGTTGAGGCCCAAAATAATTCAATTTCCTAAATACTTCATTTCAATTTTCAACAAATAAAATAGTCGTTCAATTTAAAATAATTTAATTTGATTTCTAATATACATTATTTAATACCTCATTATAGTAAATAGTTAGCTTTATTAAACTTACTTCAATAAGATTTTATTTCATCAATATATTAGAGAGGCGTAGTAGAATTTTCAATGTAGAGAATTAATTTGACTATTTATTCAATTAAAACTTTAATTATGTCTATTACTTCCTCCGTCCAATTTCTATTGTCTTAAAGTATATTTTTCACGGTTTTTTAGGTGATTAAAAGTAATAAATGAATGAATGGTAAAATTGTAAAATTTGTGTTAAAAAAAATAGGATAATAATTGTTGGACGTCCCAAATAAAAAAATAGTACATTAGTTTGTAGACGGATGTGAGTGAGGGAGTATTAAAATATATTTAATTCATAAATCAAGCAGCCTTACCAAACCAACCACCTTTTAATTAATTAATTATAATTATCTTCTTTTCTTTTTCTGCAAGTAGAAAAAAACTGCTGCAAAATTTAAACTGTTTCTGATTGATTTGAACCCACTCTGATTTACTTTTCACCTCAATAATTACTAATAACAAAAATTTATATAATGAATAATTAAAATATATATATATATATAAACATTTTTATTTATTTATTTTAAATAATAATTTGTTGTGTCAGACAGCATATGCCTCCACGAGGTAATAACCTAAAAATATTACTTACACGTTAACCATAAATTTAAATAAATTAATGTCCCTATCTTATTTTCTTAAAATAAATAATAATCCATGATTGATAATTATTATTTCTTTATATGTAATTGTTTGTCAAGTGATGAATTGAATTTGTGCAGAAATTAAGATCAAACTTACTGTAAATTATAAAAATAGATTAATTTAATTCACAAAATTGAATTTTTTATTTATTGGAATTTGTAATGATTATTAGTTCAATTCAGGATAAATCTATCATAGTACTTACGTACTGCATGTAAGAAGTAATAATTACCTCGTAATTAAAGAGCACCCTGGATCTGAAGTCCTTCAAAAATCCACACCGTTAATTAACTGTACCTCAGAAAATGAACGGTTTAGATTAGATCTTGATTTGAAATCCATGGACTTTGAAAATTATTACGTTAATTGATGCCAGCTCTAAATATTCACCTAACCTTCTGACTTTGACGTAAATTTTATTCAATCCGCGTTACTATTTTATTTAAAAATAATTTATATAACTAAATATAAAATTTACAATACAAACACGTATAAATTATTATTGCTTCTACGTTATTACATATATTTGTATTTTATTAATTTTTCTTGTCGGTGAATAATAAACACTGTCGTCGAAAATATTCACACATAAGAAATTGAAATTAGTTAGGAACTCAGAATTAAGACTGACAATTGGAAAATTAAATAATTGTTGAGGACATATGTCCACATTATTTCAATGACATGTTCCTCCTAAATCATAAATTTAATTTTCCTTTTTATGTTGCTTGTCTAAATACAGATGTTATTGTGTTATAGAATGTATTTTTACCTGTAATATGTCCAGGTTCATCACTTAATGTATGATTATTTTAAATTTAATAAAAACTAATTTAATAGATTATCAAAAATAAAATCGATTATATATATATATATATATATTCACTGGTACAATAATAATAATAATAACAAATGTGAACTGGACAAATTTTCTAAATTCAATAACAAATGAATTAAAATAACCTTTTCCATCATTTTCATCTTCTTTTTTTTTCAATGCATTGAATTTTGTGGATTATCAAAATAATAAAAAATCTGAGTATTTTGTTTGTTTTCAACAAATCTGCCTAACTTCTTACTAATATTTTTAAATTAGATGGGGACAATCATATAATAGTTTTTTTCTCAATATTTTTCCACAAAAATTTCAATAATTTTCAAAACACCCTTGCCTTTATTATTATTATTATTATTATTATTATTATTATTATTATTATTATTATTTGTATTTCTAAATCTCAAACTCAATTTCAAACATTAACAATATAAATATTTACATTTTAATTTCATTTTAATTAAGTTTGAAAACATTAACATTTCATTTTTGTCATTTCTCTATTAGTCACACACAAAAAAGCATTTACTACTATTTTCACTTTCCCCCACTATATTTACATTTTTATTAATTTCTTCACCAAATTGCATTATTTTTATTATATTTCCATGTTTAAAACAATATTGTAATGTAATTATATATTTGATAAATTTTGCATATATGATTTATTTATAATTTATAAAATAAATATATATGATAAAATTATTTTTATACTATATAAATAAAAGTAGATAAAATATTGTAGATGGAATAGTATATAATATAATATAACATTTAAGTAAAATTTATTTTATAATCTACGGAAAAAAATATATAATTTAAAAAAAAATAGAAAAAAATAGTTATAATCGTTAAGGTTCTTACAAAATATATGAATATTCTTCACACCAATCTCTTGAAACAACACCGGAGATGGAGCATCTAGTCTTGCAAATGTTGCAAATGCAGTCAAATAATTTTTTGGCATTATTTTTTCTATTTATATAAATATAAATAGATAAGAAATATATATTTACTTATTATAAAAAAAAGAAGTAATTCAAAAATTTTAATTAATACATATGGATTTTCTTTCTAACAAATAGTAAAACTACTAAACAAATATATAAATATATCTAAGTTTTCTCCATAAAACTATCTAAAAAAAATATAAAAATATTAACAACCTTGATACTTTATGTTATATATAGACACAACGATGTGCAAGATAAATTATTAAAGAAAAATTATAATTATTTATTTATAAAAAAAATACTCACCTTATTTGATGATGTTGCTTTAAACGAAGTTATTTTCATCGTCCTAATCAAGCAATTTTTTACTCTGCTTGGACGGTATTTATCTATATAAACATAAATAGATAAGAAATTAGAAAGAAGTAAGTAATCAACAAAAATAAGAAAAGAGTGAGTCCCCTTGAGTGGACTACACCAGAGATAGGCGGAGACCACAAATGGTTGTAAGCATAATATGAAACCGTCTTCAAAGAACCAGATTCTTTGACCCAAAGCAAAATATGAAAATTTTCTGAGACCACAAATGGTTGAAAGCAAGCGTAATCTGAAACTCTCTTAATAGAAATACGCGTGAGTATGAGAGAAAGAAACTGCACAAAAAAAACTGTAAAAAAACTGTAAAATTTGACTGAGTATTTCTTTTTATTTTTTTAATGTTGAAAATCCAAAATTTTAAAATGACAGGAATTAAGAGAGGGTGATAATTAATTTTTTATATAATGTATACATAAAATTAAATGTAATCAGAAATTAAATTAAACTAGTTAAAATTGATAGGTTGATATTTCTATACATTTACCAACATTTGAAAATTATAAGTTGTGGTGGATGTGTTCTTACTTTTAAAAATATGATTGAAAAATAACGAAACTATGTTTACAATTAATTTCATAGCATATTACTATCAAATCAATTAATCAATAATTTTCATTCAACTTTTTACTATATATTTCCAAGTTATAAAAACACTATCAAAATAGTACATTTGAACAAATCAATACACATATTGTTCAGCCAAATAATTATTTAAAAAGTAAAAATAACTATTAATTATAATTTATCGGTGGAAATTTGTGATTATTATAATTTTGAGTCAAATGGATTTGCCAAACTGTAACGTACTACTTATCATCTATCTAGAAATACGAAGGAAGCTTCAAGAATATTATTTATTATTATTACTTTATCTGTTATTCAAATTTATTATTATTATATTTTTACTATCATCTAAATTTATTTTCGTTTTTTTTAATAAAGAAATACCATTTTTCTTTATAAAAAAAGTAAAAATATATATTTTTACATATTTTTTTTTAAATTCGTGTCAAGTCAAGTGAGCACACAATTGAACGAGAGAGGGGAATATTATTATTATTATTATTATTATTAAGTTACATGTCAAACTCAAGTAATACCCAATGATAACTGTAATTAATAATTGTTTGCAATAATATTACCTTCTCTCCAGCTAAGAAAATTCGATTTGGTCATTACCTACTCTCATTAATTATTATTTTTTAGAACTCTCAGCTACTGAATACAAAATGAGCATGGTATTTAATTTTATTTTTTTAAAGAACTGAATAATAATAAATAAAATAAGTTAATAAATAGAAAAACACGCTTTTGTTCAAAATAGAAAAACACGCTTTTATTCACTTTTTTTATTATTTTCATATCATCAATTGACATTAAAAAAAAAAAAAAAAAAAAAACTTCTGCCAAGGAGTAATTGAGTATGAAAGGAAGAAGGACTGTCTTCATGGTCCCCTAAAAGTACAATGAGCACCGTGGACTTCAAATCCACGCCATTCAGAATGATCCATTCGGCGTAAAGCTCCTGGGAGCTTCCAAGAACCCTGCCAGTAATCAAAGGACAGACTGTTCACACTTTTTTCTGCCTAAGTAGAAGTTGGAATTTGTTTGGGTGTTTTAGTTTAGAATTGAATATTAAAAATTTTGAATTTGAATAGTTAAATGATGTGATATAAATAGTTGTTGATGGGATGTTTTGTATGTAAAATTGATTTTTAGTATAATATAAAAAATAAAAAATAAGTATTTGATTTAATATTTTTGGGAGAAAAAAATAAAATGAATAATGTATTTAAAATCCAATCGCCCAAACAAACACACTCTTAAGTATAAGTCGAAAGGGTTGTAAAAAAACACTAACATGATCCTAAGAATATAATAATGAATAAAAAATTAACCTTGATCAATGATTTATGGTAAAAAAGATGCTATAAAAGGACATGCAAGGATAGGGCAAATAGAACACAACCCTAACATGGGATCTCACACACACATTATTGCCACTCTTGTGGCAATTCTTGCAATTTTATTGCCAACATTGTCCAATGCCACTTACCCATCCCCTTCTCCGCCGCCCTACCACTACAAATCGCCGCCACCGCCGCCGGAGCACAAATACCCTCCTTATCATTACAAGTCTCCACCACCACCACCACCACCACCTGTTCACAAACCCCCGCCTTACCATTACAAATCTCCGCCACCGCCACCACCCCCTAAGGTCGTAAAACCCCCTCCTTACCACTATAAATCTCCGCCCCCGCCGCCCCCTAAGGTCGTAAAACCCCCTCCTTATCATTACAAATCGCCACCACCACCGCCACCTAAGGTTGTAAAACCCCCTCCTTATCATTACAAATCGCCACCACCACCGCCACCTAAGGTCGTAAAGCCCCCTCCTTATCATTACAAGTCACCGCCGCCACCGCCACCTAAGGTTGTAAAATCCCCTCCTTATCATTACAAATCTCCGCCGCCACCGCCACCTAAGGTTGTAAAATCCCCTCCTTATCATTACAAATCTCCACCGCCGCCGCCACCTAAGGTTGTAAAACCCCCGCCTTATCATTACAAATCACCACCGCCACCACCCCCTAAGGTCGTAAAGCCCCCTCCTTATCATTACAAATCACCACCGCCGCCACCCCCGAAAGTCGTAAAGCCCCCTCCTTATCATTACAAGTCGCCGCCACCGCCGCCACCTAAGGTCGTGAAACCTCCTCCTTACCACTACAAGTCTCCACCGCCGCCACCGCCTAAGGTCGTGAAGCCTCCTCCTTACTATTACAAATCTCCGCCGCCGCCGCCGTACCACCATTAAACTTTCCAAAGTAAGCTTCAATTTACGGACATGACTCACATCATTGATTAATTAATTAATTATTATAACAAGAAATATAATCACTGTTTCTGATTGGATAATGATGAAGATGATGATGATGATGATGCAGGAAACGAGAATGTCTGAAATAAAAAGTTGTGGATGGGGGGCTGACTGGTGCATGTCGTCGAAAACGATGGATTCGTGTCCGTACGTGGGAAAACGAAGAAGAAGAAGAAGACAATGAATTAATATTTACATCTCAAATTTAATTAAAATCTTCTTATCAAAATTAATAATCACCCCACTGCAGACATTAATCTTTTATTATCATTTTCATATAGATATATATATATATATACACGTGTAGAGAGAGAGAGAGAGAGAGAGAGTATGTGTACGTGGTTGGTGTCCCCATGCATCGCATTTGATTATTGCATTTTAAATTATAAAGTCGATATTGGCAGAGTTGTGTATTTCATAAGTGTGTTTCCCTCAATAAATTGATATGTCACGTCTATTTCCCTTAGATTAATTGTTTGCCTTTTGAATCTCATTTCTTATATATCATACAATATTATAGTAAAACATGCATCCCCTCCCAACACATCCCTTCTTTCTTTTACAAAAAAAATAAAATAATAAAATAAAATAAAATCATATCAATATACATGTGAAATATCATATTTAAAAAATATTTTTTTGGACTATCTAAGTACCCATGTACTATAAAATCTTACACAAGATTCATTCATTAACATTTAACAAAATATATTTATATAATGTGCCAATTGAAATTTAGGGTTACTTTTTTTTAGTTTGATTGGTATCTAATTGTGTAATGAAAATATTTTTATTTACTTTACACACTTTTATTTTAAAGTTTAAAATTGGAAACATATTTCAAAATACAAAATTAATACACCGAAAATACAACCAAATTTTTATATATGTACATATATAGTAGTGGGCCAGGGTTTTAATAATAATACAGTTGAATTATAATTATTTATTTGTAAAGTAGGAATATATGTTGGATAATAGAGTGTCTTTTAATTTGTTGAAATGATACATAATACGTCCCATATCTATATATTCATCTGCTTTTTATATGGAATTTTAGAAATATTAGTATTATATTGGAATAAAATAGAAATAAAAGTAAAAAATCCTATTAGTATTGTATGATATAAAGGTAACGATATTTTTATAATATATTGTAAATTAAAATGATATATTTGTAATATTAGATAGATAGTACAATTATTAAAAAAGGAAAAAAATAAAAAGAAAAAATAAATAAATTGTTAAGGGACGAAGAGATATATAGTTTCATTATATATGCAAGGTAGATAAATTTCACTGATTGATATTTTGTTTTATTACATGCTATTCTGCAAGTTGTGACTTTGTATCTTTTTATACAAGATCAGATATGTTTGTCCTTTCCAGTTGTCCAATTGCATGCTCATATACATATACAAATATATATATATATATATATATGTCTCAATACAATTATGAGTGCCAATTTGTCCCATGCATAATTTTTTTGGTCAGTTTATAATAATGTTTTTATTTTTTGTAAAATGTAATAATAATAATATTTGGATATTATATTAAATATCAAATACTTTAACTAATTGTAAAAAAGTATTATTCCCTCCGTCCCAAAATAATAGTATCATTTTCATAAATAATCATATCACTATAAAATTATCTTTACTTTTTCATTATTATTACACAATTGACGTTACTTTTTACACTAATATACTCACAACAGCAAAAAAGTTATTTATCTTTACTTTTTACCAACTATCAATATAATATCAATATTCTATTAAATCTCCTGCTCAACACAATAAGATTATACTTTTAGGACGGACGGAGTATATGTTTTTAACTGCAGTGACACTAGTGTCGTTAACATATTTGAAATATAATTGGGTAAAATTAAAAAAGAAAAAAAAAGAAAATAAATTCTGTAAAATGATATAGAAATGTACAAAATGTATTTGATACTCATATTGTTATATATTATATGTTTAATGTTCTTCTCAATATTTTTTTTTCAACAAAATATCGATTCTCAAAAGAATAAGAAAAAAAGAGAGAAATAATGTAAAAAATAAATATGACAAGTTTATTTAAAAATACATACAAATAATATTTAATAATGATATATAAAATACTAATAATAATAATAATAATAATAATAATTTTTATAGTACAAATAGTGTAGAAGAAAATTAGAATAAAAGATAAAAATATTTGAGTAATTTCACATCAATGCAGATCAAATGCTGAATATTTGTGCTGAAAGTTGTTAAAATAAAAAAATTCTAAAATTATATTAATAATATATTTTAATTATACAAATAAAATACTCCCTCTGTCGCATTGAAAGGTTGTCATTTTTCATTTTCGTCCGTCCCAAAACAAGGTTATTATTTCATAATTTAGTAATTGTACTACCTACCTAACATAATAAATACCCTTTCAACTTACACTATATTACACAAATGTCATTACTTTTATATTACACAATACTAATAGGGATATTTTCGTCATTTTCATTACAATCTATTATAATATTAATATTAAAAAATCTATGTGCAAAAAGCAAACGACACCCGTGTTCCGAGACGGAGGGAGTATTTAATTTAGAAAGTATTCGGATAGGTGCTGAAAGTAATTATTTCATATATATAGCTATAAAATTTTAGAGAATATAATATAGGCCTAGAAGCAACCGAATGAATATATTATTGTCCTTGGCCCAATAAATATGGGATGCTGTGGCTCCAATTAGGGGATCTAAATGGTGGAGTTATTTGCATATTAAATAAGATTATTTATTTATTTATTTTATTATTATATGCAATGTTAAAAAAAATTATTTAGATTGACTATATTAATTAAATGTAATTATGTTTGAAACCCCACCGATTTCTAATAATTTAATAAGTAAACGTTTTTGTTTCAGGGCATTTTAGTAATTTGATTTTCTTTTTTTTTTTTTGAATAGGAGTAATGTTTTGTAAGATGAAAATAATAATTGTTGATATATATATAGTATATATATTTTATATATTGATATATATATTCTACCTAATATATCTCTTGTATAAATATAATATTGAACTCTAATTGTGTTTCAATGAAAATAGAGTTTATTCCATAAATCGTAACAATAATAATAATAATTTTATTATAAAAATTACGAAAATTATACAATTCAATAATCAGGGCCGATGCAATATTAGGCAAGGTGGATCAATTGTCCCACAAAAAAAAAATAATAATACTAATTATCACTAAATTACAAATATATTCTTAAATATTAGTTCTATATTTATTCCATGAATCAGTTTCGGTATTCGACAAGACCCATCAAAAGAATTATTGATGTCTTGTTTTTTTTTTTTCCCTCCACTTTTCTCTTTTAATGAAAAAAAAATTGCAACTACTTGTATAATTATATTCTAGAGAATTGTCAGAAGCAGAATTGATGATTTTTGAATTATTATTAGGCAATTTCATTATTGATGTTTAATGCGATGAAATATTGAGATAAAGAAAAATAGCAACAACAAACGTGGAAATATCATTTTCAACTATAACTATCATAAAAAAAAAACTTACGAAATAGCATGAAAAAATAATTATTAAATGATTGTTTCGTTACTTTTCTAGAAAGAGATGTGTTTACTAAAGTGAGTATAGATGCTATTGTCTGTCGATACCAAAATATAAGAGATCTCGTCGTGAACACTTATAACTATTTTGATGTCTAAGTGATTGTTAATTTGAAATTTCGTATTTTTCTAATGTAAATTTTTGTTGATATATTTATTCAGTTTAATTTAATAATATTAATTTATCGACCCACCAAATTCAAAATTCTAGATCCGCCACTGTATATAATATATTGAAAATAATTTATTTAATTCATGAGATGAATCTACAATCACATAATACATAAGGTTCATCATTGTAAAAGATTGGAGTGTAACAATAATATATTTATATATTGTAACTTCAAATTCATAATTTCAACACCTAATTAAGGACAATTGTAATCGTGTGCTGGCTCTAGGATGTAATAAGAAAATTAACCAAGAAAAATTCAAAATAAGAAATTTGTGGACATCAACAAATTAAATTAATAATATAATAAAACATCGTGCATAATATTGTAATACAGAAAAGTTTAGTATTTTCCGATGATGACTGTGAGGTAATAAATTCAAACCCCCAATTGCTAAAACTTAAATAAATAAATAATCTTAGCAAACAAGAGTCATTTATTATTAGAAAGTTTCAAATATGAAAAATATAGTAAAACGCGTCCAGTCACAAACACGCAGTAAGTGTTTTCTAACCAAATTATAGACCTAATCTTAATATGAATATATATATATATATATATATAATGGTAATAATAAAATTGATTAAATTGAAATTAGATGAATTTTCATAGTGAGAAAGTAACTAATTTTATCTGCAGGCCATTAGTCGTCCTAAATTTAAATGCGAGGCAGAAAAAAGATGCATAAATTTACAGGTGTCCTAAAGACAGACAAATGGATGATTAATTAATTAAATTAGGTAATAATCGACAACATCATTTCAAACTCATCAACTCTACAACACGTACCACATAATTAACTTTTTAAATAATTAAGTAAAAATATATATATATTTTTAATAAAAAATCATAGAATTATTTTTATACTCCTTTCGTCGATTTCAAAAATATTTATTTTGTCATTTTTAATTGTTGGAACATAACTTGTCTATTTTTTTACTTAGTAAATTTAAAACTCATTATATATTACAAATAATACCAAAACCATTATATTAAATTAAAAATTAAGAATAAAACTCTTTACAAACAAAAAATACCACCAAACACTATTAAAATATAATATTTATTTAATTTTATGCAAAAATAAATAAGTACCTTAATGAGAAAAGGAAAGAGTACAATTTAAAAATTTAAGACATTCTTTGAATTTTTCAAAAATAACAAATAAAATAAAATTTAATCTTGCTAAATTTCACTTTTCAACTATCGAACCAATTAATCCAAATATTTCAATATTCATATATATATATATAATTGTTTTTATCAATGTATCTTAAATATACATGCAAGTACATATGTACGAAGTTTCTTATTTAATTATAATATTTTGAAAACATAATAAAGTTCTCGAAAATTAAAATGTACGAACATTTCAAGAAAGTCATGATTTTTTAAAGTTCTTTTTGGTTGTAAACAACTAATTAGTCTCTCACATCACCTAATTGATGTAACACTTTTTTACTAGTCCAAAATTTGAAGTTTTCAATGGTAAATAAGTCATCCTTCCACATTAAAAAAAAAAAAAAAAATCATCAAAAAAAAAGTAAAATATATTCGAAAAAAAAAAAATCTATATAAAGGGGTTCGAAGAAAGACAATTAGCACACACAAAATTAACAAACATGGGGCCTAAATGTTCTAAGCTCTCACTAATCACCACCATTTTTGTGGTATTAGTGTCACTGATGATTTGTTTCCCCTCTCATGCCATTGCCGGCGACGATCACGATGATCACGACGATCATTACAAAACGCCAGAAAAATATTCTCCATACGTATATAAGACGCCCCCACCTCCACCGCCTTATGAAAAACCATATGTTTACAAGTCACCTCCACCACCTAAGAAACACGACGATGATCATGATCACGATCACGACGACGATCATGATGATGACGATGATCACGATCTTCATGATGATGACAAAGATGGTAAGTATTATCCGCCGAGAAAATATTTATCGCCGCCGCCACCTCCTAAAAAGCAGTACGTCTATAAGTCTCCGCCGCCCCCTCCTAAGAAGCACGACGACGATCATGATCACGATGACGATCATGATGATGATGATGATGATCACGGTCGTGACGATGACAAAGATGGTAAATATTATCCACCAAAAAAAATCTCATCGCCGCCACCTCCTAAAAAGCAGTACGTCTATAAGTCTCCGCCGCCCCCTCCTAAGAAGCACGATGATGATCATGATCACGATGACGATCATGATGATGATGATCATCACGATCGTGACGATGACAAAGATGGTAAATATTATCCACCAAAAAAATTCTCGTCCCCGCCACCACCACCTAAAAAGAAGTACGAGTACAAATCTCCTCCACCACCTCCTCCAGTTCACTACAAGTATCCTCCTCCGCACTACGGTCACGATGACTAAGGAAAATATGAGGTATATTATTATTAATATATATATATATAATCACTTTGCCCGCATCTAAACGTCACATTTACCTTTTACGTCATCGTATTTAATATTAAAAATATCTTTATATTTGTATAATTTTTTTTACAAATGTCATTCTATTAGTATTATAAGATACTAATGGAAGTATTTTTGCAATTTTTTCTTAACTTGTACTACATTTATTTATAATAATTAATATTCAAATATCAACACGCAAAAAATAAATGGGACACTTGGAATCGGACAGAGGTAGTATATTTTTTAAAAAATGAGGATTAGATGAAAATGACATAATATATTCAAACTATATTTACTTGCGTGTGTATATATATTGATATCTTTAGATTGACATTTTAGAAAGTTCAATAATTTTGGTTCTAATATATTTTGCAGGAAAAAAAACAGATCACTTGGGGCCAATTTGGAAGATCTTCGTAATTAATTCATTGGAAGTGATCTAAAGAGTGATAATATATATATATATATATATATAAGAGGGTTTGTATACTTTGATAAATAAATTCCACGTGGGACGTGGTCACATATATATTTATTTATTATATAAATTGCATGGCATCTGTGTTTCGTCTTATTACATACGTTCATCGTTTGTGTGTCGTTTGGTTTGTAATAAACTTCTATTGATTATTGGAGACATATTTAATTAACTTGGTATTCTTGCTAATTTATGCAATTTTATTCAGCTCATATTAATATTAATAAGAGAATAGTATTATTCTCATACCAAAAATCACTATTATTCAAGTATATATTCATTTTCTATAAAATATAATTAGGTGAACAATTTTTTCTATTATCATGGAATTTCATTGTAAGGTTAAAAATTCATTATTAGAAAAACGTGTCATGTAACATACTAACAAAATTACCAAAATGTACGGTGACGGTATCGAAAAGAATACTCAAACTTGGTTCAAATTATAATTACTCGAAAGACCTAAACTTTTCACTCATCATTTTGTTCAAACATTAATTATTACTTAATCCTCGCATTCTTCACACACACACACATATATATATATATAGTACATCTAAAAGTAAATATAACAAACTTAACTAACAATTCGAACTTTTAGATGAGATGGTCATTAGCATCCGACATGATATCAGAGCCTATGTTAGGTATCAAGTCCGAGTCCCACCGTCCCCATTTGTGCGAATACGCATGTGCAATGTGTGTGTATTAATCTGATCAATAGAGCTCGAAAAACACAATGTTTGACATTATTCATTAATAATACTTTTTAAAAAAATAAAATATCATGTCAAATATTTCTTCTTTATTTTTAAGATTACATCCAATATTTATTTACGTCAAATAAGATACTCAATTATTTTTTATTATTTCTAAAACTCTTCAAGATTTTTGTCAAATAAGATATTCGATTTTTTATTATTTCTAGATCTCCTCAAGATTTTAAAATTTTAAAAACTTTTATCTAAATAATATATATATATATATATGTATATATTTAGACAAATAAAGAAAAAAAATCCCTATGAATACACGCACCACAATAATGTACAAGCTCTAAAATACATACAAATGATCAAATCTATATTGAAGAGTGTACACAACTAATGAATAACCTTTGAGTATGTATAAATATGTGTGTATATATATAACAAAATTTTAATTTAAATTTGATAATATTGTTACTATCTTTTTGGTGTACTTACAATCAAATTATTTTTCATGTATTTAATTAACATATCGAGATTATTTAATCGTACCAAGTCAATACATCCTTAAAGTATTCATTCAATCTTAATTTTTCTTTGCGAAAAATTGAGCATATATATATATATGTGTGTGTAATATCCTATACCGAACATATTAATATACACTTAACTCTAAATAAAATTAAAACTTTGTTTGCATACACATATTTTTTAAGTCTTTTATATTACTTATCAATGATAACTTTTTTAAAAATATATTATATTAAATATTTATTTTATCTTGTAAAATATCACATCATATATTCAATTCTTCAAAATTTGAAAAATATATACAAGGGCAAATTAAAATAAATTTAACTAATCAAAACCAAATTGACTATTAATTAATTATTCAAAAATAACATTACCACCTTGATGATATATCTCATGGTTAACTGTTGTATTCTAGAAAAATAAATAATCAAATGAATTATTTAATTTCCACAATTAAGTGAGCTAAGTCAATCAAACACCACCTACTCATCAATGTGACATTTTATTTCCAATTTACAAATCAAATATAGTACACATCAAAAGTCCACAAAATTGAACATTTCAAATGGTAATAAAAATCATCAACCCTGGTAATTAAAAACATCCAAATTAAATTAACCAAAGATTAATTTTTCTCATCTATATAAAGGGCTCCAAACCCTACAAAATTATCACACAAATCAAACATGGCTAATCTCCCACTAATCACCACCATTATGGTGGCATTAGTGTCCCTAATTAACTTTTATCCCGTCATCGCCGACGATCACGACAATTATTATCCACCGAAAAAATACTCGCCGCCGCCACCGAAAAAACCCTATATCTATAAGTCACCCCCGCCACCACCCCCCAAGAAGTACAAGTCACCGCCGCCGCCTCCTCCCCCCAAGAAGTACAAGTCGCCACCGCCGCCTCCTCCTCCCAAGAAGTACAAGTCACCGCCGCCGCCGCCGCCGCCGCCTCCCAAGAAGCATTATTATTACAAATCTCCACCACCTCCGAGAAAACCCTATGTTTACAAATAACCTCCACCTCCGCCCCCTAAAAAGTATGTCTACAAATCACCTCCGCCGCCGCCTCCACCAATTTATTACCATCCTCCGTACGGCGGCCACCCTTAAGCAAAAAATACGGTAATAATCTTAAAAATATGTACTTATTTATTTGGGACAAAAATCCCTTATTATAATTCTTCGAGTGCAAACTGAGTAAACTCTCGATGAAACATAAGAGTCCTGGAACTATGTAGACAATTATTATTATTATTATTATTTTGGGATGGTTTTGTTTATAATTTGTTAATTTTCAGGAACCAATTAAGAGTCTGTTGAGAAGTGATCTGATGAAGATGAAGATATGGAATAAGAGTGAAATATTGTTATTTTAAATTATAATAAATTAAATATGTATTTTTATATTTCCACGTCAGCTGTGTAGCTTTTGGCATGCATGCAGGCGTATATATGTATTGTTGTAATTTTATTACATGCTTCTTATTAATTATTTCTCTTCTTAAGGTGCATGTTTTAATTAATTAATGTGCTGTTTGGTTATGTTTATCTTTTTACGTTTTTAATATTAATATTATAAAATAAAATAAATGTGCTGTTTGGTTATTTACCTTAAAAAATAGTATCAACTTCAACATTTAATTTCCATTCAAACATCACATTTAATATATATATAATATCCAAAGATACCGAAAACCCAACCAAACACACCTTTTTTTAAAGTAGTAAGTGTACGGAAATTAAATAATTATGGGCAAGGTAAAATATATGAAAGGGTCAGCCAAAAGAATATTATTTCAATTAAAGGACTTTTCTACGTAACTGATCAATTAACATTGTCATTTGACATTAATATATATTTTCTTCTGCTATAATTACATCATATTTTCTTGTTTTATTATTAGTTAAATTTATGTATAATTTATTTATAATGAATAATTTTATTCATCTATAATTTTATTACCGCTACTTTAATTAACAAATAATAACTAATTTGCTATTATTTTTTCTACTTATCACATTATTTTTAATTTTTAATTTTTTTAATCATACTTTGGTAAATTTTTTATAATATTTCACTTTAATTTTTAGTTTCCGTGGCCAAGTAAGGGGAGATAGTATATTAATTTATTTATACACCTATATTGATTATGAATATATGCAATTGTTTCAATGGAAAACAAACTAATGGGATCTTAAAATTAGTGTTTTTCGTTCCCATGAACGAATATTTATTGCAATGTGAGAAATTGAAAAATATATATATATTATATAAAACATTGCAAAAATTTCATAATAAATAAATTCTAAAAGTAATAAATAAATGAAAAGGGACCTCAATTAGTGTCTGTATTAGAAATTGAGAATGTGAAAATAAGACAATGCATGTTCTAGAAATGGGCAACATCAAATAAAATTTCTTAAGTCCTTAATTCCTTCAATACCAATATCAGACTAATTGGCAATTAAAGGAAATTTTGAGCCATAAGTCACTAAAAGACAAAAATAAATAAATTTGCATTCGATTTTAATTTTTTTTAATATATACAATTTTTATAATTTTAAATAAAAATATACTTATTACTTTTTCTTATCAAATTATTTTTAAAATAAAATCCAAACTCAAATTCAAAGATAACACACCTGTATTTTTTTTTCACAATGATTTTTGTACTAAAATATTTCTTTCTTCTTATATATATACATTTACATTAGTCAAACGTATGAATGGTAGCTGCACTACATAGATGTGTATATATATATATATATATATAAATATAAATTCATGATTTAGCCAAGCAGCTACAGTTTAAGTGAAATAATAATTATTGATTGAAGAATGGGTGATGATATTAAAAAGACTGCAACTGTAATGAAAGTGACTAATCAAAGAAACATTCAGTATTTCACAAGAGCTCAATTAACTAATGAAACAATAAAAATGATCAAATTAATAACAATGTCTTTGAATTAATTTTAGTCAATACCAAGATATCACTTGCTCCTTGAAATTGAAGCATGCAATTATAATAATAACAACAGATGGTTTTTTCCTATATGATGAATGCTTGAAATTTCCAATTTCAACCAATTAACTAAGTAAGTCCACTAAAATATTTTGATGGTAAATTTACAAAAATTAAGTTCAAATGTTTGTTCGAGTTGAGATTACATTCCATTAATTATGGAGTATGTTATAATTTTATTTTTATTATTATTTTTTTTATGACAAGAGAACCTATTGCTGCTGCTACCGAAGTGGACAATGAATAAATTTCCGATCCAAGTCAATAATTTGCAAACAAAATAATTTACACTATCATAACCAAATTTAATCTAATACAATTATGGAAATAAACTCAACCCAAATTTGTTATTTGAACTCATCACATCACATCAACCCACAAATTTGACAATTTGTTTGTTAGCTACCACACAAGGATTTGCTCAAAATCATCCTTCTCTCTCTCTCTCTCTCTCTCTCTCTCTCTCTCTCTCTCTCTCTCTCTCTCTCTCTCTCTCTCTCTCTCTCTCTCTCTTCCATCACTTAATTTCCCAAAATTCTTAAACCAAAAACACACCCCACCCCCACCCCCACCCCCGACTAAACTCTCTCTCTAATGAATTGTAGCATTAACATATCTCTCTCTCTCTCTCTAAAAAGAAGATTAGAAGAAGACATAGAAGAGGACAAGGGGGGAGCGGCTCACCGTGGTAAAGTTTGTTTAAAGACAGATACACAATCAGCAGCCGTTGGATAAGAATTCGTCTGCACAATTCATCTGAAATGAATGAACGAATGAATGATCCCATCCAATCAGTTACTTCTTCTACACAAATCAAATTTAAAATGAATGTAGGTATGTATATTACGAGCAATCAATCAATCTATGCACTTGCCCTTACCTTTACTGCTTCCTGCAGGAGGAGTTCCTCCACTTCTGGTCTGATTTCGCTGAACGAAGGCCGCTTGTCCGGGAGACCTTCCCAGCATCTCTGCATCAGCTCCACCACTTTCGGGTGCACATTCTTTGGCACCTCCGGTCGAAGACCCTATCAATCAACACACATATATAATACTACTAACAATGGAACTCAATGCACACATGCGAATGAATTCATCCATGGCTGTGGAGGGAGAACGTGGAAACAAGATTCCGTTGGTAAACTATATAATATGTAAATGTAATTATTATATACTAAAGGCCGCGCGCAAGATAGACTTAGGTAAAAATTATTGTTTAACAGATTCCAAACCTGTCTGACTCCAAGCGCGGCTTGTAAAGGTGTCATCGTGTCGTATGGAACCTGCAAGAGAAAAAGCGAATGAATCCATATCATGAATGGCTGCTTAAGATCATTATGGGTTACAAACGAGAGTAATGTGTAACCTTGGCCGTCACAAGCTCCCAAAGAACGATTGCAAAACTAAACACATCTGCCTTTTGATCGTACGGATCATGATTTATCACCTGAGAAACAACAGGCAAGTACAAGGGTAGTCTTTCAGACAACACCACGTTGAATCCAATGGTAATAAGTAAACTTTATAAAAGAGCTACCTCCGGGGCCATCCACCGATAAGTCCCCGTCTCTGCCGTCATCACCCCTCCCTTATTCAGGAACCGAGCGACTCCGAAATCTGCTACTTTAACAACCTTGAAAATTTTTATTGCACCAATCAACAGATACTGATGAAGTAACATAAAATGACATATTAAGGTTTGAGCTAAAACTCCGGTTTCTTACTCACATTGCAATTATCCATTAGCAAATTTGCAGTCTTTAGATCCCGGTGGATGACATTCTGTTGATGCAGGTACTCCATCCCTTTGCATATGTCGAGTGCAAACTTCAGTAATTGCGGTGTCTTCAAGGAGTGATGATGCTTGTGCAGGTATTCGTATAAGCTTCCACCGGGCATGTACTCTATAGTTTGAAGATATTGAAAAACAATCAGAACATTAGCCCGTTTGTGTTGAAATACTCCAGGTTAACCTACCGGTTACTATGCACAAGTGCAGTGTCTTTGTGCAAGCCCCGATGAAACTAACAACATTCTCATGCTGCACCTGCCTGCGCGAAAAAACTATTATAATTCGAAGCAGTGAATCAATATTTAGGTGTGAATTTTAACATGAGAGAAACACGGCCACCTTAGAATAGAAACCTCCTGTGCAAACTCAGCTTCCAGAGAATTGTACAGATGTTCGGATCGAAGGATCTTGATAGCAACATCCCGGGCAAGATATACTCCACGATACCTGGTTATGAATGGTGGAAATGTCAGCGATAAGGCTAAACAGGGCAAGCTTAAACCGACAAATTTAATATGTGGCAGTGGAGTACTAACAAATCTCCACAAGATCCAGCAGCAATTTTTTCACCTATCTTCAATAATCTCCAGTCGATTTCCCAATCCTCGCGATCTGTTTGTGTGGGGAAGGCTTTCTCCACAAGTGAGTGAGAGCGTGAAGAACCTGACCACGATCCCTAGATAATGCAATGCACGTCGATATCCGGTTGTCCAAAAGGTAATGACATCTCATTCATGGATGTGAATGCATGCTAATAGTTGTCACATTTTCTTGCTAAGGAACACAGTCCAAATAAAAAAAGAGAAAAAGATTCAAGAAAAATTAAATTTCCTGAATATCAAGCTTCCAAATTATATTTCGGGTTATGCAGTTGAATCAAGACAATATTGCCTATAATTTTAGGTCATCATAAGTGCAGGCTATTTCATGAATCGGCAAAAAGTTTCAACCTGTCATTGGATCAGCCAATCACTCATAGAGGCAACGGAAAGCAAACTTAGAATAGCTTAAATTTTGGGCCAAAAAACAAAGGCAATAGTTATGGATCGTAATCATTACCTCGCCTTCATCAATTGCTTTTCTCACAGCTTCATATAAGCCTTCTGTATCCTAGACAAGAAGCCGTAATAGCCGATATCAGCTACAATTCTAACGGCCAGCATACTCATCATAAAATTAATAACTATTCTAGTATCCCCTATCAATGAACCACCCAGCCCAGCCAATTCAATAAACTTGCCACTCAAATCACAAGAAACCCATATTTATTCTTTCAATGGTATAGAAATACCATTGAAAGAAATCTTTAGGGGCTTATATTAGTAATCATTACATTCCATGGAGAGCTAAACTAAAACCAATATATCCAGCAACCTAAAAGTATAAAAAAACTAGTCAAGTTTAACTTGTAAAACCCATTTTTGAGACGAGGTCAGGTAATACTGAAGCAGAAATTTTCATAATGAAAGAACTCAGATGACCATTAAATAGTATGCTACCAAAAAATTACTACTGACGATGAGAAGTGAATGCTATTGCCTCTATTCTCTGGTTATGAGAAGTCATAGCTTACAATGGCAAATAAATTCACAACTTCGACAAATCAAGATACCTCAGTATGCCATCCATCGACAACAAACACGTCTAAAGAGTAGCCATCTGTTGTGGAAAATACATGGGCTTCACGAATGTTAAGTCCTATGTTGGAGAGCAGTGCAGAGAGCTGAAAACATAGAAGAGAACTTAAAAGTACTCCTTTATTAGTTACCAAAATAATTTGAATTTTGGTTGCTAAAATCACAGCAAACACCCCAAAAAGTGGGAGGTAAGGATGGATAACAGAGAGGGAACGGAAAACATTACTGACACTGTTTTTTCATGTTTGGACAGCACTGTAATACTGACTGCTTAGATTTTCCAATGAAAATGCAAAAGGTGAAACAATGACAATGGACGAGATACAAGAAGTGTAATGAAGTCAAATCTAGTGAAAAAAAAAGAAAGAAAAGAAATGACACAGGACTCCCCACTATTTACCTGACTAAGAAGCTTTGGCTTGTCGACAGTTGAAAATATAACTTCGTGAATTGGGGTGTATGATGCTTCCTGCCTACAATATGCATCTTAATATTTAATCTATATTTTGAATGTGACACACAACTATTTAACTTCCTGTATAAATCATATTCAATCAAAGATATAATTCATCAGTCGGCTAAGGAATCAATCACATAGATATATATATATATAGCATACACACATATATATTACCTAAAAGTCACCTACAGTTTCAACAGAAAATCAGCAATGAGAAGCTGTAATTAATTAATCTCATAGTTCCGTTCTTCGTTTTTAAAGTTCAGCTGTAAAACCCAAGCCTTTCTCTCCAGGTTACTACAGTTTCCGAGTTCTTCAAACTTCACTCTGCATCATTTCAACATGGAAGCCCTCTAATAGCAAGAGTGATCTTAATATACACCACACACACACACCTCCACCCCATCTCTTAACAAGCCAAAGACAGAAGGTTAAAAGAAAAAAAACAAAGTGGTTGAGTCTTTTATCAACTCTTAATTACTTCCCAATGATAGCAGTTTAAGTTCAATTCAATTTAAAATAAACAAAGAAACTCATTATATAAAACTTACCTTTCACAAATATCTTCTGCAGAATTCTCCCTCTTTATGCCATAAGAATTCCTCCTAACTTCCAAGTTGAGATCCTCAAGCTTAGAACAAGTCTCATCGCCACCCGATTTCTTGTTTCTAATCAAAGCAATGAAATATAAAAAGACTAAGAACCACATGAATTCACTAAAAATAAGTAACTTATGAAGGAAATTATTCATTATTTGGTTCATAAATACCTCTCATTAGAAGATTGGATACCATTTGTGGCAGTATCATGTTCTAATAAGATTGGGGGTACACTAGCAACTAATTCTCCATCAAAATCATCACCTCTAGTCGAAACATGCTGCTTAAGGATACAAAATCATATATCAAACCAGAAAGCGTGATGAATTAAATAAAACACAACTACGTCAAGAAGTTATTAGACAATAAGGATTGATTCCATTTCCATTAATGACAATGTTCTGCAAGTCCTCTATGTCGCCCGAAAAAGTGAAGGATGTATTCATTTTTTAGATATATTCATTTTATGGTTGATTGATTCCCGCCTATGTTCCACTAATAAGCCTTAAACTCACCTCTTTCATCTTTCTAGCCCTTTCCGACTTTGATCATGCCATGGTAAGAAATACAGGCATAGATAATTCAAGAGCATATACACTATAACATAATTTGATTTACAGTCTCAAGGTTATGACCATTAAACAGCTCGCAAAATCGAGAACTCTTATATCAAGAATCAAATGACAATAAAAATGTTTTGACCTCGATGAAACGGATGTGGAAAACAGGTTGAATGGTCTCCTCCTTTGCCCTTACAAGAAGCTTTTGATGCAGCAAGACGTCTTCCACTCGATCCATGTTGATATCCAGCCCGTAACTGAAACAAAATCATCAGAAACATAAATCAAGCTGCAATAAAGTCGAATTCAAAAACCATCCAAGAGATCAACGAGGTCAAATATATCAAAAATACTAAACCCCAATACCCCATCCATAAATCGACAAAAAACTCAAAGCGGAGAAAAAGTGAATCCACTAAAGTCTTGAGCAGCGGTGTAGGATCAGATATACGAAGAAAACCTGTGAGGCAGGCGACTGAAGTGGCTCTCCAACTGCCCGCGGAAATTAGGATTAGTAATCACCTCTTCAATTCGATTCTCGACAAGACGATTATAAACATCGTTTCTGATTACCTCGTTCCCTCCTCCCCCACTTCCGTTTCCTCCTCCTCCCCCGCCGTAGCTTCGCGGCGGCGACGAACTCTCCGCTACCTCCTCAACAAAATCCATACCTAACCGACAACAATCAAGCTTCCACCACTACACCAAACAAGATAACACTACTACCCCGCCGTACCACCAGAAATCAACATCGAGAAAGTCAATTGACTCCCATCGGAAAAGTATATTTTCAGTCCAACGATTGGTAGAATCCGAGACGAGAAGCGAGGGCTGATTGGGTATTTCGTCCAGCTGGGAGGTCAAATTGGGTCACCATTACTGCCAAAACAGGTCTCCCTCCCCAATTTACAGTTGCAACAGATTTTTGGTACAATCTACAACTGCTTCACAACTCCACGCACAACTTCTTAACAATATATACACACACAGAGACCTGTATATACATATTATATGTACATATATGTGTCATGTGTGTGCAGCGAAAAAGGTGGAGTGGGAGAGGCGACTGGATAGGGTAGTAAATGTATCATTAGCCAAAATTACAGGGACTTAAGGCAAATATTGAGAAAATTACCTGTGTGTGAAATGACATGGGAGGACATTGGTGTTGTAACAATTACGACGACAGCTCATCAAGGGCGTGTTTGTTTGTCGTGGCAATTAAAAATATGTATTCGGAATGACCACCCGAAGTGGATAGGCTTACAATGCAATCATAAAAGCGAAAAAATATTTTATTTAGCTTCCTTTTTTAAATATTAGTATTTGAATTATGACAACAGGTTTCCATTTTAGAATAAATTATAAAAAAGTGGTGAAGATAGAGTTTCGAGATCCAAACACGACTTAGAGATTACTAAAGCACGGCATTGGCTATTATTGCAGTAACCACGCTAAAGCTCGGTCACGTGCCGTAGAGGAACGTCACGTGAGGTAGACTGTCTGGTGCCGGTGGGGTGGGTGAATTTTGGAACCTTCCAATTTTATTTTTATTTTTGCTATAAATGCTGTTTAACTGACATAAATATATATAACATTAAAAATCAATTTCTATTCCAATTTATAACATAAGCAGCCACTCTCCCCCAACTTGATTTTCATTACTATATTTTTAGTAGAAATATTTAAATGGACGCACTAACCATGAAATTTGATCCCTGAGAATAAAATAATTTTCAAAGATAATGTAAGATTTAAAAATGGGGACATCAATTCTCACCCCATAATGGAAAAGATATCATTCTAGCAACAATGATTGTATAAAAGCAAATTATTAGATGAAACGTCTCGAGAATATGTTCTTAAAATCATTTGTGATATAATTATTATTATTATTATTATTATTTAAATTGTTATTATTATTGAATTATATAATCCATTTATTGAAGAAAATGGTGTAATCTGTAGAGAGTAGATTCCCCATCAATGTCAAGTAAAAACAGTTCCAAGAAAACAAAAGGTAATGGAAAACCGTCCTAGCGTCGCTATTGGTTAACGTGTCAATTTCTAACGTCACGTTAATGGAAGAAATGGACCCTTTCTTGTTTATGTACATTTTTATTTATATATGAAGAAGCCACTTTCTGAGCTTAATTATATTTCAATTTTCACAATACATAAAACATAAATTAATAATACAAAATTTGTAGTAGCATAACAATATTCGATATATATACAAGATACATATAATATACTTGCACATTTTATTTCTATAAGCGAGAAATGATGAGCAACAAGACAATATCCTTATGGGGAAATGTAATGGTTGTCAAAATTATTTGAATCACACAGCACAAGCTAGATTGTAAATTCAAGAATATAAATAATCATGGGACAAATGTAGAATGTCTGTTGAACAAAAAATATACCAAAATTACAAAAAAAAAGCAACCTTGGAAAGACATTATAAATGTCTGTCCAAATAAAGGGCAATGTTTCTTAGTAACAGTACACTATGCAATGAATCACAGTGGCAAATATTGTCTATTATTTCCACGAGAATTTCTTATATGTCAATCATGTAATAGAATTATTTCATCCTAAGTTTCTTTAAGTTGAGATTCAGCTGTTAGATCAAGATAGGATCAATTTTGGACACCATTTTCTACACTGCTTCTAATCTAGTGTTAAACTAAGGTAAGTAATGACACGATTGTTCTTCGAGTTCTAACAAGCATCGGAGAAGCATTTTAGCTACTCTACCATAGAAGCGATAATTTTACAAAAACTAAATTCAGCTCCATTGATTAGGAAATGTAATGCACCAAAATAAGCATGCTTCAGATTAACAGATCAGAAGATGATAATCACTAAACATATGACATGTGAATGAGCATTTCATGGCGACGAGCACGAACAGAGTAAGTTCAAACACAATTCGGATAATACAACATCATTGTAAGCAGAATAATGCATGTAGATATCCAGATTGATCAATTAACAGATTAGAAGATGATAATCACTAAACATATGACATGTGAACGAGCATTTCATGGCGGCGAGCACAAACAGAGTAAGTTCAAACACAATTCGGATAATACAACAGTCATTGTAAGCAGAATAATGCAAGTAGATATCAAGATTGAATCAATTCCACATTAAGTTGCAAATCACTGATATGATTACCAAGAAATCATACTTGTAGCTCACTATGGAACTGAATCAAGCCCGGCCTCGAATACGAATCCACGGCAGAGCCCATCTCCGGTTCCGGGCACACTCTCCACCCACCTCCACTCTGCCTTTCCGTCGATGCTTTCCTCCCACAATGCCAACCTCCCCAGACGTTTCGCTGAAAAGCAAACTCGATTGCCCCCGCCAAACACCTTAAACTTGCTACTCTCCATGAAACACTTGTACATTTCCACAGGCATTCGACCTGCCTCCTCCCACTCCAAATTCTCCAAATCCAACCTTAAAATCAAGATTGTTGTGCACGCACTCTGTAAGGCGTATGAACTCTTCAATCCTCCAACCATGTAAACCTTGCGGCTGTTACCAGCCCTCACCAATCTTGGTCTCTTCAGTATGTCAAAAATCTCGCCCCATTCACGCTTTTCCACCCTAATCCATTGCATTGTTTTCTCCATACCAACAATTTTCGTCTTGAACATTGCCCACTGTGACCTCCACGGCGACCCCACATCGCACAATGTGAGTATGAAATCTGAAATCAGAACCGGACTCCTCGGCTTCGACGGTAGATTCGACGAAAACTTGAGCCAATTGCTCAAACCATTGAAATCGAAGTTGCGACCATCAGGATTCGCAGTTTCCGAGTAATACAGAACCGCGAGCTCCGTGAGGACGACGACCACGCCAGGCGACCCGGCTAAGACGGAGCCGTGGCGCGACCAAGCTGAGCCGAGCTGAGGAAGCGTTTTGAACTGACCGGTCAACGGATTGCACACGATTAGGGCTTTTTGGGAATTTTGCGCCGGCGAGTTCCGCGAATTCTGTACGGACGCCCACAGGTAAAGAAGGCCGTGGGAGGAGGTGATGGGGTGGAGGGCGGCGAAGGGGAGGAAGGCCAGGGAGAATTTCAGCCATCGATTCGACGACGGATCGAAGGAGTGGAGGGTAGGCTGAGGAGACGCATGACGATGCGAGGGTTTCAGCGCGAGGAGTGCGAGCGGCTGCGATTGGGTGCGGAGGAGATGGCGGAACGACGCCGACGACAGGGACGAGTAGAGCGCCTTGCAGACGCACTTCGCGGCGGCGATCTGCCGGATCGGCAGTTGGCAGAAGATCTGGTGGAGGGTTTCCTGCGGCAGCGTGTTCAGAGGAGAGGAATCCATCGGATTTGGCCGGCGCTGTCAATCACCACAGTATTGAAACGAAGCAGCTCTATTCCAATTGCCAACTGCTTCTAATGGGCCGGGCCGAATTTGAACCGGTAAAATGTTTATAGGGCCAATTCGACCGGCCCAGTTGGGCCTAATTACATTGGGCCAGATATTAGCGTGTGACGTGGCGGTCGGGCACCAACCCCGTGATCATGCGTGGACTGGCCCACATGAATCTAGGCCTTACGCGTGGAGAAATTCTTGAATATTCTATTGGATGCAAACAGCCAATCACAGTCGGGACACGTGGTAGGTCCAGTAAACTAGGCCTCAATTATTTTAAAATTAAATAAATAATTATATCCATTAAACGACGATGAGATATTTCCAACGCAAAAGTGTCAGATCAATTTAGCAATTCTCAAAATCTGATTTTTATTATGTAATACTTTAATATAAAGTTTTAAAATTTAGAATTAAAAAATAAATGATTTTGAGTAACGGTTAAAAATTTAATTAAATTAATTTATATTTGTTAAATATATATAATTGATATAAAAAATAAAAAATTGAATCAGACGGATACTGAGGGAAGTAATTTTTTTATTTTCTATTAATCCCTGTCCGTATTTATATATTCATTTATTTTTTAGAATATTAGTATTATATTGAAATATAGTAGAAGTAAAAGTAAAAAAAAATCTAAATTGCTTTACTAATGTATGATACAAAAGTAATGACATTTGTGTAATATATTGTAAATTAGGAGAGTATTTGTAATGTTAAGTAGATAATACAGTTATTAAATAAAAAATAAATACTTTGTTACGGGACGGGACAAATAAAAATGAAAAAAAATAGATAGATTATTAAGGGAGAAAAAAGTACTCCATCCGTCCCACATAATTTGTCTCTATTTTCTATTTTCGTCCGTCCTACGTAACTTGTCCTTTCGATTTTTGAAAATATAATTATTCACTTTAATCGTATTTTAAATTTTAAATTTTATAACTTTTTTAATTTTAATTAAACTATTTACTTATTTTAATCTTAATCTATAATTATTTTTATTAAATAATAATTATTTTTACTAATATACTTTTTAATTACTTACTAATTATATTTTAGCTAAATTCTAAATTATCGTGTCTATATTAATATACCAATATTATATGGGACGGAAGGTGATTTTTATATATGAAAATGTTTAAGGCAGGCCAGAAAAAGAAAATAATACTAATTGCAAGTGGTGTCTTTTCTAAATAAAAGAAAATCGCCACGTCACCCCTATCGTTTTCAAGGGACCAATAAATGTGGCAATTAGTGGGGCCCATGTGATGCAGCGAACGCAAAGCTCCAAGGGTGAATAAATTGTGAAACGACGTCGTTTCGAACCGTGATTATCATGTGTGTGTGTTAACAGTTTGATTTTGTTTACCTATAAATTAGCGGTAGGAGGGCAGGGCAGCTGTTGCAACGGGACTTCACCATCTCATCTTGCAGACCCGCACGGCCTCGATCTCTTCTCCGATCTCGCGGTGTGTTTGTCCGGTGCAGCTGCGGTTTGGTTTACCAGGTATTTTGATTTATTAGGCATTTTGTTTGGTTTTTATGTTGCTTTGCTTTTAATATTTTTGGTGTTGGAAGGGGATGTGTGTGAGATTTGGTTTGCGCTTGTGTGTTTGGTGAAAATAATAGGTGTATTCGGTGGAGCTGGATGCAAAGATGTCTGTGAATGGATCTCTGGTCAATGGAAAATCTGTGGAGCATTTGGATGTGAATGCTTTCGATCCGACGGCTCTGGTAGCGGAGCCGGTGCCTCCGGTGGTACTGCGGAAGGATGGGGATGGGGAGAAGAGGAGGGAGATAGTTTTAGGGAGGAACGTGCACACCACGTGCTTGGAGGTGACGGAACCCGACGCCGACGACGAGTCAACCGGCGATAAGGAGGCGTACATGGCTGGTGTACTTGCGAGATACCGCAAAACACTCATTGAGCGGACCAAGCATCATTTAGGTATATGGTTGATATTATCAATTCTATGTTGATCTTCTGATCTGTGTTGTAGCATTTGTGGTTTTGTAAATGAATAGATTGTTGTTTATCAAAGTTTGCTAGATCATTATATTGGTAGGGTTTTGGATTGATGTGTGGTTTTGATTATACTGCCAACGATAAATACCTTCATGAAGGGGCTAAACCTAGTGTTAGATAATCCATATTATTATTCTTTTTCACTTGGATTATGGACGTGGTTGTAGAGGAAATGGATGCATAGTTAGTCTAGGGATTTTCATTATTGGCATGAATGAACACTCAGATTGAAATAAAATGAGTTGTGTACACATAGACTCTTAAGACCTTAGCATGATTAACATCTAATGTTTAACTGTAGATTTGGTTGGGGTTGTATAGTCAAGTTAACCAACCTCCCTCGTGCTTACCTTGCCGGAACATTGTCCTAATACCTTTCTTTTGCAACATAGGATATCCATACAATCTGGACTTTGAATATGGTGCTCTTTCTCAATTGCAACATTTTTCGATTAACAACCTTGGTGATCCATTTATTGAAAGTAACTATGGTGTCCACTCGAGGCAGTTTGAAGTGGGTGTTTTGGATTGGTTTGCTCGCTTGTGGGAAATTGAGAAAAATGAGTACTGGGGATACATCACAAACTGTGGCACTGAGGGAAATCTTCATGGAATACTTGTTGGGTATGCATTCTTTGTTTTGCTTCAACAAGTATCTAATTCCAGGATAGGCATATTTGCTGCAAATTTGATAAAAATTCTTACGTTGATTCTTTGCTAAATTGACAGGAGAGAAGTTTTTCCCGATGGAATTTTATATGCTTCGAAGGAGTCTCACTATTCGGTATTTAAAGCAGCCCGAATGTACCGAATGGAGTGTGAAAAAGTTGCAACCTTGATCACTGGCGAAATCGATTGCTCTGATTTTAAAGCCAAGCTTCTTTGCAACAAAGATAAACCGGCAATCCTCAATGTCAACATTGGTAAATTTCTCCCCCTTTTGTTTCAGTATGCAAGTTTGAAATATCAAAGTAGAACCTGCTAATCTGGCGGTGTCTAAATTAGCAAAAGTATAATCCAAATTGCAGGAACTACTGTTAAGGGTGCCGTCGATGATCTTGATCTTGTCATACAAACCTTGGAAGAATGCGGATTTTCGCACGATAGATTCTACATTCATTGTGATGGAGCTCTCTTTGGACTCATGATGCCATTTGTTAAAAAGGTATATGCAATCTATGCCATATCATTCATTCTGTGTATCCAAGTAGATATCTATCAGTAGAGGAGTAAATTGAATCTACAAAATGGTTTTATTATTGAATTCTAATCCAGGCACCCAAAGTTACATTCAAGAAGCCCATTGGAAGCGTCAGCGTCTCGGGCCACAAGTTCGTGGGATGCCCGATGCCCTGTGGCGTTCAAATAACAAGGCTACAGAACATAAATGCGCTATCGAGGAACGTAGAGTATCTCGCCTCAAGAGACGCCACGATCATGGGAAGTCGAAACGGCCATGCCCCGCTCTTCCTCTGGTACACTCTGAACCGAAAAGGCTACAAAGGGTTCCAAAAAGAGGTCCAAAAATGCTTGAGAAACGCTCACTACTTGAAAGATCGACTCCAACAAGCCGGGATCAGTGCCATGCTCAATGAGCTTAGCAGTACTGTCGTGTTCGAGCGCCCCCGCAACGAAGATTTCATTCGCCGTTGGCAGCTAGCTTGCGAGGGAAACATGGCGCACGTCGTCGTGATGCCTAACGTCACAGTAGACAAGCTTGACGACTTCTTGAATGAAATAGTCGCAGCTCGATCGATCTGGTACAAAGATGGCGCCGTTAAAGCCCCTTGTCTTGCAGAAGACGTTGGCCCCGGCAACTGCCGCTGCCCTTTTCACCAGTAATGCTGGCGATGTTGATCGGTTTATCGCCTACTACTATCATGTATTGTATCGAAATACGTATGCGTGTTAGATTTTGTGTCATGAAAGTTCGATTAGTGGCAAATTGTTCGTCTTTATTCACTCATTCACCTCTATATGTTGCGCATATAATTGTAATCGTCGTCTAGGCTAAATATATATCGAATCTAAACAGACTCGGTATAAAGATTTCTATATACAGCCATCATACAGCCTTAGGGTACACACCTTTCAGAGTCCTCGTACGAGACTTCATCCAGCCCGATGATTAAAATCCGGGAAACTATGGGTCGGGCTTGGGTTATTCGGGCTTGCTCGATGTTGCTGTTGCTGTCCCTGGTGATTGCTGAAATAAGAGTTTGTTGCCGGCTGCGACTGGGACAGAAATTGCGAAGACAAGCCTCGGTTGTTGCCGTTGACGCTGGGAACTTGGCCAGCCGCAATCTTGAGCCACTTGAGTTCGTCTCGCAATGCATCATTCAAAGCTGAAGGGCACAGACAGATCGCGACAGATTTATAAGTAGCTCGAATCAAAGACACGGCCGAATTGTACAAGACACAGAAAACTGTTGAGCATTACCATCTCGGAGATGCGCCTGCTGCTCCATAGCCTGTAGCTTCAGCTTAAGCTCCTTGTTCTCCGCTGTCAGCCCGCTGGTGTCCCTCTGCATTATGCGGCATGCCACACACATCAAGATTATCATTGTTTATCGATTAAAAAAATACACATCATTTATTTATCATGTGCCAAATTGCAAGTTCGCGAAATAAGTATTAGTTCCTACGTCACATAAATATGCAAAATGCAGTAGTTTTGGTAAATAGGGTCAGTCTCCGCAGAAAATAGTAACAATATTGACTATTCTATTATCTATAATTACATATATGTGTATAATGGGAGATTTGATTTATCACACTAAATTTGAGAAAAATAAATTCGTTCAATTAAATAAAATAAACTAAAATGCAAGACGATTTATCAAAGATGATTAAATTCTGGCATTGACATGAATTTTTTGTTGTCCACCGACTAAAATTGGATGGCGCAAACAAGGGAAACCATATTAAATAACCATCTCACCTAAAATCAGGTCATTTAACACTAACATTGCCGCAGGCACAAGTTGGAAGGATCGATTTCGATTTAGCAACAAATGCATAGAACATTCAAGGAAAAAGAAAGTAACATAGCTAAAGGCCAAGGCCAAAAACAGGGCAGCATAATCAAACACAAAACTCTCATTTACTACTTGAATCTGCCATGGAAGCATTGCACAGGAATCACAATATCTGCAGGCGATAGTTAATATGATAATTCTCATTTACTACTTGAACTAATTCCATGATCAATAGCAGAGCTTTGAAATTAGGGCACAAACCTGCAACAATGTGATCTGCGCTGACAGCGTGGTGGCTTCCGACTGCAGAGTCTGGACTTTCCTCTCCAGCTCATTCGTGTAACGCGTCTTCCTCTCCTTGGATCGTGCAGCTGATTGTCTGTTCGCGAGTATTCTGCAAGGAAGGAAACCCTAATTTTGCTTACGGAAGAAATACAGAATAGCATCAATGGAGGTCAACGGGGAGGGGGGAAGGGATTAGGGCAAACCGTTTTGCCCTTTTGGGGTCGATTAGAGCGAGCTCGGCCAGCCGATCAGCAGGCATGGCTTTCTTAGCGCTAGAATCGACCTCAGACGACGTCGTACTCGAATAACCGTCCATCGAATTGCTGTGCCGGTGCCTAGGCCGGCGGCCGACTTCCGGAGCCGGCGCGGCGGCGTCCAGCGCGAGTCCTTCGAAGAAATCGGCGTCCATCGACAGGCTCCGTAAATGAGCGGAGGAAGGGGCTGCGGCGGCCGGCGCCGCCTTTCCTTGGTGAGGAAACGGCGGCGGCGGCGGAGCGTTGGGGAGGAGCGACGGAGGGGTTTGGGAGCGGTCGAAGCTGAGATCAGCTACGACGTCGTCGATGAGGAAGTCGTCGAGGTCGGGGAAGTGGAAGAAGGTCTCGGAATGGGCGCGTCGGTGGCGGCCGCGGCGGGTGGGTGTGTCGGGCATCTGGTCCAGATCGGCGGGGAGAGGTTTTCCGGCGTACTCCGGCTCCATTATCGCATCAATGATTGATGATGGAGTGGTTGGGTTTGGATTTGGAAAGGACTAAAAGATATCGCCGAATAATTTTCTGGGGTAGAAATTAAGATTTTGACTAAATCGCGGGGCCGGGCCCCACCTTACCGATTTGGCCATGTGGCGGTTGGAGGTTCGAGGTAATCGTAATTGGGCCGCCCAATTATGATTCCTCTGGCTCGGCCCGCCTACATTTTTGTTCCTATTTTAGGTTAACTCATGGGTCAGCTTAATTACATTTTGGCCCATTAGTATTTTTAGGTTAATTGATGGGCCGGCCCAACTATATTTTTCTTTATTACAAACATTTTCTATATTCGATTTTTATTTTTATTTTTTTATATGAACCATACGTTCTATATATATATATTTTTTTTTTTTTAAAATAATGAATATATATATACTATTAAACGTTTTGTAAGGTCTCTATTCCTTGATAATCAAAGCCGTTACAAACAGTTCGAGCTAAAATTAATTATTGTTCCTAAGACTCCCCCTCGTTGATATTCAAGTTCGAGGTGAGGTCACTGCTTTTTTTGAAATGGATTCTTTGTCCCGCCCTAAATGGAATGGCTCTCTTAGGGTGACGGAGGGATTGTACCATTCGAGCCTTTCGCCTTTCAACGCTATCTCATTTATTGATTCTCATTCATTGTTAACTTATCTCTAATAAAAAACAAAAATAAAAATAAATTATTTTTGGAGGTGTTTGGCAAATAGCTTTTTGAAGAGCTTTTAGTTTATTGAACAGTTTTTAATTTTTTGACCAGTCAAAAAGTTCATTTAGGTGTTTGGTAAATTAGCTTTTTGGACCCAAAAAGCTAATTTGTAAAAAGCTAACTTACCCAGCATTTTCAAATAGTTTTTTTTTGTAATTTTTTTTATTCCTTGTATGACCTTAAAAATTTATTATACATTTTACGCAAATAAATATATTTTGATTATTTATTAATTATATTATAATATTTTTATTATATTATAGTTTTTCTTTTATAAATTTAAAATAAGTAATTTTTATATAAAAATTATTTTAATTGTAAAATATATAAATTTATTAAAATCAATATAAAATAAAAAATATAAATATTAATAATTTATTTTTTATTAAAATTACATTATATAAATTTTATACTAAAAATATATTAAATAAATTAAATTTATTGAAAATTATAAATATAATGAACTAATCGATAACTAACATAATAAATATATACACGAAAAATTTATGATTTTATATTTTACATCATTTTCAATAAAAAAAAAACTATTTATATATTTTATATTTTAATAAAAATATATTATTTTTTAAATCTAACTGTAATAAAAATAAATACTTTTATAACACTTTTACAATTTTCAATAACTAAAAACAAAAAATTTTAAACATTCTAAACTCAAAAAAAATATAATTTAATATATTAGAAACAAGAATAAAATAGAAATGTCCTTAATTATCATTTTACATATAAACAGTTAATATCAAACGGTTGTTTTACCAAACATTTTAATACAACCAGCTAATCGAATCAGCTAGTCAAACCAGCTAATGGAATCAGCTGACAGCTATCAGCTAATTGAATCAGCTAACAGCTATCAGCTAATTGAATCAACTATCAGCTAATTGAATAAGCTAACAACTAACAGCTATCAGCTAATTGCCAAATACGCCATTTACAAAAATTAATAATAATAATAATAATAATAATAATAATAATAATAATAATAATCCAAAACTAGATCGTTTTCAAAGTACAAATCATAGTAAGTATTATCTAAGATTAGATCGATTAGGACATCACCTTTATGCATAAAATTGACAAACACAAAATTAATTTCCACTTGTCGAAGTTATTAACAAACGTTAATGACTCAGATTAGCTATTAGTTATTTAATTACGGCATTACCATATGCTTTTGATGCTTTTTATTTTCTTAAAATTAATGTAATAATAGTTTTAATAAAATCATATATAAAGTCAATATAACCGTTTTTATCTTAGTAATTAATCTAATTAAGTTTCCCGCTGTCTGTCTAAAAAATATTTTAGTTTTTGTGTCGATCAATCACATATTTCATAACATATGATAATATAATAAACAATACATTATATATATATTTTTTTCTTTTTTTCAATTTAACACAATTATTATTTTTAAGAAAATAATGATATTATTGAGGAAATTAAAATTGTAGTATATTATATGTTATATAATATAAAATAATGTCATATTCTTATAATAAATTTGAAATGATTGAAGTTTTATACGCATATTACATATTTTATATTATATACAAAAAGCTCCCAGCATATATTTCATAAATAATCTTATTTATTTGTAATATTCTTATATTAAATTAAAAAATATTACATCATACAAGTTCCTAAAATATAAAACAATCAAATAAAAGATAAATATAAGTGTAACCGTATTTGTTTAATGCTTGTAGTTTTAAATGTTTTTATTACAATATATGACAAATTGTGCAAACATTTTATGAGATAATTAAAAGGGTTGGTATATAAAATTGTATAAAAAATATAAAAATAATAAATATGCGTGATAATTTAATATTTTTGAAAAAATATGTATTTTTTTATTATTATTATTTTTTTTGTTAAAATCACACACTCAGTTATTAATGATATTTTATATGTTTTAATTAAATTTTGCGTGTATATTACATATTATATATTGATAATTTATTTTAAAATTTGTATTAGAGTAAAACATTAATAAACAATACATTTTGGGATTGAATTCTAATAATAATAATAATAATAATAAATTTGAAAAGCCAGGTATAATTAATTTTATAAGCATTCTTATCACAATCTATAAATTAGATTTAACTGTATTCAATCAAACACGATCTAACATATTATAGCAAAATTAATTATATTTTTCTTTTAATAAATTTGCTTATTTTTATGCGTTTATTTAAGATGGTTTATTATTATTTTTTAAAATAAAAAAAAAAAAATCTTACACTTTATATAATATTTACAAAAAATGTATTACGAATTCAACTATAACTTATAAGTATATTTTTTACTATAAAATGTATCAAGTGTTCTATATTAATGTAATACAAATGCTAATACAATATAGTACAGTATATAATTGAATTCAATACAATACAACTATATGCTATTATTTAGCACATAGTAATATATTGTATTAAAAAAAAAAAAAAACCAACTATATTGAATTTATGCTTCATATGGTAAATGAAAAAAATTCATACAATGTTAATTTTTCATTCAGCATTGTAAGCGGACCAAAATCATATATATATTTCTTTCGTTATCTAAAATTATGTTCATTTGATCGAACATGAGTTTTAAAAAAAATAGATAATTTTTTTTTCTTTTATAGTAAAATAAAACTAAAAAAAATGAGATTTTTTTATTGTTTTTTTATAATAATAATAATAATAATAATAAAATAAATAAATAAATAAAAAGTGGATAAAAATTTGGATGAAAAAGAGTATAATACAAGGACATCTATATATCCAATCTAACAAGAATATTTATTTTATTGAAATTTTTATATAGCAAACTTATCTCATATTTAAAACATCTATTTATACCACCATATAAATATCACATTATCTATCTTTCACCGAACCAAACAGATACAAAATAATAATAATAATAATAATAACACTCCAAACAAAACCCATAAAAACCTTTTTTCCAAGTCAAACTTACAAATTAATTTCTTCGTAATCTTGTAATATTATCCAAAGTACCAAAATATTTCTTTCATATTTCAACATTTATATATATAAAGTAAAGTAAACTAAAATAAAAATAAAAATATGAACTTTAGTAGAAAAGCAATATTAAATAATTAGTTGTGTAGAACAACATATCCCTCGGAATTTCACTCTATAAATACCCAAACAATGGCGCGTGCTCTCCACACTCACATTCCTACTTACCAACACTAAATGGCTTCCCACCAACAAAACTCCGACCTCAAATTAACAGTGCCGGCGGCGGCGGCGCCGGAATCCGGCAAGCAATATGACTACTCCAAGCGTTCCCAGTGGCTGCGCGCCGCCGTCCTCGGCGCCAATGACGGCCTCGTCTCGACAGCATCGCTACTCATGGGCATCGGCTCAGTCAAAACCGATGTCAAAGCGATGATCTTGACCGGCTTTGCCGGCCTCGTCGCCGGAGCCTGCTCGATGGCGATCGGAGAATTCGTCTCCGTCTATTCGCAGCTCGACATCGAAGTGGCCCAGCTGCGTCGGGACAAGAAGGCTGCGGCAGCCGCCGGAGAAATCGACGACGGCAGCAGCAAGGAGGATCTCCCGAATCCCGTCCAGGCTGCCGCCGCGTCAGCCCTGACTTTTTCCGTCGGAGCGATGGTCCCGCTCCTCGCCGCCTCATTCATCACCGACTACCGGGCCAGGATCGCGTCGATCGTGGCTTCCGCCACCGCCGCCCTGCTGGCATTCGGGTGGCTCGGCGCTGCGCTCGGGAAGGCCCCCGTCGTCAGGTCGTCCGCCCGGGTTTTAATCGGGGGGTGGATGGCGATGGGGATTACCTTCGGGTTGACGAAGCTGATCGGATCGAAAAGCCTGTAAGAAAGAAATATAACCGTGCATATATAGCACGGATACTATGCTAGTATATATATATAAAAAATTAGCGATGCTCGGTTCATCTGGACCGTTCGTTGAATGTATATCATCCAACGGCTGTGATTACTATAGACAAAGTTTCAATTGCATCTATGGATTGAACATATATGATCAAACATTGCTGATGTCTTTTCATATTATTACCAATTCATTTAGTTGCAACGGACTTCCAAATTCGAATCGATCGAATCTTTACAATGCTTGTTTTTACTTCTTCCCTTCGGCCTCGTACAATGCTTTGATCTCCTCGACGTCGTCGAAGCTGCCGAGGAATATTGGGGACCGTTCGTGGATCTTCGTCGGGACCAAATCGAGCGCCTGATGCAGTACGAAATGGGTTACGCAATATACCGTCAATTTAATCGCGATTTCGAAATTAAAACGAGGGAAAATCGGAGGGTAACTTACCCGTTGATTCCCGGTGAATGCTTGTCCTCCGGCTTGCTCCATCAAGAACGACATCGGGAACACTTCGTAGAGAACCCTGATGGTCGAATCGATCGGAATTTTATCAATACATATGTTTGCGTGGAGTAATCGAGACTCGTTTCGACTTAAATTACCTCAGCTTCCCGTTCGGGCTTTTCTTATCGGCTGGGTACAAAAAGATGCCGCCGTAGAGAAATGTGCGATGAACATCGGCAACCATGCTGAAGAAATACGAATGATGACGACGTTTCTTCGATAACAAATCGAAATGATGAAGTCGCGGGTTTTCTTTCTTACCTTCCGACATATCGAAGAGACTTCGCCGGCGACCCGTCTTTTGGGAACTTGCAATTTTCGACATACCTGGGGAATCGATCGAAACAATAATACGAGGTGGATGATAAACGTGCAAGATTAATGTGCATACATACTTAGTTGTCGGCCCATCCCAATTCTTGGCATTCCCTTCGTTAACCGAATAGATATTCCCTTTCTTTGGTACCTATTCGAACAAAATTCGACACCGATAAATTACGTAAAAGGATGTATCGAAAGAACCTTTTACGATAATGTAGTAAAAAGAATTAAGAACAATATTAAAGATTCGACCTTGATGTCCGGATGAGTCAGGATGAATTCGCCGAGTGAGGGATCGAGTGTGAACCCGTTAACCCCACCTCCGGTGCTCAAAACAAGCTGTCAACATATTGGACAAACGGAAACTAAGAATTTTACCATGAATAAATGTAAGAAACAAATTTCGAACGCACCATGCAAGAGCTTCCGTACATACAATACCCCGCAGCTACCATATCTTTCCCGGGCTGCAACACGTCTTCGAGTTTTGGATCGTTCGCGTGTTTTATGTAATAGATCCCAAAGATCTAGACACAAAGCCAATTTCATTACAACATCGGAGATGCGCATAATTCAAGAACTATTTATACCAATCTAGACACGTACTGTCCCGATAGAGACACCACAATCGATGTTAGACGATCCATCCAGCGGGTCGAACACAACACAATACCTACATATCGACAAGATCTACATTCCAAAACTGACTATAATACAAAAGGCATTCGATAGAGTAAGGATCATACTTTCCCCGGAGAGGAGGCTCCACGATCGTCGCCTCTTCATCTTCTTCGGACACAAGAATGCACTGTCAGTGATTAACAATTTCATAGTTAATAACCGAATTATCGTCCAATCTCCATGTTTGAAATGAAAAAACATTTAACAGCATACGGTTCGGCCGCTGCTGACCAACGCCTTGATGAAAACCTCATTCGACAACACATCTAGCTTCTTCTGCTCCTCACCCTTCCACGAAAAAATTGCCGAAAAAATAATTGTTCTAACATCATTACAACATCAAAGCATAGAAGATTACCAATGGCTTGTACGCATAAGAATGCTAATGAGGATTTACCTGCACATTGGTCTCTCCAGCAAGACCGATGAGTTTGGCTAAACCAGCCTGCAAATTACAGAGTTCAATCGCCATGGAGAAACAAACGTTCGCGTGTTCAACCAAGGAAGAAGATGAACATAACCAGATAATACTAAGAACTGTAAAGATTGAAATTCCACTGAATTATGGAACAATTTGCAACAATCCCGCTTAAAACGAAGACATGCGTTCAATATGTTCTGTTCTTAATTTGTACAACTCGATCGATTTGGCGAAGAATCAATCCATCGGATCAAAAAACGTAATCGAAGAATGCAATTCCATGTTTCTCGCAGTTAATTTGAGCGAAACGTGCAAATCCCCAAATTACACCTCTTAAACCCTAGAACAGTTTCTCGAATCCAATAAAACATCAAATTAAACCCTAGCCATACCTTGTTAACCGCAGAGCAAACGAACTTGCAGCCGAGGACGATGTGATTGAGCAGGATGGTGAAATCCCCGCGCGATTCCGGATGCTTCGATTGTTCATTCAGCACGTACCTCGTTATGGTCATCAAATCCGTCCGGTGCGCGTCCGCCGCGTGATCCATTTCCTTAAACCGAAATTCAGAAATTCAACACGAATTGTATGTTATCTTCCAAAGTGGAAGAAAGCTTTAAGCGCACGGTCCAATACTCATTTATGGGGGACGACTCCGCAAAATTACAGACAGAGTGAGCTGACTTTATCGTCAGGTTTGTTGAACGTGATTCGAGGAAGACATTGCTGACCCAGAACTTAGGCTGATAGAGATGGGGATTAGGTTGTAGTGGAGGGGAAAAGGGCCTATCTCCATGACTTATCCTTTGGGCTGAGCCGACACGTGGAGGGCGGCCATGGCCTGAAAAGCTCAAACTCATCGGAAAAAAAATAAAATTGATTCCATCCCAGAAAAAAATAAAAAAATAAATTATTAATTATAGTTACAATAAATATATATATATATATATATATAAACTAATCAATTTAAGATTCACAGGATAGCATCTATACTATAAATCTTCAACGAAGCCTGAAAATTTTTTTACAATATATATTTATTTTTACATTATCGTATGATGTTTGTCCCTATATATTTATTTTTATATATTGTGTTGTATATACCTGCATCATATCTTATGATTGTATTATATTAATATAATTCATTACTCGCATAGTATTTGTACTTTTAAGAAATGATTATAGTGTCGAATTTGGATAATCAGCACCTTGCTGATTTTTTAAATTAATACTCGTAAAATATCGATATTATATATATTGCTTATTAGCAGTTCAACTCTACGTTCAGCACTCTGAAATGATTATAGTGTCGAATTTGGATAATCAGCACCTTGCTGATTTTTTAAATCAATACTCGTAAAATATCGATATTATATATATTGCTTAATTTTTTAAATCAATACTCGTAAAATATCGATATTATATATATTGCTTATTAGCTGTTCAACTCTACGTTCAGCACTCTAGTCGCTGCCGTATTGATATTATATGTTGTTTAGATTATACTAAATTTGGTATATATTTTAATAAATAGTTAATTAATTACTTAAAAACGCTGGCCCAGCCCAGGTATTGTATTTAATGGGCCACCAAATCGGGTCATTATATCAAATTTTGGATCCGATCCATTTTAGTACTGATAAGCCCATTAAATTAGTTTCCATTTAATGGGCTGAATTTTGACTTTTACTATTTTTTGAATTCAAATATAATATAAACAGCTGATCTATTTATATTTTAATTATTAATTATATAAATATTGTATTCAATATTCACTTATATACACTGATTGTTATACAAATTTATATTTATTTTTCTCTTTATAATGTTATAAAAAATATTTTATTTATTTACAATAAAATATCATACTACTGTTTACCTTGTTTCTATTACAAAAGAAGAAAAAAAAAAATGCATACATTAAAATACATGTTCAAAGTATGAACACATAATTGAATAACGAAAACAGTATAAATATTATATTCAATAACTAACTATCTTCATAAAATAAAATAAAATAAAAAAAGAACCCAAATAAACAAATACTTCAAGACTTAAAATATTAATATATCCAATATTTAAATTAAAAAAATGCCTCATAAATAATAAAATGTTAGAAATAAAAATACATATATTTTATTTTTATGTCTTGCGATGTATTTAAAATGAATTGGTAATTATAAGTTGAATTAGAAAAATAAAAAATAAAAAATCCAAAGAAAAATAATGGGACGTTGTTGTTAAATATATAGAAATGTCACAGTCCATAATAAATGTATTTAAATGGCGTAATAGACTTGTTACACTTATATGTATAATATATGTATATTTATATATATATATATATTTAATCATGTATAACCGCATGTGATGGTCAGAATCTTTACATTCACAAATTCTCCCAAAGTGGGCTCTCAAAATAAATAAATAATGTGACAATAATAAATTCCCTTTACGACTTTTATTTTTTTTTATTAGTTAAAGTAATTAATTATAAGTTGAATAATCCAGACTAGTAGTTAGATAGATTCTAAAAGTAATAAAAACCAAAAATTTATTACCTTTTTTCCCCCCTATTATGGATTATTGACATTTTTCTATAAACACATACTTATTAATTTGTACTATAATATAATATATTATTCATTCTATTATATTAACTTCAATAGATATTATGCATTAAGCTTTCAATAAACTTACTACAATACATGTTATATTTATTTATTTATTTATTTCTAAAAAAAAAAACAATTATGAATAAAAATAAATTTTTTAACATAAATAGTAGATGTAAGATTTTCATTTAGATACATAGAGGAAAGAATTTTCTTTGTAAGGATATATTCTAATTTACCACGTGCGAGTGCACGTGATTTGTGTCTGTGACTGTATGCACATGGCCACCATGTTCGATTTAATTCTTTCTGTACAAGTAAATTTTGTACACACACTATTATAAAAATATTACATCTAAATAAATAATCTTATCTATATAATTAATTAATTAATTTGCATGGCTTTCATAATCAGCAGCCAAAAACTATACATATATAGAAAAGAGATTATTTCATAATGTGCACACGTGTAAAGTAATTAAATACTCCATCCGTCCCAAATACCATGTCCACGTTGCCGTTTCTGTCCGTCTCACATACCATATCACTTTCATTTTTTTTTTGAAAAATAATTGCACACTTTAATCTCTTTTTAAATTTTTAAATTTTATTCTTTTTATTTTAATTAAACTAATTACTTATCTTAATCTTAATTTATAATTATTTATATTATAGGATAATTATTTTTACTAATACATTCTTAATTATTTACTAATTACACCCCTCCTAAAATACCGTGTCTACAGTGTAGCAGACACGGGGAAGGAGCGAATATTAAATAGATATATAATTACATAGCCCTATTTTTTATTTATTTTTTATTTATGTGGATGTAATAGTTAAATAATATATATATATATATATATATACTTTGTGGGAATATTTATGGAATTTTGAAAAGGAAAGGTCCCTTTTTTAAAAGACTATGTCATATGCCTATTTGGGAAAAATATATACCTACCACAAATTTCCACAAATTATTAAATTTCTACATTCTATTCATACCACAATAGTTACTGTGTTGATTAAAATTAATTAGTATTATATCAATTAGTGTTAATCAACAAATGAAAAATAATATATACATTATATATTATAAATAATTGATTTCAGTATAAAAATATATATATCAATATTATATAATACAGACAATATATGATAATAGTTTACACAATATATATAATGATTAATTTTAAGCACCAACCATATGTTAACACATCATATTGGTTATTCTAAATTAAATATAAATATAATTTAATATTTGTGTGATAACTATATTTATTAAATTAAAAGATAAATAAAATAAGTATATATATAGTTGATAATAGAAATACCACTGATTAATATAGTTAAATTGATCGATATGGAATAATAAACTATTAGAGCCCTCAAATTTTACATTAATATTAGAACATCCCAAGCCAACATATATTATTATAATATTTGCACGATATTATGATTGCATTAATTTGAAAATTTTCGAATAGGCTATATATATATATATAGTTAATATGTAGAATTAAAAATTTAGTACAATTGTAATAGAATAATATATTACATAAATAATGGTTTGCCACGCAAAAAAATTATCAAAAATTTTAGTACAATTGTAATAGAATAATATATTACATAAATAATGGTTTGCCACGCAAAAAAATTATCAATAATGGTGGGCCGATTCTGAAAGATTTTAATCGATGGGATCAAATGACTTTGGCCGACGCAATATAATTTTGTTAACATCAAGTTCAAGCATTCAATCGGGTCTATCAATGGTAGATAATATTAGCGGTGACTCAAAAAAATTATCTTATTTTCTTTATATATATATATATATATATTTTTTTTGTGTGTTTTTTCTTCTTTTATTTTTAAAAAGTAATTTTGAATCGATCTCGAATCAATGCAATTCGTTTCCACCGTCTTTCTTCAATTATTCTTGTGTTATTTGTTCTTAAATTATCACATACTACCAAGAATTCGCATCGAATTTTCCGAAAATCAACCAATGCTTTCGACGAAAAATTTAAGTCAAAAGTATTTTTCAGGCCAACAATAACATATAGTATAACAAAATTCTCTTACACACTTCTACTGATCAATAAAATATTATTATTTTTTAATTTATTTCAAAATTCTAAAAAACCTCTTAAATTATATATATATATATATATATATAAACACCCTACATATTTTTTTTTTATCATTTTCTTTTAATCATGAATTTGTGGTTAGTAATTAGTGATTTCTAGGTTTGTTTTATTCTGTGTCTTATCCCTTCAAGTCCCTACTACATTAACATACACACGTGTATGTATTTTTATGTATGTATATATACCTATACGTATATGTGTACATATATTAATTATAAGGATATTTGTATTTGTATATATAGTGGAAAAAGCATCTGTAACAGCTAGACAAGCCCACAGCCAGCGAAATAAAACAAGTACAGCAAAGTTTCAACAAAAATAAATAAATAAAAATAAAGGCTTTAAATTTATTTCTATTCACGAATTGTTACGTACAAAAAATAATAATAATGATAATGGTAGCAGGATCTTAAAGAAGATCGGACGAAGGAAGATGAGACGAACGATACGGAGGTTGGACCAAATGAGGTCGGTCGAAAGAGGAAGTCGGGCGAAGAAAGACGTCTGATACGGAGGTTGGACCAAATGAGGTCGGGTGAAGAAGATTGAGACTACCAATACGGAGGTCGGGCCAAATGAGGTTGGGCGAAGAACGATAAGACGACCGATACGGAGGTCGGGCCAAATGAGGTCGGACAAAGACGGATGAGACGGCCGATACGGAGGTCGGACCAAATGAGGTCGGACAAAGAAGGATAAGACAGCCCATATGGAGGTCGGGCCAAATTAGGTCGGGTTAAGGCGGTTAAGACACTTGTCAATGGAAGAGGATTTAATGGGCGGTTGATAGCGGTTACTGTAATCGAACAGGCGACGGTTCCGAATCGTTTCTTTAGGGAATATTTAAATAGGGAATTCGCAAGATCTTCGATCTTCAATCGACATCAAATTCACTGGAATTTTTTTTGGAGATCAACATTTACTTTTTCTGTTTGTTGTAGTAGTTATTTTTCCTATTCTATTTATGTATTGTACGGTGTCTAGGATTCT